ACACCATAATGTGTCCACACGACAATGTGTCCACACGGCACCACAATGTGTCCACACGGCACCACAACACGACACCACAATGTGTCCACACGGCACCACAACACGACACCACAATGTGTCCACACGGCACCACAATGTGTCCACACGGCACCATAACACGACACCACAATGTGTCCACACGGCACCACAATGTGTCCACACGACACCACAATGTGTCCATACGGCACCATAACACGACACCACAATGTTTCCACACGGCACCACAATGTGTCCACACGACACCACAATGTGTCCATACGGCACCATAACACGACACCACAATGTTTCCACACGACACCACAATGTGTCCACACGACACCACAATGTGTCCACACGACACCACAATGTGTCCACACGGCACCACAATGTGTCCACACGACACCACTATGTGTCCACACGGCACCATAACACGACACCACAATGTGTCCACACGACACCACAATGTGTCCACACGACACCACAATGTGTCAACCACAAGTCACATGTTGTTGGGATGTGATATAAACCCTCGTCCTACAGATCTATATCAACAGTTCCTTACACTTTGACAAATACAGATCAATATCGTTCTGTCAGTGCTAAAGCATGTTTGTGTAATCAGGAAGAGAAATAAGAGTTGCGTCCCATCCTCACACAGGATGCCGTCCGACCGATGCCGTCCGACCGATGCCGTCCGACCGATGCCGTCCGACCGATGCCGTGTGACTGATACCGTCCGACCGCTGCCGTCCGACCGATGCCGTCCGACCGATGCCGTCCGACCGATGCCGCCTGACTGACCTGAAGCCAGAGCTTTTACTGTATAGCCTCTGACACATGAAGCCATTACATCTCCGTCAATTTGCTTACATTTCCGGTGCCAGTCGTAATGTGGGTGGAACTAGGTCAGCTAAAAAATTGGGAATGACCCGAGAGTGAAATTGGTCTAACGCCACACTTAATGTTGATGGAGCGAACAATGAACTGCTTGAACTGTTGGCGTGAACTGTTTACTGGTTTATCACACGTTTGAATGCCCTGAGGGTTGGCCTGTGGGTTTGCCTGAGGGTTGGCCTGAGGGTTGGCCTGAGGGTTGGCCTGTGGGTTGGCCTGAGGGTTGGCCTGTGGGTTGGCCTGAGGGTTGGCCTGAGGGTTGGCCTGTGGGTTGGCCTGAGGGTTGGCCTGTGGGTTTGCCTGAGGGTTGGCCTGAGGGTTGGCCTGTGGGTTTGCCTGAGAGTTGGCCTGAGGGTTGGCCGTAATGTTGAACAACGGGAGTAGCTCTTACACTGCGCTTGTATTCTATACATGTCTAGAGAAAAAAACAACTTCGCTACATACAGTAGCGGACCCCCCCCCCCCCCCCCCGCATAATATATATATATATATATATATATATATATATATATATATATATATATATATATATATATATATATATATATATATATATATGTAACTAGGGTAGTTACCATATTATGGTTAACAACGTATTACAGTCTGATGCAATAGTGCAGATGTTGGGCTGATAACGATCACAAAGCCAAGGCGTAGCTTGGGAAGCGATACGACAAAGCCGCTGCGCAGTTCACAGGCTGACGTAACAGTGCAGATGGTTTATTAATCGGATTGTATGACAGAAGCTGCGCAATTAATATTCTGATGCAACGATTAGAATCGATTACGAATACGAGTATGAATACGAGTACGAATACGAGTACGAATACGAGGAGAGATAAGATAGGAAGGCGACAGTTGAGAAGGGAAAGCCGAACTGTAGAGACGTGTTGTAGCAGTATCAAGTTGGTTACTGAACGTTGTAGACGTATTGTGTTAATAGGGACGATAGACATGTGCATTCGGTTATGTGAAGACTAGTGAGGACGGTTGGGGGTCAGTTGATTCATTCTATTATTGTGAAGCATTTCTTTTGATTCATGTAATAAAAGGATCAATGGTAAACCTGCATCTTCGAGTATCTATATTGTGGTCGATGTTGTGTAGAATGAGTAAATACACTCGTTGACATTTGGCACTACAAGCAAATAGACTCGTTACATATATATATATATATATATATATATATATATATATATATATATATATATATATATATATATATATATATATATATATATATATAATATATATATATATATATTTATATATATATATATATATATATATATATATATATATATATATATATATATATATATATATATATATATATATATATATATATATATATATATGTGTATATATATATATATATATATATATATATATATATATATATATATATATATATATATATATATAATGTATATATATATGGAAAACAAGGGTTGCTCTAAAAATTAATTATCTCGATTTTTTTACTTTCTCGTATATACGAAGTATAGAGAAAGTCTTGTAATCGTGCAAAAAAAATCGAGATTTTTTGGAAATCTCGACGTTTTACACCTCACTGATACGGAAAAACATAATTTTGCAATCTTGTCCGTATGTGTGTGTGTATGTGTGTGTGTGTGTCCGTGTGTGTGTCTGTGTGTCTGTAAACACGATAACTTGAGTACCGTTACAGCTAGGTTGATGAAATTTCATATATAAGTATTTTATCAAAATCGTAGATCCGTATCAACTTTTGAGCGATTTCCGATAACCGGAAGTGGTACTTTTTTTACTTTGAATTTTTCAAAAGCCTATAACTTGAGTACAATTTCAGACAGATAAATAAAATTTCACAAGTAAGAAAAGATCTAATTATTTACATTCTTTCAAATTTTGAGTAATTTCCGTTGAAAGGAAGTAGTAATTTACGCTATTTCCAATTTCTCAAAAAAACCGCATGTAAATTTATAAAGTACTAATAATATTGCGCACTATTATGCACATCTATATTTGGCGTTCACTTGGTGGGCAATTCTTTTTCCACGAGATTTTATTCTATTTTTCAAATTTAAAGTATTTAAAATGGATTAAAAATCATGTCTATATCCCGAGTTCCCATCCCCTGTTGTTTTATATAAGAATATTCGAGAAAGTTAAGGGGAGATCACTCCCGGAAATTTGAGTCCGCCCCCCCCCCCCCCAAGTGCACCCACGGATAAAAAAGTCTGGAAGAAACACTGATGGTGTATCATTATCATCTTGCAGGGACGTAGCCACGTGACAATTACGTCATCAATTGGGTGACCCTACACATTGACGCCCCTAAGGACTCCACTTTTAATACTTTTATTGATATGCGGGGGGGGGGTGCCGCACGCGGCTCACCTCCCTAACTCCCCCTACCTACGTCACACGTCTTCAGCTGACGACCGCTATTTTTGGACCCCGAACTCCAGACTTCAGCTCTCCTATAAGCTGATTTTAGATCGATAAAACTGTTGAGTCCTAGGCTGATTGTTTAAATCTCCGATTATTGTCCAGTGAAATGCTGGCTGATTTCCCAATGATTGAGTTGATTGTCTGGCGGAATGATTGTCTGAAATAATACGACTTAATCCATACTTCTCACACCTTTGAATGGTTTTGTCTAGATTCAGAGATCACGAAGCTCACCATCCCCCCCCCCCCATAGAGCTCCCACACGAGACCCCCTACTTTAAGGCTTATGTGAACCTGATTTAGATTCACCTTTCTGTTCGAGTTTCCCCTTCTATGTAGTCGTCACGTCTCACTCACTGTTGTAGTCGTCACGTCTCACTCACTGTTGTAGTCGTCACGTCTCACTCACTGTTGTAGTCGTCACGTCTCACTCACTGTTGTAGTCGTCACGTCTCACTCACTGTTGTAGTCGTCACGTCTCACTCACTGTTGTAGTCGTCACGTCTCACTCACTGTTGTAGTCGTCACGTCTCACTCACTGTTGTAGTCGTCACGTCTCACTCACTGCTGTAGTCGTCACGTCTCACTCACTGTTGTCGTCGTGTAGTGGGTTCAAACAAGCGACACCAACGGCTGCTGGTCGTCATGTTGGTGCTCTTGTTTGTGTACACGTCGAGGGTCGAGTCCGATGAAAAAAACAACACGGCCATTGTTGTCGTCTGCCAAGACTAGGGAGGGAAAGCTAGGGCTAAATCTGTGCAGTATGTTCGTAGGGTCAGCTAAATCTGGACAGTCTGTTCGTTGGGTCAGCTAAATCTGGACAGTCTGTTCATAGGTCATCTAAATCTGGACAGTCTGTTCATATGTCAGCTAAATCTGGACAGTCTGTTCATTGGGTCAGCTAAATCTGGACAGTCTCTTCTTTGGGTCAGCTAAATCTGGACAGTCTCTTCATTGGGTCAGCTAAATCTGGACAGTCTGTTCACACGTCATCTAAATCTGGACAGTCTGTTCATTGGATCAGCTAAATCTGGACAGTATGTTCGTTGGGTCAGTTAAATCTGGGCAGTCTGTTCGTTGGGTCAGTTTAATATGGGCAGTCTGTTTGTTGGGTCAGCAGTGTTTGAAGTATCTAAACGCGTGTGTGTTTGTAGTACTAAATGTCGTGTGTGTTTGTAGTACTAAATGTTGTGTGTGTGTTTGTAGTGTTGTGTGTCCAGTGTGTGAGTGAAGTACTGAGTACTGTGTATTATTGCCTTATGTGATGCTTGTTTGTATGGTTTCAAACAAAAAGAAATTGATTTTCTACTTGGCTGAACTGTGCTTCACGTGAATTTATTTTGCCATTACAAATCATGGAATTTCTATGGTATTTTCTCTAACGTATCTTGTTGTTTCATGTCATTTTTTTATCTATCATAAAACGGTTATAAGATGTCTGAATTATTAGCAAATGTCTCCTCATGTTGTAAGTATGGGAAAATCTTATGGCTTGTATGGGTGTGTGTGTGTGTGTGTGTGTGTGTGTGTGTGTGTGTGTACATATATATTTTTTTTAAATACGATCGTCTCAATTTGTTTAACTTTTTACTGACCTTTAAACCTGAAACCACCCTTGACCTTCAGCCCTCACCACGTGACCTTGTTGACAGGTTGTGTTCCAAGATGGAGGATTCGGGCATCATCATGAGGACTGACGTCATGAGAACCGAGGCCCCCCACGTGACCTCATCTGTCAGCTACGTCACTCTCCAGGCTGACCTCGAGGCCCGACCGTTCGTGCTCCGATTGGAATTCTGCCGGAAGTTTTCACCCCCTCCCATCCCGCCCTGGTTGGTGGAGAGGCCGGAAAGATTACGTCACTTGGTGGCTAACTGCAGCAGTTGGAGGAGGTACACAGGTGGGGCACAATCATGGTACACCAATCATGGTACACAGGTGGGGCACAATCATGGTACACCAATCATGGTACACCAATCATGGTACACAGATGGGGCACAATCATGGTACACAGGTGGGGCACAATCATGGTACACAGATGGGGCACAATCATGGTACACCAATCATGGTACACCAATCATTGTACACCAATCATGGCACACCAAACATTGTACACCAATCATGGCACACCAAACATTGTACACCAATCATGGTTCACAGGTGGGGCACAATCATGGTACACAGGTGGGGCACAATCATGGTACACCAATCATTGTACACCAACCATTGTACACCAATCATGGTATACCAATCATGGTACACCAATCATCAAGCACCTATGGTTTATGACATTAGTTTCTTGATATCCCCAAACACAGCTGAGATCTGTGACTGTCTATGATATCTGTGTATGATATATGTGACTGTCTATGATATCTGTGTATGATATATGTGACTGTCTATGATATCTGTGTATGATATATGTGACTGTCTATGATATCTGTGTATGATATATGTGACTGTCTATGATATCTGTGTATGATATATGTGACTGTCTATGATATCTGTGTATGATATATGTGACTGTCTATGATATCTGTGTATGATATATGTGACTGTCTATGATATCTGTGTATGATATATGTGACTGTCTATGATATCTGTGTATGATATATGTGACTGTCTATGATATCTGTCTATGATATATGTGACTGTCTATGATATCTGTGTATGATATATGTGACTGTCTATGATATCTGTGTATGATATATGTGACTGTCTATGATATCTGTGTATGATATATGTGACTGTCTATGATATCTGTTACTGTTTTGTATTCTGTGTTTGAGTGAACTTTACGTATCCAACATTTGTCAGACGTTTGATGTACGTCTTTCTGATTGCTCACCAATACAACATTTGTCAGACGTTTGATGTATGTCTGTCTGTCACCAATACAACATTTGTCAGACGTTTGATGTATGTCTGTCTGTCACCAATACAACATTTGTCAGACGTTTGATGTATGTCTGCCTGATTGCTCACCAATACAACATTTGTCAGACGTTTGATGTATGTCTTTCTGATTGCTCACCAATACAACATTTGTCAGACGTTTGATGTATGTCTTTCTAATTGCTCACCAATACAACATTTGTCAGACGTTTGATGTATGTCTGTCTGATTGCTCACCAATACAACATTTGTCAGACGTTTGATGTATGTCTGCCTGATTGTTCACTAATACAACATTTGTCAGACGTTTGATGTATGTCTGTCTGATTGCTCACCAATACAACATTTGTCAGACGTTTGATGTATGTCTGCCTGATTGTTCACTAATACAACATTTGTCAGACGTTTGATGTATGTCTGTCTGATTGCTCCCTGTGACCTTGTTAGGGGGAATCCTGGGAAAACTAGCGAAAATGATTGGGCTACGGAATCACATGATGACGGTGTGTGTGTGGAGGGGGGGGGGTAGAGAGAAGCCCTCCACGGCTTATGAAAAAGTTGATTTTCTCATTTATCTAGCCATTAACCTGGTGCTGACCGAGTGAATGAAAATAAGGAGGGGAGGGAAGTCAAGTTTGAGCGAGCTGTGGCTGGGAGTTATCTTTTCTTGAAATTTACCCGGCTAGCTCTAGCTATAAGTTGATTACATTTCCTGGTGTTTGAACTTGATTTTGTTAACACTCACTTCTACATCTGTATGAATGGGTGTTAATTATTGTGTTAACACTCACTGCTACATCTGTATGAATGGGGGTTAATTATTGTGTTAACACTCACTGCTACATCTGTATGAATGGGCGTTAATTATTGTGTTAACACTCACAGCTACAGCTGTGTGAATGGGTGTTAATTATTGTGTTAACACTCACTGCTACAGCTGTGTGAATGGGTGTTAAATATGTTAATACTCACTGCTACAGCTGTATGAATGGGTGTTAAATATTTTGTTAACACTCACTGCTACAGCTGTATGAATGGGTGTTAAGTATGTTGTTGACCCCACTACAGTGTGTCTGTGTGTAGGCTCAATTAAAACTCGTTTGTCTTGTCATATTACTCAGTATCCAATATAATCCACCTCCCACACATTTCATTCAGTAAAAGTTTGTTTATACTGAACCATAACATTTGACTCTATCATTGTAGAGCTGCTGCATCTGTAGTTGTAGATGTGGGGATTTAGTATGCCCAGTTTTTAACAAATGGTATCTTTGTGTTTCCTGCCTGAATGTTTAGATCTGTGTTCGCTGGAGATAGCACCCGAGTACCCCCAAGCTCTGGCTGAACGCCCACGTGCAGGTAAACAAAAAATGTCACCTCTGTGAATGTAAATCCCTTGTCCCAGTCACGTGATTACAAATCTCAGAGCGAGGCGGAAGCTCACGAGAGACAGATAAAACTCGTGTAAGATGGCTTTTGAATCTTAGCGTCTTGTACAGCACGAGTAGCATCCCCTAGTTTGACCTCTGACCTAACACCTATATATAGCGGAGTAGAGCTGTTTACAACTAGAGGACTGAATTAAAATTGAGTTACCTGCCCTGAAATTCCAGAAATTGCGTTTGCCAATCAGTTTGGTGTCTATTTCTAGAAACAATTAACCCCACGACCAGGCGGATACAGTGCCAGTCTGTAGACTTGACACGTTCACGTGCCAACACGTTCCCGCACGCTCCATTGGGTTTCATTTAACCAGAGGAGCCGGGCTGCTTAGTTGACTAGACAGGTTGTTGACTGTTTCGTTGACTAGACAGTTTGTTGACTGTTTCATTAACCAGACAGGTTGTTGACTGCTTCGTTGACTAGACAGGTTGTTGACTGTTTCATTGACTATACAGGCTTTGACTGCATTGACTAGACAGTTTATTGACGGCTTCATTGACTACACAGGTTGTTGACTGCTTCATTGACTAGACAGTTTATTGACGGCTTCATTGACTAGACAGGTTGTTGACTGCTTCGTTGACTAGACAGGTTGTTGACTGTTTCATTGACTATACAGGCTTTGACTGCATTGACTAGACAGTTTATTGACGGCTTCATTGACTACACAGGTTGTTGACTGCTTCATTGACTAGACAGTTTATTGACGGCTTCATTGACTAGACAGGTTGTTGACTGCTTCATTGACTAGACAGTTTATTGACGGCTTCATTGACTAGACAGGTTGTTGACGGCTTCATTCACTAGACAGTTTGGCTGACCAGAGATGTTATTGACTGAATGACTAGACAGGTTGTTGACGCCGCAATACACTGGTGTCACATAGACCAAGGACTTCTGTACGGAGCACACCCACCTTATCATCAACTGATGTACACCCACCTCATCATCAACTCATGTACACCCACCTCATCATCAACTGATGTACACCCACGACATCAACTGATGTACACCCACCTCATCATCAACTCATGTACACCCACCTCATCATCAACTGATGTACACCCACCTCATCATCAACTGATGTACACCCACGACATCAACTGATGTACACCCACCTCATCATCAACTCATGTACACCCACCTCATCATCAACTCATGTACACCCACGACATCAACTGATGTACACCCACCTCATCATCAACTCATGTACACCCACCTCATCATCAACTCATGTACACCCACGTCATCATCAACTCATGTACACCCACGTCATCATCAACTGATGTACACCCACCTCATCATCAACTCATGTACACCCACGTCATCATCAACTCATGTACACCCACGTCATCATCAACTCATGTACACCCACCTCATCATCAACTCATGTACACCCACGTCATCATCAGCTGATGTACACCCACGTCATCATCATCAACTCATGTACACCCACGTCATCATCAACTTATGTACACCCACCTCATCATCAACTCATGTACACCCACGTCATCATCAACTCATGTACACCCACCTCATCATCAACTGATGTACACCCACGACATCATCAACTCATGTACACCCACGTCATCATCAACTTATGTACACCCAGCTCATCATCAACTCATGTACACCCACGTCATCATCAACTCATGTACACCCACCTCATCATCAACTCATGTACACCCACCTCATCATCAACTCATGTACACCCACGTCATCATCAACTCATGTACACCCACGTCATCATCAACTCATGTACACCCACCTCATCATCAACTCATGTACACCCACCTCATCATCAACTCATGTACACCCACGTCATCATCAACTCATGTACACCCACGTCATCATCAACTGATGTACACCCACCTCATCATCAACTCATGTACACCCACCTCATCATCAACTGATGTACACCCACCTCATCATCAACTCATGTACACCCACATCATCATCAACTGATGTACACCCACCTCATCATCAACTCATGTACATCCACCTCATCATCAACTCATGTACACCCACCTCATCATCAACTCATGTACACCCACCTCATCATCAACTGATGTACACCCACCATCACAAATTGAAACACGCAGGTGTTACTGATCACACGGACAGCTGTTTCTTATCTTAGCAATCTTGGGCTATTTATAGTAACATTTATCCTCTCAAAACTACCTGAGGCAAATATTTTCCCGCCAAATGGTTGAACAAAGTTTTCAGTTGTAATTATCTGGAACTTTTTGACTTGTTATACTTTTGTCATGTGACCTTACAAAATATTCGACCTCCTCAGCACCAGTTATCATACAATGGATCCCTCTAATCGTCGCTCTCTTCATCGCTACTTTCATCATCGTGGCCGTAACAATCCTCTACCGGTTGTACAAGTCAAACAGGTAACAACGTTGTCATCTGTAGCTGTGTCATGTCACTGTCACGTGGGACATGTCACTGCCACATGGGTAATTTCTCTGTTATCTGGGTCATGTCACTGTCACTTGGGTCATGTGACTGTCACGTGGGTCACGTCAAGGTCACGTGGGTCACGTCACTGTCACGTGGGTCACGTCACTGTCACGTGGGTCATGTCACTGTCACATGGGTCATGTCACTAATATATAGGTCAAGCCACTACAACTGGATATGTCACTACCACTCCAATGATGTCACCCTCTGCAAATATCTGTACCACCCCAACAATATCTGTACCACCCCAACAATATTTGTACCACCCCTCCAATATCTGGGCCACCCCTTAGATATCTGTCACCCCTCAGCTATCTGTAGTCTCCCAATCTTCAATTATCTTCTCCAACCTAAAAACGTTTCCATTCGTATTGAGTCTAGTGACATCATAGGGAACCTTTGTCTTGGATTTAAAGCAGTAAAACTCCAGAAGTTTGGTACCAACTCTTAAACGTGTTAAAAACTATAAATAATTACCATTAGCTTTATTTGTTTTGAAGTACATCCCAAAAACTGACTAGTTCATCCCAAAAACTGACTAGATTATCCCAAAAACTGACTAGTTCATCCCAAAAACTGACTAGTTCATCCCAAAAACTGACTTATCAATGTGTGGTGTGTTTCAGGATGAAGTGTGGCTTCTGTACCGACTACAAGAACTACAGTACGCCCACGAGGTCCATGGTTTCCAGCGTTACCATAGAAACACAGCTCTCCATTTGTGCCTTAGAGGACGAATCTTTGCTGGCTCTTCGACCGTCGCATTTGATTTATGAAGACCAAACGCAAAGTAGGGGACATAATCAAATCAAATTATCGGCCAGCCCGCCCGCTGTTCAACGTAGCCCGCTGTATTCACGGGAGGTCATTCTTCATCCCGCACGTCTAGCAGACGCCGAAGTCCAGTCCCGGATGTACATCACAGATTTGTCCGTCTGCGATTATTATTCCAGTCACTCGTTACCAACAGACGCTGACGCGTTAGGACCCAAAGTGCATCAATCAAGTATTTTGAAACTTGAAAATAATGAAAACAGAGACAGCAGACTCCCAGAGATAGTCTCCCTTCCTGCTGGTAGTGACCAGTTAACTCCCCTCAGTGAGTGCAGCCGACCGCTGTTTGCGGAAAACAAACAAATGGGCGTGTTTCAGCGTAGCAGACGAAAGGTTCGTGGGATGGTTCAGAGCTGTCGCAAGGCGGGAGCCACGTTTGTACAAGATGTTTTCGGACACAGGCCAGCAGACGTGGACCGGCCAGTACCGTCTGCCGCTGTGTCCAAACGTTTTTCGTCTCTCAGCGCGATAAGTAGGTCATTCCGTCACGTGAGACTACCAAAACATCGCTTGTTTAGGAGATCCCAAAGTTTGGAGTACGACATGCCACGTGACATGCACGTGACATCATTTCCGGGAAAATATGACGAGACAACCGATTCAGTTTTGCCAGTAACTGCTCAGGAGGAGGTAACTGCCAACTCCAGCTTAGATTTCCAGAACCCACACGGCGAAGAGAGTTCTAACGATTCTCCTGTGGACGTGAACCGTGCGCCTCAAACAATGGACAGTCGCCAGAAGTTTAGCTCACGACTTTCACTCAGTGGTAGGCATACAAAGTTGCAGGGACTAAACCTAAACAAAATGCCTTATGCTTTGAAAAAATTTGCCAAAAATACCAGCTGATTTTTTTTTTAAATATTGATACTCGAACTGTAAATTTTATTTTTAATGAGATAAAGGGTGTACACAATTATATTATTTGACCACTTGTAAACAAAATTCCAGCAGATCTGCCACATATCAAGCCCGAACAGGAGGTTTCCCCATGGAAACTTTATCAGGGTCTCATTCTTCAGACGTACAAGAGTGTGTAACTTATAAAGTTGTGCTGAGTATAGTCTCTCTAGCAAAGCTTGGCGTGCTAGTGGTATGACCAACCAGTACGGGGAGCACAAAGTTCCATACATGATTTAGGTGTGAAATCTATTTTTAACAGAGTATTTGAATAAAGCAGAAATATTAAAGCCAGTCTCTTCATGCTTGAGGTGTCTGAATGTTATGGGCTCTAAACATCTATAAATGTAACAACACTTGTCGTGGTGCTGTGGTCGATCACAGCTGTGGTGTACGAGCATATCCATACAAGGGGACCCAACCCTGGTGGTCATGACAAGTAACATTGTTAAATCAGGGGAAGCTTGTTATTTGTGTATGACACTAGCATGTTATTTGTGGACTGTGTAAATAGTAAATGTGACAGCACTAGCTGGTTATTTATGGACTGTGTAAATGTGACACTAGCACGTTATTTGTGAACTGTGTAAATGTTAGTTACAACAACCATGCCTGCAGCTCTTTTTAGTGACAAACAAGCTTTGACTATACTCAGTCTTGAACCTGGTGCTAACAGTCTAACCATACAAACTCACTAAACAATCTTGTACTGGTGCCAACAGTCTAACCATACAAACTCACTAAACAATCTTGTACTGGTGCTAACAGTCTCACCATACAAACTCACTAAACAATCTTGTACTGGTGCTAACAGTCTAACCATACAAACTCACTACACAACCTTGTACTGGTGTTAAGTCTAACCATACAAACTCACAACAGTCTAACCATACAAACTCCCTACACAATCTTGTACCTGGTGCTAACAGTCTAACCATACAAACTCACTAAACAATCTTGTACTGGTGCTAACAGCCTAACCATACAAACTCACTAAACAATCTTGTACTGGTGCTAACAGCCTAACCATACAAACTCACTAAACAATCTTGTACTGGTGCTAACAGTCTAACCATACAAACTCACTAAACAATATTGTACTGGTGCTAACAGTCTAACCATACAAACTCACTAAACAATCTTGTACTGGTGCTAACAGTCTAACCATACAAACTCACTACACAATCTTGTACTGGTGCTAACAGTCTAACCATACAAACTCACTAAACAATCTTGTACTGGTGCTAACAGTCTAACCATACAAACTCACTAAACAATCTTGTACTGGTGCTAACAGTCTAACCATACAAACTCACTAAACAATCTTGTACTGGTGCTAACAGTCTAACCATACAAACTCACTAAACAATCTTGTACTGGTGCTAACAGTCTAACCATACAAACTCACTAAACAATCTTGTACTGGTGCTAACAATCTAACCATACAAACTCACTACACAATCTTGTACTGGTGCTAACAATCTAACCATACAAACTCACTACACAATCTTGTACCTGGTGCTAACAGTCTAACCATACAAACTCACTACACAATCTTGTACCTGGTGCTAACAGTCTAACCATACAAACTCACTAAACAATCTTGTACTGGTGCTAACAGTCTAACCATACAAACTCACTAAACAATCTTGTACCTGGTGCTAACAGTCTAACCATACAAACTCACTAAACAATCTTGTACCTGGTGCTAACAATCTAACCATACAAACTCACTAAACAATCTTGTACTGGTGCTAACAGTCTAACCATACAAACTCACTAAACAATCTTGTACCTGGTGCTAACAGTCTAACCATACAAACTCACTACACAACCTTGTACTGGTGCTAACAGTCTAACCATACAAACTCACTAAACAATCTTGTACTGGTGCTAACAGTCTAACCATACAAACTCACTACACAATCTTGTACTGGTGCTAACAGTCTAACCATACAAACTCACTAAAAAAAAACATACAACTGTTTTGATTCAATTTATTTCATATGTAGACATTAGATGTGCAATTGAGATGCAGGCATCACAATTTTCATAGGACAGAAGCTTTCTAAAACCAATGACTGAGTTTTAAAAAAAAAGGTTTAAAACATTTCCCATCAGTGAGACAACCAAGGTGACATATGAGGTGACAACTTGTCTAGCCCAGTGACAGATGGTACACAGATGCCATCAGCTATGCCAGATGTCACTGGCTCATCTCCCCTGGTACCATCTTTTGTTCCCAATGGGATCAAGCTTGTCCAGTAAACAAAATGTAGACTAAAATCTTTTAAAAACTACAACAGGGCAGTAAGTGAGAGATAAAATTTGGACACATTTCTCCTAGAAGAAGCAAGTTACGTGTAGAAAACAAAGATAATTTACAATATCACTTTTTAAAAGTCTTGCACACAACATGCTCCACTGGTTACCTGTGGGCTGACATCAACCAGCCACTAGCACAAGGAGAATGCCAGATGGCGCTAGAGCTTAAGGGAAACTAACCCGTCTTATTTACAAACTTGGCCATTCAACTCAAACGTGAGTATTAAAGCAATCAGAAAACTGAAGAAACAAAGGATTTGTCTGAATGATCAGGTGAAGCCCACGGCAACAAGGAAATTGTCTGACCAATCATGTGGTCATCAACTTAAAATCATCACGAAAACAAAATGCCATCATCTCTAGGCCAAGTAAAAACTAATGTATATGTACAATCACATTTGACAACATATCTCATACGCAACATAATTAATTCAGATGAAAGCCCTTCTCTCTTGTGGCAGCTAATAATCTTTCCCTTAAAATTTCCTCCGATGAATATTCTGGTAGTTTCAGATAATGGACGCATGTGTTCACTGAAGGAAAACTGCCATCACTACCATCCACCTGTGAGAAATGTTAGACATTATATCAATCAGACCAATACAAATGGGCACTTTAATCTAGATATGGTGTGTGTAAAAACATAATTGGTGCAGCATACCTTTCGGACAACTAAAACCTAATGAGTGCAGCATACCTTTCTGACAACTAAAACCTAATGAGTGCAGCATACCTTTCTGACAACTAAAACCTAATGAGTATACCTTTCTGACAACTAAAACCTAATAAGTGCAGCATACCTTTCTGACAACTAAAACCTAATGAGTGCAGCATACCTTTCTGACAACTGTCAGTCTAGGGTGAAGGTTAGCCAGGCCACCAGGTGGTAAAGATGAGCATCCTGTAGTGAACTGAAGGAAAGCCTTGCGCTCATCAGGTGACAGGTGCGTCAACACGTTGACAAACCTTACAAAACCAGGGCTGGGGAGGGGTCAAACCAACAAGATATTTTAGAATGTAAACAGTTGGGAGCTGGTGTAGAACAGTTGGGAGCTGGTGTGGAATGTAAACAGTTGGGAGGTGGTGTAGAATGTAAACAGTTGGGAGCTGGTGTAGAATGTAAACAGTTGGGAGCTGGTGTAGAACAGTTGGGAGCTGGTGTGGAATGTAAACAGTTGGGAGGTGGTGTAGAATGTAAACAGTTGGGAGGTGGTGTAGAATGTAAACAGTTGGGAGCTGGTGTAGAACAGTTGGGAGCTGGTGTAGAATGTAAACAGTTGGGAGGTGGTGTAGAACAGTTGGGAGCTGGTGTAGAATGTAAACAGTTGGGAGGTGGTGTAGAATGTAAACAGTTAGGAGCTATGTACATGCCCTCACCTCTCTCTGGTGTAGCCCAACTTTGGCTCCGTGTAGTTCAAGATGTCCTCCTGGGTCCAGCAAGGAGCCTGATCACCACACAGGATACTGCCCAGCTCCATTGGACTGAAGGAATGAAGCTTGGCCATGGGAAACACTAGATTAAAGCCACCTGGTGATGACACAAGTATTTCACACCAGTTACACAAGAAACATCAAAACCCTGGGGGCAAAGGTTACAACACTGGGGGCAAAGGTTACACAAGAAACATTACAACCCTGGGGGCAAAGGTTACACAAGAAATGGGGAACCTACTTCTGAAAGCCTCCATCTGTCTCCTAATGCCGGAAACAAAACAAAAGTCCATCACCAGATCAATATACTCTTCTACATTGTCCATGGTGACTTCTTCAAGGCCACCTCCAGGTTTCAAGTGATGTGCATGGAACTTGTGTACTCTTGATGAGGGGTCAAACTCAAAGGTCAGCCTGATAAAATATATGAGGGGTCAAACTCAAAGGTCAGCCTGATAGAATATATGAGGGGTCAAACTCAAAGGTCAGCCTGATAAAATACATGAGGGGTCAAACTTAAAGGTCAGCCTGATAAAATATATGAGGGGTCAAACTCAAAGGTCAGCCTGATAAAATACATGAGGGGTCAAACTCAAAGGTCAGCCTGATAAAATATATGAGGGGTCAAACTCAAAGGTCAGCCTGATAAAATACATGAGGGGTCTAACTCAAAGGTCAGCCTGATAGAATATATGAGGGGTCAAACTCAAAGGTCAACCTGATAAAATACATGAGGGGTCAAACTCAAAGGTCAGCCTGATAAAATATATGAGGGGTCAAACTCAAAGGTCAGTCTGATAAAATACATGAGGGGTCAAACTCAAAGGTCAGTCTGATAACAAAATACAATGTGTAAACTGAATCTTACCCAAGGTCTTCCAGCCTTATGAAACTAGAGTCTCCTGGACTGGACAATGCTAGTTCAGCCAACTGGACATTCTTCTGGTCATCAGACAGACATCTGTCTTTGAGGATCCTCTGCTTTCTGGCTGCCAGGTCACTCAGTTGTTGCAAGAATGCAGCTCTGTGGGGGTTGATCAGCTCAAAGTCTTCTTCATTCAGGATCCCTGCATACCATGCTTGTAAGGATTTCAGCTGGGGAAACATTAAAGTTTACATGTTAGAAGGCTGGGTTTAGATTTTGCTGTGAGAATGGTGTGTAAAGAGTTTGACTTGAGCCATGAAAATAGTTTCCTTGTATTAGGCAGTGAGTACATGTTTAGTAGAAGCATGATATCACCTGTTTCTTGTCCTGATCAAATTTCATCTCCTTCTCTACTTCCTCTATACTTGCTATCAGGTCAGAGCTCTCACTGTGCCAGGATTCACCTAGCGTGCTGGGTGTACGTGTGCTATCTCCAAACTGCTGAGACAGGCTGTGGCCCACCTCCCCCATACACATCAGTTTGAGGAAAGGCCGGGACAGTGGCATGTCTATCAGACGGTTATCTTGAAGGCACTTAGCTAGTAGAATGCCTAGTTGAAGGATAAAAGCATTTCTTTAAGGATCCATTTCATAATTTATAAGTGGTAGAGAAAAGTCTTTTACTCATTAAATTTTCTATCCTCTAGTAGCTTACCCTATGGTCCTAATAAAACCAAGAAGAAACGACCTACCCATGAAATGAAACATTTTTTCTATCCTCTCAAGTTCTAGACTGTCCTGAGGGAAGGGTGCGGGGAAGAGTCCAGCAGATCTCTGGACATAGTAGCCAGGTGGTTTAGAGCCATGTCCAATGTCAACCTACAACAAAACAAAACGTTAGGGAGGATATCATAATAAGCAACAACAAAACTAAACATGATTACAGACCACAATAACCTACAACAAAACTAAACATGATTACAGACCACAATAACCTACAACAAACATCAGCGACAAGGTCAAGCATCCCATACATGACAATAGAGAAATGAATAGACTTGCCTCTCTCTCAGTGTGGTCTACATGATCATCATCACACAGCCAAAGTCCATGGGATTTCTTTTGTAATTCTGCAGCTACCAAGGCATAAAACTCTAAGGTTGGCCCTAAGCCAGTGCCTTCTTCTCCTTTAAATTCAATCTGTCAAACAAAGTTTTTTTTAGTGCTACGTTTTTACTTTATCGTATACAAGTATAGAGGAAGTATTTCTGGTAACTGGAAGTGGAACTTATTATACTTTCAATTTTTCAAAATTCTATAACTTGAGTATTATTTTGACTAGATAAAAACAAAATATCATAAAAGATCTAATATCTGCCTTCTGTCAAATTTTAAGTTATTTCCATTGACCAGAAGTAATACTTTCTAATTTCTCAAAAAACGCATATGAATTTATTAAGTACTAATATTCTGCACTATTAAACACACATTGTTCACTTGGTGCACAATTCTTTTTTCTATGAGATTCTATTCTATTTATAAAAGTTTAAGCAATTAAATATGGATTAAAAATCAGGTCTATATCCCGAGTTGCATTCCTCGTAGTATTATATAAGAATATTTGAGAAAGTTTCGGGGAGTATTAGCTTTCAGGACTACAATGAGAACACATCCACCAGTTACCTCAAGGACTGCTTTACGGGTACTGTGATGTTTCATCACTTGCATGGCCCACTCCAGCAGATTATCATTGCGCGGCACCACCACCCTCTCATGTTTCAGACGACCAACCCTGTACTCATGACTATCTTCTCTACGTGGCAGAGGACCTCGACTTCGCTCCATGTTAGCATCCCTCTTATTTTGCAACCAAACAATCGACCTGTAATCCAGAAAACTCAGTTACTTTTTAGTTCAATACTCTCTTCAAAAGACTAGGGAAATAGAGTATGTCCAAGTTACACCCATAATCCAACACAAATAATATGAACATAAGTTCAATAACAACATGCCACATATGAAAGCTCACGCTCCTACTATCTGAGCCTATCATAAACTATAGAGCAGGTCTAGGCTCCCACTGCTTGTTATCTTAATCTTCACTGAGTTTGTCTGATGTGATTGGTATGGTTAAAATACTACCACACAGAAATGGAATGTTTAAAACTTGCTCATTTAACTACACCATAGAGCTGAGCTTACCAGGTAGTTGCATGTGACAACACCTTTTTTTACAGACATTCTTATTTACAAACACCAGTTTGTAACCTGGTAGGTCAAAGTGCATTCAATATTTATTTTTATACTAGTGCCATTTCCAATGGGTCTTGTGAATTTCACTAAAATGTTAAGCCCATTTTACCATAAGTTTTAATGTATGAACAAATACTAACCACACATACTAAACAATGGGAATAGTTTTATTGTATGAACAAATATTAATGATCTCTACTATATATATATTAGAAACAACTATCTCAAAGACAAAACAAGGAAAAGAGTGACCTTGAGGTGCCAAAAGCTGTACAAGAGAAGTAAAGCTGTCTGGTCTCAAAGGGAAATAGCATTGGACACCAGCGGGTCAAGTGCTCACACCAATCTGGCAAAGCTCCACTGGCCAGTACTAGAGGATCCTGGGAACAGCAGTTCAAATCTTAGCATCACTTGTTTACATACTTGTACATTTTAAAATTAAGCACTTAAAATTATAAACATGTCACTACCTGGATTTGCTGGGTGATTTTATTGGTTAACTTTTTGCTGACAAACTCATCAGCCGGAATGTTTAAGTGAATTTCTTCACAATCTGAAAAAAGGGAAACCAGTCATTAGATCTCACTCCTTCACACAATTGGAGTCTACCAACATTACATAAACCAACAGGACAACATCAAAGCTCAAGTCACATAAGAAGTGCCTCATTATAAGGTTCTTAGTGTCACATGTGGAGTCTACCAACATTACATAAACCAACAGGACAACATCAAAGCTCAAGTCACATAAGAAGTGCCTCATTATAAGGTTCTTAGTGTCACATGTGGAGTCTACCAACTTTACATAAACCAACAGGACAACATCAAAGCTCAAGTCACATAAGAAGTACCTCATTATAAGGTTCTTAGTGTCACATGTGGAGTCTACCAACATTACAAGAATAAGTGTCTGCCACACCTATACATCAGCCAACATACAAATACTAGTGGTGATGGGGGAAGTGAGACAGAGTGGTAATATACATGGGTGAAGGGTAACGGCAGTTGAGGGCACTTCTAAATATTTTTATTTTGGGAAGTACTGTAATATTGGGGAGGGAGGGTACAGTTTAAACTGGTTAAGGGGAATAACATCATAAAGGTAATTGATAATGTGTTAAACTTGAGTAAAGCACACCATTTTTGCTGGATGGACTAGACTGCTCCATGATAGAGTACAATCTCTGCAGGAGCTGTAGCACATGGTCCACAGAACAACTTGGAGTTTCACTGCCCCGAGCTATATCAAAGTCAGCCAATGAAGCAACACCTGTCAATGACTAGAAAAGCAGGACAAGGTTAAACAATGACAGACAGTATTTCTAGAATCTAGGGCAATGTTTTACTTCAGGAGGCATTACCTTAGTGATAGAACCACATTCTTTTTCAGATCCTTCATCTTCCTTAGCTTCTCTGTATTGAACCCTGCTCATATAAAAAAATACAAAGTTAAACACTTGACTCTCCAGGCTTAAGGTTTTTACTTGCTGTATGGCAGGCAAAATGATCATGTATTTTTAATTTTAGTAATTACACTATCAAAATCTTTTTTAAATTTTTAACAGGTAATGGTAGAAAAGTGAAAACAATTTTTTTACCAACAAGACTGATTATTGCTCATTGCGCCAATTTGAATGTATAATATATTACCCTTATTAAATGGGTAGTTCTCTGAAAATATTAACACCTATTGGGCTACCTCTGGTATCTTCTAACTATAATTCTTACGTATAAGTGGGCTCCCAAATCCTTTTCATTCTTTCAGTTCTTCCTGTAGCGGAGCCTTTAGCCAGAAGCTCCTGCACAAACTTGAAAATGCAAGCAGAGCTGCTATTCAGGACAACCTCCTCATCATTCATCTTTGAAGCAATGAAATGTATATGACAATCAATGTTTATGGGACAAATTATATTGTTAAATTATCATCAGTGTTGCGGCAACCAATCTATAATAATAGATGTGCTATCCTGTCTGTCTTTCTGTCTCTACCCCTCGGACAAAATGGAATTTATATAGAAAAAATATAATTTATATAGAGAATATATTATTTATATAGAAAAAATATAATTTATATAGAAAAAATATAATCTATATAATAAATATAATTTAGATAGAGAATATATAATTTATATAGATAAAATATAATATATAGAAAATATATAACATATAGAAAATATATAATTTATATAGAAAAAATATAATTTATATAGAAAATATTTGATATATATAGAAAATATATACTTTTAAAAATGTCAGTCCCCCCTTCCCCCTGAGTATTTATTCCGCCCTTGGGAAAAATTGTAAGTGCCCCACCCACCCCTCATGAGGAAAAAAGTCTTAAAGCAGCTTTGCATGATTGAGGTTTAGCAGCCAAAACGGACACTGGTAAAAGTATATTTTTCTCTATAAATTCTATTTCATTCGATGAGGTGTTAGACGGAAAAGTAATCAATATGATATCAATAAGAGGATCAATGTGTATGTGATCCTTTAAGATGTCATTTAACCCCAGATAAAGAACATGTAAACAGCAACTCACCCCTGGCAGGCAGGGAGCCTTTAAAGTCAAACACAATTTTGGCTGAGCCACAAAGGTCTGACTGTCACTGCTTGTGTTTTCTTCTGTACCTGCAAGAGGTAAGTCGACAACAGTTAAATATGTGTAAGAAATAATAGGTTGGAATAGTTAAATATACTAAAGAAATAGGTTTTTGCTAATACACATAGAGCAGGTTTATAGCTGTTTACTGCGAGTTGGGGGCTATAGTAAAACATCAAGTCACCTGGTGGAGGAATGTCAAAATCCTGAGTTTGGTTAACGTTTGTACGACCTGGACGGGGGTCAAAGGCTGGGATCAGAGCAGAGAATTGACGTTTGAGTACAAATTCATCATCCCAGGTCCTCCTGTCTCTGGGCTCCATTTCTTCATCTTCCTACAATTTAAACAGGTCATACATTAAGGCACTGATAACATGGTACTTTTTAAATACACAACCAAAACATTAGCCCTAAAATTTGACTAGAACTAACTTAATGCATAGGTTTGAAACATTACTATTATTGTATTTCAAGTTATCTACTAACTGCAATGTATATCATACAAGACTTACCATCACATCATCATAATCCTCATCATCTTCATTTTCATCCTCATTTTCATCATCATCGTCATCAGGCTCAGGCAGTTCTTCATCGTCTTCCAACTCAGCAAGTAGGGTGTGGGCTCTATATGTCTCCAAAAATTCATTGTCACTTTCACTTGAAGTAGAGGTAACACTGCGAGTCAAGGCCTGGAAATAAACCACTAATTGGAGCAAGGTTCAAGGATAACAGGACAGGAAACAATTATGGCAGCTTAAATGATGACAGGACTGAAAACAATCAGCACAATACAGGCAGTTTAAATGATGACAGGACTGAAAACAATCAACACAATACAGGCAGTTTAAATGATGACAGGACTGAAAACAATCAACACAATTCAGGCAGCTTGAAGAACTAGGTTTGTGTATGGTTGTTGTATGGTTTGTGTATTGATTAGAGTCCAGGCCAAAATCTGGACATGTATTGCCTAATTAACTAAATTTTTATTATTTAAATTTCAGATTTGAATAAATAATGTTTACATAACCATATTTTAATGTGTTGAAATCTGCTGACAGAATGCAACAGGTGACCAAGGAGTGCGTATTTGTCCAACACAAAAGAAAATGTAAGAAAGAAGCTACTCAACGTCCTGAGTTGGAAGTGCTGAAGGTTGTAGATCAGAGAAACATGTTTTGATAAAACTTTACATGTGAGAGATTCACAAATACATCGGCAGATGACAACACTGTAGACTGAAACAACCAGTGATCTGACATGCTAGGTAGGAAGGCCATATGCTGAGTACTTACAAGCAAGTCAATAGAAGACTGGCACGTATGTTTCAGTCCAGTAGGTCTTTGTGATATATAGTTTAATCTTTCAACTTATTTATATTTGTGTCAATGTTTTCTTATTCCTTATAAGAATATACTTCAAAGTTTTTTTGCGACTAGGAAACGTTAGTAAAGTGCCATTGTCTAGTAGATCGAATGACAGTGGACTCAATATTTACCTGGCTAAGAGACATGACATTGGCCATGGTTTGTGTAGTTGTAAGCGTACTTGAAGTAGGCACATTTGAGGCTGTAAGACTAGGGTAGCTTTGGGCAGCACTTAGAAGATTATCTAGAGAAGGAAATGTATTTACATTTACACAATGGGATTCAGTTGTTTATTCAATAGACAGAAAGCAGGCTAAATGAATGCTGAACTTACTTGGTGAGTTAGCTAGAGCCAATCTAACTAAACTATTGGCATGTGTGTTGCGCACAATGTTGCTGCCATGAGGTGTGCTGATATTTCTACGTGCACCAAAGGAATCCAGCAAACTTGCTGTTGGGTCAAGGCTAGTGGGGAGGTTAGGTTCACTGGCGCTCATTGAGTTGGTGGGGGAACCGCGAGCTGAATCATCTGAACTTCCTGCCTTTCTGGCATCATTCTTTGCAGCTTTATCTCGAGAATCTCTTGTGTTTTGGAGATTTTGAACATGCTCCTGTTGGGAAAAATTAAAATGCTGACATTAAATTAAACTCAAAATAGCAAAGCTCAAATTATCAACAGTTACAACTATATGATCCATCTGTTCTAAAAAAAATACAAATACATCTATTGCTAAGGCATTTTAAAACAAATTTACTCTTAAATACATGTAATCATTCTTGATAATTATTTACTTTATTTTCATATAAGTGAGATGGGTAATGACATTAAAGTTCAGCAATAAATGATAAATCAATATCTCAACTCATCTGTGTCATAAAACCACCAGTGTGGCCTTTAGCTAAGCACTGATAGAACAGGTCAAGTATTTACCTTAACGCCACCTTCTGCACCTCGCAGGGTTTCAGACAAAGACCCAACATCAAGCCCCAAAGCAAGATCTGAAGCTAGATCTAAGACACCATAGTCTCCAAGACTGTCGTCATTGCCTCTGTGCACAACAACCATTGGCTCAGTCATGTTGCTGTTGATGGTGGCAGGGCCAGCTCTGATTCCACTAGGACCAGCCAGGATACCACTGCTAATGGCCAGGGTTGTGCTGTTTGGCAAGCTCACTTCTTCATCTGCATTATCAACTGTCACCATGACAATAGCTTCTGAGCTGGCAAGATTAACCATACTCTCAGCAACATTCTCTGCAGCCTAGGAAGATAGAGGTAATTAATGAGGAACATGTATTTTAAGTACATTAGCAAGGAGACTGTATGCTTGAAAACATGATACTTACAGCTTTAATGCTGGATGTGAGATTTTCTGCAGAAGAAGCTTGCTCTGTGCTAGCAACAGATGCTTTAGAATCCATGACATCACTAAGACTTGGAGTGGAACTACTCTTCCTACTAGTTAGCACACCAACCTGTGGCAACAGGACACACATCAATACCTAAACAATTATTACCTTCATTTTCTCTGGTTCAACAATAAAACATGGTACCATACACTCAATTTCTCTGGTTCAACAATAAAACATGGTACCATACACTCAATTTCTCTGGTTCAACAATAAAACATGGTACCATACACTCAATTTCTCTGGTTCAACAATAAAACATGGTACCATACACTCAATTTCTCTGGTTCAACAGTAAAACATGGTACCATACCCCCATTTTCTCTGGTACAACAATAAAACATGGTACCATTCCATCATTTTCTCTGGTTCAACAATACAAAACTAGAACATGGTGCCATACCTTCACTTTTTCTGAAGTGGCTGACAAGCCTAGCATGCTATTTTTATTCCTGCTGGATGTTGGTGTGGCTACGACTTCTGGTTTAGCAAATCTTAACTTGTCTGGATCATGTGATGGACCAATAGCTAGATCAAACTTGCCCTCTGCTCCCATGCGGTAAGAGTTTGATCCTCCAGCATCCCAGGTAACATCCACCCAACCTTAAAGAAACATTGATATTAGGGGAATGACAGGTGAGTGCTAGAGACATTCATTAAAACATGGCTGGTGACTGAGACAGGGGCAAGTAGTGTAGTAGACTAGTTACCATTCACTAAAACACAGGGCAAGTAGTGTAGTAGACTACAGTTACCATTCACTAAAACACAGGGTAAGTAGTGTACTAGAGTAGAGTTACCATTATGCAAATCGCCAGTCACTGTTCCCTCTCCTGGAGGGTTGCCATCTTGATCTCTCCACTTCCAGTCCATCCCTCTGACCACTCGAGCTCCGGGCATCATTTGTTTTAAAACATGAGTACGCAGTATCCTCCTCTGTCTGCGTAGGTTTGCCTCAGCTTCACGAGCAGCTTTACCTTTGAGAGAAATAAACAAATATGTCAACGTTACTTCTGTATTTGATAAAAATGATCAATTTACAAACTATTTAGCAAACAATACTTCAGACTAGTTTTATTGAACTGAATTTCAGACTAATATTTTCCTTCTAGCTGGTTTGTAGTATTGCATCAAAATATTTTTTTGCAAGAAGTAGCTTAGTGACTGCTGTTAAACAGAAAACTAACAGATTCTATAAATTCACAATGTTACCTATGTCATCGCAAACTCCAGTAACAGTGCCATATATTTCAAAGCCAGACAAAGAAACATAATGTGTCTGCCCACTTGCATTTTTGCCAGTCTGGTGAAGTCGGACGTGCCTCCAACCTTGTTTGTCATCACCAGGGGCCTCTATAGGCCAAGATGCTGTTGAGCTGTGTTCCAGAAATAATTTATTTCAATAGTTTTTTACATTGATTTTATTAATATGTGTTAAACCATAGTATAAAAAGATAAAACTGGTTGAACCTTTCCCTAGATTGAGAGTGAATGTTTTACCCAGGTTCATTAAGAGATGTATCAGCTTCATGCTTGTACAGAGTCTGCCATGTCACACCATCTTTAGACATCTGAAACTCCCAGTTGCGCAGGGCTGATCTGTTCATGCAAACACAATTTATTCAATTACAAGTACAACGTTAAAGTTTACTAAGTGTTTTAAAGCCATTTAAATGTCTGCTTACTTTCCATAGCCTCGAGCATGTCTGAGGGTGTAGCAGGTAGGAATTAACCATACACCCAAGTCAATAGCAAACCATGCTTTCCTGAAATAGAAGAGTTGAGGATAAATATTTTTATCAAAACAACTGTGATCAACATTTCATCCCATAAACACAGCATTCCTATTCTCTAATGAAAGTAAAGAAAATGAGAGCAAACCAAAACTTTTTTTTTTATTTTTAAAATGTCTTAAACAAGTAACAATATACAAAGAAAACGTAAGGCAATGTGGGTATACCTAAAACAAGGGGTACGGTGAGGTCAGGCAAAATAAACCTCTAATGGTGCCTTATTCCATAAAACAATGTTTAGAACAGAAAACTTGGAGGAATGGAGTACAGAAAAGTAACCTACTTATCATCATTAGTATGACAATTGAGAGCAGCAGTGTCTCTACTAAGGATGTCTTCCAGTTTCCCATATGGTAAGCTTCGTCCTTCTGATGATGTTACAACAACCAAGCCATACTGTCCAGGGTTTACCCATTCATAAGAAGTCCTGTTCAATTCATAAATATACACACATTACTACTCAATAGAGGCTAATATTTTTTCCTTGGCTTATTTGGAGTGACAATCATTGACTTACCTCCCGTTAGTTCCAATCCAATAGAGTAATCCATTTTCATCAAAATCATTTTGGTGTGCAAAAGTGATTGTGGTGCCAGGTTCCTTCAGTTTTTTAACAAAATTGAAAGTCTGGCGGTCAAAATCGTACCACTGTTTGGCAACCTGAGCAAGTGAACAAAACATGATTAGAGGAGATCCTACAATAAAGCAAACACTAAGCTGAACTTATGACAAAGAAAGCTGACCATTTTGAGCAAATATCTCTCCAGATCAGCAACTGTAGTAAGAGGTTCCATTTTCAAACATCTGTCTGTTCTATCAATCAAAGTATTCTCTCCTGGTGCTTTTTCTAGCCTCAAACGCAATCTCCTTGTCAGAATCTGTAGAAATGATCAAATTCTTTGATAGAGTAACAGCCTTAGAGTGAGATAAATGCCTTGAATGAATTGAAGCAACTTCCTTACCTGTAATCCATACCCAGATCCAGGCAAATCATAAGAAAAGACTGGAAGTTTTTCAATGGCCTCTAATGCTGAGATCAGCTTTCTAGTCAGCTGAACAGCGGGTGTCACTCCTCTGTTGACAAATGTTCACTTTTTTCAGTATACCTCAACATTGTTATTACATTAGAGCACAGTTTTAACTAACATATTGAATGCTTCAAAAAAATGTAATGCTACCTCATGCTGGCAAGAGAATGTTCCTCAAATTCTTCAAGAATTTCTTATAATATTGCATATGGTTTAAACAAGCAAAAAACTTTTCTACATCAATACAAAAGCTTATATTATTTCAATATTAAAAAGCTGTTTTACTATTTGTAAGTATCTTTTATAACTTTTGCAATGTCTTTACTTACCCTTCCTCTGTTATACTGAAAATAGATAAATTTAAGATCAAATCCAAATCTAGTTTTGTAAAAGAAAATTATTTTGTAACAGAAAAATAAATTTTTAAAAATCTTAAATGAGTGACATTTATGTTAAAATTGTTCTCTCTCAAGTCCAAAAAAATGAGACGATTTACTAGCACTTGGAAAAATGGTATTTAATTTTAAATGTTCTTACTTTTCTCTTTCATGATCATGGAAAACACTCTTGAATATATGGATACGACTTCTCATCTGCTTCTTAGACTCTTTAGATGAACATTCATCAGAGGACTGAAAGGTGACATAGAAAACTTACTTTTATAAATGAACGAATATATTTCTTTAAAAATTGGTTTTAAGCTACAAAAATAAATTGTTTAGATGGGACTAACAATGTTTTTATGCTCTAACCAAAACTACAGAAACACCTACAATTTCAGGCTGGCTAGATGACTATCTAATAAAGCATGAATAAATCAGTAGCAGATCTCCTATAAGTAGTTCCATTCTATGTATTTACAATATGAGTTAGTTTTTAAAATATTTTGGGAAGAGACTTACTATGCTGAGAATACTAAGGAGAGTTTGTACTAGTCCACTGTTATACAGTTCAAAAGAAGAAATTGTGTGTTCATCTTTCAATAGAACTACCAAGTCTTCTAAGGCACTGCACATCTCTTGACACCATGAAACCCCATCACTTGAAGGCTGAAAGTTTAATTCAGGTCTTTAGTTTACTATACTCATTTCAAAAACCCAACAAGGATGGATGAATGGGCAGCTAAACTCTTACCTTGATCTGGCTCAACTGACGTGCAAAAGCAGATTCAAGTTGTTGTACAATGGAACATAGTTTGGACACAACACCCCTTGGTTTAGCCTCAGCAGCTCTAAAATGTTCTTCATACAGTTCTCTAGCAGTTACACGAACCTGCAATTACAATCAAGCACAACATTCTTCAGAAAAAAAAATCAGACCACAAGTGAGATTTCACATGCAGTTCTTAACAAGTTATATTTTTTCCCACAAATATAGAGAAAAGTATCTTACCTTATCACGCATTGCATTTTTACACTTGAGCTTACGGCTTTTCTTGCCACCCCAACCAACAGCAAACTCTTGACCAAGTGTTGTTTCAGCAGTAAATGAATGTTTTGTGCCACGGTTGGATTCAAACACAAAGCCCATTAGGTCTTCACGGAGTATTGTAGCCTAAACAGACATTTTTAAATAAGCTGGGGTTATGTGGTTTTATTTAATTAACAGCAACTAAATATAACTCCCAACTTTAAATTACCTGCTGTCCATCTGTATTCTGGATTTGCAGCTCTCCGTCCTTTTTACAGGTTAGAGTCCAGTTACCAACAACCAATCTAGTAGGTCCAGACTTTGATAGGATAGGCTGACTAGGTGTACCTACTTTGATTTGGCTGCGAGCCCGTTGCAGCTTGTCTAAAAATTCACCTCTGTTTTCTGAAATGTTAATATCAATCATGAGTTTTTTTTAACTCAATTGTCACTAAAAACAAACAAGCACTGAAGTTATCATTCTAAAAAAATATTTCAAGAAATTAAATGTGACTTTTAAATACTACAAAGTGAGAAAATTAGAAATTCATTACCAGAACTGTCAGAGCCCCCTTCTGGACTTCCGCTGGAATACATAGTGGCAAGCTTTCCATCTAGGATGAACCTGAACCAACCATTACTGCCATTACTAAGCTCTAATGCTGTGCCTTCACTCCATAAATACAAACAATCTCTGCCACGAACAATGTACCAATCTTTCCAGTGATATGGCCGGCCTGGTACAATTTCTGTGGCATCTGATAAGTTCACTTCATCTTCATCCTATGGACATTACAAGTTTTCTTTTACAATTCATAAAATTAATTGGGGATGAAGCAAACTATTTAATAGGGTAAAAATTACATAGGATCCAAACCACTATGACAATGTTTCACCAGTTAAAGACAGAGGAAATGGTCACCTTGTCTTCTTTAGCTTTAGCACCTTCTTCATCTTGTAGAGGGGGTCCAGCAAGTGCCTGAACTCTAGAAAATAAGCCAAGTCTTGCAAAATGCTCTAGGAATACATCTTCACATTTTAGAATAAGATCCTGCATGATTTGCAAAACTATCATGTGACCATCATCATCTTCCTGGAAAATTTTTAAAAAAAATTTTATATTTGAAATCAAAACAACAAACATTTAGAACTATCACTACTGAAATTAAGATCTTAATAGTTTCACAATGATTTAGTAGAACCAATGTGTTTACCTCAACATCCAAAATGACAGACAAGACTTCAGTTAAAGAAGAAGCAAAATTTGGTGATGGAAATTCTGGGCCAGTCATCTCATTAAGTAGTTCAGGTTCTATGTAATGTAGCATCTTTCTAATTAAAGAAAGACTGGCTTTCCTATAGAAAACAAATGTTGCAAGAGCACAATCAATATTTTAATGAAATACTTAATTTTTTTGAAACAACAATCAAGAAATACCTTTTAGCACATTTCTCCAACTATTTAGGCCAGACATTCTTAACAATAAGTATGTATGTAGATGTAAAACAATTACCTGACAGAGGATAACATAGTCACATGAAACACTTCAGTAAAAACAGGTAACAAGTGTCGCACATAGACAGGGGCCACTTCTGGATCCCCCTTTGTTTCACTGGTATCCCCCTTTTCCACTTCCTGGTTGTCTTCCTTCTTCTCTGGGGTCTCCATGGGTGCAGGAGGAGGTAATGCAGTAGAAGGTCCAGGGACTACCACCAGCATGGTTGGGTCTCTGGAGACTGGAACCATGTACTCTCCTACAAAATGGAGGCACAAGATTAGTCTGGAGAAATAACAACATGGTGACAACATCAACATCAAGCAGTGATCACTGGCCCACCTGGAGACTGGAGTATTGCTATCACTTCTCTATGTCCTTCGTCTCCTCTTTCTCTTGCTTTGTCTAAAGGTGTCTTAGCATCTTCATCTCTTAAATCTGGGTTGGCACCATAGCGAAGTAGTGTCTAAAAAAAATAATCCATCATCGATTTTTATAGATAATTGAATAACTGACACCCCCCCCCCCCCCATTGTATAAATTGGTTAAAACCTAATATAACAAATATCTATTTAACAAACTTTATAAAAAGGTAAGTGTCCCCTTAGTGATAAAGCAGTACCAATGAGTACTAAAACTAAAACAGTTAATTATTAAAAGAATAGATGTCACAGTCAAGTTTAAATGTTTTAAGAAGAAATTTTTTTTCTCTTGCTACTTTATGGTTAATTCCTTTGTTAATTGTGTTTGTTTTTTTACTATGTGAACACAATTACTGTGTCTTTCCTACACGACATTAGTTAAAATACCAAAGAAGTACCAATAATACTTTTTATTGTTCCTACATGTCTTAAATTAAAAGTAATCATTTCTATTTAGACTACTGTAAAATCTAAAATGCTCCTACTTTAACTATTTGTGGCCGACCAAAACAAGCAGCATAGTGTAAAGATGATGATCTGAGGCCTCTGTTGACATCAGCACCTCTTTCACACAAAAATTCAACCTGCAAATCAATGTTTATGCGCTTTATCTCTTGTCCTAAATCTATAAACTTTTTCTTCTTCTTCTTTGTTCATAATTGTAATGTTGGGTGGGATTTCCTTCATCACAATTGTTATGTATCAACTTGTTACACAGTGTATAGGTTGTTGACTCTGATTCCAAAAGCAAGCTTCTCAAGGTTTTTTGGAGGTTTTTTCCCTAGATTAGTTGCTATCCCCCAGATATCAGCCTCATCAGCTTGGGGGGTTTGAACTCTGGAAGTTTCAGTTTAGCAGCCATGAACTTTACAGATCAAACCACATACAACCCCCTAAACTTGACTGATTTTTAAGCCAGCTAGTTCTATTAAGGTATGAATTTTACAGGTAAAGCTTTTTCTAATTACAAAACACTTCTTTTTACAACATTAATCCTACAATAAGAAAACAAAAAGACCTATTTTCAATAACATCTTCACTGGAAATGAGAATATTAGTTCAAATTTAATTATAGTTTACCATTTCTTGAGTTCCAAAAGCTGAAGCCCAATTTAGTAGTGTTTGTCCAACATCATCCATGAAGTTTACTTCAAACCCTATTAAAAAAAGTTAAAATAAAATAAATCTTTTCATCACTCGGTATCTGCTGACAAGGATTTTAAATGACAATGAACAGAAGACTACCTACCATTGTCTACTGCATCAATCAGAGCATCTGTGTCCTTACTGCGGATGCAATCAATAAGCTGTCTGTGTGACCTGTCACTGGAACTGTCAGTCCGGCGTAGACCTGGTAGTCGGCTTGTGATTGTGGCAACACCCGACTTTGGCAGAGCCTGGCGTCCTTCAAATAAAAGCACCAGGAGCAGGTCTACAAATCTCATCGTGTCAAGACAGCACCTAAGAGATTTTTAAAAACTCATAAACTCAATGCCAGAGAATAAAAACAGGTTAATAACGATTAAGTAAAGGATTCTATTACCTTTCATCTCCCCGCAGTCCACATTCAATGGATTCTGGCAAGTTAGAGCGCAACAAGGCATGTGTAATGCCTGGAGATCCCCTACACAATGTGGATAATAAGCTAATCACTGTTGAAACACTGGAGTTAGCTTTGCCATCAGCAGCAGTTTTACCAGGGGTGGAGGTTGTAGACTGGTTATGAGTACCCTCTCCAACACGCTGTAGTCTAGACAGGAGATCCTGTATGAGCCCATGTCTTGCAAGTGGAGCAGGATCCAATGATCTGCGTGTGTATCTGTCTGCTAGAGAGGCAAAACAACGTAAAGCACCATCCGCAACCTGGAAAAAAATGAAAGGTTTTACTTGTTAAACTTCATTCAATAAGAGATTCACCTTCTTTTTATCAATCAGTTAACTATAGGAAAAACTTTTTCAAAGTTCTGAATACATTTGATACATTTGTAAATGTATCATGTTTCACAGTTTCCATAAAAAAAAAAACATCTATGAATAAGCTATTACTGCTATAATACTTTTAAAATTAAATTTTACATTAAATCTAGTTAATATATTTTAATTTAAAGAATTTATCAAAACATGTTACAGCTAACAGATTCTAATTTTATACATACAACATTCTAGAGATGCTAAGAAAAACATTAAAATTGATTAAAATTCTTACAAAAGAATCATCGTGGTCAAGCAGTGTTGACAAGGACTCTATGCATGTCTCCAATGAAGCATCTTGAGGTTCCATCTTGCCACAAAGTCTTGACACAACAGTCATAGAGGAATGAAGAGTGTCTTTATGGACCTAGAAAGAAATCAAACTACCTGATATCAGGCTAAAGCAAAAACAAAGGAGGTGAGTGCAAATGTGTTTCTTAATGTCAGCAACACTGTCATAATGTGTGTCCAAATGTTACAATTTACTTTTTTATGACATTGTAAACATTTTCTGTACCTGTGAACCATGCTCTCTGATAAATGTCAACACACAGTTAAGACCTCCTGCTTCAAACACTGCACCAGATTCTCTAGTGCAAATCAATTCCAATACCTGCAAAACAAAACAAACCAATGCTTACCCCTTACAGTACTAGGTTTAGTTGCATGTGTTAAATAGTGACTCACTTAAGTAATAAGTACTCACTTTAATACATTGCTCTGCCAGGTCCTTACTAGTTCGAGAAGACATTTCAGCTACAACAAGACGGTTGCAAAGTGCTTTAATTGCACCTTCAACAGCAACTATTCTTCTAGTGCATTCAGCAGAAACATCAAGATAATAGGTAATGGCACGTGCTGTTACTTCGAGAACATTATCAGGCGCACATTCATCCAAAAATATACGACACAAGGCTGGCAAAAATGTCCGAGGAGGACAGCTGTAAATTGTAATACATAAAGTTAATAAATAAATGTATTTTAGGCATGCAACTCTCATATTTGTCATTAGCTCAAAATTATTATATTTGCTACCTCAAAGTTCGTACATAATGACTAGTAATTGTTTATTAATATCAGATTTTAATAAATTACTGATAACTTTTTGTAGCACCCTTCCCTGGCTTTCCACCAATTATGTAGTTTGCTAAATTGTTCATAAAATTAATTAACTAGGATCTTTTCTCTTGTCTGCTTGTAGTATTGAAATATACTGGGCCTACATCTACTAAATAAATATTTAGAGTTGACCCTTTGAATCCTGGACAGATCGTCCCCCTGGCGTGGCCTTAACCAACCAAATATAAACTAAAAACAATAATATAAACAATCTCCTTTCAGTCGGTCAGGCCACATACCATGCACACACAGTGTAGTGTTGTGTGTCATGACTTACTTCACCAAAACAATCTCATGTTCAGATCCCGGACTTGAGTCTATAATGGTATCTGACTCACGTTAGGCAAACAATTGCGGCTGGGCATATTATTATTATAATTATATCCTTGTTGTATGTAGAGAAGTCATCACTGAAACAGATGAACTCTACATCATTTGCCCAGTGTGTCTTCTTGGGCACAAATGGGAGAAGATGATCTGGTACTACTAGGGCAACTAGGGGTATGGGTATGCAGGCAGACAGTTTGAAAGTACTTTCTACTTTTGGTTAAGTTTAGAGTTAAGGACTTAACGATAACTATACACTACAGTTAATACTTAGATCTAGATCTAGTCTAGGCCTTGTCTAAATTCTAAAAAATCAAATGTTGCAAGCAGAGGGAGGAGTGAAGTGAAGAGTTGAAAATTTCACAAAAATGTTGCTTTACCTTTCAAAGCATCTATCCACATTGTCTGACATAAGAAGAAGCATACATAGCTGTTCTAATGCAATTAGTTGCATGTCTCTTTCATCCCCTTGGCCCATTTGGAGCCACTCCAGCAGAGTCTCTGGGTCAACGTCAGCCATTTTCTTTGTTTTGATTATGTTTGGTATTGCGATGTAATTTATTCTTCTCTCGCAATAGATAAAATGTATTTATTTCTTCAGATAGTCGTTATAACAAAGAAGTATGATTAAACACGTGCTTTAACTCAGTTGTAAGCAATAAAATGAAAATACCGTTTCTATAACAAACTCGTCAAGTTATATCAATTGCCTCGTAATGTACTTTAACATCGATCAGTCACAAAACATCTCACGATAAGTTCATGACGCAGGTCAAGGAAGAATAATAAATAACCAGCGAAAATAGAGAAAAAAAATAATTAAAGAAGCTGTTTAGCTCCTAGAAACTAGGATAGATGATGTCACCCTAAGATATCACATGTTTTATATGTGAGACTACTTTCACTAACAAAAAGTTAATCTGTGAAAACATTTAGACCAAAGGGTCTGTACGGTATACGTCTCTGTTGTCTGTCATTCCTTGCAGCTGTGCCTCGTTTTCGTTATCGCATAACCTTTATAGCAACGATTGGTTCCGGGGTTTCCCTACTGACGAACTCTTACGTTAGGCCTATGCCGAGGCCTAGCTAGGCTCTAGATAAATATCCAGATTCTAATCGCCAAAAGGCAATAGATCTCGACTAGATTTAAATAAAGTATAAACAAAAGATAATTTCTCTTATATGATTCATACAATAGCATATGCTCAGTAAAAAATAATTGATCGAGTAATGAACATTACGTACAAAATAACCTAACAATCCCCCCTAAAAAACTAAAATAAACGCATATTTATTTATGTTAATTTACTATTCATTTAATTAACAATAAATTTTGATATTAATTAGACACTCGCCCTCTGTCTATTCTAAAATTTATTATTTTAATTTATAGAAACCAATACTTAAGTCTTAAAGAAACAACACACCACTAAAGCGTAACGTTTCTATTTAATTTGATCGAATTATTATTTATAAAGTGAGCGAAGTATCATTATATTTTGACATAATCAACCATAGTCACTTTAAAAAACAACTAAAGATTATATTGGTTATGCTTTTTATTATAGATATCGTGAACATATTACTAATTCATGATTATCTACATTTATAACAATGAATGTATGTCTGAGGGTTTGTCTGTGGGCCTGGAGGTCGTTTAGACATTACTACAGGACTACAGCAATAACCCGATCGCTATGAAACTTTGGGAAGTTGTTGGGATTGCTCATAGGAAGATTTCCACGATTAAAAAAAACGTTTTGGCTCCCAAGGGCCCTGAAATTTAATGAAGGATTAAAGTTAAAGGTATCATTTTTAAATTGAAAGGAATTAATCAGGATAAGATTATTTGGGGGAAAAAATAACTTAGTTATTTCCCTTAGACTAAGTTCCAGCCAAGAAAGATTTTTAATGTAATATATCTTTAAGTAAATTTTGAATTATTGCTTCAAATCTATTCAGTTTCATAAATAACAAACTCAAAATAAATTATTTCAAGCCAAGCTTTAATATCAAATATTTCATGATGTTTCTAAACAATTAATGGAAACAAAGATGTACCAGGTATTCACAAATTAAAAGCATCCAGCACAGTTAAAGCAGATGGTTTGTTGTGTTACTTAGCTAATGAATACCCTACTCCAGTGAGGAATTAAACTGCACTCCAAACTGCTCTAGTGAAATTGAAATGACATTGTGGAAACTCATGTATTTAAAAAAAAATTAAATCTATCCAGTGGAGATTTAAGGATTTAAAAAAAAATATTATGCTCATTGTGTTTCAAACTGCATCCCTCAATATTCTTACATGATACATTGGTAGAGTCCTGTAGAGGAATTTGAGTTTTTTCAACATTCTGGAATGACACAAACAGTGTGGTTGAAATCTGGCAATCAGATCTTTTACTAACAGTACAATGCATTTGTCTAGAGGTTCTTATCTTTTTAATATCAATATAAATATAATAAATTGAAAAAATTAGCTGAACTTCACATTTGCTAACAACAAGGTAAGCTATACTACAGTATAATTAAAACAAAAAGGAGTTATTGTTTGCAGTTTTGGAAACAAACTTTTTTCATAAAAAACTTGTAAACCAACACAACACTAAATGATGGGCACATACAATGAAGTTAATTCAATCTAACAACTTGGGTATTTATGTGACTCTTGGATATACAGGGGGTTAAAACACTTGCACCATCAACAGCCCAGCGGCATCAAAATACAAGTTAATGCCAAAAAAATATAAAATTAAGTATCTGGACAAATATTGCCTACTTGCAAGGCAGAAATGAGTAAGCTGATGACCAGTTAATTTTAGCTGGGGCAGATCAAAGAAAATAGCATATACATGTTTTAAAACTTTGGACATTTTGATCATAAATCAAACATGGGATACACACTGTATGCTGTGTTGGACATGGGACACACACTGTATACTGTGTTGGACATGGGGGACACACATTGTATGCTGTGTTGGACATGAGACACACATTGTATACTGTGTTGGACATGGCACACACATTGTATACTGTGTTGGACATGGGGGACACATTGTATACTGTGTTGGACATGGGACAAACATTGTATACTGTTTTTGTTGTTAGCACAGCCAAACTATAACAAATGTCTAATTGACATCAAATGGTTCACTTAGACATAACCAAAATATTAAGATATTCAAATTAAATAGGTAAAAACAAAACAGTGGAATATAAAAATTGACTAGTTTTTTTTTAAATTATAAAAAATGAGCAATTCAAGAAAATTGTCATAATATTTGTAAAAAACATATTTTAAAAAAAAATTTCACACTCATTATTGACTTGACAACCTACCCTTGAATTTACCATAAACTCAAGAATATCGCTTTTAGCTCTCAAAAGTATGAGTCTAGACTGGTGACTGCCTTCTTGATAGGTTATAAAAAAAGACTGTATTAAAGAATATTTTGACAAAAAAATCTTTTTTTTTCTTGAGTCACTTTTGCTTTTTTTGTTGTTGTAAAAACATGTTATTCACATAGTAATTTGCAATGCTAGAGAAGAATATGAGCACTACTGAGTGGCTAATACTTGGGTACACTGAGTATTTATATGGGTATCATAAGCAACTAGTCACAGAAGACAGGCAACAATCTCATGACAGCAATAACAAGGTGTCAAATAACCTTAAAGAATTAAATAAAAACTCACAAAGTAACTAACTATGGTCTGTAAAGTTCATTTCAGCATGAGATGGAGTCAAATGTTTTGATTAGTTTTTTGTTTGAACATAATGGAATACAGGGATGTAATTGGTTAAAAACAGATTTGTTTTAAACTCATTAAGATCTTTCCAATAGCAAAGAAACAAAATATAAACCAAATCTTGTAACCTAAGGTTAACAATTAACTTAAGAAAAGAAAACAATTTGATAGCAGTGAAAAGTGTTCAGGTAAGAAGGGATAAACCAGCCCACAAGCAAGTGTTACAATAAACTCATGACTGATATACTCTAAGAAGGGGATAAACCAGCCCACAAGCAAGTGTTACAATAAACTCATGACTGATATACTCTAAGAAGGGGATAAACCAACCCACAAGCAAGTGTTACAATAAACTCATGACTGATATACTCTAAGAAGGGGATAAACCAACCCACAAGCAAGTGTTACAATATACTCATGACTGATATACTCTAAGAAGAGGATAAACCAACCCACAAGCAAGTGTTACAATAAACTCAGAATGACTGATATACTCTAAGAAGGGGATAAACCAACCCACAAGCAAGTGTTACAATAAACTCATGACTGATATACTCTAAGAAGGGGATAAACCAACCCACAAGCAAGTGTTACAATATACTCATGACTGATATACTCTAAGAAGAGGATAAACCAACCCACAAGCAAGTGTTACAATAAACTCATGACTGATATACTCTAAGAAGGGGATAAACCAACCCACAAGCAAGTGTTACAATAAACTCATGACTGATATACTCTAAGAAGGGGATAAACCAACCCACAAGCAAGTGTTACAATAAACTCATGACTGATATACTCTAAGAAGGGGATAAACCAACCCACAAGCAAGTGTTACAATAAACTCATGACTGATATACTCTAAGAAGGGGATAAACCAACCCACAAGCAAGTGTTACAATAAACTCATGACTGATATACTCTAAGAAGGGGATAAACCAACCCACAAGCAAGTGTTACAATAAACTCATGACTGATATACTCTAAGAAGGGGATAAACCAACCCACAAGCAAGTGTTACAATAAACTCATGACTGATATACTCTAAGAAGGGGATAAACCAACCCACAAGCAAGTGTTACAATAAACTCAGAACGACTGATATACTCTTTAGTGACAGTGGTAATAGAAAGTAAATCTAGACAATACTTTAGACTATGTTTGAGTTGCATAGCTATTTTATAAATTGAAAAATGTAGCTACACTCTAGATTGCATCTATGTAGTGTAGTTATAAAATAAATTTATAAAATTTAGTCTACATATTTTAAAGCTTGGTTAGTGTCAGTCACTTCTGTAAAGTTGGGACAAAGTGATGACTGTCCTGATGTTACATGTACAATTTTAAATTCCTAAGTATGAGATCATTTTTTAATAATTCTAATGTATATAAAATCTAGGCAGATATAGTGCACCTTTAAAAAAAACATTTTATATATTTAAAAACATCACATTTTATTTTACTGTCTCAATTTTTAAATGTTTTTTTAGTAAAATTGTACAATGAATAACAGGTTTTGATATTAAATTAAATTTTGTTTAAGCATTTTGAATCTTACTGAAATATTTATAATACTCCCAAAAATGTACTTTGCCTATACTGAAAGCAACTATCACAATAAATGAAAGCCTTTCTTGGCTGTATAATTTCTTGTAATACTGATGTCAGTTAGTGCTAAATCACTCAGGAAGGCCAGTGAAAAGAGTATCAGTTTGTACGCCAACAGATTTTTAAAAAAATCTTCAGCATAAAAAATGCAATAACACAATGATTGATTGTCACTTTCTTCAAAAGGTTGCATGCAGTCTCTGTGAAGAAGGCATTATTTTTTAACAGAAGCTTCAACAGAGAAACATATACACTATCTAATAACAGGATACATTTACAGCTTGTAAAAACTAAGAGATTCAATTAAACTAAAACAAATAAATAACTACTAGTATAGAGCTACCTTTTCAGACCTTGATCAGCCAGAAGAGCAGAAGAAAAAGGGTCCATCTGTCAATACCCAATTGCCTATACATTATCAATAATGCATAAGATTCAAACATTTGTCAAAATGCCCAGCCTATATACACTTCACAAAATCCTCACAGCACTTGAAGGTGTGCTTGATACCACTAGTTGCCTATACTTTCTTGAACACAGGGCGGGTACAGATCAGAGCTGGGTGGTGTCAGGAACATCCCACAGATGTGAGTCCAAGATCCTAAACCCTGGGTGGTGTCAGGAACATCCCACAAATGTGAGTCCAAGATCCTAAACCCTGGGTGGTGTCAGGAACATCCCACAGATGTGAGTCCAAGATCCTAAACCCTGGGTGGTGTCAGGAACATCCCACAGATGTGAGTCCAAGATCCTAAACCCTGGGTGGTGTCAGGAACATCCCACAGATGTGAGTCCAAGATCCTAAACCCTGGGTGGTGTCAGGAACATCCCACAGATGTGAGTCCAAGATCCTAAACCCTGGGTGGTGTCAGGAACATCCCACAGATGTGAGTCCAAGATCCTAAACCATGGGTGGTGTCAGGAACATCCCACAGATGTGAGTCCAAGATCCTAAACCATGGGTGGTGTCAGGAACATCCCACAGATGTGAGTCCAAGATCCTAAACCCTGGGTGGTGTCAGGAACATCCCACAGATGTGAGTCCAAGATCCTAAACCCTGGGTGGTGTCAGGAACACCCCACAGATGTGAGTCCAAGATCCTAAACCCTGGGTGGTGTCAGGAACATCCCACAGATCTGAGTCCAAGATCCTAAACCATGACTTTCAGGTTAGCAGTCATGCGTTCTATACCCTAGCCAGTCTGATACTTACTAGTATAGCGTTGTAAACAATTTTTAAGGAAATGTTACATTATAAATAAATAAACCTATAAATGTATTAAAATAAATCAGCTACAAACTCTGGTTAACAGTAACATAAAATAAACTAGCTCTGTATTTCCCACAGTAATGTTACTATGAACAGTTGAAAAATTCCACTTTTTTTACAGCAAAAGTCCAAACATTGCTAATACAAGTATAAACATCTTTCTAATAATTATAGAAAGATTAAATACATTTTGAAATGTATTTAAAATCATTTATAGTCATATTTTTAACAGACAAATATCACAGACATTTAATAAATGAATCACGAACTTTAAAAATTAAATAATTTCGGCATTTCATATCAAAATTGAACACACATAATTTTTTCGTCATATATAACTTAACCATTACAAATTTTTTTTAGAAATAAGACCTTAAAACATAAATATAACAACAACTACACAAATTTTTTAAGTACATACTTTAAAAAACCAATTGTTTGATTCATTAAACAAAAATAGTCCAAGATTTCAACATTTTCAGAAACTTGTTTTTATAAAATGGAGGAATGTAGAAATTAAGCAGTTCTAGAGCAAAAAATACATGACTAGTTTTAAATACAGTTAAGATACAGGTTCATTTATGAACAAGAAAACTATACAAGCACAATAAAGATAAGCATGAATGTCTTGTTTCAATACACTCCATGAAGAGAAAAAAAAAATCAATATATAATTTTATAAAATAATTTTAGACCATGAAATTATACTGAGTCTATGTACAATTTTCTTTTCTATTCCTGCCTGATTTTTTCAGGCACAAACCTGAGACTTAACTCATCTTCTAGTTTGTTTATCATTTTATGTTTAAAGACAAGGTTATTACCCCCATGAAGTTTAATAACAAGATAAAATTAAAAACAAAAAAAGATTTATTACTGCCCTGTATCTACTTATGATCAATTAAGCTTCATTCCAATCCATGAAGAGATTAATATTCCAATGTTTTTTGAACATCTTAAAAACAAGATCAAGATCACTGGCTACAACTAACCCTGTGAGTTTTTAGTCAAAGTTGAAAACTTATTTTGAAAGTTAGTATGGCTAGTGCATTGGCACAAACTTGTAATGAGTACAACACAAATATCAAGCACAGTTTATTAGTGGCAACTAGAACCTGAACACTACACTTCACCCAGCATATCAGCAGTTAATGAAGTTAAGACAAAATACTTGACTGTAGCAACCAGCTTAAAATTGTCACATGTAAGGTAAAGTTTTTAAAATATCTAGAGAAAAAGTACAAATTCAACTTTAAAACTCAGATATAGATCTAGAAATAAATAACTTACTTTTGTAAAATCTTGGAACAATGAGTAGAATACTATAGTCATTTAAAATGCTAAAGACATCTATATTTGTCTATGAAATGAGTGTAGAATATAGAATAACAAAATATTTTAAATTATGAGTAATTTATGGAAAATTACTTTTTTTTTCTAAACTAAAAGAATGATACATAAAGCCAATATAAAAATATTTAAAAATATTTGACATAAAAGATATATCTCCAGAAGATCAAATACAAAAAGGGTCTAAGATTATCAATAATGCAATGCATAAGATTCAAACATTTGTCAAAATGCCCAGCCTATCTACACTTCACAAAATCCTCACAGCACTTGAAGGTGTGCTTGATACCACTAGTTCTTAAATCATATTGCTGTTATGAAAGGTATACAAAACCCACTATGACACAGTTGAAGAAAAGTATACAAAAATGTTATACAGTGATTGCTTTACTGGAAAGAAAACATTGCTTTTTAAATGTTGTACGATTATTAAGTATACCTAAAATGCTTTTGCGTTGAAAAGAAAACCCTTAGAAATACTATTCTAAACAATAAGTAGAAGATTTGAATTTGTAGATAAAATGCCAGTATTGTTGAAGATGATGTATTACTGGGATACAAGCTCAGAACACTGCTAGCAAAATTATAATTGCTCTGCATTACCAGTCTCATCATTTGATCCATTAGATAGATGGATAAAGCTAATGGGATCACCTGTAAGCATGGTCTGTGACTGGGCCTCTGCTTGATCTCCTGCTGCACCCATTGGATCACTCAATCCTTCCATTGGTTGGTAGCCATTGGGACACCTAGCTTCCACAAACAGGAGTACACTGGAATAAATCAGCTCAAGTTTAGAATGGCTATCTAGACTTTTTTTTAAAGCAAACTATTTCAGCTTAAACAGCTCAGCCACCTTTTTGATATATTTTTATTAAATTTTTTAAAAGAGGCAATGCTTTTTTTTTTTTCATTTTTTCCTGCTTTATGTACTAAATACATTTAAAATTGAATTGCTCATTACCCTACTTAAAATTGTAAAATAATATGAAATGTATTATTATTTCCAGGAATACTTTTGTATTTAACATGCTTAAAAAAGTGGAAAAAAGCTGCAACAGGTCATACAAAGGGTTTCTGTAGAGCAACAGGTCTGTAGACCCTTTGATTAACTGTAAACAAACATTAGAATACTTACAGTAGAAGTATTACTGGTATTGTCAAAAACAGCATAGATACAATAAAAACAAATCCACTGTAGAAGGACATAGTAGATGCATAGATGACGGAAAACATGAAAGGTGCCAGGAAATAGGTGATACTTTCTCCACAATGCATCATGGCAAACACTGTTCCTGCACAACACAATATTATCCAATTTTAATCTATAATCATCTTCAACAAGTAAACATATCTATAGAAGAGGCTTGAAAATAAATCTGCTACACTAAAAAGGTACAAGAGAGATGCTAGAACTGCCTATTTACAGATGTTCTCATTTTAAAAGCATCTAAATACCTTGTTCTGAAGGGCTAACATTCCTGGCAACTTTAGCACGCAGAATTGGAAATGGAAATAGTTCAAAGGCTAAAAGAAGAATGGCTGTAAATAACAAAACACTGACTTAGAATAAATTAAAACAATAATTGTTCCATATGTTATTGTTAAACTTTTTACACTGCTAAACTTGTAATCAATAATAAAATTACAAACATTTTAATTAAATCTTGATACATAAATAATACAAATTGAAGTTAACTTAAAAGAAAAATAATTACCAAAGTACAAAATTGTTTCATTATGTATTACTGCAATCCACAGAGTTCCCAATGCCTTGGAAGCAAATCCTAGGAACACAATTTTGGTGTCAGAAAGAAATTTCTGGAAAATTGGAACACAGACACCAGTTGCAAGAGCTGCAACTGCCATAATAACAGCAAGAAACAAGCCTATTTTTGCCCAGGGACCTCCACCAGTTATTGGATTTTCCATAGCAAAAAGGTATTTTTGCTGGCTCAAATACAGCACTAATGTATTAATTTGCCCAATGTGAACAAACGCATATGCTTGAAACACCAGAATCGCCAGCCAAATTTTTGCAAGGGTGGAATTCCCAAAACATTTTAAATATTTTAGAAGTGGGCCAAATGTGTCACTGCAGCAATTGCTGGGCCTCTGTCTACGGACTGCAGGACTTGCTTGATTTGCCTGGCCCGAAACAGTTTCTTGCACCAAAAAAAAAGAAATCAATAATGAAATCATCCCACAAATTAAAGTAAACAAAAATGGCTTGCGAAACCCTGCATCTTTAACCCAAAAGCCAACCATAACATTACCAACTGCATAAGCACCGCCAATTAAAAACTCTTGAACTGCTAGGCGATTGAGTCTATTTTCTGGTTTGACATAATTGATAGCATAGAAGGACGAGCCGGCCAAGAAGGCTGTCATGCTCCCACTAAGACCCCTCAAGGCTGCCGCAAGGAAGAGTCCATCTATATTCCACTGAGTGTAGAGAATCATGATATAAATTAAAGAATGCAGGCAGCTTCCTAGTGCAGGTAACCAGAGCAGGATTTTGTGTCTTCCAGTTTTATCGCTGACAGCACCAAGAATGATAACAGAGACAATAGCTGGCAGGCCTTCAGCAATTTGCAGCCCAAGAACCACTAGAACACTCTCATGGTGGGCTTGGTCCCAAGCAGGATCTGAAAGACTAGTGTTTTCTTTCAAGTCACCAAAACCTGGAAAGGGAACTCCATGTTGACTGTATATTTGAGACTCCACATACTCTTGAAACAATGGCAGAGACATATGCCGAGAAAGAAAGAAAAAAAATAATGCTATCTCAACAAAATAATTTTGGACAATGTCAATGCACTTATAGATTTTTGAGACAATAATTGACTGAGGTTTTTGTATGGCCGCATTGTCATTTGAAGACATTGTTATGGCTAATAATGCGCAAATATTAGTTGTAATGGTTTCTACAAATATTATGCCAATCACTCATGTTTTGCTTTGAAACTAGTCCAGGCAAGCATCAGGTCAAGCTTTACTTGTTGCTCAAATCTCAATTAGATACCTTGATTACCTGAAACAGTAAGAACAAGTTTTTACTGAAGATACTCGATTGGCTGAATGTTTTAGTAAAAAGAGTTTTAAAACCGTTTGACTGTTCATGAAAGTTATTGCATTTAAATGAAAAAATTAGATTATATTGTTCTTTGTTTCAATTTTATAGAAATTCAATGTACTTGTTGTTACTAATATTTAAAATAATAAAAAAAACATTACAAGCCAAATAGTATGATTTTGTTTTGGTTGTTGCTACAGTTAAAATAAAACATGCTACTGTTCAAGTGTATACAAAAAATGATAGGGCATTACCAGGCATGCACTATGTACTAAGAAGCATGTAGTCTTCCTACAGATGGAAGAAGACCTTTGACCCAAAGAATACAAGCTCTGGTTTTTGTTTCACTTTCATTTTTTAGGTTCTTAACTGTGATGAAATACAATAATAATAAATAAGTAAGACATTTACGCAAGAGTTCTTGAAATTTTATAAAACTTTGTCCCACCAAAATTATATAATAAAATTCAATTTTTAGGTTGATAACCAGATGACAGCTGAGTATATATTATAGATCTAGTATTATTATCTATATATATAATTCTCTTCTGGGAGCCGCTAGAAAACAAGCTGCAAACGCGCTCCCTACCTCCCCACCCCTACATGGTTTTAGTGAGCTGTGTTCACTCTAAATGTTGACAAGCAGAGCCAACGATTTTAAACGTAGGAGAGGGGGGGGGGGGGGGGGGGGGGGAGGAAGGGGGGGGGGGGGGGGGGGTTTATGGTCCTTAACGAGCTACTTATAGTGTTTTAAAGAAATATTTACAGTGGCAGCGTTGGTACTGTCGAATTCACAAATTATGAATTACTGAAGAGTAGAAAAAACAACAACTAAATAGCGGCGTATGTTATGCCGCGGGCCGGCTCGTACTATATAAATATACTATATAGTATATAGGCCTACTCTATAGCAAATCTTGCTCGCAAACACTGCTGTTTAAAGTTGATTTTCTGGCATTTATTGATATATTAAAATTATATTTGACCATTGATTTTGGTTTATTATTCAATATTCAGTTATCTATAATATAATATTTAATAAATTAATATTTAACACAAATAGGCCTATATCACAATCTATATATATAATTCTCTTCTGGGAGACGTTAGAAAACAAGCTGCAAGCGCGCCTCGCAGTCCCCTCTCTTCCTCTCTATCACTATCACTACCACCCCCACCCCACCCCCACATGGTCTGGTGAGCGGTGGTTCACTCTAAATGTTTACAAATAGTAGAGCCCGGTTTAGTGACGGCTATTAGGGGCAGATAATTTAGTTTGAAACTATTTTAAACTTACAGGAGGTAACTAAGAGGAGGCTGCTTTCACGGGGGGGGGGTGTAGGGTAGGGGTTGGAGGAAGGGGGGGGGGGGTTAGTGTTTTAAAGCAAATATTTTCAGTGGCAGCATTGGTACTGTTTAATTCACAAACTATGAATTACTGAAAAGTAGAAAATAAAACAACTAAATAGCGGCGTATGATACGCCGCGGGTCGGCTTGTATATAATATTACAAAGTGACTACTCGGAAGAAGATTTTTCTCCCCAACGTCTCCACTTAGTCGGCAAAAGATAGCTCTGCGCATGCGCAGTGACCTATGACTAGGGTTAGGGCTAGAATGAGGGTTAGGGATAGGATTAGGTTAGGGTTAGGTATAGGGTTAGGGATAGGATTAGGGATAGGATTAGGGCTAGGGTTAGGGATAGGATTAGGGTTGGTGTTTGGGTTCTGCGGTTGTAAACACACGCATGCGCAGTACCATCGAAAAACATAGCCGCGATGGCAAGTCATAGTTTCTCTCCATTGCGCATGTGTATTGTAACGTTTTTACTGCTCTCAAAATGTGCTGTTCTATTGTAATATTCTTGCTTATATAAAATGTAACGTTCTTCTTCTCTTCTATTTCTCACTCTCAGTCACAGTCACAGACGATCAAGAATGAAGAATAAGCCGTCTTCTGCAAATCTTTATTTGACTATCTTTCTTGAGCGGGAATTGTCTGTGTAGCGCGCATCTAACAAGACTATAGCGCCGATACGTGTGCTGCATAAATTACTGGCTAGGGCCGTCGTTTCTCCATCCCCTCTAAGGCTAACGCACCGGCTTATATACCCCACTCGCGAGCGTCTCAGATGACACCTTGCTCTTGGCACGAATTCTAACGCTTACCTGTGAAAATTTCCCCCGCTTTTGTGCTAACCTTTCCCAATTAACCCTATATAAAAACTTAACGCGATCTCCTAAAATTCTAATAAGCTTATCCTCTGAAACCACAGACAATTCCCTTTACAATAATACAAATTACAATAAACATCAATAGGTTGTTCTTCAACAATAATACTTCAAACATGCAAATATTGTAAAAATATCATCAAATTAACCTAATTAAAGTAGATTTACATAATATCGGCTTGCTCCTAACTAACACTAAGATATTCTAATTAAAGATCAAGCTTGGCCTAATAGTTCTTCCAATTTTCATGCTATAATAACAACTATTTATTAAGATATGAATTTTTCTTCTTGCCCTACTAAGCACAATTGACTGATTTCTAACAAATTCACTACATTTGACCCTACCAAAGTTAAGAATTTTGTCCTCAAAATTGATTTAATTTATTAAAGGTTTTGTATATTCAACATCTTAAATCACATCTTCATAAATGTGATACATCATAAACATTCATTATAATTATCATAATGTAACATAATGTTCAAATTAAAAAAAACAACAACTAGGAACTGGCTCCATTGTAATATCGATTAACATGAAGTTATTATACAGTCTTGTTTTGCATTTGTAATGTCTACGTTCCTTCTGGTTAGATCTGTACATCTTATAATTTCAATGTTCCTGTGGTATGTTCACAGACCAAACCATGAGTATAATTGTAATGGTTCTAAAGCTTCTATATTGGTCCTAGCACAAAGCTAAACTGTATCTACTTACATTTCGTTATAATACATTCACATCCAGGAATGTAATGAAAAACACCCGATTTCAAAAATTCACTAGGTATCTTAATAATCCAGATCATTATTTAAGAATTCACACGATATTTAAGTAATTTAGAACACTATTTTAAGAATTTACACGGTATCCTAATAATCCAGAACACTATTTTAAGAATTCACACGGTATCTAAATAATCCAGAACACAGTCTATACTTATCAATTTAACAGGCTCTATTTTTGTTAATCCAACAGTCGACGAGGTCGTTTGATTTCTCGTCGGGGTCTTGTATTTCCCCTCGCGTCGTTGTGTGTAGTAACAGTTAGTTTTGGGCTTGTTTCACCAGCCCCGTGATCATTTCCTCTCTCCGACAGCTGACTCTCTGTGTCTTGACCTTCGTCGCCTGCCTCATCGTCCGTTGAGTAATCCGACAGTTGAGGTGAACCACCATCGTGATGAAGTTTGAGTTGTAAGTCAACGATCCATTTCGTCGGTTCCCGTTGGTGAAATGGTTTTAATTTGTCGTGGTGCACGACTTTTGTCTTTTTGTCCATGTTCTCTATCTCAAAGAGAAGGTTACTCAGTTTCCTTATGATGACGTATGGACCTTTCCAGTGTCTGGGAGCAAGCTTCCTACTCACGCCTACTTTCCTCGCCTCCTCCAGACACAACACAACATGTCCAACATTGTAGTTATTGGAGACAATGTTGAGGTCGTAGTATCTTTTGTTCCTCTCGTGTAGGCATCCTGTCTTCTCGACAGGTTGTTGCCTAACTTGACATCTCTCGCAACAGTTCACCCAGTTGGTGACCTCATGTTTCATTCTAAACCAAAAATAATATTCTTGTACCTTGGCTAATGTGTTTTGAATGTCAACATGTCTGGCGCCCTTGTTATTGTGACACTTGTCTAGAACCTTAGACATTAGGAGATGTGGCACTATCACCTTTAGTTCTGTCTTCCGTTCTTTTGTCACCCACTTCCAGCATAATATGCCATCTGCAAGTGTCAGTCTGTTAAAATTCAGCCAGTAATAGCGGAGTTCCCGGCCTTCTGCGGTTAACTCCCTCTGTTCAGGTCTCTGTTCGTTCTGCACCCAGGTAATACACTTCTTCAAAATATGATCACCATTTTGAGCCTTCTGAATTTCCTGCTGGGAAAACAGTAGACCCTTCCGCAGATAGAATCGATCATGTTTCTGGTCTGTAATAGAAGCTTTCAATATTGCGGCAACTGGTGCCACTCTATGTGTATTTTGTGTGCTTCTTGGAACTGCGTCGTTAAAGTTGTAGAAGTTGGACCGCCATCGATGTTCTTCTACTTTGAACATCTTTTCTCTGCCTCTGGTCTGTGTTGGGACTCTTCTACTATTGAGGTATAAGCCATTTTTAGCCGAAAATTGAAACTCATGCTTCATTAGGAAGTCCATCCCCAAGAAACCATCTTCCTCAATGTCAGCTATGACGGCTGTCCACTTTGTGACAACATTGCCAGCTCTCATATCTACTGTACATGTGCCTAGACAGTTTATTTTGTCACCCCCTGCAGATTGCATTGTGACCTTCCTGTCCATGGGTTGAAGTTTGTTTCTAATGGCTTGTGGTAACTTGTTGAAGGCTCTTGTGGACATGACAGTGACAGCAGCGCCCGTGTCTGCCAGAAACATCATATTGTGTCTTGCTACCGTTACAGTCACCACTACTGAACACCCAGGGGCAACATTACGGATTGAAATCTCTGTTGGCACGTCCACTTGCTTGTTGCTTGCCGCGGCTTTTACTTTCAGAAAGTTAAGGCCTAAAAGATTTTCATCATTGTTATCTGTACCGTTCTGTCGGATTTCATTTATTCTGGCTGTAGATTGGGTTGGCCGGGCTTGATAATTGTTTCTATTAGTTGACCGACGTTGGTTCATTTCTTGAAATCTACTATTTCTTGGGCAATTCCTAGCCAAATGTCTACCCCCACAAATATAGCATCCCGAGTCGCTGGGCCTACGTTGATTGCTTCTCACCATCTCTTGTAGTCTTTTCACCTCCTGCTGTAGACTATCTATCTGGCTCTGCTCCTGCACCGAACACATTTTTGTTTTTGTTGTGCTGTCTCTAGCACTGAGGTATTCGTCCAGAATGTTTCTGGCCTCATCTGTGCTAACTGGGCGCTGGGCGGCAATGATACCCGCGAGGTGAGGATCTTGTAGCCCCTTGAGAAAATAGCGCAGTGCAACTGTTGATTTAGTTGCTTGGTCAGCTGACGGGAAAGCCATGGCCGTCAGTCGTTTCACATCGGACGTATATTCAGCGGTTGTCTCCCTTGCTGACATCTTTCTATTTTCTAACTGGGTCAGATGTGTAGCGGTGCCCACCCTGGTGTCAAATCTCGCGCTCAGTGCTGCGACAAACGTTTCAAGCGTTGCTCGGTCAACTTGAGTGAGTTCAAGAAATGCAAAGTTGGCCGCACTCCCCTCCAAACAAGCTGGTAGATGCAGTAGCTGTCTATCTTCATCCCAGCTGTTAATGCGAGATATTGCTTGAAATTTGTTCCAAAACACTTGAAATGGTGCTGACCCGTCGTATTGTGGTAACGCCTGGTTCATACTTAATGGTCGCTCATCTTGTCTAGCGATTCTGAGTTCTTTAATCGTTTCTTGCAGGTTTCTTATTTGAGCCTGTAGTTCAATATCTGCCATTTTTCTCCTCTGTACTAACTGGCCTGCTTTCAGTCTCTCTGGTTGCGTGTTAAAGATCGTTTCTTTTCGCTGCCACCAAATGTAACGTTTTTACTGCTCTCAAAATGTGCTGTTCTATTGTAATATTCTTGCTTATATAAAATGTAACGTTCTTCTTCTCTTCTATTTCTCACTCTCAGTCACAGTCACAGACGATCAAGAATGAAGAATAAGCCGTCTTCTGCAAATCTTTATTTGACTATCTTTCTTGAGCGGGAATTGTCTGTGTAGCGCGCATCTAACAAGACTATAGCGCCGATACGTGTGCTGCATAAATTACTGGCTAGGGCCGTCGTTTCTCCATCCCCTCTAAGGCTAACGCACCGGCTTATATACCCCACTCGCGAGCGTCTCAGATGACACCTTGCTCTTGGCACGAATTCTAACGCTTACCTGTGAAAATTTCCCCCGCTTTTGTGCTAACCTTTCCCAATTAACCCTATATAAAAACTTAACGCGATCTCCTAAAATTCTAATAAGCTTATCCTCTGAAACCACAGACAATTCCCTTTACAATAATACAAATTACAATAAACATCAATAGGTTGTTCTTCAACAATAATACTTCAAACATGCAAATATTGTAAAAATATCATCAAATTAACCTAATTAAAGTAGATTTACATAATATCGGCTTGCTCCTAACTAACACTAAGATATTCTAATTAAAGATCAAGCTTGGCCTAATAGTTCTTCCAATTTTCATGCTATAATAACAACTATTTATTAAGATATGAATTTTTCTTCTTGCCCTACTAAGCACAATTGACTGATTTCTAACAAATTCACTACAGTATCTTATTCCAGCTAGCATCGGCCGTAATATTATAATCTACTTCTATTAAAGTTAGGGCCTATAATTAATATTAATTAATTAAAGCCTTAAAAAATAACAATGAGGCACCTTTTTCGCACATTACTTAAACTAAATTACTAGATCTACTAGCCTCGGCTGATTTTACTTTTTGTGCATCTAAAATATTCTAAAATGATAAATTACCCTAGATTCTAGATCTAGTTATTAGTAAGTAAGAGTACTCTTAGGGGTCATCCATAAATGACGTCACACTCGTAGGGGGGAGGGGGGTCCGTAATTTTGTGACGATGTGTGATGAGGGGGAGGGGGGGGGGGTCAGATGTTGCGACGTCACATTTTTGCATTATAAAAAAGCAATGTTAGAAAACGAATTTTAGACGTTATTTCGCGTTTTAGATAACTGTTTTAATAAATTGTAATAGTTTAGACAAGATTTTGGAAAAATATCGATGTTTTAAAAAAATTCAACTGCAATTTTGAGGGGGGTTGTAGGTTGAGGTGTGACGTCATTTTAGGGGGGGGGGGGGGTCTGACTTTGGTAAACCTCCATTTCAGCGTATTTTATTCTCCGTTGCTTGTTTACCTCCAGTTGAGCGTATTTTATTATAACAACCGAAACACACCAAAACATTAGGAAAACACGATTTATTTTTTGTATTGTATTTTTGTTTTAGCAAATGAATAAAAATGAATATTTAAAAAAACGACTTGTTTATTTGTATTGTACTTTCAAAAAAGGCATTTGTCTCATGGTGAAACTGATACACTGTTAATCATTCTGTTTTATATTTTTGTATTTATGCAATAAATGTACAAACTCTGTGTTTTTTAATTTGACAGTTTTGCTAAAACTGAAAAAAATATTTTACTATAGAGTTGTATGTTATTTAAATTCATAGTAAATCTACCATCCTTCCTTTTTTTGTATGAGTAAATTTCTGACTTTAAAAAAAAATTGATGTGGGGTCGTCCATAAATGACGTCACACTCGTAAGGGAGAGGGGGGGGGGGTCAGCAATTTTGTGACGGTGTGTGATGAGGGGGTGGGGGTTTCAGATGGTGTGACGTCATTTTAAGGGGGGTCTGACTTTTTGTGACGACGTGTAACGGAGGGGAGGGGGGAGGTAAAACTCGTAAAAAAAGCGTGTCGTCACAAAAAGCAAGACCCCCCCCCCCCCCCCTACGAGTGTAACGTCATTTATGGACGACCTCTAACATTATTTTTTTTTAAATGACAACGTGAGTTGTCACACTTTCTCTAACACTCCAAGCAATCCCTCACCAAATTCCACCCCCCCCCCCCTCGGCCCACTTTCGGCAGCATCATTGTGCCTTTTAATACTTTTATTCAGTTTAGTTGAAATTGGAACACTTAATTGTACAAAGTGTGCATCTCTATTTTTGTAACCAACAAACAAATCACTTCAGTCAGTCTCTTTGTTGTTTTTTATTCATTTATTAAAACAAAAATACAATACAAATAAATAAGTCGTGTTTTTTAAACATTCATTTTATTCATTTGTGAAAACAGAAATACAATACAAAAAATAAATCGTGTTTTCCTAATGTTTTGGTGTGTTTCGGTTGTTATAATAAAATACGCTCAACTGGAGGTAAACAAGCAACGGAGAATAAAATACGCTGAAATGGAGGTTTACCCTGACTTTTTGTGACGACGTGTGACGGAGGGGAGGGGGGGAGGTAAAAATCGTCAAAAAAAGCGTGACGTCATTTATGGATGACCCCTTAGAGTCTTAGAGAGTCTCATCTAGATCTAGAATAAACTATAAAGTATAATTAAATAAAGGTCTTAGTCTCTCTTATACTTATAGTCTTGTACTGTTAATCTGTTATTAATGATATTGTATGTACTAGTAGTACATAACATATCGATAGTACTACTACACTACATTACTTAATACTTACTCTTTCTTAGTCACTTAGTCTAACTATTAAAAATTAAATAAACTAAAAAAAAGTAGGTAAGTGAAGACTTACCAGTTATAAATATACCAGTAAATTCACTTTTAAGAAATTCAGAATTCAGAGACAGTACTCTAGATCTAATCTATTATCTAGATCTAGATAAATCTAGATCTATAATAATATTAATATTCTTGACTAGATTCTAGATCAAGACCTCTTTACTATTTCTAGATAAAATCTAGATCTATAGGCTTTGGGGAGATAACTCTTAACAATTGATTTAGATTCTAGATCTAGGTCCTTTCTTCGCACTATGCCTACTGTTAAAGACTAGTTTAACTCGAAGGGTAATTTGAGGAGGGGGGGGGGGCTTTACTTTGTGAGAAATGGAACCGACTATTTAAAGTAATTTACAATACCCACCCCTAACTCATAACAACGTTATAATTCCAATCACCAAACAGCAGAGGTGTCGCAAGGGGGGGGGGAGGTGACACCATTGCAAAAATAACAAAAATATACTAGCTGCATCCCGTGCTCCGCCACGGTAAAACTTTTTTAAATGTACCAACTTGGGAACAGAACAAAACTAAACACAACACAAACGAACGCAAAAAAAAAAAAAAAAAAAAAAAAAAAAAAAAAAACGAAAAAACAAACACAACACTCATAACATAGACACAATTTAAATGCAATCATACAGGCATATTGCTCACAGTCTAGCCCGTAGCGCCAAATCGCGCCCTTTCCGGTGATTTGCACCCCCCTCAAACTTTCGATTTGCACCCCTCCCCCCCCCCCTCCCTAAAACTTTCGATTTCCACCACCCCCCCCCCTCGCACATTTTTTCCAACCCACTTTGGCGCCCCTAAGGTCGGCACCCGGGGACATATGCCCCCCCCCCCTCGCTACGCCTCTCCTATAAAACCCGAAAGATAGAATAATAATTAGAAAACAGTATAAATAATAGGCAATATCTATAATATATACAATATTTCACTTTATCCATTCACGCATTTTTTTTTTCCAGTACTTTAAATTTTAAAAATTTACAATAGAGTTTCATAACTAAAACCATTGCGCACCTAATGAACGTGATGACGCGCCTATAATAGTGCTGAATAGTTGATTAAAAATTATAAGTAATAAACAGTAGGGCCTACATTCAGTGAATAAAATAAATAAAAGATTGCCTTTTATCAATCCATGCTAATTATAATTTTCTAACAATAATTTCCTCTTACACATCCGAATAATATGCATTCACATTTTGCTAATTATATTATTGCAACACTAATTCCTTCTATGACGAACGTATATTTGCATTCACATTTTTTATTAGCGTGAGTTTAATGTATTTTTAAATTACCTCCTTTGTCAAAATTAGAAAAGAGTTAAATTAATTTGATTTTTCTACCGTACTGTTATTATGTTATTGAAATGTATCCATTTTTTTCTGGGAATATAAACGAAAATGATATTTGGCATTGATACTTTTAATATGTTTTAGCCGTGTGTGTATATTTAATATTTTCTTTAAGTTATGCAAAATTGTACAAACAGTGGAAATTATAAAATAGCTCTATGCCGCTATATAAACAAACCCTACTCTAATACTTATAATAAGACACTGCGGTGCACTGAAAAGCACAGCATGGTGCGTAGTTTACTTTTATAGTCCCAAAATCTATAGCGATGACGGAAGGAAGGACTGACACACTACCTAGCCGCTTATATTATAGACTAGCTGCATCCCGTGCTCCGCCACGGTAAAACTTTTTTAAATGTACCAACTTGGGAACAGAACAAAACTAAACACAACACAAACGAACGCAAAAAAAAAAAAAAAAAAAAAAAAAAAACGAAAAAACAAACACAACACTCATAACATAGACACAATTTAAATGCAATCATACAGGCATATTGCTCACAGTCTAGCCCGTAGCGCCAAATCGCGCCCTTTCCGGTGATTTGCACCCCCCTCAAACTTTCGATTTGCACCCCTCCCCCCCCCCCTCCCTAAAACTTTCGATTTCCACCACCCCCCCCCCCCTCGCACATTTTTTCCAACCCACTTTGGCGCCCCTAAGGTCGGCACCCGGGGACATATGCCCCCCCCCCCCCCCCTCGCTACGCCTCTCCTATAAAACCCGAAAGATAGAATAATAATTAGAAAACAGTATAAATAATAGGCAATATCTATAATATATACAATATTTCACTTTATCCATTCACGCATTTTTTTTTCCAGTACTTTAAATTTTAAAAATTTACAATAGAGTTTCATAACTAAAACCATTGCGCACCTAATGAACGTGATGACGCGCCTATAATAGTGCTGAATAGTTGATTAAAAATTATAAGTAATAAACAGTAGGGCCTACATTCAGTGAATAAAATAAATAAAAGATTGCCTTTTATCAATCCATGCTAATTATAATTTTCTAACAATAATTTCCTCTTACACATCCGAATAATATGCATTCACATTTTGCTAATTATATTATTGCAACACTAATTCCTTCTATGACGAACGTATATTTGCATTCACATTTTTTATTAGCGTGAGTTTAATGTATTTTTAAATTACCTCCTTTGTCAAAATTAGAAAAGAGTTAAATTAATTTGATTTTTCTACCGTACTGTTATTATGTTATTGAAATGTATCCATTTTTTTCTGGGAATATAAACGAAAATGATATTTGGCATTGATACTTTTAATATGTTTTAGCCGTGTGTGTATATTTAATATTTTCTTTAAGTTATGCAAAATTGTACAAACAGTGGAAATTATAAAATAGCTCTATGCCGCTATATAAACAAACCCTACTCTAATACTTATAATAAGACACTGCGGTGCACTGTGTAATAGATTGAAATAATTGTGAGGTCAAGGGAACTCACTCTTCTGTATTAGTTATATTTATAATATTGTTATCTTGAGTGATGTCCCTTGTGTACTTCCTCCCGTCCTCTCTGTGTGTTACCATCGTGATGTAGTTAGACCCATTAAACGTGTTATATACAACCACAGGCTTCTGTCGTCAATCTATTATAACTGGCGACGAAGGATAAACATCTACTAGAAAGAGCACCTACTTACGCAAAAAAGAGGTTTGCTAGAGCTTATTAGCTAATTATTTCTAGAATAATGGCGCTGTATGGCCAAATAAATGAATTTGATGCGAATGATGAAATCATTCAAGATTACCTAGAGAGGTTAAGCTTTTACCTAGAAGCAAACAACGTGACGATAGAAGCCAAAAAGAGAGCTGTTTTGTTAACAGTCATAGGGCCTCAACAATTTAGGCTACTAAAAGACTTATGCACACCAGCTAGTCTAACTACCAAGAGCTTTAACGAGCTGAGCAAATTGCTAACAGACCACCATGCGCCTGTACCATCAAAGTTTCTATGTCGAGCTAGATTTGACAGTAGGACTCGTCAACCAAACGAGTCAATATCAGAATATGTTGCTGCTTTACGTCATTTAAGTAGATTTTGTGAATTCGGAGAAACGCTGTCTGACAGACTGTGTGAAAAGTTTGTGACAGGTGTAAACAGCCCTGATATTCAAAGAAAGTTGCTGCTCGAGTCAGATCTAAAATTAGAAAAAGCAATACAACTTGCAACTTCATTCCAGCAGTCATCAGATGCGGCGAGATCTTTAGCACCTTCAGAGATCCATGCAGTAAACAGCAGGTTAGTCGATAAACATCAACCCCATCAGAGCATTCCAACTTATGCTAAACAGCCTGCTCGTTCAAATCCTAGATCTAAATCTAGTAATAATTATCAAAAATGTCATCGATGCAAAGGTCCCCATGCATCTCATCGGTGCAAGTTCAAATCTGCAACTTGTTATAAGTGCGGTAAGCAAGGTCACATTGCCAAGGCCTGCTTTGCAAAGTCTTCGTCTGTTGCTAAATCTAGCCAGTCAAGACAGTACCGCAACCAAAGGCAGCACTATGTTAACTCTCACCAAGACTACCTAACCCAACCAATGAACCACTCTACCTGTGAAAATGCTCAAATTGATTTGCAGCCGGATTTCAACCTGTTCTCTGTGAAATCAATAAGTCATGCTCCCATCAATGTACTAGTTAATATCAACGGTAAGAGCATCAGCTTCCAACTTGACACTGGAGCATCTCTAACAGTCATAACAAAGAAAGAGTTTGACGCTGTCACAGGAGGATCAGTGTCTCTACAGCCGTGTCACAAGTGTCTAACAACATACACTGGTGACAATGTTCCGGTAATAGGAGAGTGTATGGTTCATGTAAGTTATAATGGTCAAAGTGTTAAACTTCCTCTTCTTGTGGTTGAAGGAAATGGACCGCCATTACTAGGTAGGAACTGGTTAAGTGATCTTAAGTTAAATTGGGAGAGTATTTGTTCATTGAAGAATGTAAAAGAATCTAGTCTTACTTCACTAGATAAAGTTATATCTGAAAATAAATGTGTTTTTGGTAACTCTGGTTTACTAAATGATAGAACAGTGAAGTTAAGCATTAAAGATACAAATCCAAGATACTGCAAAGCTAGAGTTCCACCTTATGCAATGAGGAATAAAATTGAAAATGAGCTAAGTAGATTGGAATCTAATGGCATTATAAAGAAGGTAGACTATTCCGATTGGGCGACACCCATTGTGCCAGTGTTAAAGAAGGATGGTTCTATAAGAATTTGTGGAGATTATAAAACTACACTGAATAAGCAAATAGAGCTAAATAGGTACCCTATACCTAACATTGAGGAAATCTCTTTGAATTTGGCAGGAGGAGACAAATTCACTGAATTAGACTTTAGTCATGCTTACACTCAACTAGAACTGCATCCAGATTCAAAAGTCTATACGACAATAAACACACATAAAGGACTCTACCAATATGAAAGACTATGTTTTGGCATATCATCTAGCCCTGGAATTTTCCAAGCTGTCATGGACAGTATTTTTAAGGACATTCCAAATGTTTGTGTGTACTTTGACAATGTGTACATAACTGGTAAGAATGACACTGAACATCTTAAAACACTAGATAAAGTCTTGAAAATTGTTGGTGAAAAAGGTTTAAAGATAAACAAAGATAAATGTCAATTCATGCTGACAGAAATTAGTTTTCTTGGTTATATATTGAGCAAACAAGGCATCAGACCTCAACCTGAGAAAACAAAAGCCATTAAAGAAGCACCCAAACCTGAAAATACCCAACAACTAAGAGCTTTTTTGGGCTTGATAAATTACTATGCAAAGCTCATAGGGAATCTGTCTGGTAAACTATCACCACTGTACAAGCTGCTACAGAAAAATGCAACTTGGCACTGGGGTAAACAACAAGAAGCTGCTTTTAACACAGCAAAAGAGGCTTTGTCTGCTGACACCTTACTAACTCACTATGACCCAGGGAAAAGACTTATATTAACATGTGATGCTTCACCAGATGGTGTAGGAGCAGTCTTGTCCCACATGGATGAGAAGGGTGACAGACCCATTGCTTTTGCCAGTAGATCTTTGAACCAGGCTGAGAAAAATTATTCTCAGTTAGATAGGGAAGGCTTAGGCATCATTTTTGGTGTTAAGAAATTTCATAAGTTTCTGTTTGGTAGGAAGTTCACCATCTTTACAGATCATAAACCATTGCTAGGTTTATTTGGAGAAAACAAAACCCTACCTGAGCATGCCTCACCAAGAATTCAAAGATGGGCTATCACACTAACTGCATACAATTATGAATTGAAATACAAACCTGGATCTGAGAATAGTGCAGATAGTCTTAGTAGATTACCTTTAAAAAACCAAAGCCTGAGCTATGTACCAGAAGATGTATTTGTTCTCTTCACTATCATGGATAACTCCAATATAAATGTGAATGATATTAAAAGAGAAACACAAAAAGATGAGTGCTTAATAAAAGTATATGAGTACTGTAAAAATGGTTGGCCTGAAAAGTCTGTGAATGATGACTTAAGGCCATATAAAATAAGAAATTAAAACCCTTTGTGAAGATAATATAAAAGATGGAGAAGATGCAGTCCATTATCAGTCAGAGTTGCCTAAACAAAGTATTTGTAACTTAATAAATGATTATGGTGATATGGCAATTTCAAATGTTTTAAAGAGAATACATTAGTAAGAAGGAATGTGATCATCAAACAACTTTGCTAACATCATTAGCACTTACAGAAACTAAAAGGGTAACATCAAAAGAAAAGAAAAAAGATTTTTGCCATTTAATACTTTCAGATGCCAATTCAAAAATAGTTCCATTAAATCATGACAACACATGCATTGAAAGAGAATTTGGTGTTAATGAGAATGTGTATCTAAGAAATTATGGGAGAAAGGAAAAATGGATACCAGGTCAAATTGTTCAATGTACAGGACCTGTGTCTTATAAAGTTAAAAATAACTTGTGCAGATAATAAGTGTGAATCTGTCAATCCCACCAAGTCTGATCAGTTCACACCAACTCAGTTGTTCCACAACCAAGTTCTGTTGATATGAGTGAACCAAGTTGTCTGGAGTCAGAAAATGTAAATTCTGGAGTTAATGATTTAAATCCTAGACCTCCTGAGATAGAGAATCCAGATGGTCAGAATCTTGAGTCACCAAATCAGAAGCCACTGAGAAGGTCAAGCAGGACAATCAAAGTCCCAAATAAGTTAGACCTATGATTCTAAAGGTCAAAAGGACTTTGACATTATTGTTTTGTATTTTGATTATGTTGTAGCATATTGTGCATTGTTTGTAAGGATGTAATCTACCATAGTGTTCATGTTACAATATAATTGGTGATTTTAGGATACTATCAATTGTTCTATTGAGAGATGTGTTATTGTGTTCTAAGGGTAAAGGGATGTAATAGATTGAAATAATTGTGAGGTCAAGGGAACTCACTCTTCTGTATTAGTTATATTTATAATATTGTTATCTTGAGTGATGTCCCTTGTGTACTTCCTCCCGTCCTCTCTGTGTGTTACCATCGTGATGTAGTTAGACCCATTAAACGTGTTATATACAACCACAGGCTTCTGTCGTCAATCTATTATACACTGAAAAGCACAGCATGGTGCGTAGTTTACTTTTATAGTCCCAAAATCTATAGCGATGACGGAAGGAAGGACTGACACACTACCTAGCCGCTTATATTATAGATATAGAATCTAGAGAGAGAGAAAAAAGATCATTCCAGTTAAATAAATGAGTAAAAAGTAAATAAACCGGTAGTGATCTCCCCTAAACTTTCTCGAATATTCTTATATAAAACAACAGGGGATGGTAACTGGGGATATAGTTATGATCTTTAATCCATTTTAAATACTGAAACTTTTAAAAATAGAATAGAATCTCAGTAAAAAACAATTGCGCACCAAGCGAACGCCTAATAAAGGTGTGTATAATAGTGCGCAATAGTATTAGTACTTTATAAATTTACATTAGTTTTTTGAGAAATCGGAAGTAGCGTAAAGTACTACTTCCGGTCAACGGAAATTACTCAAAATTTAACAGAAGGTAGAGAATTAGATCTTTTACTTACATGTGAAATTTCATTTATCTATCTGAAATAGTACTCAAGTTATAGGCTTTTGAAAAATTCAAAGTAGAAAAAGTACCACTTCCGGTTATCCGAAATCGCTCAAAAGTTGATACGGATCTACGATTTTGATATAATACTTGTATATGAAATTTCATCAACCTAGCTGTAACGGTACTCAAGTTATCGTGTTTACACACGGACACACACACACACACACACACACACACACGGACACACAGACATACGGACAAGATTGCAAAATTATGTTTTTCCGTATCAGTGAGATGTAAAACGTCGAGATTTGCAAAAATCTCGATTTTTTTTTTTTGCACGATTACAAGACTTTCTCTATACTTCGTATATACGAGAAAGTAAAAAGTAAAGTTCCCTTGCAAACCTGACGGTCTATAGGGCAAGGGAAGTAGAGTTTACTTGTTTCTGTGACCTCGGCATGTGAAGAGATAGTGTGAAATAAATTTAATGAGAGTTAAAAAGTATTTTAATTAAGAGCAGAATTGACAAATTCCGACATATTATGGCGTAAACCTGCTAAAGATATAGAAAACAATACTACACCCACCTGTTTAAGGCTATTGCAGGAAGGGGGGGGGGGGGGGGGGTGACACCAACTAGACGTACAAAATGTGCCTGGGGAAAAAGGTTTTCTTAATAATTGTACATGGGGACGTCCATAAATGACGTCACAATCGTAGGGGGACGGGGGTCCGTAATTTTGTGACGATGTGTGATGAGAGGTAGGGGAGTTCAGATGGTGTGACGTCACACATTTGCATTGTAAAAAAGCAATGTTAGAAAACGAATTTTAGCCGTTATTTCGCGTTTTAGAAACTTTGTTAATAAATTGAAATAGGAATTGATTAAAATACTCTATGTTGACAGAGTTCAGACAAGATTTTAAAAAAAAAAGTATTTTAAGAAAAATTCAATTGCAATTTTGAAGGATGGGGGTTGTCAGCTGTGGTGGGACGTCATTTTAGAGGGGGGGGGGGTCTAGCTTTTGTGACGATGTGTGCAGGAGGGGAGGGGGGGAGGTACAAATCGTCAAAAAAGCGTGACGTCATTAATGGATGACTCCCTATTACTACAGTAGTCGGAGTAGTAGCATGTGAGAGCTACGGAGCGAACCAGTGTGTACTTGAAGTACCTCCAATACATAAACATATATATATATATATATACTCCTACCCATACACTCATACACAGACTTGTCACTTACACTCACAATCGTACCGTATACACAAACACGCACATTTTACACGCTTATATACTCAGACATAATTTTGAGATAATTGACGGAAGGGTTTTGTGTGTATGTAGGTGTGTGTATCGAGTTTCTTCCAGGCATCTATTCGGGAGGGGGGGGGAAGCCCCCCCCCCCCCCAACGAAATGGAATCTATATAGAAAACATTATTTTACCAGTGTTCGCCCCCCCCCCCCCTCCCGAGAAAAAAGTCTGGAAGAAACGCTGGGTGAGTGTGTGTGCGTGGAGGGGTGTGTGTGTGTGTGTAGGCACATGGGGGGGGGGGGGGGCTTGTCTTTAAAATGTATTTAGTGTTTTGTGGTTGAGTTACAATACAAATTACATATTTTTGTGTTATATGCCTACAATTTGTCCAAGATGCATAGTCTTTGCTTAGTACTATAAGCGTTTCATTATTTTAAAACTAACAAAATTGTTAATTTTTGTATCGTTGACAGCCTTTTTATAATTTGTCTGCCGCTTGGACTGACGGCGCTTTTGGTCCATGTCGCACAGCATAGAATGCTATGCAAACACGGGACGAGCAATACTTTGTTCACAACCCACACCCCCCCCCCCCCGACAAAATTCTACCGCCCCCCCCCCCCCCCCGAACGAAATTATATTTATATAGGCCTAATTTATATAGAACATACATACTACTTTTAACAGTGTCCGCCCCCCCCCCCCCCCCAAAGAGAGTCTACCGCCCCCCCCCCCGAGAAAAAAGTCTGGAAGAAACACTGTTCACAATGATACTGCATCAGAGTGTATTGTAAAAGCAATTAATTTTTTACACAGTAGCGTACATTGGATCGGACATTGGCCGTAAAATGTTTCTTTCAGGCATCTCTTCGGGAGGGGGTGTCTTCCTCCCGGAAAGTTTCAAGTGCCTCCCCCATCCCCCGGAGAAAATGTGAAACACTGTATATGGTCTATATATAGACTATATATAGGCTATATATTGATGGATATATTAAATTTGAATAGGATAGAGATAGATCGATACTAGACTGTATATACGTTCTATGATAAATAGTCTGGTTAAAATCCATTAAAATCCAATGTGACTATAGACCTTTCAGGTATATCAGTGTCTGAGTGTGTCTGTTAGACTTGCTTGAAATTTTTTTTTGGATTTTGGATTCCCCCCCCCCCCCCCCCCGTCCACAAAAATCCACTTATTTCCCTTATAAAATTACATACGCGTCCTCAAAAGTCAATTTTTTTCGGAGACCCCTCTTTCCCCCCCCCCCCCCCCCCCCCACGTGTGGACGTCATAAATGACTAAAAATAACTAAAATATTAAAATAAAGTTTGCATAAAAAACCCGATTTATTATAAAGAATATTATGTTTTAAAGTCAACCAAAGTATTAATCTTTCTAGATCTAAGAGATCTAGATCTAGGTCTAGATATAAATCTAGATCTAGATCTAGTCAAAGTTGAAAAATTTAAACATTAAAAAAAAATCTGGGCTAGATTTAGGGACACGGTGTGTACTTTAGTTGGCCTAGATCTAGATTCAGACTCTACACACAACACGTCGACGATTGGCGAACGAAGCAGCGACATATTTCTGCTTTTAAATGAGACAAGTGAAATCCACTAGTTTTGAGTTCTTTGAACCAGATCAGATAGGTAATGTTATTTATAATGGATAATGTAACATTAATTTAACGTTTTTAACTATCTTCGACACGCGACCTAAATTCTAGATCTCTAGCTTGATGATTCTTTTCATGTTTAAAATCTCCCCACGAATACGACGGCAGGACATTTTCTGAATGCCTGCAGTCACGTCTACCAACCAGTCAGTCAGTCTTTTACTCGACAAATTTTACTTACAGGTTTTAATCACGACGGTGTTGTCTAAAATAACTAGAGTAGATATAGATAATCTATTACTATTCTATTACTATTATTAGACAAGTCGGAAGTTAACTACTACTTAATTAAAACTTCATCTTAAAATACTAGATCTAGATCTCTAGATTCAGTAGATTCTAGTCTCCCACTGAATAAAAAAAAAAGTAGGCCTATAGATCTAGATCTAGATCTAAGTGATAGTAAGTGGGTTACAGCCAGGACAACGTAAGCAAGAAATCTAGATTTTAGATCTAGATTAGATCTATTTTCTAGGGCTAGGGCCTGACCTAGCCCTAGAATCTAGATCTAAATGTAGTTCTGTTTAGCTGCGACTATTAGTAATTCATTAGATCTAGATCTACACTACAAATAGTTCTCAGAAAGCTATTCGTACTGTAACTAATCAGAGCGAGGTATTTTCTGTGATTCTAAAAATTTGCCCTATTAGTATTTATATATTTAATATAATGTACTGTTATGTATGTAGTACTAATGTTTCTAGATCTAACCTTATCACTAACCCTGAACCCTAACCGTAATCATAATCCCTATCCTTAAATCTACCCTAACGCCTAGGTCTAAACTTAACCGTAATCCCTAAAACTGTCATTATTATTAAAAACCTAAATAGATTTTAATAATAAATTAATATAGGCCTTATAGGCCTAATGTTGAAAATGTTGAATTTAAAAATTCTTATTCTGGTTTTCCAATTTCCATCACTTTTGGTGTAACATTTGTTAACAAAGTTAAATAATAAATAAAAATTATAATTTAGAATCTAGATTTGTAAATACTTATTCTTTCAAAACTGAACTATCACAGAACAAGCTAATGTTGTGGACCACTTGATATCAATAACAAGGGAAAATTACTCTAAGGCTGGTGGTGAAACATGGGCTTGTGCATGGGCACCAGATGATTCATATTTTGCCTGGTCCAGTGGTCATCACATGTTACATATTATTCCATGGGATTCTGAAAAACACAAAAGGTAAATTCTGAGAGTAAATTTACAACAAATCAATATGATCTAGATATGAAAATATACATAAAGCATTTTTAAAAGAAAAAGTACTTTCATTTTCAGCTTAGTTAGGTGAAAAGCAAATCATTACAAATTTAAATAGATTTATTTAACACACGTTTTAAAATAAAAAGTACCTGTGAAGGTTAAAACAACAAATAACTTTTTAAATCAATGCTTAACTGCTTTTAAAATAGACAAAATCCAGGAGATACAGAAGGACTAAAAGGTAGAAATTATCATTTGATTGATGTTGGTGAAAATATCTGGTCTCTCGCTTTTGGATCTGGTCTCTCTCAAATCCCAGTGGGCTCAAGTTTATATCGGCATTGCAAGTTTGACCATTGTATCATTTTAGCCACAGGTTTGGCTAGTGGAAGAATTAAACTGTGGAACTGCCTTGCTGGTAAGTAGTTAGGTATTTCTGTTTCCTTGAATGTGTATCAACAATAATTTAGTAACAGTATTTCTGAAGTATGTTTACTGCATGTCAAAAATTATTTTACCTGTATTTATTTTATTTCATTGTTGGGGTCTGTTAATATATTACAATTAAACCAATTATTTTTATATTGTCTTTTCTTGTAGTTAATTTAGTTTACCATCTTTGATAAAATACACACCTAAGAATGTGTAATTTTGCTGCTTGAGGTATCCCAAGAATTATTTTACTCTGCAGGTAATCTTATGATTGAACTTATAGATCATCGTGACACAGTACGCTGCTTAGATTTTACCAAAGACGGAAGCCTTCAGCTGCTTTCTGCCTCCAGAGATGGCACTCTCAAACTGTGGGACTTGCACAATGAAGGGAATATGTACAGCACATTTAAATCTCCACCCACAATGTTTTATGGATGCAAATTCTCACCAAATGGACAGTTCATTGCTGCTGTTGGTAGCTGTAAAATGGTACACATGTTCATTTTTTAATCTATATATATAATTCTCTTCATTGGAGACCATAGAAAACACCAAGCTGTAAGTGCACCTGGCAGCCCCCTCTCTTCCACTCTAGGCATATCCCTACCACCCCCACCCCCACATGGTCTGGTGAGCTGTGGTTCATGCTAAATGTTTACAATCGTAGAGCCGGGTTTAGTGACGGCTATTAGGGGCAGATAATTTAGTTTGAAACGATTTTAAACTTTTTTATCCTCTGTAGCATCTATTACTAACAGTGATGTATTTTAGTGTGTCAAGAACTTATTCAATGTTTAACCAAAAATTATAAAATAAACCATTGTGAAAATATTCCAGGTATACCTTTGGGCCAACAATAGGCTGAATTCACTTCCGTATAGACTTGACGGCCACTGTAATGAAGTTGTCAGTTGTGACTTCAGCTTAGATTCTGCACTTTTGGCCACTGCAGCTTATGACACGAAAATCATCATTTGGGATACATACCGTATGGAGAAACTTAGATGTCTTGGGTAAGTTATAAAGTAAATAAGATTTGGTGAGTCTTGAAATATTCAAATACAATTTTCAGTGCAGGTTTAAAACCAATAAACTAATGAGTGCCTAGCTCATAACATAAACTATTCAAGTCTAAAACTTGACGATGTTACAAGGGAAAATTAGAATTCTGCTCATAGTCATCTGTATAATGTGCCTGAATACAGATTATAACACAACTGTCATCATGATAATGTGCATTAATTTAAAACTGAAGTTTCCAATTGTTTTTATTAGTTTTTCTGTGATGAGGTTCAGACAAAAATCAGACAGCCTCTGTATTTTTGTGAGATTTAATTTTACAAATCTGATAATAAAATAGATTCTGAATCAGAGTTGGAACATGTACATCAGCACAAATGTAATAATATATATTAATTAAAATATACTATATTATGTAAGATTCATTGTTACTTTGTTTTATCAAGTAAAATTTGTGAATTATTAGGAGTATTCAATTTTAAAGATGAATTTTAAAAATTTCAAACAAAAGTTTATGGATATTGTCTCCCTTTACTTTGGTAAATGGGTTAAAAAAATGTAGAAGCTAAAAAGTGTTTAAAATACATTTTAATACATTTCCAAAGTAGCAAATTAAATTAATAACAGAGGTATTTTCATTTATCAGTGATGTGTAATAAAAATAAATATAACATTACAGAAATTATTGTATAATATATCTTCTCTCTTTTCAATAATTTAATCTACTATCTATCAGTCAATGTTCAAAGAGCCCTTGATGCTAAAATTGCTTTGATTATGCTAAGCTTCAGTCTTGATAGAAAGATTTAGTTGAAGCATACAATTTCTTTGTCAAATTCACAAATTCTCAAGTTAATTTGTTTTGTTAAGTATTTCCTGGGGGGGAGTGAAGAAGGCACATGACCCTCAGCCCCTGTGAATACCAAAATCACATATATACAATTATATATATATATATATATTTCTGAACATAATTGCAATCTAAAATAACATATATTAATATTACTTGTTTTGATCAAAGATTTTCTTTGTTTTTCTGATGATAGAAGTGTGTAATCTTATTGAATTAATCTACTGAAGTGTGTAAACTTATTGAATTAGCTGACTAACTAATGTATTTCAAAATTCCTTGATTTTGTACAAAAAAAACTTTAAGAGAGCAATAGCAGAAATATAAAGTTAATTGTGGCTGCTTATGAAATGGCCAGCAAAATATGTTTCCAAAGTATGTATCACTTTACATTGTCCATATATATCATATGTATGATGCATTGGTCTGCCCCCTAGGACTGTGATAAATTATTTGTTTGTTTACCCCGGTCTAATCAGGCAATAAACACATGGAGTACAAATATTAACTGACTCCAAATGGTGATTGTTGCTAGTATACACTATGTAAAGCAGGTTAGCCTTTTTAGTTATCTTAACATTGGAATATATTAAGGTCTATTGGATTCATTCAGAATTTTCTTGCATAGTCAATATGTAAACATTTTAAAAGGTGGAATAAAAAAATTTTCATTAGCAATCATGGACACATTCAAGGGCTAAAAAGGTTGCATACAATCTCCTTGGTTTTGAGTATTTATTTTTAAAATCTGGTATCTAATGAGGTCAAGTGACTCCATAGTGTCCTGAGATTCATGAGCAATTTGGCATAAAACACAAATTGCATAATTTTGATCCAGTAAACATTGTGGTTGATACAACTTCAGGTAGGTAAAAAAAATTACAGAAAAAGACAATTATTTGAATAAAAATTGTGCACCATGCAACTACATTTAAATATTGCTTGAAGTAAAAGGTTCCAACTCATAGAAGTGTTAAAGTATATGAGCCCTTAGATAAACTACAGAAACTTGTCCGAGTACCTTGACCTTATTAGCTCCTACTGCACAACCAAAATTTTTTTTGTCATTTTGTATGCATACTAACCAACTAAATCCATATGATAATTATGTTTATCAGTTTGAAAATTTTCTAGGTTGTTAGAATGAACAAGTTTGGCTTTTTTTTTATATAGAGCCAAGCTGGTAGAGTTTCCAATGAAGGGGCTGTATGCAGCCTTATAGTTTATTATCTATTGAGTATTTGCTCTTACAATCACAACTATCCTTTCCCAGATCTTTTATTTGATCCAAGAGAGGAAATTTTCCATGGTTGCCACACATATAACAGGCAATGTTTTATGTATAAACTCTGTTGATGTCTTGTCAAGATTTATTTAATAAGTTTAAGAAGTTCTTAGGACCTGAAATATTTATTTACATACAAAAATAATTGAATAAAACAGATTTTTTTCAAATTAATGTTTAGTTTTTATACAAAACATAGTTTAACGTTCACTGAATTAAAACAAAGTATTTACAAATTTATGCTCAGTTTCTGTCTATTAATATTCATTTCTAAGTAATTAATGACATTAAGTTTTGGCTAATTTTAAAATAAAATTCAGTTTGATTTTTTCAATGATTAGGCACCTTCATCCAAGCCCAAGACTGATATTTGCTGGTGGTGCTAATGACCATTATGTCCGTAATGTTTCCTTCTGTAGTGATGGCCAAACCCTTTCATCAGTATGTGATGACAGGTATAATTTCACAAAAACATCTTTTTTAAAATGTATAGACAGGGGTTTAAATTTAGTTAGGTAATATGTATTACTTAAACTATGATTAATGTAAATCCTACGCATGTTGTTTGCTTCAGTTATGTCCGTTTCTGGAACATCAGTGAGCCAGGTGATCCGAGGAATATTTCAATAGTCCCTGATGCTGTTTCCTGCCAGTTTTCTCATGATGGTCATGTTCTTGCTGTTGGGTAAGATCAGTTTACATCAAGTAGAAGCATTTTGAAAGCAATAAATTATTTAGCTGTTTCCATGATCACAAATATACACATCACAAAATATTTTTAAAAAACCTTTTTATTATGCACTTAAAGAGATATTCACAATTACTTTTTTTTTCTAGGTGTCGAAATGGTGATGTAAAATTTTTTCAACCAAAAAAATCCATCCCCACTTTACTGCGTTTGTGCCGGCAGGTTATCCGCAGAGAGTTATTGTCTGGACACACGCACTTGCTTCCTTTACCATCTATGCTGATAGATTTTTTGCATTACAAGGACTTGCTTCATTGTTAAAAATCTGTGACTCTACTGTTAAAAAGTAAATTCTGTTTTAATTCTGGTGCTAAACATTTTGAAAACCCATGAAACGCTGCTTACAAAGTAATTTTATTTTAAAAATGCAGGAACATGTTATTTTTCCACCCAAATGTAGCCAAACCATAAACGCAGTGTCACTATTCATATTTAATTTACAGTATCTGCTCTGGTTTAGCATTGTGAAAGATGCATTGGTGTATTTAATTCTTTAGATCTGCACTGTGTGATATGTATACAACGGTTCAATCCTTTTTAAAACTGCCCAATTTTTTCCTCATAATTAAATAATGAAAGGCATTCATTTATAAATTTTTGGTAATTTAAATTATTTACAATGATTGTAAAAGAACAAATAATTTATATAGGTTTAAATTACTGTGAATAAAATGCTTAATTTTGTGCAGTGAGAGCTATTACAGATTTATGAACAGCCATAGAGCTACCCTCCATGACTGTATAATATATTTGCATTATCATGTTATTCAAGATTTTAAACAAGTGCTTATGTATATTGTAGAGGGCCATATAAATCACAACCTATTAAGTACTAAATTCCTAAGTGAATCAAGTTTTGGATTTGTCAGTTTTTATTTATGTTCTGTAATTATTTGCTTTTTTAGCAAGTTTTTAAATTGATTGATTTTATTTGATACTTGCCATGAGAATGGCTCAGTATTCACCTCACTGGCAGGCAGCGCAGACTTAAACTTTACCTGTAGATAAGCTAAGTTTACCAAATAGATTCTCACAGTATTAAGCTATTACAATCAAGTGATTTTAATTTGAATATCAATAAGAAATACTCATGTTTTCATTGTATATTTTAGCCATTACATTAATTCAAAGTAATTCAATGGAATTGTAAAAATTATCACTTTGCATGTCCATAAATGGATACAAATACTTAAAACTGCTGTTGGTTAGCTTAACTACGGGTTAAAGGGGAATATTTGTAGCAATTTTTACAGTGATCGTTAGGAAATGATCTAGTCTGGAGGAGAAAAATCTGATTTATTCACATAACTTTTCCCCCACATATTTCAACATTTTTACATTTCTTTTTTTGTTCATGACTTTAATTAAAGCCTAATCTCCATAATGCTTTCAAATGACCTGGTTAGGTGATGCTGTGCAATTCTATATTTTTGTGTGCATTAACATTCATGTAATGCGTAATTAAATAAAATGATTAGAAGAATTTTATCCTGTGATTTATGAAAACAAATGTGTGGATAAGCTGTTTTAATTTTGAACCATATACTAGATACAACTGAATATCACAAATCATAATATACATAGCAATCTGATATGCACATTGTGAGATATTTACATAGTTGATGAAGCATGTTTTATAGGTAGGAGACATGATTAAGATGAATGCAACAACTAGAATGATGTGTTAAATATCTCCTTGAAAACCTTGTGTAAATGTATGTGGGCTTTGTTTTATCTCAAATAAAAACATTCAAATCTAGTGTGTGATATTTTTTTCATCAAGAGCACCATCTGGAATGTACACACTTAGATCTGATTAGTTCTGTGTAGAATCAAAATAGGTTGGAAATTTGGTATTTTGTACAACTAAATCATAAAACAGACTCAACCTTTGGATTGGCTTATGAATAACTACTTTTTGATCCATGTTCAGTAATTAAAAAAAAAAATCTGACAAAAAGAACAGAGATATTTAACATATCAATAAAATATACATGAAATACATCTCTTAAGAAAAGAAAGGATGAACATTTACACACAATTACATGAATGAAATCAATATCTAGTACCCATTTCACAAATAAACAAAACAAACACTGCCATTTAGTTAGTAACATTGTATCACATAATTGTATATGTAACAAACTAGAATTCAAGTTTTTCATGCAACTCATTTTTATCACTCTATTAAGTAGCTGGAGTAATTTGGTTCAATGGGAGAGGATGGTAGGTGTTACTGGTTTGTTGAGGGGAAAGGTGAGCAGTCTTGTGGACAGGAAAGAATCCTTTGTATGCTATAATCTGGATAAGAGGGGTTGGGTGTGTGAATGGTGTATTAGGGTGGAGTGGTAAGTGAAACCTTGTTTAGAAGCTAGAGGTAGGGAAATGGTATGGGTAGTTTTGAAAGGTTAGAACATGAAAAGGATGGAGGGTTTGTAAAGTGTAATTTAATATATAGTGTACAGATAAATCACAGTCATACCAATAGTTCACTAGTGGAAAAACTAAATATTTTTTATTATACAAAATGTGCAGTCAGGTAAAAATGTAGCAATGAAAAAAAATGTATGTGGTTCTTTCGCCGTAAGCTGTAGTAGGAATATTATAAATAGTGTTGTGATTAATATTTCTGTTTTTTTTTAAAAATAATTCTGTTGTATATTATTATTACTTAATAATATAACGTCAAATCAACAAGAAGAGAAAGCTGAAAGTTCTCTTATAAATCAGCTTGAGATGTAGAAAAAATGTGTACTGCAACAGAATCCCATAACAAATAAGGGCTATTGGTTAGATGTAAATCAACTATAAAACTCCAGTTCAAATATAGAGCAATATGTCATACAACAACTTCGACCTTTAATTATAGAAATACATAAAGTTTTTAAAATAAAATATATCTTTCTTGCTTTGTTTAAAAATATTGCTTAACAGAAATATTTCCTATGACACTGCACCAGACCAAGTTTTCTTACTGTTTTATATAAACTACTTTAATTTACCACCTCAAGCTGAATATAGTCTTCCCACCCAGACTCATCAAAAGTTTTATTGTATTTATTTTAGTTGTAAATAACTTTTTGTGGTCTTTCCCCACATAGTGGGGATAAAAAACAGAAATGATTACTGAGTTTAAAAAGTAACAAAACAAGCTAAAAAAAATTGTTACATATATCTCATAAACAGGCCAGTTTTAAAAACAGTGGGAAGATTATAACACAACTTGTATAGGATGACGAAAATATTGTGACACTACACTCGAAATAATGATCCATTTGTTAAAGATAAATTCCTTTATGTAAGTAAAAATAATGATAAAATATGCTGAGTAAATGTTCTAATATCAGAAACTATGGTAAATTAGTGTCAAGTTTAGGAAGTCTTATTTTTTTTACAGGTAGTCACAGACTATGAGTGTAAGCATTAAAACAACTTTACGTGAGCAAGCAGAACAAATATACAGCAAAATGAAGCTTTTAGTGAATTTGTAGCATCATTCTTGTCTTGAAAGGCAGTGTATTTTCAAGAACAATAATTTGAATAAGGCAATGCTAATGTAAAGGGATGGCGATGATGCACTTATTGACACAATTGTTGAGGTCACTCATTGCTACTTTCATAACAGTTTTGATTCATTCCCTTTCTGATTCATCAAGAAAATAGTTTGTAAAGCAGCCACGAATCGTACTTTTTGTCAGATCAAACTAAGTGCAAGCAAAATTTTTAAATCTAATCAAATTTTTCAAAATACTTAATACTTCAAACATTTTATAATACTGTTGAAGCAGTACAATATTGAATGACTAAACCTATAAATGTATTGTATGGTGCAGAGACCATCATGCGGGAGGTAGCTGCTAAAAGAAATGTGTAGTCAGCAAACCAAAGAAGTGGGATACCAAACCATAACCCTTTACAGTCCGGGAATAAAAAGTTTTGCTTCCTATATGGCCAGATGAAAAAATGTATTTTTCAATCACAATTTTAAAAAAATTATTTAAAACTATTAAACATAGATTAAGATAAAAAGCATTGCAGAGGAAAAAGGTCAAAATTAATAATGTATGAGGTTCAATAGTTTGGTAATTTTTGAAATAATAAATAAAAATATTTTTAATTCCAGAAAAATGTATTATAAAAAAACAAAAAACTATACCTTGTACTTGTACATTATTTCTATAAAAAACCTTTAAATTGCTAAAAAAAAATTAAACTATTTTCTTATGGTATATCAGATATCACTATAGTAGCTACATTATAATAAAAGCCCAATAAACCAGCACAAGCATTAAAATTAGCTTAATTAATCAATTATATTGTCAGTATTTTTAAATGTAAAAAAAAAATTAACTGCTAGTGAAAAAGATGAAACTAAAATTCATGGATTCCCACTTCCACAGGTATCTCCAAAATCAAGCTACTGTCAAGACTTTCATTACAAAAATACATAAATAAATGTTCTCTACAGTGCAGGCGCATACAACTGTATCACTAAGAAAAATCTCTGGTGCATAGGACTGTAAAGGGTTAAAGGGGGTTTAGTATCAGGGAAATACTGTAAGTTATGTCTGAAGCTCCCAAAAAAAGAAACCAATTGATCAACACCATAAACTTTTGAAAAATGTGCCTGATTTACCTTTACATTAAGTTAAAATTTTATTAGAAGATCATGGTTTATGTGACAAATATTCTAGGTCTGTGCTCAATTCTACTTTCCACATGAAATGATTTTAAGGCATATCTTGGTGTAGAATTGCATTTGTTCATCACAGATATGGTGCATATAGCTTGTATGGATTTCCTTCAACTTAAATGTAAAGAGAGGGGTGTCGCTCCGTGCTTCTGTCACCAATATCTAGCTCACCATCATAGACATGAAGCTGTGACAAAGTACTTGAAGCCAATGCAATGTCTGGCATCACATCACTCAGGGTACGCTCCATACAATGATCTCTCTGAAAATAAACAGTGGACATACTAACCACAAGATGACAAATAAACAGATAAATCAAGAGATAATACTTGAAGGCAGATTTCTGTCTCCCCTCTAGCAAATGGTCTAGTTACCTCAATTTCCCTGTAAGGTGATGAGGTTGGCATGTTAGCTGCTGAGCTCCTAGAAACATGATACTGCCGATGTTGTAAGTGTTGGGCTTGTGGGTAGTGCTGATGAAAGTGGCGACAATGGTGGCTGCTGTTGGTGTAGTAATACTGGCTGTTTTGAAGAATTTCTACAGCGCTGTCTGGCAAACCAAACTCCCGTACCACACGCAGCTGTATCTGTAAGCAGACAGCTTTTGTCACAGCTCTCTTGTCAATGCAGGCTAGTGAAGTAGCTTGGAGAGCAGGTTTAGATACCTGCAACTCCTGTTCTCTCTCCAGCATCTTTACAAACGTGGCTTTATCTGGGACTGAACACAACATTTTTTATTAGCATTTTTAAAGCAGTTTTTACTTAAATGATAGTGATTTTTAAATGGCTTATAGGAAAGTAACAGCTGTAGCCACTCAATTTAAGCAAATTTGTTGGTGCCTAAAAATGTCAACATAATGAGGTAAACAGCAATTATGTATACAATGTTTTCTAAAAAAATTTTTTTTTGTCAATGTTTTTTTGTCAATTTAATTATTTAACTATATGCCAAACACCTCTTTAATTGTTATTTTACACTCACACTGACAAGGATTTATAACACATGAAACCCACTATTACTTGAGCAGTGTGTGTTTGTGTCTATAAAATATGTGCACTACGGGATCATCCACCAATTTTATAACACATGAAACCCACTATTACTTGAGAAGTGTGTGTTTGTGTCTATAAAATATGTGCACTACGGGATCATCCACCCATGACATAAAAAAAAAAACAAGATTTCGTGACTACTAGTTATTTAACACTCACCACAGAGGTACGAATAATAAATATAAATACAGCAATTTATTTAGGTGCAGCAATTGTTTGGTTTTTTTCAAAATACAGGCACACCAGTTTGTAAATATACATTTTGTAAGCTGATCAAAAGATTTGTGTGAGTTGTAAAATACAATTATTGAGGTTTAATGAGCGGGCACCTAAAAAGTTGTTTTTCTCACTTGCCCCATCTGCCCTAGGGTGCACATTATATAGGAATTATCTTGTTTAACAAGAGGCTAACATTTTATATTCAGCCTTTAAGTTGAAGCTATAAGTAGCAAACCATATTTGCTGAACAACAAATATTGAACTTTTTAAAGATATTTATGAATTTGTGAATTACTTTTTTGATGAACTGTAAGGGTATAAGGACCAGGATGAAAAAAACCATCTCTAAAGTTGATGCTTTTATCTCACTTCTGATTAGAATGCAAACAAATAGGTAGAGGGGTAACCAAGGTACCTGGAATTGTGCCAGCTATGATGTCTACTGTTGAGACTGGAGAGCCAGAATATGGTAGTGGAAGAGAGACATCTCTATCATCCAGCATGTACAAGGTATCTGGTATTGCTGACAGGTGTAAGGCTCTAACTTTGCTCCCAGACTCTCGGCCTTGGGACAAGTGCTCTTCTAGAATACCCTGGCAGGAAGAGAGTCAACAACATTTATATATTTTTAGATGGGATGGTGTGGTCAAGCTGGGGTACATTAAGTATGTGAAAGTAAGGCTACTTGGGATAGTGCACACCACACTTTTTCTCCATTTAAAATGTCAATTCTTATGTGGGAGTAATTTTCAGAAGTTGATGCCAAGCCAGCAAATTAAAAAGAGTGTGTAAATAAAATAAATATGCTGAGCTATCCAACCTTGGCTTCCTCAATGTATGGCAAAAAGAGTCTTGGCTTGAGAAAGACACCAGATTTAGTTACTCCTGTCCAGGCTCCAATTTTATGTAACACAGCTTCTTCATGATGTGAGAATGTAAGGGGGTGTTCAAGCAGCCCGCGTTTGATTGCATTGTTCAACACCTCACTATTTGCAGGCAATATGTGCTCTGTGCGCACGAGTGGCAAAAGTTCTGACAGCAACTCGCGCAGCTCAACATCACTGAGATCTCGTTTTTTCACACCTTTTTTTGCAACACTATGAGCTGTATGAGACAGAATGTTGGGCTCTGGAACAAACCATAAGCAGTTAGTAAGAACATTTATTAGTTTTTAATGTTTGAGAAAACTCTACAACATGAAAAAATAAACTTTCATTGAAAAATAAAACTCCTCTTAACATTCATTTTTTATTCAAAAATTAACCAGAAAGGAAAAAGAGAAGCAAGTCACACAGGATGGTAAAGGAGTTGTTTAAGATGCTGTAGATTTACCTCTTTCTTCAATACGTTTGGTCAGCTGATATTCTCCCCATCTTATGACACTGGCCAATACATCCTGTTCACTACACTAATTGACAAATACAACAGCATCATCTTAATAATGCACATAAACAGCACTAATTCAGCACACACACACACTCTCCCCAACTTATACAAACAGCAACATTTTATGAACTGTTTACAAAAATGAAATGACTAGAAAACTTACTTGTAGAAAGTCTGACGACAATACTTCTTTAAGAAATTCTTTGCTCATATCTAATAGTACAGGTGAGTGAGCAATCTGTAAATTAAAAATAAATTAAACAAAAAAAAAAAATTCGGCTACAAAATAAAGATCAGCAAACAGTGTCTTAAAACTTTTTTAAGCACTAATCTATCCTGGTTCATTATCATCTTTTCTCATTAGTGCCCAAAACACATGGGGCAGATGTAGAGAGCATGTTTCAATAAACTTGTTTTCCTAATGTGGGTCAGATAACCTTCAGAGCTGGGCAGACTCAGAGACACCCAACAAACTCAACTCTGGTATCTGAACTTGAGACTTTTGGGTTAGCAGTCATAATCATGCTGTCATAACATTAGACCATGCCCCACATCCTTTATTAGTAATGTGTTCATTATGTTCTCTACCTATTTCTAAATGCTTGAGAAATTTACCTGTGAAAATTCTTCAGTTAAAAATGCCATTGCTTGACGGTGAACCCACTGCGATCCATGGGGTTCTGCACTCCAACTTAAGACACTCATTAAAGATTCTGCAGACAGTTTGTCTATGATGATGTCTTCACAGCCTAAGAGATCAAATACATTTATAATATATGACAACAAAAAAAACTTCTATGGCTGAAGAAACAATCCATGGATTTCTTACCACAATTTATTGAAATAAACCCTCCAAACATAAAAATATTTAAAACATTTAAAGAAGAATTCATATAAATTAGATAAAAATTGAGTATGAAGCCATTCTGTGTCAAATCAAATGTACAAACCTTGAGATATGATCTGTGTATCAAGGAATTGTCCAATCTGATACAACTCCATGGCTTCGTCTACCACAGTCATCTGACACCTGCCTGTAGAGACCATAGCCTGAATTTCACTCAGGCTGCACATGCTTGGACTGCCCCTGAGAACACAGCTCATGTCCACACTGTCCTGGTACAAGGCTGTCAGAAGAACACGAGCATAGCGCCTAGGTATCACAGATTCATCAAGAATTATTCTTGAAGGAGTCCTTAAAGTTCTTTCAGTTAACTCCTCTCCAGACTTGGCTCTACGATTGATCAAATTCCTAAAGAAAGGTGAGCGTGAGGCAATAATGGCCCTGTGGCAAGGGAATTCAAACCTGGATGTTTTCTGCTGTCCATAGCCACTCTGTGTCATACACTGGCATGATCCACTGACATGATGACACACAGAAGCATCTACAACATCAGAATCAGTTGAGAACACCAGGACAGCGTCACTTAGTTCACCACTATCTAAAAGTTGCTTCATATCATTCTCTAAGATGTTGGGAACACCAAACTCAGCTGCTAATTGAGCAAGGAGTTCACTGTGTTCTAGACTGTCTTTGCTCAGGTCATCTGAATATAAATACCTGAGTAATGAAGAGAAAAGGTTCACATCTACACCTGGGATCTTAAGCTTTACATGTACCTGGGCTCCATATTCTGGATGTTGGGCTAGCAATTTCTTAAAAAACTCACTCCTTGCTGAGAGAATAGCTCTGTGTACAGGAAAGCAGCTGTTTCTAAAAATAAGATCAACATCTGTGCAGAACTTACAGTCATAAAGACGTGACAGATCATAACGTAGAGAATGTGCAGGTGGTCTTGCAAGACTAGCAGCCAAGGATAACTCCTTAAGTACTGTGGATGCCTCATATTCCTGAACAAGAATTCTAATATCTTCTAGGGGCCAGACTGAAAGCATTTCCCTGATAGCTTTAGCATGATCAAATGACCTACTTTGACGCCGCACACGAACAAGCTTTTTTCTTAGAGTAGCAAATTTAGAAACTCCTTTTTTTCTTTTTTCTTTTGATCCCGGTTCACTTTCTGAAACTGTATATGCATGCGAGGAGCGAACAAACGCAGAACGAGATGGTACCCTGTCAGGGGCAGATGCCTGTGCTCCCATTTCAAGTGCTGAAATTTTAAAGAAGTCTTTTGATTATCATTTTCCATTGAAAAACTACATTAATAAGAATGACACATTTTAACTCAAGTAAATTACTTTCCTCACTCTGATAGAATTATTATTATTATGTGCTATTCTTTTTTACATATGTACGTTATTCTCTTAAATGTGATTTTCAAAAAAATATTCAATTAAGAATATCCTTGCTCAGTCTACACAATACAGTATAGAGACACACTTTGAGATAACCATATATCAGATCTTTGTTTAATGAGTAGAATTTATATTCCAAGCTTTTCAAATCAAAACTTGTATTTCAAATGTAAAATGGAGAAGTGGGTATTAAAATATTATATTCTTTAGTTTTAGCAGACAGCAGAATATATTTGACTGAATTGGACATTTTTTGTAGTTGCAAAGGATGCCCAGTATATACATCCAGAGTGAAGGGATCCACTTATACAGCTATAAATAGTTAAATAGGTAGGAACATGTTCCAAAATGTATTAAATCTTTGTTTTTCTTGTCTGCTTTTCAAAGTTGATAAATACATTGTATTATAAAAAAAGGAGTATTGATAATACTGCTGTCCAACAAGAGAATTTTTTTAATTTAACCCTGCCACCTATGGTTTGTTTTTATAATGCAAAAATCCCGCCATTTTGCTCGTGGTAAACATTTTAATCAGTAATTCTAAGAAGGTCACTGGAACTAAGACGAAAAATCGTCGGAAGTCATGCATCCGGTCTGTATGCCATATGTTGTTAGCAACCGTCCACGCCTCCGGGTTAGCAAGTAATACTAATACTAGTCTTTATTGATTTTAGTCTAAGTCAAGTCTAGTCTAATACAAATTCTTTCAAATAAATCAATAAATAATAAGGTAATCTATTGTTTTGGGTACGTGAACTCGCCCGCGGCTATTAATGTACGAAAACGTTATCTCATTTTAATAGAAGTATATTGTCCTATGTTTGTGTCAAATATTATAGATAAATGAATAATAAACCTAAATCAATGGCTAAATATATCGATATTGGATAGGCCAGAAATTAACTTTAAACAGCAGTGTCTAAGAGCTAAATTTGCTATATAAACAGCAGCCATTTGTAAAATAGAGTGGCTTCCCCCTGAATCTCGCGCTACAAGCTTATAAAAATAAAACTTAAACAAGATGGCTGCTATAGTAAATGAGCATTGTTGCATCTGTTGGAAACATCGTTAGTCTTCATTTATTACGGAAAAGTTTTAATTCAATTGTTTAAAATAAAAACAGGTAGGCCTACGGCCTACATAAATGAAACAGGGAAACATTTTTGTATTTTTCAAAACATAAATCCTCCTCAAAACGTGAAATAATTATTAAAATTTAAGGAGTCACCTGTTTTTCACATTACTAGTCGCGGGCGATTTTACGTACCCACAACGATAGATTACCAATAATAAATAAGTGCTCAAATTTGCAATAGCCTAACTAAAATCTAAATGGTTTACTTTACTAGACTACTTTGACCCTGTACTGAACTGAAACTTCTCTTTAGAATAATAAATCTAAGAAGTCGGCAGTGTTGTGTTAAAAAATCTAAACAGAGATCTTTAGTTTATTTAGATTTGATTAACTTGTTTAGAATAATTATTAATTTAGAATTTAGATTCATCCAGTTATTTTAATTTTTAATTAAATGGGCCCTATGCAATGATTAATAATTAGGCATTTCGACTTCCGCTGTTTCGATTCGGTACGACCACATCCTGACTTTTTCATCGTACTTGTTGAAATTCGCCATTTTTTAACATGTTAATTCTCGCCATCGGTATCGAAGAATAAAATGTATTCGATGTGAATATTTGAGTTGAATTTCATCTTTTATACATACTAATAAATGAATTAGCTCCCGTTTTACATTGTCCGATACCGAAAGCGATCACCGATAATAGCAAATATTTGTCGAAATGCCGACGCTACCGAACTGGCGCATTGACAACTAAATTTCAGATATAAATAATCCTTTAAGTTGCATGAAAATAGGCTTAAATAGCATGCCAACCATTTGGATAAATAGAAATGTCGATTTGAAGGGTTTTTAAGCACGGGCCAATAAGGAGTAGCGCGATAAAACTCGTAGGGGTAGGAACGAGAAAGCATGCGTAATTTCATAATGGCGGCCGGGCTACGAGATATTAATAGATATGCGCATACGATGTTTTTTAATTAATAGCTGTTTGTTTTTAAATGGACTGTTACAATAAAATGGGCTTTAAAATAATTATAATGTAGATCTAAATTATTAGATTAAAAATGGAAAGAATGTAATTAGGCCTAATTGCTGCCTAAATAAATTATAAAATTTTAAATTAGCCAGATTTTTATTAACCTTCTTAATACCAGGTTAACTAGATCTAGCAAATTAGCATTAACGAATTGCAGATAAATAGATTATAAAGGCATTTTTAAGTAGAAAAAAATCTATATTTATTGTAAACAGTTTTAAAAAAATAGAATCTAGATCTAGATCTAAATGGAAATGAAAACACTAAAACAATAATGGGTCTAGAGATGTGTAATAATATATATATATATATATATATATATATATATATATATATATATATATATATATATATATATATATATATATATATAAACTATTAGGCCTTAATGTAAATACTGACAGGCCTATCTGTAGTATCTAGATCTATAAAGTACTATAAAGGGCCTAAATTAAAAATGCCCAATTTTATAAGCTGCACTGCATTACAGTTTTAGTTAAAGGCAACTATAATAGAAAAAAACATGAACACTTTAATTAATGTCATTTAAGAATTTATCAAAGGATACGTCAACTTCACTAAACATTTTATAAATAAGAATACTGTGAAATGTCAATCTTTGAGTTTTAACACACCTCAACACTTTTCATCAGAAACATTACAAGAACCAAAATTTTCTAAATTAATAATAACATTTTTACCATGTTATACACGGACACAAATCCAATGTTTATGGCAAATCGTTAAGTATCTTGATCATATTGTGCTGTATTTGACTTGTAAGTTCTAACTCTATACATTACCTGTACAATATGTATACTAGCATTCTTATTACTAACACCAGAATCAATATGTAAAGTTTAATCTTTATTTTTATAGTAGCAACAAAGAAGTGTAACATATTAGCCTGTAGTTAATCATCATAGTCTAATTGCGCTGTACCATATTCAAGTTCACTATTTATAGTTTTCCTCTAGCTATGTTTATTTTACTTGCATGATTGTATTTTTTACATGCTCTAGTCCTAATATATAAAGTTTCATGATGGTATATGGAATAGCAACCTAGCTGTGCAGTCTGGAAATCCTCTTAATGGCAGTCACTATAGAACAGTGCTACACCCCTTAATTTAACTTCATTATTTCTAGTTACCTCTTTTCTAATTTTTATTTTATTTGTAGACTTCTATTGCCTATATCATTGAGTACAACAAATGTGCAAAGTTTTATCATTATATCTTTAATAGCAACATTGGTATGCAAGTTTAAAGCCAATCACACGTCTGGAATGCAGGTTACAATGAAACATAACAAGTTAAACACATAACTTTGAAAATTCATATAAAAAAAACTATTAGGCCTAGAATGATAAATTTGATATTTTTATCAATGGGGTATATTGTAGGATTAATCTGGGTCCATTTTATCATTCTATGATAATTAGGAAAAATTTCCCAATAATCATTAGGCCTAATCAATTAATCATCCAATCTTACTTTAAGAAGAAAATATCATGTCTGATAGCGAAGTGAATGGATGTTGTCCGAATAAATATACGATTAAGTTAATTTTCTTCTTTGAACTCTAGATCTAGATGTATTGTACAATAGTTAACTATAGGCTAACGCTGTAACATAGACGTCAATAGACTGCCATTGAATTAGGTAGCCATATTTGTTAACTCAAGTTAGCCAGGTTATGGATCTAGTTGGTTTTTCGGTTAAAATAGTTTCCTGGAAACATTTAAACATAAATTTGTCAAAATAAATTGTTCCTTAAATTAAAAAAAAATGATATAGAGATATACGCTATCAAAACAATATACCGTTTCGTGTTTTGACTCCAGTAATGATAATATATATGTTTATATTTGAGTGTGTATCACTTAAGTTATCTTTAATATTATTACGAAGTAAAACATTTATCTGGCATTTATGCTTACAACTAAACACCTCGTTCGGTCAAAGATTTGACCTACTCCTCCTGCACTGTGTGTTTCGTACTAAAGCTGATTCATTTTATAATCTACTTTTCAAGAAAATGTCTAGTCTGGTTAAATGTTCCATGAACAGAATTGCACCATTGGTTCGCACAAATATCACACAGAAAGCGACATTTCTTTCAGGCCCTCCAAAGCATCCATCGTCCTTCGTGGTAGGTTGTTGTAAAAAGTTAAAAAAAAACAAACTCCTTAGCCGTTAGCCCTTACTTACTAAAGTCAAAGTAGATCTAGTAAAGTTTAGAATTAGGCTAATAATTAGTAATTAGTAATTACTATAATTAGGTTATTTTTTTAGGCCTAATAATTAATTATGATTAAGTTTTTAAGAATCTAGATCTAGAGACCTGGAATCTACATCTACGGCCTATATTAGCGAGGCTCACTAACTTTAAAGCGTCCTTGGTTGCTAACCAGAACATGGCTACCTCACCTGGGCCTACGATTGGGCAATTTTTACTGCTTTGTTCGAGAGACCACCTTAACATTAAGTTTAAAAATAATTATCACGCGAAAAATGGCGTTTTTTTCGCGTATTTTAAGCTATCTGAAGATGACAAAGCTATTTTTGGCAGATTTTTTTTTTTTAAATTTGCTTCCGACCATGGAGGTCAAGCGGAAACATGGGTATAGTTTGAGTTGTTTAAAAACTTTAAATAAAGGACTGTTACGTGTCTAAATGGCACTGTAAGGTAGAGTATTATTAGATTGATCGTTTAGTGAAAAAATATTGTAATTATTTTGAATCCATTTTAAGAAATCGGCAGCCAAAAAAGGTCACTGAAAGCACGTAATTTTTTATTGTGACGTCATCGCTATTGTTACGGAAGCTGTACAGTAGTATCCTCTCGCTGCTTATATATTATATAATTGTATTCTTTTCACTTGACACTCTTTTTCAGCTTATTTTGCTAGCGTAATTAGACTAATTAAGCCTAATTATGGATATTTCACCTGGCTTTTGGATTATACTAAGACTCTAAAAGCCCTTAGCCTTAAACCACAACGATCTGTTTTTTTTTTTTTAAATTTTGTGTTGATCCCTGGAATTTGTAGTGAGCGTTGGTCTTTGTGTGCTTATTTAGGCCTAATTATTTGTTTTCAAATTTGTTATAGCTTAATTAATTTGTCTTAATTCTTATTGATTTCATAAATTTTAATTAGGTTAATTATAATATTATTTTCACTGGTCTTCGTTGATACATTTATTAGGCTTAGTAATGTTTATATTATATAAATATATTTATCAGGGGCGTAGCGAGGGGGCGGGGGTGCGGACCGCACCGGGTGACACCATTTAGGGGGGGGGGGGGTGACACCAAGGCAAAAAATAGCAAAATATATAGAGAAAAACTTGAGGGGGGATGCAAATCGAAAGTTTGAGGGGGGGGGGGTGCTAATCGAAAATTTTTCCCCGGGAAGGGTCGCTACGCCTCTGGGGGGGGGGGTGACACCATTAAGTGCCGCACCGGGTGACACCCGACCTCGCTACGCCACTGATATTTATATATTTTATTATATATTATTAAGATTTTAGAGGCCTGATAAATTAAATGATTTTAGCGTTGAGTCTAGGTTTACATTACTAATTAGTACTTAGTAAACCAAGTACGCATGGACTAGGACATGTGTGTGCTGTGCCGGCGGCGTTGTGGCGGGCGATGCCTCTCCAGCGCGAGCGAGCGAGTCGTGTGTCACACTTGGCCTGTGTCGATGTTTGGAATGCATAGGCATAGGCATAGGCCTAATTCTCGCTCTCGGGTGATTAATTTTTATGCGCTGACATTTGAAAAATCAAATAGACACACATCTTAATTAAATACATTTAATTTGAACTTTATATTAATCTAGACCTATAATACTAATTAGGGCCTATAACTTGGGATAACAAAGTACTTGGACTAGATTTAGCGCATGCGCACACTGTGCTGTGAGTTTTCTCTCGCTGGTTGACAAAATAACGCAGGCGGGCTAGCGATGTTTGTAATTTGCATATATCTTCGCTTACAGGCGATCATTTTAATGCGATTGGCCTCTTTTTATTTTATAGGCCTAATTAATTGTATTTGATAGGCTAACTTTTCTGGTTGACAAAACTAAGCGAGCGAGATGTCTGTCACGCGCACTGCCCGTGACGCTGTTTAGAATGTATTTCTCGCTAACTTGATGAATTTGAATGCTATTGCAGTGTTTTTTAAAATAAATCAAATACTTACAAATCTTTACATTTTAAACTGAGCATAGACAAAAGTTTGTAAATAACACACCTGTCCCAAGTGAAGTGAGAGAAGAGGGTTAGATTAATTTTACAATGACATCGCTATATTTTATGAATTGCCCTAATTAAGCATTTCTAAAACACTTACACTAGTTAATAAAACATGCATGGGATTGAATATCTTTAAAAAGATTAGATCTATACTATATATTCTTGAACATGTTGTTCATTAATTTGAATTTAGTTTTCCTTTTTAAACACCCTTCCATTTAAAAAAAAATTAAACAAAAATATTTAAAAATTCTAGATCTAGATCTAATTCCATTATGTGATTTTTTATTCTGACGAAGACAGTGTCCATACGAATAGAAATGTGGTAATAAAATCAAATGTACTGTGCATATTCTGCTAAAATCAAATCAGCTGCAAGGTCAACCCTGCAGAGTTCGTCTCTTCAGAAAAGTAATGGCGATCTGGTTGTCACGGATTATTTGGCTTGCAATGCTTGGAGTGGCCAATTAATAAAAATCAGTAATTAAGCTCCAAATGAGTTTATTTTCAACAAATTAAGTATTTGATTGATTAGAGATTGATCTCTAGTTTCCATTGGTAATGTTTAAATCGAAAAATAACGAAATTTAAAATTAGTGAGTATCTCTAGCCTATATAAATAGTAAATGTAAATACTAATAGTAAATACATTTATTTTTTAATGATTTAAATTTTAAATTTTAATGATTCATTGGGTAATCTATCGTTTTGGGTACGTAAAATGCCAGCAGCTATTTATGTACGAAAACGTTACCTCATTGTCAAGGCTGTAATAGAAGTATATTGTGATATATTTGTGCCAAATATTGTAGATAGATGAATAATAAACCTAAATCAATGGCTAAATATATCGATAGGCCTATAGGCCAGAAATTAACTTTAAACAGCAGTGTCTGAGAGCAAGATTTGCTATATAAACAGCAGCCATTTGTAAAATAGAGTGGCTTCCCCCTGAATCTGGCGCTAAAAGCTTATAAAAATAAAACTTAGACAAGATGGCTGCTATAGTAAATGAGCATGGTTGCATCTGTTGGAAACATCGCTAGTCTTCATTTATTACGGAAAAGTTTTAATTCAATTGTTTAAAAACAGGTACATAAATGAATCAAGGAAACATTTTTGAATTTTTTAAAACATAAATCCTCCTCAAAATGTGAAATAATAATTAAAATTTAAGGAGTCACCTGTTTTTCACATTACAAATCGCAGGCGATTTTACGTACCCAAAACGATAGATTACCATTCATTGTTTTCCTAACGTTTATGTGTGTTTCGGTTGTGTAGTAGGCCTATAGTAGATCTATATAGATCTAGATTATTATAGATAGTGTATCTTATTATATTATAGGGCCTATATTAGGCTGTTCGATTCAACGCTTCCGGGTTTGTAATTTTCGTGGCATCTCACGGCTCATGCGCTTACTAAAATGGTGACGAGTTTTGCTTTCTCTAAACAGTAGAGGGATAAAACTAATGACTATGAGGCCATCGTTAATTTTAGAAATCCGTTTCTATTTCAGTCTGTTATTTAAGAATTGTCAAATGTACTGTTGACCTAATTTCTTTGTTTGTCTCGCAAGCGGCGGCAAAGTGAAAATAGTTTTATGTCAAATCAAATAACTCTAAAATAACGCTTCCATAGCAAACCAGACTGTGCATATAAAACTTGAAAGCATAAATTTTACACACATTAAAATTTAACTGGTAATAAGTTATGGAGTTTATGAGAGATGTTCGTGGCAAAACGATCACCACCCCCCCCCCCCCCTGGTGAACGGAAAAAAGTCACAGGAAAAAAAAGCACAGAAAAAAAGTCAGTTTTTGCTAGGAAAAAAAGTCACGGAAAAAAAATGGAAAAATTTTATCGGAAAAAAAGTCACAGAAATAAAGTCACAGAAAAAAAGTCACACAAAAACTTTTTAGAAATATTTTGATTTATTTGTTAAGAATTGTAAAATTTTGTATGTTTATTGTTGTGGGTTGTATTTTTAGATAGCTTAAATTATTTATAGACGTTAAAAGCACTATGATTTATAAAAATTATAAGTAAAAATACTCTAAGATAATTTACACAACAATCTCAACTTATGTTATGTATTTAGTTAAATACGCGGTAGAAAAGTTAACTATAAAAGAAATTTAGGCACATCATTGTGTTTTGCATATGTTTTGCCGTAGGCAGTTCTCTGGTCGGCCTTCCCTCAGTAGGCATTGTCGGAACATATTTTGTGTCAATGACAGCCTTTGAACCTTGTCGGCTCTCTGTTTTGATCCTAAGTTTTATGTAATGAACGTGATAAATGTGGGCAGTAAAGGTGGTTGAACTAAGCATAACTACTTTGCCATGATTTGAGGGCAGTAATTCAGATGACCTTACCATTTCACAGTAATTTAATTTAAAAAAAAACACGATGAAAACCATGGACATTCTATTAAATGCTATAAATATTATGTTTAACATAATTACAATCTACATAATTCATACTAAATATTTTTAGATGAATTATAAAAATTACTATGCGTATACAACCTACACACATTACATTACATTCAATTAATCCTAAACTAATTTGCACTCTCTGAATATTTTATACATAAAAGTATTAACAAATCCCATGCAAATATATATTTGTGACTTTTTTTCTGTGTTTTTTTTTCCTGTGACTTTTTTTCCTACAATCTCTCCCCCCCCCCCCCCCCCCCCAATAATGCCATTTTATTATAATCTTGTTTGGTGAAAACGAGGCGCAGGAAAATGTGTGCCGCGCAATAATCCAATCATTTGGCTAGATGTATGACTGTTTTTTTATGTCACACCTAAAAATAGAATGTTTACGCTTTCTTCATTGATGATTGTTTTTATTATTTTTTAAACTGAAAGTATGAATTATTAGTTAGATTGCAGGTTTTGTAACTTGTTATACTTACCATTTATCAATTTTAAAAGCATAGCATGCTGATTGTGTCCAAATATAGTCATAAAACACAAATATAAAGTTATAATTGCGATGTGCCACACCCCCTCAAGAAAGCATGTGTATTAAGCTGTTTATCTCACTTTATAACAGTAACTAAAATTAATTTTCAAATATGTAGGCCTATTACTTATTGGGTAAGATTAAGCACATGTTTATTAATAATTTTTAAAAAAAAGGGTAAATTCTGTTTTAATGAAGGTCACAGGTCAAATATTTTTTCCATTAGTCAAGTTCAGTGGAGGGTGCCACAGGCTGACCTGACTTTGGAATTTTTTTCAGTAATAATGACTTTGCACAGAAAGTTTAAATATGCTAAATTGGCTTAGTTTACTAGTGTGCTAGCTATTATTGATACATTTTAAATTAAAAAATCATTCTGAAATTCTCATCAAAATGCCTAGCCTATATATTATAATTTCATAATTTATAAAATACGCTCCACTGGAGGTGAACGTGAAGCGGCGAATAAAATAAGCTAAAATGAAGTTTTACCCATTTATTAGGCTAATGTATTAAATTAGAGACATTTTTGCCATTAATGATTCGAGATCTAGAGATCTAGATCTAGTAAAAATTTATTTTAATTTTGGTCTATACTAGCCGGCCAGGCCCTGCACTGGCCTTTGTGAAAAACCTATCTGTAAAGAACCATGTCTTGTGTGTTAAGTAATCAGCATATACCCGGCATTGCCCAGGTTTAGGAGATATAGATCTATTACTTTTCGAATTATGTAATTAACCCAAAACAAAACAAGGAAATGCAAACATTAACATAACGTAGGCCATTCAGTTCACGGCTTCCGGGTTTGTTTGTTTATATTATCTCATGGCACAAGCTCTCGAAGCTATTTACTAAGATGGGGAGGCACGGTTTCATTTTAATTAAGAGTTAGAGGGATAAAACCAATGATTTTGAAGCCATTGTTAATTTTAGTATTTGGAATTACCCGTTTCTAATTAAGTCTGTTAATCAAGAATAGTAAGGTGTACTTTTGACCTAATTTCTTTATTTATCTTGCAAGCAGCGCTTTAGTGAAAGTGGCTGTTTTTATTCTTGTGTTAACGTGAACTTAAAATCAAATAACTTCTAAACTACATGATGAATATTAACCAGTGTGTGATGAAGTAATGGTTCAGAGTCTTAGCTTTATATACGTGACAACGTCTGGGAATAATTCTTAGATCCGTATGTGTGGACAGTATGCCAGAAACATGACCCCCCTTATAATGCCATTTTATTATAATCTTTGTGCTGAAAACAAATCATTTGGCTAGATTTATTAGTTATGTCGCGTCATATCTAAAAATAGAATGCATTGCGCTTTCCTCATTCATAATCATTTTTATCTTTTTTTAAAGTAAAATATGAATTATTAGTTAAGATTGCAGTTTTTTAACAAGGTATACTTACCCTCTGTAATTTAAAAAGCATGGCATGTTAATTATGTGCAAATATTGTCATAATACACAAAAATCTAAAGTTCGATTTATTTATTTATTTATTTATTTTTTATTTTATTTTTCTACTACCACTATCCACCACTCCTAGAGCTAGGCTTATACAATATTAGAATAGTTTATTTCTTCAGTATATATTTATTATTAACACTATAACTCCGTTCAATAATTAGACGTCCATGTAATTTTTCAGTTTCGCCCGATGAACTAAACCCCACTTCACTTTGTTGCAGAGTCTTAATTTTTTCTGATTGCTTAGTTCAAATATTTTTTTGTTTTCTGACAGAGTGGTACTTTGAAAATTAATAACAACATATTTTTATAATCTTTTTAGAATTGCCGAATATTTTTATCTGTTAAATATAAAGGGTCACGTGATTGAACATTTTGTTGCCAGTGTTAACAATACATTTGTGTAGTTTAAAGTAGAAAACCCGACCTAAGTCATGGATGGTTTGGGTTTTAGCGATGATTTTAATTTTAAACTCAATAGTCCATGATGTGTAGCTTGAAATACTTTACATTACAAAAAAAATCGACAATTTAGCATTTTAGTGTGTTCTTTAGTCTGTATCTTTTGTGAATAATTTCAATTTTAACTAGATCTAGGTGGTATATGGGTATCCAGTCATATTGTAATCCATATTGGGAGAAGAATGCCCTACAATAGTCTTGGGGGAGGGGGTCAATGTCCTGCCCTATATAAAAAAATTAAGTAATATTGTTTCATATTGCTAGATTTCTTTTTTTTTTCATAGAGCAAAATTACTGTTGGAGGAGGCATGTGTTTGACGATTGTTGCCCCCATGTTCTGGATAATGGCAAACATCAAGCACTATAAGAATCCTGATGGAGTTGCACAAGATGAAGAATAATAGTTCTGTTGTGTTTGAATGAATAGCAGACAGAATGTTAACATTTTGATGAAAAAATCACAAATCTGAAATCAGTGTGATACAATTTTCCAGTTGATACTTATTAAAATGATTGATTTTTACATTTGAAAATTGTTTGTTTTTGTATAAACCTCCTGCCTTAACATACAAGTTAAAATATTTGCACAGCCAGTTCTAAATGAACAACCACTCTGGTATAAAACTATTCTGAATAAGAATTTTGCAATGACCAGTCACAATTATATCTAGCAGGTATTGAGAACATGTGTAAGCAGACATAAAATGTTGAACTGAAAACTAAAAAGTGTTCCAATTTTCTGGGGCTCTTACTTAAAATGATTAACCTTCACCTAATGTGACGTACCAGCTTAAAGTAGAATCACCTAATACACATTTTTATATAGAAAAAAAACTAAAAAATCTTTATAATAATATATTGAGCTTCTAATGTTAATTGCACTGCAAATAGGATATGCTACAACTGAAAATATTTGCTTAACCAGTATCTTGTGATCTTCAAAAGATAGTTATCTGCTCCTACCCAGTTGTTGTTCGCAGAGCAGGTGAGAAATCCGTCAACTCTTGACAGTTTCCCCTTGACAGCTTGTTACTCTTTTATCTTCCCTTTATTATTGAAGATTGAAATAATTAAATTGTCTGTCTAGTTAAACTTAAAAAAATGTATGTTCTTGCAATGCAATCAAAGACGAATGTATCTGGAAAGTTAGGGAACAAAATTGAGAGTGCCTACGTTAAGTTACAAGATTTTCCACAATTGGACATTGTGAACTAAGGAAAAGCTTGTAAAAATTGAGAAATCAACAAGTACAAGTATAGAATTAGAAAGTATAGCTGAATTACATTATAATATTAAAACTTGCATTCCAAAAAAATTGCTTTTAACTTTAACAGGAGTGCTTAGCATATTTATTTTATCCACAAGCCCAGTATTAATTAAATCTTCTGTTTGGTCAAGTTTTGTGTTTTTATGACTGAACTTGCACAATCTAAATAATATGAGTTTGTTGGAGAGGATTGTGTTCCATCCCATTATCCAGGGAATGATCTATATTCAGCATGAGTATTCTCCTGGTTAGTATATATTTTCTAAATAAATTTGTGATCCTGCAACACTCATGTCCAGAAAAATCTTGATACTATGCTTGTTTTGAATTTTAATGGGACCAAAGTCATATTTATTCGTTCCTTGTCATCGGGTGTGTGCCATCAGAAACTAGTGATTTTAACAGCCAAAAAAAAAAAACGTTTGTCCATTGTAAATGTACAAAAATACACAATTATAATACTACCAGGCAAACATTTAAACTTAAACAAGAAAGTATGGTGATTGATCTATTCATACATCTGAGCTCCTAATGAGATCACACCCACCAGTAATAGATCTAGTGAAGGTTGATTTGTATAAGCTTAAATTAAATCAAACTTTCTTTTTTACTGAGCATAAACTTAACTTTTCAGTGCTTTTTGTTACTGAAAAAAGTTAAAAAAAAAAAAAAAACAAGTTTAATTTTTCTAAGTGGTTTATTGATTGATAAATTTCAATTGCTAATGCTAAATATGTTGGAAATAAGATTGTTTAAAAAATATAATTCATACAAAACATTTGCTTAGAATAGTTTCTCAACTTGTTACTTTATCAGTTAATGTGAACTTCACCATTATGTAAGGGCTTATCAATGGACACCAGCGAGAAAAGTCTCAAAGGTATTTGAGAGGTCCATAAATTAATTTAAAAATCATGCACGGCGTAGTTACAATTAATATGGTTATAAAATCCTGCCTGTCTAGTTTTTTTCGGACTTTACTAAAGATTGGATGTATCTGATGTTTTTAATATTTTCGGTAACTAAATAAAAATTAAAAAAAAAAAGCAAAAAAATTTGGTTTTCGCGTGTAATGGCGACATAAACAATGGCATCCTGCTATTCGATAGGCTGCTATAAATAAACTAGGTCATGTAGTTTAAATTTGCATTGTTATTTAAAAACTTGATCTGCAAAGTTTTGTAAACAAAAAAAACTATAAAGTGGGGCTGTCAGAAATCGATCACGGAGTTCCTGTACAGCCAATCAATGTTTGTCTTACGAAAGTGAAACATCGGGCTATAACTTAGGCTTTATGAAAATAAATAGAGATGTAGCCTTAAACTCAACAAATTATTTTCAAGTTCTCTGGATCTGCAACTTGTATAGTATTGATTCTAAAAATATTAAATTTCTGAATTAATTTTAGGCTTTTAAGTTTTTAATAAAATTTTATCTTTTATTATTTTTACGGTCCTAAATCTAAAAAAGCACATTTGTATTCCATGTCAACAACATTACGGAAGGATTTTCGTCAACTCACTGGTGTCCATTAAGAAAATACAAAATATTGTTTCATATTTAAACCAAGAAATAATAAATACTTGATCTGATTTTTGTTTTCAAAAGAAATATAGTTGCAGAGTTTTAAAAAATGGATTTTTCATCTACCCTAAAAACTTCTGGGGTTGAGAAACAATAAACCAAGGCATAGGTAGACACAATTTGACACTATTATATTATGGAAATAAGTTAGATCAGAGATCAAGATCAAAGAAAACAATGCATGGTATGGTTTAGCTTGAGCTGCCATCACAACAATCTTAAATACAGATCATGAAATTTCTAATATATTTTTTCCCACATTAAAAATAAGAGTTTGCTGTTGTTGGTTCATTAATCAAATTTAAAAAAAATGGTCCTTGAAATAAACTAAAGAATCAGCAAAATTACTGTCACACTTACTTTCAAGATTTATAAAAAATACATTAAAAAAATACAATAGCATTGTAATTGTACATATTTACATTAATGGCACATTGTATAGGCATGTTAAGAGTAATAGGCTACAAGGCAAGTTTTTGTCTTCATTTAGCAGTAGCTTCAAGATCACTTTTACCAAGTGTGCAACATTGAGAGATTTATAAATCATTAACTTTCATTAAGAAATCTTTTTCATGACTACTTAGTGTAGATTTTAAATTAAAAGTATTATAATGCATACACAGTAATCACAAGTATTTTAAGTATTTACTGTAAGCCTTTAAATAGGAATCTGCTTAAAAAAGAGTTAAATGAAAATCTACTTGAACTTCTGCCCAGAAGCAATAACCAAGTACTGGTACTTTAAAGTAAAAATGTCAACAATGAGAAATTCAAACAACACTAAGTAAAAGTCAAGAACTATTCATTTACTGAGTTACACTATGTTAAATATATTCAATGCAACTAATCATTTACTGAGTTACACTATATATTAAATATATTCAATGCAATTTTTAAGCTTTAAATATTGCATTGAAAACTGTTAACAGGTACATAAATCTTCATTTACAAAAAATGACTATCTTTGTAGCTTGTGCTAGCATTTCTAACACTACATTTATACTAAATGTATTAAATAAATACCTAAGCACTAATTATGCTAGCTACCAAGTTAATCTCAAATATTTTAGTTGTAGAAAACACCTGCATTTATCCAGCACTCAAAGTAACAACTCATAAGGACTAAGGAAAGATTACACAAACCGTGAGCTAACATGGTCAATGGGAAGATGTCAAGTTTTTACATGTGTCTATTAAACAATTTGTATGGACCTTTCTAGAGTGCAATCAAACCCTAAGTGTGTATAAAAAGGAAACCAGTGAATACAAGACAACTTATGACAACAGACTCTAAAAATGTTGTATCAAAGCAACAGTGTGACCCTCCTGCCCATTCATCCAGTGTAGTACTGAAAGTAACACTTCTTGTGTCAATAGAACATTCAAGTGCAGAACTACATTTTCTTTTTAAAGTTACTGGTTCAGTGTTGTGCATATTATATATCCCCAAACAAAAAGTAAATAAGAAAATACATGAAATAATGAAGTTGAGAATGAAATTTGTGCAGTGAAGAAACTATTAAATGTGTGGTTATAAGTTCAATAAAAAAATATAGAATTGATTTGCATGATGTATTAGATTCAGAGTATTATCAAAATGCTATATAGCAAGATTTGATATGATATATATATATATATATATCAAAGGAGTATTAAATGTCATGTCAGCATAGTCAAGAAGGGTGATCAACCTAAAACAACAAAACTGATAACAGCTCATAGAACAAACCCTGAGGTCAGAACTCATTTAAAACAGCTGAGACTGTATCTTGGTTAATGTGCTTGTCACTAAATTGTTCAAATTGGTGCTCATTTTCTTGGTCCCATTCTCCCTTCATGATAAAAATGCACTTTGAAAGTGAGCAGTTATCAGAGCAAAAAGGTCCAATGTATCACAAATTATCTTTAATAATTATCATTCAGTGATATGTAAAATTAATTAAAAGGTTTTTAAAAGTAACACTTATCACATGTATCACTTTGATTGATCATTATTTCAAGTTGGGCAACACAGTTAAACTACATTTATATTAAATCTCATTTTAGTTCTAAATATACATAAAAATTTAAGAACATTATATTTCAAATATTAAAATAATTTGCATAATTACATGTCCAGTTTAATGTTTTGGACATATTTTGCTGCAAACCCATTGTTAAAATGTACAAAAATGAGTGACACAAATGTATATACTCCAAAAAATCAAATGTAAAACTCCTGTTGTCCTTCAAGTGGGGTTATCTTTTCTGAATGAGAGTGATTTCAAAAGACTCCCAGACCGTCTCCTATGTCCCGGTGAGGCCTGACCTTGTGTGATCAGAAGTTCTATTTCTACACTTCGGCTTAAGGAAACCCACTTTGGAACCCCATCTGCATCTAATGAAGGAAGAATTTTTAAACTGAGTATGTTATTAGCATTAAACTCTTCAAGCTATTAAACCAATCATTTCTGCCAAACTTCCATTCTGCACAGTAATTTTGTTTAGACTTTTGATGTTAGTAGGCCTACAGTCCATGTTTTCTTTACTGAAGACAAAAAAAAAAGAAGAGAGAATGAGCTTATTGGGTTGCATCTTGACCAAACAAGACAGCAGCTAACCTACCTGCTAGAAGGGTTCTTAGAGGGATACTCTTAGTGGCAACATGCTCTTTTCTGGAATGTTTCAGATTAAAAATCAGAACGGCATCCATGGATATACCAGAGCCTTTGTCAACCTTAAAGAAGAAAAACAATTTTATTTCTGGGTACAATCAGTGATGGACTGGGGAGGCTAACAGGCTGAAACCCCATGGTGTTGGCTTGTAAGATAAGGGAAGCAACTGGGTTAAGAAAGTGTGATATTACAGTCATTTGATAAGTTATTTTTAAAACTGACATGTAACAGTTGTTTGACATTTTTCACTGAACAGACTTTTTCTTGTCAATTTAAATACAAAATAACTGATGTACCTTGTCTTAACCACATTTTAGACAACAGAAGCTAAATTCTTATGAAGTTTCATTATCCCTTTACTAAGGAAAAGAATGATTCAAGATGAAAAAATTGAAATTTTAGGGGTGGGGGTGGCTGCAATGTATGTAATGAGAATAATTAGGCTATGGTTTGTTCTGCCAGGGATACAAAGGGTAGTATCAAAATATCATCCAACATTTCTATTGAATACTGTTTGATGCAACTGTTTCTAGTATAAAATAGTTTGCAAATACCTCAAACTCTGTATTCAAATTAGGTGAACCTGCATGAATTGGCACCAGCTGAGATTTGCCAATAACTCTTGTGTTATGAAAGAGACTCAGCCTGTTCCCAGGGCTGTAAAGTGAAATGCAAAAGTCTGAGTGGGATGTCATGGTCAATAGACAGAGATCACATTCAAAGCATTATTCTCAGAACTCTTGGAACTGTTTAAGCTTTATACACATATTTTATCCTTATTTTACCTAATATAATAAGTAAACTATAAACTGAATTTGATTAAATCTTCTATAAATCAGTGACAACATCAGGAATTCTGGTTAATTTCATAGTTAAATTTTTTTTTTGCTTGCCTAGTTACTGGGAGAAATGACGACATTCATTAACTCAAATTGTAGCTGGTATTGTTGAATCTTTGTATTGTACATCCCTAATTTCATTATGTTCTTTTAACATTACCTATGTCCAAATTATTTGTTAATTAATAATTTGGCTAGCTACAAATTCCTTACATCTCTAGCCTGACTTTACAGTAGATCTCAGTGGCTGAAGGAGAAAATTCCCCTCGAACTCGCAGAATTTTCCCAGACACACTAAACAACTTTTCTGTAACTGAAGCTGAGCTGTCTGTAAAAAAGTCAGGCCAAGACAAACAATGTTAAATTTACACATTTACATGTGTATATATGAAATAAAAGAAAATATAATAATTTGAAACAAAATGTTGTCAGAAAACAGATTGTAATTTCAGAGAGAGAAAATAGAAAATGAAATCTAGTTTAACTTAGGAGAATTCGGTGTGTAAGATTAAGTCATTAATTCAAATTTTTCTTGTGAAAGTACTTTTTACAAATCTTAAAGTTAAATATTGTAATTATTAAACATTTTAAAATATAAAACAGTTTCCCTATGTTAAAGAAATTCTGTTTATTTGATACGAGTTATCTGTGTAACTGATGCGCTGAGTGTCTAGTGTAAAAAAGATAAACCATCCTCTTAAACCTGAGATTAAGAAAACTGATGCGCTGAGTGTGTAGTGTAAAAAAGGTCATGCTCTTTAACCTGAGATTTTAAAAAAATGATGCGCTGAGTGTGTGGTGTAAAAAAGATAAACCATCCTCTTAAACCTGAGATTAAGAAAACTGATGCGCTGAGTGTCTAGTGTAAAAAAGATAAACCATCCTCTTTAACCTGAGATTAAGAAAACTGATGCGCTGAGTGTGTAGTGTAAAAAAGGTCATGCTCTTTAACCTGAGATTAAGAAAACTGATGCGCTGAGTGTCTAGTGTAAAAAAGATAAACCATCCTCTTAAACCTGAGATTAAGAAAACTGATGCGCTGAGTGTGTAGTGTAAAAAAGGTCATGCTCTTTAACCTGAGATTAAGAAAACTGATGCACTGAGTGTGTAGTGTAAAAAAGATAAGCCATCCTCATTAACCTGAGATTAAGAAAACTGATGCACTGAGTGTGTAGTGTAAAAAAGGTCATGCTCTTTAACCTGAGATTTAAAAAAAATGATGCGCTGAGTGTGTGGTGTAAAAAAGATAAACCATCCTCTTAAACCTGAGATTAAGAAAACTGATGCGCTGAGTGTCTAGTGTAAAAAAGAGAAACCATCCTCTTTAACCTGAGATTAAGAAAACTGATGCGCTGAGTGTGTAGTGTAAAAAAGGTCATGCTCTTTAACCTGAGATTAAGAAAACTGATGCGCTGAGTGTGTAGTGTAAAAAAGGTCATGCTCTTTAACCTGAGATTAAGAAAACTGATGCGCTGAGTGTGTAGTGTAAAAAAGATAAGCCATCCTCATTAACCTGAGATTAAGAAAACTGATGCGCTGAGTGTGTGGTGTAAAAAAGGTCATGCTCTTTAACCTAAGATTAAGAAAACTGATGCGCTGAGTGTGTAGTGTAAAAAAGATAAGCCATCCTCTTTAACCTGAGATTAAGAAAACTGATGCACTGAGTGTGTAGTGTAAAAAAGGTCATGCTCTTTAACCTGAGATTAAGAAAACTGATGCGCTGAGTGTGTGGTGTAAAAAGGTCATGCTCTTTAACCTGAGATTAAGAAAACTGATGCACTGAGTGTACAGTGTAAAAAAGATAAGCCATCCTCTTTAACCTGAGATTAAGAAAACTGATGCGCTGAGTGTGTAGTGTACAAAGACGAACCATTTAACCTGAAGTTAAGTTTAAATGTGCAGCACATTTTGTTTTGTATATAACAAGGGTAAGATGTGAAAGATGGATCAGGCTTCTTGTATTGAGATGGTGCTAACAGCAGAATGGAAACTGCCACAAGAAATTAAAAAAAAATGCTCATGCCAATGTAGTTAAAAAAAAAAAATCTGAAATAAGTTTTTGTCTCACAAAAGGTTAGTAGGGCAGCCATGAGGTTAGTGAATTAAAAACACTGAACAGTATTTCTCTACCAATACACAATATTGTAAATTTTATTAAATATAAAGCTGCTTTTTTATGTACTTTGTAATATTCTAAGTGATGAAACAAAGGTAAGCAATTAAAAAAAACGTATTAGAAAGTGTTTTTAAATCAAATTTTGAGTGAGTCAAATCAATCAGTGAGTGTAACCAATGAGCAAAATAGTTCCTGTTAGTGTTTGGCTCAACAACAACAACATGATTCTAATCAATGATGCTGCTGCTCACACCACTTTTTATGGATGCCTAATCATAATACAAAACTTTAAAATATTCATTTGAAATCAGAACATGAGTGGGTGTGTGTGTGTGCACTTTGCAATGAATATAGAATGTGTGCAAGTAATAAAGTTGTATAAGGAAGAAAAATACTTTTCATCTTTAAAAAACTGAAACAACTCACGTCGACGTAATTTTAGCCTTACTAAAAGACAAAAACAAGCCAGTTAGGTCATACACACTTGCATAAAGGATGTAAAAGTTGGCACTAGTTTAAATTTAGCCTTACTAAAAGACATAAAGAAGCCAATTAGGTCACACACACTTGCATAAATGATGTAAACATTGGCACTAGTTTAGTTTCAAATACAACCAACACTTAAAGGAGCTTACTACAAGTTGTCCTTGCAGTAAGTTCTGTGCACAAGACAATAGTCCACTGTCAACAGTGCTTTAGGATATTGTATATTTACACAAAAGTCAATTGAAAACTTAATTTTTATGTTTGTTGACATTGACCTTTAACTATTGTTTTCTTAAGTTTCCAGCTAAAATCATTATGAAAATAAACTGTAGAGGCCTAGAGTTATTGACTATGTAAGCAGTGTCTGCACACAACAGAAAGGACAAGCTGTATACATGGACTTACATAAGGAGGCACGATCTCCAAGCCGCTGCATCATGTTTACTGAGTTGGATCTGGTGATAGGTTTTTTTATCTTGGGTAAGCAACATGGTAAACAACATTTACATCAGTGATTTATCACACAGTAACATTTACATCGATGGTTTATCACATGGTAAATAACATTTACATCAGTGACTTATCACTTGGTAAATAACATTAACATCAGCGATGTTAAAACATACTGGGGTCCTAACTATATACACAATAATTGCATAACAGCAGAGAAATTAACTTACGAATCTGCTCTTTTCATCCTCTGCCTAGGTAACGTCTCATTGTTATTGTTGGCTGGATGGTCATTTAGAGCAAGCTGAGATGGTGTTCGTTTGATGGGTGGCACATGCGTCTGTACAAAGAGGTAAGGTGGTTTATTGTGTTCCACTCAAAGATTCTTTTGTTTTAAAACACTACCATTCATGTTCACACTAAAGGCTGTTTGCTAAAGTATAAAGTATTCACACAGCTAGGCTGTTGGCTCAAGTATAAAGCAAGCATTACCTTAGGTGGGGCTTGTAAAGCAACATGGTCCAAGCTAGTGTTGGGCGACCCAATAGAACTGTCAGATATGTCGAGGTTAGGGTGGCCCTGTAGAAAATGGTTTAACATGTTAGGTTAGGGTGGCCCTTTAGAAAATGGTTTAACATGTTAGGTTAGGGTGGCCCTGTAGAAAATGGTTTAACATGTTAGGTTAGGGTGGGCCTGTAGAAAATGGTTTAACATGTTAGGTTAGGGTGGCCCTGTAGAAAATGGTTTAACATGTTAGGTTAGGGTGGGCCTGTAGAAAATGGTTAAACATGTTAGGTTAGGGTGGGCCTGTAGAAAATGGTTTAACATGTTAGGTTAGGGTGGGCCTGTAGAAAATGGTTAAACATGTTAGGTTAGGGTGGGCCTGTAGAAAATGGTTTTATAAGTTAAGCTTGGATGGACTCCTATAGACTGAAGCCCAGGATTCAAAGTCAAAACATTTGGGTTAGTGGTCATACCATGCAGCCCCATTAGATGTACTGTATACATGTATACAGCTAGTAATTCATTAATAGTAGGTACTAGGTAGTGTGTCAATCATCACGTTGTTTACTTATAGGTATAGACAAGCAGGCTTCATAAGTATCGAGAAAGTAGGCGGCATCAAAGTCTCATAGAAAGATTCTAAACAGCAATCTGTCATTGATGTAATGTAATTGTGTTCTTAGACTGACCCTAGACCACAGTAACTGACCCTAGACCACAGTGACTGACCCTACACAGCAGTAACTGACCCTAGACCACAGTAACTGACCCTAGACCACAATGACTGACCCTAGACCACAGTGACTGACCCTAGACCACAGTGACTGAACCTAGACCACAGTGACTGACCCTAGACCACAGTGACTGACCCTAGACCACAGTGACTGAACCTAGACCACAGTAACTGACCCTAGACCACAGTGACTGAACCTAGACCACAGTGACTGACCCTAGACCACAGTGACTGACCCTAGACCACAGTGACTGACCCTAGACCACAGTAACTGACCCTAGACCACAGTGACTGAACCTAGACCACAGTGACTGACCCTAGACCACAGTGACTGACCCTAGACCACAGTAACTGACCCTAGACCACAGTGACTGACCCTAGACCACAGTGACTGAACCTAGACCACAGTGACTGACCCTAGACCACAGTGACTGACCCTAGACCACAGTAACTGACCCTAGACCACAGTGACTGACCCTAGACCACAGTGACTGAACCTAGACCACAGTGACTGACCCTAGACCACAGTGACTGACCCTAGACCACAGTGACTGACCCTAGACCACAGTGACTGAACCTAGACCACAGTGACTGACCCTAGACCACAGTGACTGACCCTAGACCACAGTAACTGACCCTAGACCACAGTGACTGAACCTAGACCACAGTGACTGACCCTAGACCACAGTGACTGACCCTAGACCACAGTGACTGACCCTAGACCACAGTAACTGACCCTAGACCACAGTGACTGACCCTAGACCACAGTGACTGACCCTAGACCACAGTGACTGACCCTAGACCACAGTGACTGACCCTAGACCACAGTGACTGACCCTAGACCACAGTGACTGAACCTAGACCACAGTGACTGACCCTAGACCACAGTGACTGAACCTAGACCACAGTAACTGACCCTAGACCACAGTGAATGACCCTAGACCACAGTGACTGACCCTAGACCACAGTGACTGACCCTAGACCACAGTGACTGACCCTAGACCACAGTAACTGACCCTAGACCACAGTAACTGACCCTAGACCACAGTAACTGACCCTAGACCACAGTGACTGACCCTAGACCACAGTGACTGACCCTAGACCACAGTGACTGACCCTAGACCACAGTGACTGACCCTAGACCACAGTGACTGACCCTAGACCACAGTGACTGACCCTAGACCACAGTGACTGACCCTAGACCACAGTGACTGAACTTGACCACAGTGACTGACCCTAGACCACAGTGACTGACCCTAGACCACAGTGACTGAACCTAGACCACAGTGACTGAACCTAGACCACAGTGACTAAACCTAGACCACATTGAATGACCCTAGACCACAGTGACTGACCCTAGACCACAGTGACTGACCCTAGACCACAGTGACTGACCCTAGACCACAGTGACTGACCCTAGACCACAGTGACTGAACCTAGACCACAGTGACTGACCCTAGACCACAGTGACTGACCCTAGACCACAGTGACTGAACCTAGACCACAGTGACTGACCCTAGACCACATTGAATGACCCTAAACCACAGTAACTGACCCTAGACCACAGTAACTGACCCTAGACCACAGTGACTGACCCTAGACCACAGTGACTGACCCTAGACCACAGTGACTGACCCTAGACCACAGTAACTGACCCTAGACCACAGTGACTGACCCTAGACCACAGTGACTGACCCTAGACCACAGTGACTGACCCTAGACCACAGTGACTGACCCTAGACCACAGTAACTGACCCTAGACCACAGTGACTGACCCTAGACCACAGTGACTGACCCTAGACCACAGCGACTGACCCTAGACCACAGTGACTGACCCTAGACCACAGCGGCTGACCCTAGACCACAGTGACTGACCCTAGACCACAGTGACTGACCCTAGACCACAGCGGCTGACCCTAGACCACAGCGACTGACCCTACAACACAGTAACTGACCCTAGACCACAGCGGCTGACCCTCAATCACAGCGACTGAACCTATCAGGTATGGGTTTGCATCCTTACCAAGTGTAGAAACATAAACTAAAATGATTGGATGTAAAAAGTAAAGTGTTAAATTATTACCACAGGAGGGAAATCAAAGACACCATCAGGGGATGGGGAACCTTCCTTCATTTGATTCTGGAACAACAAAAATAAATGGAAAATAATACTTTCAACTTTCTACACAGGATTAGCTGTAAAGAAAATTAATTGGTTCTTAGAATGTCTGTATTATCATTGTTTTACCAGGCCATCCTTGGAAATGACATGGCACTTCAACTGAAGCTTTCCTTTCTTGATTTTCTCCAGGGGAAACCACTCTGCTGTGCCCTGAGACAAGTTTGAATAAGTCAGGACAACTCCATACACAGATCAACTTGATACCACAACAACAACAATACATTGCTAACACTCAGGTTTTAACTTCATGCCACATCAGTTCATGACAACAACATGTTTTAATATTAACATAGAAAACATTTACTTTGATAGACAGCTCCTTGAGATCATCAATACTGAGAGTTAATGATCCCATAAAGTCTTTAGATATGACATCTTTGTCAAAAACATCCTGGAAGCAAAAGTGAGATCAGGAATGTTGTCAAGGTAACAGAGAACAGTAGCAAAAACTAGAGGTGCAATTTTGTAATGTGAATTAAGCTGTTTCTTACAATGGTCAGATTGTGACCAGTTACTTACAATGGTCAGATTGTGTCCAGTTACTTACAATGGTCAGATTGTGTCCAGTTACTTACAATGGTCAGACTGTGTCCAGTTACTTACAATGGTCAGACTGTGTCTAGTTACTTACAATGGTCAGATTGTGTCCAGTTACTTACAATGGTCAGACTGTGTCTAGTTACTTACAATGGTCAGATTGTGTCCAGTTACTTACAATGGTCAGATTGTGTCCAGTTACTTACAATGGTCAGACTGTGTCTAGTTACTTACAATGGTCAGATTGTGTCCAGTTACTTACAATGGTCAGATTGTGTCCAGTTACTTACTATGGTCAGATTGTGTCCAGTTACTTACAATAGTCAGGTTGTGTCCAGTTACTTACAATGGTCAGATTGTGTCCAGCTACTTACAATGGTCAGATTGTGTCCAGTTACTTACAATGGTCAGGTTGTGTCCAGTTACTTACAATGGTCAGATTGTGTCCAGTAACTTACAATGGTCAGATTGTGTCCAGTAACTTACAATGGTCAGATTGTGTCCAGTTACTTACAATGGTCAGATTGTGTCCAGTTACTTACAATGGTCAGACTGTGTCCAGTAACTTACAATGGTCAGACTGTGTAAAGTTACTTACAATGGTCAGACTATGTCCAGTTACTTACAATGGTCAGATTGTGTCCAGTTACTTACAATGGTCAGACTGTGTCCAGTTACTTACAATGGTCAGATTGTGTCCAGTTACTTACAATGGTCAGATTGTGTCCAGTTACTTACTATGGTCAGATTGTGTCCAGTTACTTACAATGGTCAGATTGTGTCCAGTTACTTACAATGGTCAGACTGTGTCCAGTTACTTACAATGGTCAGATTGTGTCCAGTTACTTACAATGGTCAGACTGTGTCCAGTTACTTACAATGGTCAGACTGTGTCCAGTTACTTACAATGGTCAGACTGTGTAAAGTTACTTACAATGGTCAGACTGTGTCCAGTTACTTACAATGGTCAGATTGTGTCCAGTTACTTACAATGGTCAGACTGTGTCCAGTTACTTACAATGGTCAGGTTGTGTCCAGTTACTTACAATGGTCAGATTGTGTCCAGTTACTTACAATGGTCAGATTGTGTCCAGTTACTTACAATGGTCAGGTTGTGTCCAGTTACTTACAATGGTCAGATTGTGTCCATCAATCAGAGACATTTCTGTTGTCACTGTCTCATTCCACTTGGGAAACAAAGTTTTCTTCTTCACTGCTGTTGTGTAAACTTTCTTGTCTTTAACACTGACCACACAGTAGGGGTCACTAAAACCTGGACAATATACAGTACATTAGCACAGTAGGGGTCACTAAAACCTGGACAATATACAGTACATTAGCACAGTAGGGGTCACTGAAACCTGGACAATATACAGTACATTAGCACAGTAGGGGTCACTGAAACCTGGACAATATACAGTACATTAGCACAGTAGGGGTCACTGACACCTAGACAATATACAGTACATTAGCACAGTAGGGGTCACTGAAACCTGGACAATATACAGTACATTAGCACAGTAGGGGTCACTGAAACCTGGACAATATACAGTACATTAGCACAGTAGGGGTCACTGAAACCTGGACAATATACAGTACATTAGCACAGTAGGGGTCACTGAAACCTGGACAATATACAGTACATTAGCACAGTAGGGGTCACTGAAACCTGGACAATATACAGTACATTAGCACAGTAGGGGTCACTGAAACCTGGACAATATACAGTACATTAGCACAGTAGGGGTCACTGAAACCTGGACAATATACAGTACATTAGCACAGTAGGGGTCACTGAAACCTGGACAATATACAGTACATTAGCACAGTAGGGGTCACTGAAACCTGGACAATATACAGTACATTAGCACAGTAGGGGTCACTGAAACCTGGACAATATACAGTACATTAGCACAGTAGGGGTCACTGAAACCTGGACAATATACAGTACATTAGCACAGTAGGGGTCACTGAAACCTGGACAATATACAGTACATTAGCACAGTAGGGGTCACTGACACCTAGACAATATACAGTACATTAGCACAGTAGGGGTCACTGAAACCTGGACAATATACAGTACATTAGCACAGTAGGGGTCACTGAAACCTGGACAATATACAGTACATAAGCACAGTAGGGGTCACTGAAACCTGGACAATATACAGTACATTAGCACAGTAGGGGTCACTGAAACCTGGACAATATACAGTACATTAGCACAGTAGGGGTCACTGAAACCTGGACAATATACAGTACATTAGCACAGTAGGGGTCACTGAAACCTGGACAATATACAGTACATAAGCACAGTAGGGGTCACTGAAACCTCGACTGTAGAGAAAATACAAGTACATAAGCACTCACTTAATCAACTCAAATGCAGAGCTTTTTTTTTCATTTCCTTACATTAGTAATAACAAATTTACCATTTCGATCCATAGCAACCATGTCAATGCCTTGAAGAATAGTCAGCTCCACAATTACTTTATCTGGAAAAACAGAAATATGAAAGAAAGTGAAATGCAAGTTGATATTACAAATCCAAAATTTGAATCAAGCCAAGTGAGACTCAAGTGAGCATGAACTGTGGGAAGACACCACTTACTTGACAAGAGATCATTCATGTAGGAAGCTGTTGTTGATTTTCTGCCAGGGAAACCTGCCTGTAAAATAAATTCTCAGCTCAAAAGTTGTGTCATTTAAATTCCTAACATGTGTGGATCAAAACTTCCATGCTGGCTCAATGGTTTTAAGCAAATAAGATTAAAATGGAAGCATTTATTTCATTTGTTTTTTCTTCTTTTCATCTTAGAAAATAAATATCTTAAACTATTGCTTAGTGTCAAATATAAATGTGCATAACATTAGCATTGTGAAAAGTTCTAGTTATGCTTGGCTGGCTTCCCACAGTTTCACCAACCAGAAAATTGAAGCGGTTACATGTTACATGATAAGGTGTGCAATTCAAAGGGTGCAAAGTTTTTTTGATGTGGTACTGACAGAAATTGTTCTGATTCAAGTAATAGCGGCAGAATAATATCAGTGATAAGTACAAGGCACAAGATAACATACAGTCATTCAATGTTTACTATTTCTTTGAGTTAGCCCAAGAAATAGAATTTAAAGAGAACTCAAGATTTAGTTACAAGTCATCTTTGAGATCATAAAATTCCTCTGATTATACAATGTATGTGAGAATCCCATATTAATGTGTTAGCCAGCATTAGAAGCAGCAAGCAGACCTTGTGAGTTACCACAAGATAACAAGCAGACCTTGTGAGTTACCACAAGATAACAAGCAGACCTTGTGAGTTACCACAAGATAACAAGCAGACCTTGTGAGTTACCACAAGATAACAAGCAGACCTTGTGAGTTACCACAAGATAACAAGCAGACCTTGTGAGTTACCACAAGATAACATGGCATTTTGTAAACAGATTCATGCAGTAAATCATGTACATTTAATGCAGCACAATTTTCACTTTTTAAAAATAAAATAGACAATTAGTTTTCAGTTTACTTGTTTTGTATCTAGAATATGATAGATGTACAGCTACTATTCACATTAAATGGCTCAACATTTGTCTTAACATTAACTAGTTCAGTTGAGTACAACATTTGTCTTAACATTAACCGGTTCAGTTGAGTACAACATTTGTCTTAACATTAACTAGTTCAGTTAAGTACAACATTTGTCTTAACATTAGCTGGTTAAGTTGAGTACAACATTTGTCTTAACATTAACTAGTTCAGTTGAGTACAACATTTGTCTTAACATTAACTGATTCAGTTGAGTACAACATTTTTCTTAACATTAAATGGTTCAGTTGAGTACAACATTTGTCTTAACATTAACTAGTTCAGTTGAGTACAACATTTGTCTTAACATTAACCGGTTCAGTTGAGTACAACATTTGTCTTAACATTAACTGATTCAGTTGAGTACAACATTTGTCTTAACATTAACTAGTTCAGTTGAGTACAACATTTGTCTTAACATTAACTAGTTCAGTTGAGTACAACATTTGTCTTAACATTAACTGGTTCAGTTGAGTACAACATTTGTCTTAACATTAACTAGTTCAGTTGAGTACAACATTTGTCTTAACATTAACTGGTTCAGTTGAGTACAACATTTGTCTTAACATTAACTAGTTCAGTTGAGTACAACATTTGTCTTAACATTAACTGATTCAGTTGAGTACAACATTTTTCTTAACATTAAATGGTTTAGTTGAGTACAACATTTGTCTTAACATTAACTGGTTTAGTTGAGTACAACATTTTTCTTAACATTAAATGGTTCAGTTGAGTACAACATTTGTCTTAACATTAACCGGTGCAGCTAGGAGAGGACAAGAGGCAGTGGTCGCCCTGGGCACTGACCTTATGGGTGCGCCAAAAGGGGCAGAACTTTGTTTTTAAAGCTGAGGTATTGAATTACACAAACTTAGGAAAGTAAACGGCTATAAGGCTTTAAACACTAATTTAAGTGTTTTCTACATCAAATTGTGGTACCAGAATACAAACCTTTAAGGGATAGTCACTGGTAAAGTGTCACCAACCTTTCCACTGGGAGAGGGGGCACTTTTTTCACCATTTTGAATAACAATGTATGTAAATAGGTGGGATGGGGTGCAAAAGTTGATGATTGTTAGCCCCAGAATGGGTCGCTACGCCTCTGACTGGTTCAGTAGGATACAACATTTGTCTTAACATTCAGTGGTTCAACTAGGACTGATTCAAATGATTAAATAAGGTTTGTTTTAAATAATTAATTCCAGTTGTTTTAAAAAATTAATTCCTCTTTTTAAAAAAAATTAATTCCAGCTGTTTAAAAAAATTCCAGCTGTTTTGAATAATTAATCTTAGTTGTTTTAAATAATTAGTACCAGCAATTAAAAATAATCCCAACATATTTTAAATACTTAGACCCCACTGTTTTAATTAATAAATTCCAGCTGTTAATTAAAAATAATTGTATTGGTTTTAGAGTAAAATTTAAAAAGGAATAATGATTCATGCAAACAGACATATACAAATAGTTCAAACAGATAGTACCAATAAAGAAAATTTGCTATTAGTTTACTTTGCAGGTGCATGCAGATATGTGGAAATAACTATGAACATTTAACAGTAAATATGATTACAATTATGTGTTTTGGATATTTTGGGTGATTTCAGAAACTAACATTTATTTTAAGTACCATTAATTTTATAGTTAGTTCACATCATCTTGTTATGTGATCAATTTAGCTGATTTCAGTATGTTTTCACATATCATATCTGTATGTTGTGATGTTATGTTATAGATGTTATAGATGTCTTATATGTTGTGATGTTATGTTATAGATGACTTATATGTTGTGATGTTATGTTATAGATGTCTTATGTTGTGATGTATTAAATGTGGGTATTATGATGTTATGTTTTGATACAACAAATGTCTTATATGTAGTGATACAACAGATGTCCTACACCACTACAGTACATCTACTGGAACAAACTTTGATCAGTGAACCAGCTGTCAATAAGTGGAAAATTTCACTGATCAAAGCTGGCCCCAAGCATGCAGAAATGGAACTCCACTTACCGGAATCTATGGTGGGAAGTCATGAAGATGATATGAATGATGAATATTTTAATGACATTTGAATAATCAACTTTCTCTATGATACTAAGACCATAGTTAAAAAAAACATGTATGGTCAGTGATTTTTCAACAAACATAGGAAACTATTATTTCCTAGCACGACATCTCATTCACAGACTGAATAACAACTGAGAGATCAGTTCATGCAACATTACAAGCCCACTAAAGATGCAGATTGAAAGAAACAAACAACAGTTGTGTCCACAAGTTTCACTCAGAAAAATGACAGGAAGTGACAAAAAGACCTTGACCTACCCTAGTACTTGGTGACATCAGATCTTCCTTGTATAAGTAATCATTGGGCTTGTAGCCTTTCATGGCGTCACGAAACTTCTCTGAAAAATAAATGGTGAGGGCTATGTTAAACTTCCCACAGAAATCAAATGTTTACATGCACTTGGAGCTACTGGAGACAGGAAGTACACAGACTGGACTGGTCTAAAGATGATTGGTGAGCTACCTGATTTAGCCACAGACTGGACTGGTCTAAAGATGATTGGTGAGCTACCTGATTTAGCCACAGACTGGTCTAAAGATGATTGGTGAGCTACCTGATTTAGCCACAGACTGGACTGGTCTAAAGATGATTGGTGAGCTACCTGATTTAGCCACAGACTGGTCTGGTCTAAAGATGATTGGTGAGCTACCTGATTTAGCCACAGACTGGTCTAAAGATGATTGGTGAGCTACCTGATTTAGCCACAGACTGGTCTAAAGATGATTGGTGAGCTACCTGATTTAGCCACAGACTGGTCTAAAGATGATTGGTGAGCTACCTGATTTAGCCACAGACTGGTCTAAAGATGATTGGTGAGCTACCTGATTTAGCCACAGACTGGACTGGTCTAAAGATGATTGGTGAGCTACCTGATTTAGCCACAGACTGGACTGGTCTAAAGATGATTGGTGAGCTACCTGATTTAGCCACAGACTGGTCTGGTCTAAAGATGATTGGTGAGCTACCTGATTTAGCCACAGACTGGTCTAAAAATGATTGGTGAGCTACCTGATTTAGCCACAGACTAGACTGGTCTAAAGATGATTGGTGAGCTACCTGATTTAGCCACAGACTGGACTGGTCTAAAGATGATTGGTGAGCTACCTGATTTAGCCACAGACTGGTCTAAAGATGATTGGTGAGCTACCTGATTTAGCCACAGACTGGTCTAAAGATGATTGGTGAGCTACCTGATTTAGCCACAGACTGGACTGGTCTAAAGATGATTGGTGAGCTACCTGATTTAGCCACAGACTGGTCTAAAGATGATTGGTGAGCTACCTGATTTAGCCACAGACTGGTCTAAAAATGATTGGTGAGCTACCTGATTTAGCCACAGACTGGTCTAAAGATGATTGGTGAGCTACCTGATTTAGCCACAGACTGGTCTAAAAATGATTGGTGAGCTACCTGATTTAGCCACAGACTGGTCTAAAGATGATTGGTGAGCTACCTGATTTAGCCACAGACTGGTCTAAAGATGATTGGTGAGCTACCTGATTTAGCCACAGACTGGTCTAAAGATGATTGGTGAGCTACCTGATTTAGCCACAGACTGGTCTAAAGATGATTGGTGAGCTACCTGATTTAGCCACAGACTGGTCTAAAAATGATTGGTGAGCTACCTGATTTAGCCACAGACTGGACTGGTCTAAAGATGATTGAAACTGTGAGCTGCCCACACTTCTTGTCCTCAGTGAATCCTTCATCAGGCTTGTTGTAGCCCAGGGTGTACGTCTTTTTGATCATCTCAGGACAGGACTGGAGGGAACACAAGGGGAGGAGATTTACAACAGGGGTGGGGTATACAGCTAACAGGGGGTGGGGTATACAGCTAACATGGGGTGGGGTATAGAGGCTAACATGGGGTGGGGTATAGAGGCTAACAGGGGGTGGGGTATAGAGGCTAACATGGGGTGGGGTATAGAGGCTAACATGGGGTGGGGTATAGAGGCTAACATGGGGTGGGGTATACAGCTAGCATGGGGTGGGGTATACAGCTAACATGGGGTGGGGTATACAGCTAACAGGGGGTGGGGTATACAGCTAACTTGGGGTGGGGTATACAGCTAACATGGGGTGGGGTATACAGCTAACATGGGGTGGGTATACAGCTAACAGGGGGTGGGGTATACAGCTAACTTGGGGTGGGGTATACAGCTAACATGGGGTGGGGTATACAGCTAACATGGGGTGGGGTATACAGCAAACAGGGGCTGGGGTATACAGCTAACATGGGGTGGGGTATACAGCTAACATGGGGTGGGGTATAGAGGCTAACATGGGGTGGGGTATACAGCTAGCATGGGGTGGGGTATACAGCTAACATGGGGTGGGGTATACAGCTAACAGGGGGTGGGGTATACAGCTAACAGGGGTGGGGTATACAGCTAACATGGGGTGGGGTATACAGCTAACATGGGGTGGGGTATACAGCTAACATGGGGTGGGGTATAGAGGCTAATCAGTCAGAAAGAACAGATTCTTTTACCACAGTTTGTTTTACCCACCAATTAGAAATTGCTTACCTCAGACATCTTGACGTGGACAGAGCCAAGAAAATCATCATTGATTGTATTTGTCCCATCCCAGTCATAGAGGAAAAATGATAGGGAACTCTGTAGATATTAGGTTAGACATTGGTTTTACCATAGGTAGATATTAGGTTAGACATAGGTTTTACCATAGGTAGATATTAGGTTAGACATTGGTTTTACCTTAGGTAGATATTAGGTTAGACATTGGTTTTACCTTAGGTAGATATTAGGTTAGACATTGGTTTTACCATAGGTAGATTTTATGTTAGATATTGGTTTTACCATAGGTAGATTTTAGTTAGACATTGGTTTTACCATAGGTAGATATTAGGTTAGACATTGGTTTTACCTTAGGTAGATATTAGGTTAGACACGAGAAAAATGGCCCGTTGAGGAAGGATACACCGGGCGCTAGGTTGATAGTGCTGTCTCTTTTCTCTAAACTAAAACCAACCCACCCCCCCACACACACCACCCCCCACCCCCACCCCACCCACCCCACACAACCCCCCCCCCAACCCCACCCCACCCCACCCCTACCCCCCCCCCCCCCACCCCTACCCCCAAAAAAACATGTCTACCGTCCCATTCAACGAAATATAATTATATACTTTTTCCAGTGTCCGCCCCCTCCCCGAAAATTCTACCCCCGCCCCCGAAAATTTCAAGTACCCCCACTTTTCTCCGGGGAGGAAAAAGTCTGAAAGAAACACTGGTGTCGCGCTTAGCCACTACGCGAAGAATTGCATTAAAGAAATTGCGAGAAAACCACTTTTTAGATTAGACACATTAATTAGGCGGTAATTTTATTATAGAGTATCGATGAGGAAACCACCGCCCCACCCACCCCCCCACTCACACCTCCCCCCCACCCCCCCCCCCCCCACTCCCCACCCCCACCCCCCCCCCCCCCCACTCCCAAAAAAAACATGTCTACCGTCCCATTCAACGAAATATAATTATATACTTTTTCCAGTGTCCGCCCCCCCTCCCCGAAAATTCTAACCCCGCCCTCGAAAATTTCAATTACCCCCACCCCTCTCCGGGGAGGAAAAAGTCTAAACTAAAACCACCCCACCCCCCACACACCACCCCCACCCCCCACACACCCCCCCCACACCCCCCCACCCCCCCCCCCCACCCTCCCCCCACCCCTCCACCCCCCCCCCCCCCAAAAAAAACATGTCTACCGTCCCATTGCAAGAAAACCACTTTTTAGATTAGACACATTAATTTTATTATAGAGTATCGATGAGGAAATTTCTTTTGAGTTGGGGAGGGGGAGGGGCTCAGACGTTCTTACGCGGGGGGTGGGGCTTCGCCCCTACCCGAAGAATTGTATGCAAGAAACTCTTCACGCAAACCACTTAGATTAGACCAAATTGCCTTTGTATTGAATATGTTTACTCGATAATCAATGACGTCATATAACTGTGTGCACTCTCTGGGTTTGAGATTATTTTCTACTCTGTGCGCTAAATGTGTCGACGTCATACTTCGTTTTTCGAATTACTGTGCATGTTTTTAAATTGCTTGTCTTTTCTCTAGAGCGTTCTTGTCAGACAGATAGATAGATAGATAGATAGAGAGACAGCGAAACTATTATTATAGATTGGTATCTACCTTAGGTAGATATTAGGTTAGACATTGGTTTTACCATAGGTAGATTTTATGTTAGATATTGGTTTTACCATAGGTAAATTTTAGTTAGACATTGGTTTTACCATAGGTAACAAATTTGGGAAAACAGAACAATAAACATGGTTTATTTTTTTTGTAGTGTTGGTTAAAGATTAAACCTTTATAACACAGCAAAACATGTTAAGCAGGATAGTATAAACAATCTATAGTTCCATTACCCTAGAGTAGTCAGCGACGAAAAACTCTACCCATGATTCCCATCTTGGATTTCTTGTCCTAGGCACAAAGGGCGTGGTCAGGACCTGTTGGATCAGAAGTTTGTAAAGGTTGCTAGAAGGTTTTGTTAGTTCTTGTTGGGTTAGTAGTAGATTGGTAAGTTGGAAGCAACTTTACCCTTCGTAAAGGTAACTAGAAGATTTTGTTAGTTCTTGTTGGGTTAGTAGTAGATTGGTAGGTTGGAAGCAAACTTTACCCTTTGTCTGTCACAAAACAAAATTGGTAAGTTGGGAGCAAACTTTACCCTTTGTCTGTCACAAAACAAAATTGGTAAGTTGGAAGCAAACTTTACCCTACGTCTGTCACAAAACAAAATTGGTAAGTTGGGAGCAAACTTTACCCTTTGTCTATCACAAAACAAAATTGGTAAGTTGGGAGCAAACTTTACCCTTCGTCTGTCACAAAACTAAATTGGTAAGTTGGAAGCAAACTTTACCCTTCGTCTGTCACAAAACAAAATTGGTAAGTTGGAAGCAAACTTTACCCTTTGTCTGTCACAAAACAAAATTGGTAAGTTGGAAGCAAACTTTACCCTTTGTCTGTCACAAAACAAAATTGGTAAGTTGGAAGCAAACTTTACCCTACGTCTGTCACAAAACAAAATTGGTAAGTTGGAAGCAAACTTTACCCTTTGTCTGTCACAAAACAAAATTGGTAAGTTGGAAGCAAACTTTACCCTTCGTCTGTCACAAAACAAAATTGGTAAGTTGGAAGCAAACTTTACACTTCGTCTGTCACAAAACAAAATTGGTAAGTTGGAAGCAAACTTTACCCTTCGTCTATCACAAAACAAAATTGGTAAGTTGGAAGCAAACTTTACCCTTCGTCTATCACAAAACAAAATTGGTAAGTTGGAAGCAAACTTTACCCTTCGTCTGTCACAAAACAAAATTGGTAAGTTGGAAGCAAACTTTACCCTTCGTCTGTCACAAAACAAAATTGGTAAGTTGGAAGCAAACTTTACATCACAAAACAAAATTGGTAAGTTGGAAGCAAACTTTACATCACAAAACAAAATTGGTAAGTTGGAAGCAAACTTTACCCTTCGTCTGTCACAAAACAAAACACAATAAGGATCTGAGGCCCCGGTTTTATCAGCAGCTAGAACATTGGTAGCACCGTGTACACACACATACAGCACTCCAGCCACTGGGGAAGATAAATATTTGATTGTACAACATTGGTAGCACAGTGTACACACACATACAGCACTCCAGCCACTGGGGAAGATAAATATTTGATTGTACAACATTGGTAGCACAGTGTACACACACATACAGCACTCCAGCCACTGGGGAAGATAAATATTTGATTGTACAACATTGGTAGCACCGTGTACACACACATATTGCACACCATGTACACATAAACAGCTCACCATGTACAAGCACAGCACACAATGTACACACATACAGCAACTATATACACACATACAGAAACTATGTACACACACACACACACACACAAACAGCACACCTTACCTGGTATGGTAAGATAAAGTTTTACAGAAAAAACTTGCCTGTGTTAGACTTTGAAGCAGGAATTTCTTCAGTTTCCATGAGCTTAATGTCTGGCAAGGCTGTGTATTGCATTGTTAAAACCATCTTTGATTCATCCTTATTTTCTATGGTGGTTTCACAACTTGAAAGTGGAAGAACATTGCATGACTTCTTTGTAGTTTAAAAATTATGACAAAAGGGAGATCAATCAAGAGAAAATTCCATATTAGGCCAAATAAAGGGAAACGACTTACACATGATTAACTTGAAATGGAAAGGTGGACAAATTGACCTCGTTCTGCTCCAGTGTTGTGCTTGTAATTAAACGCTTACACTTGCTTTTTATTTTGATCTGTGGACAGATCATAGTTTGATAGTAGAACATTTAAGTATAGCATCTGTAGAACAAAACAGTTTTAAAGTGGAACATTTGAATTTAGCATCAGCGGAGAGATCATGAGTGTAGAACAGTTTTAAACTGGAACACACAAATGAAAAACCATAGAAACCTTATCAGTGGCCAAGTTGTGGATGAAGAAAGAGCAAACATCCTCCCATTCATCAGTGGCAGGAACCTCATGGGTCTGTCTCTTGTGGGGGCCTATGGTCAACACACTGTACCTCACATCCTCACAAGCTGACCACAGGAGAGAAAACATTTGTATGACACTTTTCATAAGACTAAACTTGTGGGGGCCTATGGTCAACACACTGTACCTCACATCCTCATGACACTTTTCATAAGACTAAACTTGTGGGGGCCTATGGTCAACACACTGTACCTCACATCCTCATGACACTTTTCATAAGACTAAACTTGTGGGGGCCTATGGTCAACACACTGTACCTCACATCCTCATGACACTTTTCATAAGACTAAACTTGTGGGGGCCTATGGTCAACACACTGTACCTCACATCCTCAGGACACTTTTCATAAGACTAAACTTGTGGGGCCTATGGTCAACACACTGTACCTCACATCCTCAGGACACTTTTCATAAGACTAAACTTGTGGGGGCCTATGGTCAACACACTGTACCTCACATCCTCATGACACTTTTCATAAGACTAAACTTGTGGGGGCCTATGGTCAACACACTGTACCTCACATCCTCATGACACTTTTCATAAGACTAAACTTGTGGGGCCTATGGTCAACACACTGTACCTCACATCCTCATGACACTTTTCATAAGACTAAACTTGTGGGGACCTATGGTCAACACACTGTACCTCACATCCTCACAAGCTGAGAGAAAACATTTGTATGACACTTTTCATAAGACTAAACTTGTGAGTACCTATGGTCAACACACTGTACCTCACATCCTCACAAGCTGACCACAGGAGAGAAAACATTTGCATGACACTTTTCATAAGACTAAACTGGTGGGGGCCTATGGTCAACACACTGTACCTCACATCCTCACAAGCTGACCACAGGAGAGAAAACATTTGTATGACACTTTTCATAAGACTAAACTTGTGGGGGCCTATGGTCAACACACTGTATCTCACATCACTTTTCATTAAGACTAAACTATCAGATAGAGATATCCTTTTAGTTTTTTATAACTTGAGTGAGCACAGCTGAAGTAAACATCAAATCCTGGCCTTGTTCAAACTTTGTTGAGTCCTGTGAGAGTGTAATAAAAGTGGCAATTACCTGGATCTTTAGGTGGGTAGCCCTTGATCTGTATGGTCAGAACACCTTGAGCTGCAGGACAGAAAGTGGAAAAGTTGAGATTATATTCTGGGGGTTGGGGTGGGTCTATGTAAGAATAAATGTTAGGGGTGAGATGACATTGTGTGTAGGATGGCTCAATGTAAGAGTTGAGATGACATAGATGTGCACATAAGAGTTGAGATGACATAGATGTGCACATAAGGGTTGAGATGACATAGATGTGCACATAAGAGTTGAGATGACATAGATGTGCACATAAGAGTTGAGATGACATAGATGTGCACATAAGAGTTGAGATGACATAGATGTGCACATAAGAGTTGAGATGACATAGATGTGCACATAAGAGTTGAGATGACATAGATGTGCACATAAGAGTTGAGATGACATAGATGTGCACATAAGAGTTGAGATGACATAGATGTGCACATAAGAGTTGATATGACATAGATGTGCACATAAGAGTTGAGATGACATAGATGTGCACATAAGAGTTGATATGACATAGATGTGCACATAAGAGTTGATATGACATAGATGTGCACATAAGAGTTGAGATGACATAGATGTGCACATAAGAGTTGAGATGACATAGATGTGCACATAAGAGTTGAGATGACATAGATGTGCACATAAGAGTTGAGATGACATAGATGTGCACATAAGACAACTGAATGAGAAAATGAGTGAGTGTAGTCCTGACCTTTTTTTTTCTTGGACGTTGTCTGACCCATCAAGGTGGGGCCAACTTTGTTGATGTGAATATCTACACTGGCAGGGTCAACCATGGCTGGCAATACAAGAGCAACATTCAATTTTCTTCTTTTGGTTAGTCAATAATCAAGTGATTCTAGTTCCCTATGTGGGAGTTCATTTAGTTCCTTGTGGTTAGAGTGAACTAAGTTATACATGTGAAAGTAAATATAGTTCCACATTTAAAAGCAAGTAATATAATTCCTTAAATAACAATGATTATAGTTTTTAAAATTCCTACTGGAAAATGTTTTTATGGAAAATGAAATATAGTTTCCTATTTCTGATAGAGTTTTATTGTTACCTTTAGTGAGACCTTCCATGACGTTATTGTGAACCCAGGACTTAAGTAAAGGTATCTCCATCAAACTTAAGGCTCGGAGCAGTTGAATGTTGAAGGTCACGTCAGGTCTGAGTTAAAAATGGAGCATTTCTTCAGATTATTCAATAAACTATGCTGGGTATGTGGGTGATGGCACAAAAATTACTTGTTACAAGCCTCAAGTTTCCATGTCAAGAGTGGAAGTACTTACTTTTCCTTGAAGCAGATGGTGGCTTTGGAGATGTGTGGGAAGGGAATATCCATAGACAACGAGACAATGGCCTGCATGGTGCCACTCAGGTGCAGATCCTGGACGGCCATGTCAAAACCAACATTCACTCTGTCAGATGAAGAATAATCATTAAAACTTAAGTAACTAAACCTGGTATAATTTGATAATGTTAAAAAAGGAAAGATTATAAAATAAGTGTAAAACATTATATTTTTAAATGAACTGAAAATAAAACAAACTTTCTGTCTTATCAAAAGCATTGGTCACTAAAATGTGTAAGAGATTTAATGAATTTTTTTTAAAATGTTCATTAAAGTTAAAACCTTATAGTTTTTTTTATACTTGTTTAATTTTCATATTCTAAAAATACCAGAGTCTGTTAAATGTAAGTTTAAAAAACAAGTAGTTCCATTTTTATTATATTAATTTGGTAAATTTTAATCGTTGGCAAGCCATGACTAAAAAGTTTTTGTTTTCAAAACCTGAACAGTAACTGTAACGACAGTTATCTGTCCCTCCGTCAAGGTAAAACTTACTTTGAAGAGCCCACTCGTCCCCTGAAGATCATTTTAAAATCTTCAGACATCATGCTGACATCTGTCTCTATAACAACCTGTGGGGATAAACAAGGTTACATACAACAGGTAGTTGAATCAGCTCATAAGTGTGGTGGTCTAGGGGTAGAGCACACAGGGTAGCATACAACAGGTAGTTGAATCAGCTCATAAGTTAGGTGGTCTAGGGGTAGAGCACACAGGGTAGCATACAACAAGTAGTTGAATCAGCTCATAAGTGTGGTGGTCTAGGGGTAGAGCACACAGGGTAGCATACAACAAGTAGTTGAATCAGCTCATAACTTAGGTGGTCTAGGGGTAGAGCACACAGGGTAGCATACAACAAGTAGTTGAATCAGCTCATAACTTAGGTGGTCTAGGGGTAGAGCACACAGGGTAGCATACAACAAGTAGTTGAATCAGCTCATAACTTAGGTGGTCTAGGGGTAGAGCACACAGGGTAGCATACAACAAGTAGTTGAATCAGCTCATAAGTTAGGTGGTCTAGGGGTAGAGCACACTGGGTAGCACACAAAAGTAGTTGAATCAGCTCATAACTTAGGTGGTCTAGGGGTAGAGCACACAGGGTAGCATACAACAGGTAGTTGAATCAACTGAAATGGATAGCTGACTTTAGTCAGCTATCAGACAAGCCCTTCAAACTCTCTAGTAAAAAACCTAGGATCTTTACTGTGGTTGAACATGTCAGCTAAACCTATTATTTGTGTACAAAAACCTAGGATCCTTACTCTGGTTAAACATGTCAGCTAAACCTATTATCTGTGTACAAAAACCTAGGATCCTTACTCTGGTTGAACATGTCAGCTAAACCTATTATTTGTGTACAAAAACCTAGGATCCTTACTCTGGTTAAACATGTCAGCTAAACCTATTATCTGTGTACAAAAACCTAGGATCCTTACTCTGGTTGAACATGTCAGCTAAACCTATTATCTGTGTACAAAAACCTAGGATCCTTACTCTGGTTGAACATGTCAGCTAAACCTATTATCTGTGTACAAAAACCTAGGATCCTTACTCTGGTTGAACGTGTCAGCTAAACCTATTATCTGTGTACAAAAACCTAGGATCCTTACTCTGGTTGAACATGTCAGCTAAACCTATTATCTGTGTACACAAACCTAGGATCCTTACTGTGGTTGAACATGTAACCTAAACCTATTATCTGTGTACAAAAACCTAGGTTCCTTACTCTGGTTGAACCCTGTTATCTGTGTAAACCTGAAAGCTTTACCTGGTAGGAAGACAAGTTGACCAGGCCTGCTGGTGGACGGTGGACATTGAACCAGGAGATGGGCTGGAGACTGCCCGGTGTAGTTTCTGAACATTCAAAGACTCTGACATTCTTGAAGTTTGGGGTTTGTTCACCAATGCTAAAGCTGCTCACTTCAAGGCTGTCTGTAGACACATACAAATATACAACATCAACACATACAAATATACAACATCAACACATACAAATATACAACATCAACGCACTGACTAACTTGTTAACTAACAAACCTACCAACCAACACACAGACTTATACAGCTGATTCACCAACAAACACTCACCAACAAATGATGGACGAATGTCCCATAATCTCTCATCTAGATGTTTTTTCACCAACTCTTCAATGTTGGAAGCAGAAAAAACCCACCTGTTAAAAAAATGTTGATATAAAATCATTACAAGCCATTGTGAAGTGGAAATGTTTTATTAGAAGTCAGTTGGAGCAGTCCTTGTGTTAGTGAAGAGCTACAACACACTTCAACACATTTTAGACATAGGTTTTATTCATGTTGCCATAAAGGTTTGCATAGGTCTTATTCGGTACCCATAAAGTTTAAGATAGGTCTTATTCAGGTACCCATAAAGTTTAAGATAGGTCTTATTCAGGTGCATTTTTTTTTTACTAACAACCATTTATTCTTTATTTTGCAATTTAAAAAGACATTTTTAATTTTTAAAATTAATTTTGATAATCGCATCCATAGTAATCCGGCAAAACCGACATAACTTTCAGTTATATTTTTGGTGATGTCCCCTTTTGGAAGGGATACAACTCTATACAACTTTTAAAAAAAAAAGAAATAAATTGGATCACATCAACATAGGTCTTCTGTAGGCCTAAGCTCAAAGATACAACAGTGTAAAATACGCTTGACTTAACTAATACAAAACAAAGTTGTAGTTGTCTTTGAAGGCAGGATTTCGCTAGGTGGCAAGTTATGGTGGTAACATTTGGCTACGATGTCCAACTTTCAAATGTACCTTTAGGTAAAGAGGACAGAAAAGAAAGGCACAGAACACAATTCTTATCAAATAAGTATCCATTTCACATCAAATGACAAACAATTAAGTAGCCTAGAGAATAACAGACGGGGAAATAACACACAACAACACAACCAGCACAACACCATCTGCCACAACCCAAACCCACACTACCCCACGAAAGCATGAACAACCCTACTGAACAACCATCCTGACCCACACCACACCCACGATCCACACCCAATTACTCATCCCACAGCATACACACTACTCTCCATACACCTCAGATATAAAACAACAACACACCTAAATGGACTACATTATAGTTATAGTAGAATCAGATGTATGATTATCAGAATAGGGTAGAATGTAGTGCAAATAGAGAAGAATATAGCAGAATAGAAAGAATGATCAACATAACATATTACACTGCGGTTTTTATTTGTGTGAAGTGGCTTAACAACCATGTACCCAGGGTATACGAAGTCCATGGGTCCCCGAAATGTCCAGTTCAAACGGCGTGTATAATTCAGATTTGTGTTAGATGTACAAGTCGCTTTTATATCAATTTTGTTGCTGTAAACTTGCATCATGGTGTACATGTATAGCATATATCCTAAAATATATTTACCTTTATAAGAAACAATAAATATGTTGTAAAATAAAACAGCTATATATAACATAGTAAAAGTATCTTTTTAATAAAATGAAAATTAGAAAGACGTGTATAAATATTGTACAAAAAAGCAGTAAAGAGCGCCACTTATTTCCCCTATTTTTGATATTATCTGCTCCTCCCACTACCACAAAAACCTGCGAATGTTTCGTGGGGGGAGGGGGAAAGTTTGTACCATAGTCTTTTATTGTCCACGGATCCCCGCTGATCTGTTATGACACTGCTTGAGTGCATGTCTGCCTGTGTCTGAGTGTGGTGTGTGTGTGAGAAAGAGTGTGTGTGGTTAAAGCTGATTTATAATTTAAAAATAATTTTTTACCCCTTAAGCGTTGTTTTACGACATACAATATTGTGCAACTGAGAGCATTGTAAACAGTGTGTAGAGTGTGCCGTACCCAATAGCTAGCGTAATATTATGTCAGCCAACACTGGCTCCCTCCATTTGACATCGGTTTCTATTCCATAGGTTGTAGGCTCATGGTTTCTTAACCAACCACATCATATGTAAGCTGACCAACCACATCATATGTAAGGCGACCAACCACATCATATGTAAGGTGACCAACCACATCATATGTAAGCTGACCAACCACATCATATGTAAGGCGACCAACCACATCATATGTAAGGTGACCAACCACATCATATGTAAGGCGACCAACCACATCATATGTAAGGTGACCAACCACATCATATGTAAGGCGACCAACCACATCATATGTAAGGTGACCAACCACATCATATGTAAGCTCATGACTTCTTGAACCAGGTAACCAACCACATCATATGTAAGGTGACCAACCACATCATATGTAAGCTGACCAACCACATCATATGTAAGCTGACCAACCACATCATATGTAAGGTGACCAACCACATCATATGTAAGCTGACCAACCACATCATATGTAAGGCAACCAACCACATCATATGTAAGGCGACCAACCACATCATATGTAAGCTGACCAACCACATCATATGTAAGGTGACCAACCACATCATATGTAAGGTGACCAACCACATTATATGTAAGGTGACCAACCACTTCATATGTAAGCTCATGACTTCTTGAACCAGGTGACCAACCACATCGTATGTAAGGTGACCAACCACATCATATGTAAGCTGACCAACCACATCATACATAAGGTGACCAAACACATCATATGTAAGGTGACCAACCACATCATATGTAAGGTGACCAACCACATCATATGTAAGGTGACCAACCACATCATATGTAAGGTGACCAACCACATCATATGTAAGGTGATCAACCACATCATATGTAAGGTGACCAACCACATCATACGTAAGGTGACCAACCACATCATATGTAAGGTGACCAACCACATCATATGTAAGGTGACCAACCACATCATATGTAAGGTGACCAACCACATCATATGTAAGGTGACCAACCACATCATATGTAAGGTGACCAACCACATCATATGTAAGGTGACCAACCACATTATATGTAAGGTGACCAACCACATCATATGTAAGCTTATGACTTCTTGAACCAGGTGACCAACCACATCATATGTAAGCTGACCAACCACATCTAAGGTGACCAACCACATCGTATGTAAACTGTGACCAACCACATCATATGTAAGCTGACCAACCACATCATATGTAAGCTGACCAACCACATAATATGTAAGCTGTGACCGCATATCGCACAAGACTGACAGTTGACTAGTCCATCCATTCATCAGTGACCGCCCTCTAACAGTGCTCTATCTAGGTCAGACGTTTCGCAAGCAGCAGTCAAGAAACGGGTCGAAGATGTTGTGAAATACCTCAACTTACCGGTAAATCACAGAAATGACGACAAGACTACGAGAATGGATGCACGCGCTCAGGGCAATTAACTTTGGCTTGTGAGGAATGAGAGGATGACATCAACGTTACTACCGTGACTTCAATGTAAATAATCAAGTCTTAACCCCCGAATGGCGGGCCGACATCAACGTAACTACCGTGACCTCAATGTAAATAATCAAGTCGTCAATCTTAACCCCCGAGTGGCGGGAAGACATCAACGTAACTACCATGACCTCAATGTAAATAATCAAGTCGTCCATCTTAACCCCCGAGTGGCGGGCTGACATCAACGTAACTACCGTGATCTCAATTTAAATAATCAAGTCTTAACCCCCGAGTGGCGGGCTGACATCAACGTAACTACTGTGACCTCAATGTAAATAATCAAGTCTTAACCCCCGAGTGGCGGGCTGACATCAACGTAACTACTGTGACCTCAATGTAAATAATCAAGTCGTCCATCTTAACCCCCGAGTGGCGGGCTGACATCAACGTAACTACCGTGATCTCAATGTAAATAATCAAGTCTTAACCCCCGAGTGGCGGGATGACATCAACGTAACTACCGTGACCTCAATGTAAATAATCAAGTCGTCCATCTTAACCCCCGAGTGGCGGGCTGACATCAACGTAACTACCGTGATCTCAATGTAAATAATCAAGTCGTCCATCTTAACCCCCGAGTGGCGGGCTGACATCAACGTAACTACCGTGACCTCAATGTAAATAATCAAGTCTTAACCCCCGAGTGGCGGGCTGACATCAACGTAACTACCGTGACCTCAATGTAAATAATCAAGTCGTCCATCTTAACCCCCGAGTGGCGGGCTGACATCAACGTAACTACCGTGATCTCAATGTAAATAATCAAGTCTTAACCCCCGAGTGGCGGGCTTTTGGACAGACGGCAATCAAAAGTAGCTGACGACAAATGAGAGCACAACATTTGATGAGAGCGGCATAACGGTACCCGACCAAATCGCAATTGTCAATTGCACAAAAATAATTTGTAGAAATAGAATTCTACCCCACCAAGCCCGCACACCTAGTGCGGCCACCCAGCCCGCACACCTAGTGCGGCCACCCAGCCCGCACACCTAGTGCGGCCACCCAGCCCGCACACCTGGCATGGCCCGCACACCTAGCGCGGCCACCCAGCCCGCACACCTGGCGCGGCCACCCAGCCCGCACACCTGGCGCGGCCACCCAGCCCGCACACCTGGCGCGGCCACCCAGCCCGCACACCTGGCGCGGCCACCCAGCCCGCACACCTGGCGCGGCCACCCAGCCCGCACACCTGGCGCGGCCACCCAGCCCGCACACCTGGCGCGGCCACCCAGCCCGCACACCTGGCGCGGCCACCCAGCCCGCACACCTGGCGCGGCCACCCAGCCCGCACACCTGGCGCGGCCACCCAGCCCGCACACCTGGCGCGGCCACCCAGCCCGCACACCTGGCGCGGCCACCCAGCCCGCACACCTGGCGCGTCCATCTAGCCCGTACACCTGGTGCGGCCACCCAGCTCGCACACCTGGTGCGGCCACCCAGCCCGCACACCTGGCGCGGCCACCCAGCCCGCACACCTGGCGCGTCCATCTAGCCCGTACACCTGGTGCGGCCACCCAGCCCGCACACCTGGCGCGTCCATCTAGCCCGTACACCTGGCGCGGCCACCCAGCCCGCACACCTGGCGCGGCCACCCAGCCCGCACACCTGGCGCGTCCATCTAGCCCGTACACCTGGTGCGGCCACCCAGCTCGCACACCTGGTGCGGCCACCCAGCCCGCACACCTAGCGCGGCCAATTCCCACCTGAAACAGAATCAACAGCCTGAAGTAATGGTAAATGAAAGCTGTCATTAGCTGAGAGATACTGAAAGTGATCTCACAATAGTTGCAACAACAACGTCCCCGTGCACGATCTGTGTCACATGAATTATTCACAGCTATGAAATCTGATGTTAGCATGGTGGAAACATGACGTACACTGAGTAATATTTCTAAATGTTCACATCACCTAGCTAGGTGGGAGTGGATTACATATATAGATGGGTGTCACCCATAACACTTCAAGTATATCTCTATCAATTCAATTTTCTCTATGTATACACATATTGTGTAAAATCGCGGCCCCAGATGTTCTCTCCAGGACAACACAGCGAGAGAGGCAGGGTAAGAGCAGCAAGATAACCACATTTTCAGGTGAATGTCTCAGCGTTTGTTTATGAGCAAGTTTAATCAGCTAGTTGTTCAGTATAGCCCTGTTGTCGCCCACTGTTGTGACAGTCTATGTTGAATCATCTAATTAACTCCAATTATTCCTTCGTCTAAAGGGCATTGTATTGTAATATTTCCTAGATAACTTTACCCGGCTATGCATTCACCGAACTCTCGACAAACATCCAAATTGGATGCATTGCTTAGTGAGTTGGTCACAGTCTCCCAATATTGACGATGATAAACATTGAACACGCAACACTGTCCATTAGGTGAATTGATAAGCAACAAACGACATCCGACTTCATTCAAGAAAAACGAGGCTTTAATCCCAACTTTCAGGTATGGATAGAATTGAAAGTTGAGCCTATTCAATTTTTAAACCAAACTTTGAGGTTTGGATAGAATTGAAAGTTGAGCCTATTCAATTTTTAAACCAAACTTTGAGGTTTGGATAGAATTGAAAGTTGAGCCTATTCAATTTTTAAACCAAACTTTGAGGTTTGGATAGAATTGAAAGTTGAGCCTATTCAATTTTTAAACCAAACTTTGAGGTTTGGATAGAATTGAAAGTTGAGCCTATTCAATTTTTAAACCAAACTTTGAGGTTTGGATAGAATTGAAAGTTGAGCCTATTCAATTTTTAAACCAAACTTTGAGGTTTGGATAGAATTGAAAGTTGAGCCTATTCAATTTTTAAACCAAACTTTGAGGTTTGGATAGAATTGAAAGTTGAGCCTATTCAATTTTTAAACCAAACTTTGAGGTTTGGATAGAATTGAAAGTTGAGCCTATTCAATTTTTAAACCAAACTTTGAGGTTTGGATAGAATTGAAAGTTGAGCCTATTCAATTTTTAAACCAAACTTTGAGGTTTGGATAGAATTGAAAGTTGAGCCTATTCAATTTTTAAACCAAACTTTGAGGTTTGGATAGAATTGAAAGTTGAGCCTATTCAATTTTTAAACCAAACTTTGAGGTTTGGATAGAATTGAAAGTTGAGCCTATTCAATTTTTAAACCAAACTTTGAGGTTTGGATAGAATTGAAAGTTGAGCCTATTAAATTTTTAAACCAAACTTTGAGGTTTGGGAAGAATTGAAAGTTGAGCCTATTCAATTTTTAAACCAAACTTTGAGGTTTGGGAAGAATTGAAAGTTGAGCCTATTCAATTTTTAAACCAAACTTTCAGGTTTGGATAGAATTGAAAGTTGAGCCTATTCAATTTTTAAACCAAACTTTCAGGGACGGTACTGATATAGCTAGGAGTAAATGTTTCCCCCAAGCATAAATTGGGCAACGTATTCCATCAATCTACTCTCTGCCCGTGTACACGGTATCTTGTGAGGCAAAGATCGATGACCAGCTGGGCCGGAGACGAGAAAGAAAAGGTCACTCACAAATAATCTAATCATTTCCTCTTCAGCTGCCCATTCCACAGTCCACTCCAGCTGCTTTAGAATATCAGTTGGACGTTTTCATTCTGACCCCCCCCCCCTCCCTCCCCTCGCCCCTGTATTGCCACCAACATGATAACACATCCAATACAGATGGGAGGTGGGGCAGGGGAGGATGAAGTACCAGCGTAAAATTTACGGCCAATCGTTTAAAAACTAAACCAACAACTAGACATTTCCACGAGCTGACGACAACAAACAACTCCGTCAACCAATTAAATGAAATATTTAAAAAGTTGCTATCACATCGCTGGCCTTTTGAAAGGACACATTTAGGTTGGGTTTAATGAAGGCTAAAAGGGTAGGTCGTTACACGCTCATGTTAAATAGCTGGAGCCATATTGAAGTATTGGCTATATTAGATCAACAACCGTCAACTGATCTACAAACAACGTTAGTATCGTGCAGATGGATCAGTTTAGATCTGTTTGAATATGTAAATGTGGTGAGTAGGACAAGAGAACGACACTGTGACACATTGACAAAGGTCAAGGACTACTGAGCACATTTGTATGTATTGTCTGTTAGAAAACCTCTCAACACACCAGGCAGGATAATGGGGACTGCTACTGTAGCTGACGTCACATGTTGACGTCTGATGTTAGCACATGACGACCACGTTAACAAACTAGGTCTTTGGATAACTTCTCACGTCTGACGTCACAGGTTGAAAGCCGTCGTCTGTAGAAATGTGACGTCCCATGTGGCCAGGGTGTAGTTAGAGACATTCAACCCCAAACGACTGACGTAGATTGTGTTGAACCAACAATGTTCTCAATGTTTGTCCGGGTGGCCAAAGTTTAGAAGGGATTGACTAATTTAAGTGGTATGATCCTGTCAATTGTTTGAAAAAATTCCTAGAAAAATGTCGGTTCAATAACTAAGATAGTCGAATGGAGAGATGAGCTGTGGCAGACATCCCCAGTAAACCAAAGGTTAGACCCATGTCACGTGACGTAGACAAACGATGTGTCCAATCCTTCTTGAGGTCACTGCCACGGCAGTAGGTGATACATACCTACGCTACATCCAACCTAAGGTTTATATACAGTATAGTGAACCTATAATTAGTGTATCTATCTTCTATATATATAATTCTCTTCTGGGAGACGCTAGAAAACAAGCTGTAAACGCGCCCAGCAGTCCCCTCTCTTCCTCTCTAGGCATATCTCTATTACCCCCCCCCCCCCCCCCATACCCACATGGTCTGATGAGCTGTGGTTCACGCTGTTTACAAGCGTAGAGACGGGTTTAGTGACGGCTATTAGTGGCAGATAATTTAGTTTGAAACGATTTTAAACTTAGGGTAGGTAACTAAGAGGAGGCTGCTTTCACGAGGAGGGGGGGGGGGGTGGTTGGGGGAAAGGAGGGTTTTAGTGTTTTAAAGCAAATATATTTTCAGTGGCAGCATTAGTACTGTCGAATTCACAAATTATGAATTACTGAAAAGTAGAAAAAACAACAACTAAATAGCGGCGTATGATACGCCGCGGGTCGGCTCGTATAAATAGAACGTATAGTTCGTGTATAGCACAGTGAACGTATAGTTTGTGTATAGAACAGTAAATGCTACAGCACAGTGAACGTATAGTTCGTGTATAGCACAGTGAACGTATAGTTTGTGTATAGCACAGTGAAAGCTACAGCACAGTGAAAGTATCCTGTGTGTGTAGCATATAGCAAGTACATTGTGTGTAGAGTGAAGAGAAAGTATAGCTGGAGTAGCACAGAGAAAGTATAGCTGGAGTAGCACAGAGAAAGTATAGCTGGAGTAGCACAGAGAAAGTATAGCTGGAGTAGCACAGAGAAAGTATAGCTGGAGTAGCACAGAGAAAGTATAGCTGGAGTAGCACAGAGAAAGTATAGCTGGAGTAGCACAGAGAAAGTATAGCTGGAGTAGCACAGAGAAAGTATAGCCGAAGTAGCACAGAGAAAGTATAGCTGGAGTAGCACAGAGAAAGTATAGCTGGAGTAGCACAGAGAAAGTATAGCTGGAGTAGCAAAGAGAAAGTATAGCTGGAGTAGCACAGAGAAAGTATAGCTGGAGTAGCAAAGAGAAAGTATAGCTGGAGTAGCAAAGAGAAAGTATAGCTGGAGTAGCACAGAGAAAGTATAGCTGGAGTAGCACAGAGAAAGTATAGCTGGAGTAGCACAGAGAAAGTATAGCCGAAGTAGCACAGAGAAAGTATAGCTGGAGTAGCACAGAGAAAGTATAGCTGGAGTAGCACAGAGAAAGTATAGCTGGAGTAGCAAAGAGAAAGTATAGCTGGAGTAGCACAGAGAAAGTATAGCTGGAGTAGCAAAGAGAAAGTATAGCTGGAGTAGCAAAGAGAAAGTATAGCTGGAGTAGCACAGAGAAAGTATAGCTGGAGTAGCACAGAGAAAGTATAGCTGGAGTAGCACAGAGAAAGTATAGCCGAAGTAGCACAGAGAAAGTATAGCTGGAGTAGCACAGAGAAAGTATAGCTGGAGTAGCACAGAGAAAGTATAGCTGGAGTAACACAGAGAAAGTATAGCTGGAGTAGCACAGAGAAAGTATAGCTGGAGTAGCACAGAGAAAGTATAGCTGGAGTAACACAGAGAAAGTATAGCTGGAGTAGCAAAGAGAAAGTATAGCTGGAGTAGCACAGAGAAAGTATAGCCGAAGTAGCACAGAGAAAGTATAGCTGGAGTAGCACAGAGAAAGTATAGCTGGAGTAGCACAGAGAAAGTATAGCTGGAGTAGCACAGAGAAACGGATTAAACCAGGCCACCGCTTAGTCTATTGATCTAGCGAGACACATAATTTAACTTATTCTTCTCTTTGTTGGGTCATCCATTAAGTCTTTCCAACCACGTGACGCAGCAGATGAAAAGTCATTTGAGCCCTCACCCGCCACACCCACCCGCACAGTCATGCGTGTCATCACACCCAATGAACACACACATTGTTGACACATTTACGTCACACACGACATTGTTGACACATTTACGTCACACACAAAATGAGCACATAATGAATAATGCTGGTACTATCTGAAATGACACACCTAATGACGACAAACCTCTCTACGACTCTCTGACATGACACCCCCCCCCCCCCCGCCCGACGTGTACTCACCATCTATTGAGCAGGAAGTTGAACCACTCAGCCGTCTCATTCTGACGAAAGGCCCTCTTCCTGTAGAGCGTGGCCTCCTCCTGACAGAGGTGCTGTGTGATGATCTTGCTGATCTTGGCCTTCCACACCACGAACAGCGAGGCGATGCTGATGAAGACCCACAAGAAGGAGAAGTCGAAATAGCCGAGGAGCCAGGCGAGGGCCACCGTGAGGGAGACGATGATGTACATGCCCACGAAGCTGGTCACCGTCTTCTTGGTCTCGGCCAGCTCCACGGCCTCGGCTGTGGCGATGTCTCCGTTGGCCGTGGACATGTTTCTGTACACCGGCGGCCGGCCACTCAGGGCCTGGGGAGCAACAAGGTTCACACATGGATTCTCATGTACACATCTGTACTGTCGTGTACACACCTATCGTGTACACACCTATTGTGAGACCTACGGGGGGGGGGGGGGGGGGGGCAGCTGGGAGAAATTGTAGCTATTTTTCTTCAAATTTTAAACATTATGAATATGAAGCAACCAAAGTTGGTACGAGACAATAAAAGTATAGGGATTGTATTTCTCTAAGTTTGGCAGTTCTACCAAAGATTTTAACTTTTAACTCATCTTGTGATCATGCACTTGTTAGATAACAGCCGGGGACATGTGTGTTCAAATACAATATACAGTGTAAGTTTCTAAGGCTTTACACAAGTTTCTAATGTAGATGCAGCGGGTCTTGAATTGTACTATCATGTGAACGATCCAAGGGGTTATGGTCATAACGTTATGGGGTGTGGGGTCAAAACATGTGTACGGCCCTGCTGACACTAGGACGTTTATACATGGTAAGTATTATCAAGTGCTTTTTTTGGTGCTAAACCTTGGGCATTGGGTGATCTCTACAGTGAGACCAGGGAATGGGTGGCTACATGTATACTGTAACAATCCAGGCATTCAGATTGGTCAATGTATAATGTAACAATCCAGGCATTCAGATTGGTCAATGTATAATGTAACAATCCAGGCATTCAGATTGGTGAATGTATAATGTAACAATCCAGGCATTCAGATTGATTGGTGAATGGTTCACATACATGTTGGAGAGAAACTTTGTGTTAAAAATAAATTGTATGAACCGTTAAGGGACGAGACAAATTAAAGTGTTGCTGTGAGCGTTAAACATTCGGGCCAAGGTGCGTGTGAACATGCAAGTGTTCTGTCAGTGACATGACATGTCGGAGGTGTGTCAGTCATACAGCTCTTGGTGTCAGTCATACAGCTCTTGGTGTCAGTCATACAGCTGTTGGTGTCAGTAATACAGCTGTTGGTGTCAGTCATACAGCTGTTGGTGTCAGTCATACAGCTGTTGGTGTCAGTCATACAGCTGTTGGTGTCAGTCATACAGCTGTTGGTGTCAGTCATACAGCTGTTGGTCTCAGTCATACAGCTGTTGGTGTCAGTCTCACCACTAGTACACACGATTCACTATGGGAGCATGTCTCACCACTGGTACACACGATTCACTATGGGAGCATGTCTCACCACTGGTACACACGATTCACCATGGGAGCATGTCTCACCACTGGTACACACGATTCACTATGGGAGCATGTCTCACCACTGGTACACACGATTCACTATGGGAGCATGTCTCACCACTGGTACACACGATTCACTATGGGAGCATGTCTCACCACTGGTACACACGATTCACTATGGGAGCATGTCTCACCACTGGTACACACGATTCACTATGGGAGCCGTAGAAGGCAGGTGAACAGTTGTATCAGTCTGTGTGGCACCCAATGAAATACGCTAATGTGTATAGGGAGGAGAGTGGCCTTCACCAAATTTAAGAGAGTACTTAGGTAAATCGTGATTACATCCATTCTATCTAAGTGTCGGATGTCCCGTGAATAATTGACAATCATACAAACAAAACCGCTGACCTAATGACACAATCCTACAAACAAAACAGCTGACCTCATGACACAATCCTACAAACAAAACAGCTGACCTAATGACACAATCCTACAAACAAAACAGCTGACCTCATGACACAATCCTACAAACAAAACAGCTGACCTCATGACACAATCTTACAAACAAAACAGCTGAGACACAATCCTACAAACAAAACAGCTGACCTCATGACACAATCCTACAAACAAAACAGATGACCTAATGACACAATCCTACAAACAAAACAGCTGACCTAATAAAGAGATGGCACAATCCTACAAACAAAACATATGACCTACTGACACAATCCTACAAACAAAACAGCTGACCTAATAAAGAGATGACACAATCATACAAACAAAACAGCTGACCTCATGACACAATCCTACAAACAAAACAGCTGACCTCATGACACAATCCTACAAACAAAACCGCTTACCTAATGACACAATCCTAAAAACAAAACAGCTGACCCCATGACACAATCCTAAAAACAAAACAGCTGACCTAATAAAGAGATGGCACAATCCTACAAACAAAACAGCTGACCTCATGACACAATCCTACAAACAAAACCGCTTACCTCATGACACAATCCTACAAATAAAACAGCTGAGACACAATCCTACAAACAAAACAGCTGACCTCATGACACAATCCTACAAACAAAACAGCTGACCTCATGACACAATCATACAAACAAAACCGCTTACCTAATGACACAATCCTACAAACAAAACAGCTGACCCCATGACACAATCCTAAAAACAAAACAGCTGACCTAATAAAGAGATGACACAATCCTACAAACAAAACAGTAGACCTATTAAGAGACCTCACAATCCTACCAACCAAAAAGGTAATCCAGTAAAGAGATGACACGATCCAACAAACACAAGCACTGACCTACCCCGTGTATGGATGCCTTTAGCGCAGAATTTATCTTCCTTTTGAAAAAACCGGGTTTCATATTCGCTGGACTAAAGGCCTTTTTTCTCCAGTTCATCATGACGTCATACGAAAACAAGCCAGCTCCAGCAGCCGTTGAGCTAAAACCGAAACATGTGGCGAGGGTTGCTGGTGCGAGTCACAAGTCACATTGAACTCACGATGCCTATATCCGGTGAGTTGACACACGTGGTGCAGGCTGGCTTGATGAGGGCGATATTCACGGACAAGTGTATACATTATCTAGCGGAGCATACATTAAAACAGAGCGGGCAGACAAGTAGCGTTTATTGACAAGCAGTTAGGGAGAGAATATCAATAGTCATGTGGGGAGCACACCGCGGCTCGAAGGCCGGAGATAACTGCTTATCTCTGGGTCGGACTGGATACACGGCGTGGCCCGGGCGACATGCTAGTGGCCGTCACTTGATTAAACCTGTGCAAGTCTGACACGAAGTTTACACCCGGAGTTGAGACCAGTGCTTGGCTGATATCTCATGCCACTACACATAGGGTTTACCCTGGATACATATGTGACTGTTCGGAGCACAAGTGGTTGGCTGATATCTCATGTGCTAGCCACCACACATAGGGTTTACCCTGGATACATATGTGACTGTTCAGAGCACAACAAGTGGTTGGCTGATATCTCATGCCACTACACATAGGGTTTACCCTGGATACATACTTGACTGTTAGGAGCACAAGTAGTTGGCTGATATCTTATTAAGCTATGTGCTAGCCACCACACATAGGGTTTACCTTGGATACATACGTGACTGTTCAGAGCACAAGTGGTTGGCTGATATCTCATGCCACTACACATAGGGTTTACCCTGGATACATACGTGACTGTTCGGAGCACAAGTGGTTGGCTGATATCTTATGTGCTAGCCACCACACATAGGGTTTACCCTGGATACATACGTGACTGTTCAGAGCACAAGTGGTTGGCTGAAATCTCATATGCTAGCCAGTAACATAGGGTTTACCCTGGATACATACGTGACTGTTCAGAGCACAAATAGTTCGCTGACATCTCATGTGCTAGCCTATACACATAGGGTTTACCCTGGATACATACGTGACTGTTCAGAGCACAAGTAGTTGGCTATCTCATGTGCTAGCCACTACACCTAGGGTTTACCCTGGATACATACGTGACTGTTCGGAGCACAAGTAGTTGGCTATCTCATGTGCTAGCTACTACACATAGGGTTTACCCTGGATACATACGTGACTGTTCAGAGCACAAGTGGTTGGCTGAAATCTCATATGCTAGCCAGTAACATAGGGTTTACCCTGGATACATACGTGACTGTTCAGAGCACAAGTGGTTGGCTGAAATCTCATGTGCTAGCCACCACACATAGGGTTTACCCTGGATACATACGTGACTGTTCAGAGCACAAGTAGTTGGCTGATATCTCATGCCACTACACCTAGGGTTTACCCTGGATACATACGTGACTGTTCGGAGCACAAGAAGTTGGCTATCTCATGTGCTAGCCACCAAACATAGGGTTCACATATGCTTCTAGGTGGTGCCCCAACTGTTTTAGCCACACATTGGCCAGATGCCCACCGACCAGTGAGTATTTGAATCATAGAATGTATAGCATTGTTATGTTGACTATACGTTTTATTTTTATTCAAATAGGCCTACATATAGCCTATTAATATAAAACAATCCGCTAGATAATGCATCAGTTCTTTAACGTTATAATAAGCAGGAATTTGTCAACGTAGTGTGAAATTATTTTATTTAAAACAAAATATTAGGATACACCCATTCGGCATAGCCCCAATGTTTTATTTTTCCGGTAGGAGGCTATCACAATTTTGTACAGCACTTAACTTAAGCGTTATAATATCACATGAAAAGATAGAAGAGAGAGCTTTAGAGCTAGAACACAAATATTTGACTAAAACGAAAAAAGGTAGACAACAATCAAACTAAAACGAGCTCACAGTCCCAACTTTGGGAGTCCAGTCTAGCAGAGACAGGGTAGTCTAGCGGTAGTTGGCGCTCATGTTAGCCGACCAGTCATACAGTGAGTGAATGCTTATCATGAACTGTCAGGCGATGAGTTAGTTGACTAGAGTAGGAGGTTGTATGGCAACTGACATAAAACCTGACAGGCAGGCATCTTTTAGGGGGCAAGTCAGAGCAAGAGTCACTGAGATATGTGAGGCCAGGGCATTACAACTAGCTTTTAATGTCCATGCACTGTCCGTTTAATCATGTTATTCACACAGCAGCTTTTGAAAAGATGTACTAATCCTTCACATCTGAGCCTGTATGGATCAGGTTCTGCTTTTTTAAATTCAATTCATAAGTGTAGGAACATGATAGGAAAATTGGGCAATCATGTTAGTATAACTTGAAAGTTCTGTTACTCTCAATGTTAAGTTAATGTCAGTCATTAAAGACACATTTTTTTCTAATTATCCAATCACCATAAATATATCTGACCATGGGTCATTCAAACAATGTCTTGTCTAGCAGATGTAGTTTTGTGAGACAGCTTTTACAAGAGATTGACAAAAGCAACTTTTAGAAAGAATAACAAAAACCATGCATTAAAATTGTTAAAATATAATGCACAATTACTCTAGCCATAGTGTGAGATTATCCTGACATAAGTACTAGATCTAGCAGTTGTCAGCTCTTAAATTAGAATTGTCTACTTTTAAATACTTTAAATACAAATAGTGTCATTTCATTTACAAATTGTTTAAAAAAACAAAACAAGCCAAAGATGTTAGTTAAAGAAGTGTTAAAGCATGCTAGAGTGAATGAAAATGCTGAAGGCTTAGTGTAATAAAAGCACAAGCTATAAATAGACCTGTTTCCTTCATCCTAGGTTGCTCAATCTGTCTGTTTGGAAAAAAAAACATTGAAAAACAAAAGGAGAGTTGGTTACAAGAAATCATGTTATCAGCAACACAATTGGAATGCTGACTTACAAATTCATGCAAAATGTTTGCCTTAATAGGATAGGACAAAATAGGGATAAGTGACTAAAAACATTTGGTATAAATAGAATGGGACTTGTTTGAAAACTAAATCTACAAATGCAGGTTATAACACTTAAACCAAAATGTTAATTTTAGAAAGTGAAATAAAAATTATAAAAATAAAATGGTGAAATAAAAACACTGTATTTCTCATCCACTTGAACAATGTCAAAATAAAGCTAAGCAACTTACAATTGGCTAGATGACAGAGGTCAAATTTAAGCAATCGTAATGAGTACTTCAAAGCTGGGTCATGGGTTGTCTGTAAGCTTGAAACATGCTAGTCAAGTTTTTCTCTCAGCTTGCTGGCTAGGAATGGTTGGTGTGGCCTGGTCCTAGTGGAACTGATGGTGTGGCATTTCTCTATCACAAACTACAGCTGGCAGAGTTGGATGTTGGATTAGTAGGCTACTAGTTGCATACTAAAAGATAAGCTGGTCAAATATAGAACTAAAAGCTAGGAAGATGTAGTGAGCAGAAAGTCCAGCATGTAAGGTCTTCCTTGATTGGTTCTAATCTTGCTGTATGTTCACACAGTACAGATAAGCTTGGTGTCTTTGTTGGCACCATTCAAACAAGTCCTGTGTGGATTCACTTCAATGGCTTACTTATGTTATAGTGATAACTTACTACAGTTAGTAAAATCAAATAAACAAGTATTCACCAAATAGCTCAAACCTGCCTGAGTAAAGATTTAAATGAAGAAACAAAAGGCTAATGTAAAAAAGCTAGTAATAATAAAGCAAAGCTTTTACAATTGTTCCAGCTTAAATGGGGTTATTGTTTTTACCAAGCAGTTTCCTTAATAATAAACATGTTAGTTGAAATAAAAATATAAAAAACCTTTATTCATTAAACAATGCCAAAAAACCAAAATATATTAGCATTTTAAAATCAAGCTTTATGATCATGTACTATTAGCAAGAATGACAAAAATATTTTTACTTTAATTAAATAAACTAACAAAACGATTGAAATGGCTAAATTCCCTTTTAATTTCAGTAGATATGTAACAGTAACATTACTCAAGAAAATTACCTTATTTTTCTCCTCAGTTTTATTTTTTTTTGTTGAGCTTTTTTTGTCTGATTTTTCTGGCATGATGAAGAATAGTTTCTTGTTAAAGAAAGGCTGGTATCTGAAATGTCCTGAGAGGAGTTAGAAAATGAGCTATCAGCAATGAATATATTACAAAAATGTCATTTGCTGAAGAATGAACATGGGTTATAATTTTCAATTTTCATTGTTTATAATGACTTAAAAAATAACAAACAACATTTGTTTTCCTAAAGTTTGATACCAAGTTGATTTATCAGTATAAATTGATAGCTTAGGAAACACTTATGCTAAACCTCTATTTCCTTGTAATCTGTAATCTTATGTTCATTTTTGAAAAATAAATGTGTACCATTTGTTTCTCTGACTCAAGCTTAGATAGCAAGATTAGGGGGGGGGGGGGGGGGGAGGAGACCAACCATGACACATGGTAAATTGCAAGAAGTTAAACTTGAAAAGGCAGTGTGGTAAATTGCAAAAACTTTCCTTCACCAATTTTTTCTCACAAAATACCAGAAATGTGAGATGTCTGCTTTTTCTATTCTTTCAAATCTCACACCACCTAACAGTTTTTAAGTTTAGTTTGTATTTATTGCAGTGGCCACAACTATATTTCTAGATAATAAATCTAGATTTTTATATGCTCTTTTTTACTGCACCTGAAAAAAGCAAGATGTAGATCCAGGTGACAACGCAAATGCATGTGAAGGAGATGATTAGAAATTTTTTTTATAAAAAAATGAAACTTGAGGAAGTGAATGAGTGCAGCATTGTATGTTAGGATGGTGAATCATCATCTTTTCCAATCAACTTCAAGGACACATGGAGACAATCAAAGAAAGTTGTTTTCTACAGTCTCTAGCAAGTTTCTTGGCAGTTCCCCGCCCAAAACAGTCTATTTCTTGCCAAAGTTTCTTCCAGGCATCTCTTCAAGGGGGGAGGGGGGGGGGGCATCTAAATTATTACTCTTAATTAATAAATAGGCATATTAATAAATGATAAAAATAATAAAATACTTTCATTCAATCATCATTCAATGTTTAGTTTCACACCTGACTTGTTGTGAGCAGTGAAGAACCTTGCCTTGATGAATGGGGTAGTAAGATGTAGAGTTGTAGATTATATAAATGGTTCATGAACGTTCTATGACTATGCGTGCCTATGCATTCTCTTGCAAAAAAATACTAGTTGACCAAAAACAGCTTTTAAAAAAAATATTTTCTTGTGTCGTTTGCAGCAAAACTACTAGATCTAGATTCTATTTGGAAATTGTTCCGCTTCCGTCTTCGTCATCACTTTATGTGCTAGGCCTAGTTAAAGAACAAAAACAAGACCTAGATCTAGCTGCATCTGTTTATAAAAGAGCTCCATATATCTCCATGCAACATGTTTACACTTCCGGCGTCTATGGTAGAAAAATAAAAACAAATTTTTTTTTAGATATTCTAGATCTAGATTTCGCAAGTGTTCAACCGAATTTGATTTGTACCTAGCAACATATTCTAATTACATACATGATCATAATACATAGATCTAGAAATCTAGATCTACATGATTACATACATGATCGGTAAGACCTAAACTAGAATCTAGATCTCTAGATCTAAAGTAAAAAAAAGTAAAGTTGTAATGTAAACGATCGTCGATTATCAATCAATTTGAATGAACAATTTGTCAATCGACAATTCAATTAGTCAATTTAATTAGGCAGGCCTACTTAGTACTTACATGTACATAAATCATATTTTTAAAAAAATTAACATAGTTCATAAGTACTACATACATACTATTACATAGGCCTACTTAAAATAATAATTAATTAAAATAAAAAATAGGCCTATAGGCCTAATATAATTATTATAGGCCTATTTTTTATTTTAATTATAATAGTCTATAGGCTAGCCCTTTTTTTTAATATTTAGGTAATCTATCGTTTTGGGTACGTAAAATCTCCCGCGGCTATAAATGTATGAAAACGTTACCTCATTGTCAAGGCTTTAATAGAGGCATATTGTCATGTTTGTGTCAAATATAATAGATAAATGAATAATAAACCTAAATCAATGGCTAAATATATCAATATAGGCCAGAAATTAACTTTACACAGCAGTGTCTGAAAGCAAGATTTGCTATATAAACAGCAGCCATTTGTAAAATAGAGTGGATTCCCCCTGAATCTCGCACTATAAGCTTATAAAAATAAAACTTAGACAAGATGGCTGCTATAGTAAATGAGCATGGTTGCATCTGTTGGAAACATCGCTAGTCTTCATTTATTACGGATAAGTTTTCATTCAATTGTTTAAAAACAGGTACATAAATGAAACAAGGAAACATTTTGTTATTTTAAAAAACATAAATCCTCCTCAAAATGTGAAATAATTATTAAAATTTAAGGAGTCACCTGTTTTTCACATTACAAGTCGCGAGCGATTTTACGTACCTAAAACGATAGATTACCAACATTTATTTATACTATACTGAATAGGCCTAGGCCTACTGAACTCTCTAGTCTATACTTAATACATAAACTATTAGGCCTTATTAATTATTAATTATTATTATAATAAATTTAAAATTATACACACATGACTTCACTTAAGACTTAGACTTTAATTTTAAACGACTGATTTATTAATATTATACAGTTACTAAGGGGTTATCCATAAATGATGTCACGCTTTTTTTGACGATTTTTACCTACCCCTCCCCTCCATCACACATCGTCACAAAAAGCCAGTTGAAATTGCTGTTGAAATTTTTTTAAAACATCGATATTTTTAAAAAAAACTTGCCTCTGTTCAATAATTTATCATTAGAATTTTAAAATGTTTTGCAAATAAGCCTATCACTTTTGTTTTCCTTTACCAGAAATATGTTTTTAGCTTAAGAGTATATAGATCAATCAATAGGCTAAATATTAGACATATAATAATACCATAGATTATAAATTGGATGGAAAATATAATCCTACTTTTAATAAAGTTGTTTTTAATAAAGTTTGGGATAAAATACTCAAAAATATATACAGCTGTACTTCTATAGTATAGGATATATCTGTACTTACCATTTGAATCTTAATTAACAATGATTCATTTAAATATTTTCATGTTATGTTAACATTTTCAGTATTGAAAATCACACAGCAACCTAAGCTACTAAAATTTTACATGGGAAGATGGTGCATATAGCAGTAGTTGGTGCAGGTCTAATGGGTATCAAAATAGCTGGTAAGAAAATATTGGTGTAGCTAACTTTGAAGTGTTTTTTTTTATTATCTAATAATCTACCATTCAACTTCTCTAATAGTAATAATTTGAATGATCTGGGCCTGTCCATAAGTAAAAAGAGTTCATTACTCTAATTTGTCCCAGTGGAGTTTCTGATTTTATGGCAACATTTCTAACAGTATAGTTCTTAGTTTATATTAAAAACTTATCACAAAATAATTTAACTTTTTAATGTTAACACTGGCAATATATCCCATTTCTTGAGAGCTATGTAGATCTCGCTGAGGTTTGTGTTGGGGCTTGAATAAAACAGCAAAAGAGAATATGAATGACTTGAACAGCAGAAGTTAGCAAATCACACAAACAATAAATATTGGTTTTTGTTTAGGTGTCAAGATATGTATGTTGCAGGTGAATTTGCTTATCATGGACACAGGGTAAAGATTTATGATAAAAGTTCAGCAGCATTAGACAAGGTTTATGATGTACTTGAAGAAGATAAAAAAGCCCTGCATGAAGATGGATTGCTGCCTCAAAAACAATTCTTGGTAAAATATATTTTAATTTTATTTACTTATTTATCGGATCTCAGATTTTTAAAGAATCTTACACATTAACATTTTAACTGTCAGACTATTTATAGAAACATTTTTTACTAGATTTGTAAAAAGATACTAATCCAATAAAAGTCTTTAAAGTATACATGACCAAAGTAAAGAAAGGAAAATAGTAAAACAATTTATTTGTAAGAAAATGGAAGCATTTAACGTTTATTAACAGGGTCAAGTATTCTGCTTGAGTCACTTGGAAGAAACAGTCAGAGAAGCGGAGTTCATATTTGAAGCAGTTGTTGAGAACTTGGATTTGAAGCAAGATATATTTGAAAGTCAATAAAAAATATTTCCTCTTAAAAATAACTTTAACAATAACACTTACGAATTAATTTAAGGAACATATAGAGTGTTCTGAATATTTATATGGACTAAATAAAATATTTAAAAATAAAATGAACTTCTAATGTACAACTTGATACAACTTGCCAATATAACATTAGATAACAACTTGCTTTCTTCCAATGTGTGCCAGGAATCTCTCACTGCTGCCGGCCGGATGCCATCATTGCCAGCAACAGTCTACAGCTGGACATCAACCAGGTCAATGACAGGACCATTAATAAACAGGTCATTAAACAGGTCATATTAACATGCTAGGAGCATTAAAAACAGGTCATTAAACAGGTCATATTAACATGCTAGGAGCATTAAAAACAGGTCATTAAACAGGTCATATTAACATGCTAGGAGCATTAAAAACAGGTCATTAAACAGGTCATATTAACATGCTAGGAGCATTAAAAACAGGTCATTAAACAGGTCATATTAACATGCTAGAACCATTAATAAACAGGTCATTAAACAGGTCATATTAACATGCTAGAACCATTAATAAACAGGTCATTAAACAGGTCATATTAACATGCTAGGGGCATTAAAAACAGGTCATTAAACAGGTCATATTAACATGCTAGAACCATTAATAAACAGGTCATTAAACAGGTCATATTAACATGCTAGAACCATTAATAAACAGGTCATTATACAGGTCATATTAACATGCTAGGAGCATTAAAAACAGGTCATTAAACAGGTCATATTAACATGCTAGAACCATTAATAAACAGGTCATTAAACAGGTCATATTAACATGCTAGGAGCATTAAAAACAGGTCATTATACAGGTCATATTAACATGCTAGAACCATTAATAAACTGGTCATACTGACATGCTAGGATCATTAATAAACAGGTCATATTGATGTGCTAGCTCATTAATAAACAGGTCATTAAACAGGTCATAGTAACATGCTAGGAGCATTATTAAATGAGTCATTAATAAACAGGTCATATTAACATGCTTGGACTATTTAAAAAACACATCATTAAACAGAACAAATTGATTACCTACAATGTGTAGAAAAATAGTTAAGAAAGAAAACGTACAATAGAAATATTCACATAAATGCAAGTGTTGATACAGGGATAAAACTTTATAAACTTCACTTGTCTTTAGGCTTATCCAGCCACAAAAAGTGTTTTTTTTAGTCATCCTCCTACCAAAAGTTTTTTTGTCATCCTCCTACCAAAAGTTTTTTTGTCATCCTCCTACCAAAAGTTTTTTTTGTCATCCTCCTACCAAAAGTTTTTTTGTCATCCTCCTACTAAAAGTTATTTTTGTCATCCTCATCATCCTCCTACCAAAAGTTATTTTGTCATCCTCCTACCAAAAGTTTTTTTTGTCATCCTCCTACCAAAAGTTTTTTTTGTCATCCTCCTACCAAAAGTTATTTTGTCATCCTCCTACCAAAAGTTTTTTTTGTCATCCTCCTACCAAAAGTTTTTTTTGTCATCCTCCTACCAAAAGTTTTTTTTGTCATCCTCCTACCAAAAGTTTTTTTTGTCATCCTCCTACCAAAAGTTATTTTGTCATCCTCCTACCAAAAGTTTTTTTTTGTCATCCTCCTACCAAAAGTTTTTTTTGTCATCCTCCTACCAAAAGTTATTTTGTCATCCTCCTACCAAAAGTTTTTTTTGTCATCCTCATCATCCTCCTACCAAAAGTTATTTTGTCATCCTCCTACCAAAAGTGTTTTTTTTGTCATCCTCATCATCCTTCTACCAAAAATGTTTTTGTCATCCTGCTACCAAAAGTGTTTTTTGTCATTCTCCTACCAAAAGTTTTTTTTTGTCATCATCCTACTAAAAGTTATTTTTGTCATCCTCATCATCCTCCTACCAAAAGTTTTTTTTTTCATCCTACCAAAAGTTTTTTTTTGTCATCCTCCTACCAAAAGTTTTTTTTTGTCATCCTCCTACCAAAAGTTTTTTTTGTCATCCTCCTACCAAAAGTTTTTTTTAGTCATCCTCCTACCAAAAGTTTTTTTTTGTCATCCTCCTACCAAAAGTTTTTTTTGTCATCCTACCAAAAGTTTTTTTTGTCATCCTCCTACCAAAAGTTTTTTTTTTGTCATCCTCCTACCAAAAGTTTTTTTTGTCATCCTCCTACCAAAAGTTTTTTTTGTCATCCTCCTACCAAAAGTTATTTTTGTCATCCTCCTACCAAAAGTTATTTTTGTCATCCTCCTACCAAAAGTTTTTTTTGTCATCCTCCTACCAAAAGTTTTTTTTGTCATCCTACCAAAAGTTTTTTTTGTCATCCTCCTACCAAAAGTGTTTTTTTGTCATCCTCCTACCAAAAGTTATTTTTTGTCATCCTCATCATCCTGCTACCAAAAGTTTTTTTTTGTCATCCTGCTACCAAAAGTTATTTTTTGTCATCCTCATCATCCTGCTACCAAAAGTTTTTTTTTGTCATCCTCATCATCCTCCTACCAAAAGTTTTATTTTCATCCTCCTTCCAAAAGTTTTTTTTGTCATCCTCCTACCAAAAGTTTTTTTGTCATCCTCCTACCAAAAGTTATTTTTGTCATCCTCCTACCAAAAGTTTTTTTTTGTCATCCTCCTACCAAAAGTGTTTTTTTGTCATCCTCATCATCCTTCTACCAAAAATGTTTTTGTCATCCTGCTACCAAAAGTTTTTTTTCATCCTCCTACTAAGAGTTTTTAAGTTATCCAAGTGGTACCAAGTTAAACATTTGAGTTTGCCATCACTGACTGTGTGTGTGCTATTTACAGAGAAGTTTGGGCATTAGATTTCTGTTTCCTGTCTACTACATTCCGGAGGTGGAGATTTGTCCAGCTAAACAGACAGCTGGGGAAGTCATAGAAAAAGGTTTGTTGCTTACTATACAAATTTGATGGGCTGTTTTATGTTATGTACAATAATGTCACAAGTGTGTATGTGTGGAGGGGGGGGGAAGGGTGCTGACTGCATGGGGCAACACCATTTAGGGGGTGATACCAAATTCACATAATCTATAATAATAGTTTCGCTGTCTCTCTATCTATCTATCTATCTGTCTGACAAGAACGCTCTAGAGAAAAGACAAGCAATTTAAAAACATGCATAGTAATTCGAAAAACGAAGTATGACGTCGACACATTTAGCGCACAGAGTAGAAAATAATCTCAAACCCAGAGAGTGCACACAGTTATATGACGTCATTGATTATCGAGTAAACAAAGGCAATTTGGTCTAATCTAAGTGGTTTGCGTGAAGAGTTTCTTGCATACAATTCTTCGGGTAGGGGCGAAGCCCCACCCCCCGCGTAAGAACGTCTGAGCCCCTCCCCCTCCCCAACTCAAAAGAAATTTCCTCATCGATACTCTATAATAAAATTAATGTGTCTAATCTAAAAAGTGGTTTTCTTGCAATGGGACGGTAGACATGTTTTTTTTTTGGGGGGTGGGGGGTGGGGAGGGGGGGGGGGGTGGAGGGGTGGGGGGGTGGTGTGTGTGTGGGGGGGGGGGGTGGGGGTGGTGTGTGGGGGGTGGGGGGTGGGTTGGTTTCAGTGTTTCTTTCAGACTTTTTCCTCCCCGGAGAGGGGTGGGGGTACTTGAAATTTTCGGGGGCGGGGGTAGAATTTTCTGGGAGGGGGCGGACACTGGAAAAAGTATATAATTATATTTCGTTGAATGGGACGGTAGACATGGTTTTTTTTTTGGGGGGGGGGGGGCGGTGGAGGGGGGGGGGGGTTGGAGGGGTGGGGGGGGTGGGGGTGGGGGTGGGGGGGCGGTGTGTGGAGGGGGTGGTGTGTGGGGGGGTGGGGGGTGGGGATGGTGTGTGGGGGTGGGGGTGGTGTGTGGGGGGTGGGTTGGTTTCAGTGTTTCTTTCAGACTTTTTCCTCCCCGGAGAGGGGTGGGGGGTACTTGAAATTTTCGGGGGCGGGGGGTAGAATTTTCTGGGAGGGGGCGGACACTGGAAAAAGTATATAATTATATTTCGTTGAATGGGACGGTAGACATGGTTTTTTTTTTGGGGGGGGGGGGGGGGGGGGGCGGTGGAGGGGGGGGGGGGGTTGGAGGGGTGGGGGGGCGGTGTGTGGAGGGGGTGGTGTGTGTGGGGGGTGGGGGTGGGGATGGTGTGTGGGGGTGGGGGTGGTGGGGGGTGGGGTGGTGTCTGGGGGTCGGGGGGGTGGGGGTGGGGGTGGTGTGTGGGGGGGTGGGTTGGTTTTAGTTTAGAGAAAAGAGACAGCACTATCAGCCTAGCGCCCGTTGTACCCTTCCTCAACGGGCCATTTATCTAGTTGTTTAAATAATACTGTAGGGGACATGGGTGACCAGTTTCCTCTAAGGGGAAAAAGCTAGTGTGCAACATGATTTTTGTGCACAGAGTTCTGAAAGTCTTAAAAAAGGATATGTGTATTTTACAAAGTGATTGCGTGGCAATTGAAAACTACTGCGTGGCCATAGGAAAATGCAGAATTGTTGGCTGAAGGGTGGGGTTACATCTTCAGTCATTGCACCTAGTGATGCCACTTTATATATATATATATATATATATATATATATATATATATATATATATATATATATATATATATATATATATATGTTACGGAGTGCAGCCAATGCACGCATTGGCCGGCTCTCTTGGCCAAAGCCCTAAGAACTTAGGACTAAGATCGTATTTCTTGCATTGGCCGGCCAATGCGCACACTGGCCAGGACGTACTGGCCAAAGTCTGAAGCGCTTAAACTTGACAGCGTATTTTGTACATTGGCCGGCCAATGCGCGCACTGGCCGGGATGTCCTGGCCAATGTTCTATCTAGACTAAGTTGTGATCGCGTTTTCATTATTCTGGGTGCGGTTTTATTGTAACGTATTGTTTAGCTCTTGTTTGTATAGCATTCTATATGCAAGGCGACATAGATCAAAAGGGCCATGAGACAGACATAGCAGATGGCTGTCAAAAGAAAAAAATGTAAATCCATGTTAGTTTCCATATATGGGCTACAACTGTATGTGACAGCCTCCTCCATGATGACAATCATCAAAGAACAAAATCAAAGACAGTCGGCATCACCGACCACATGCAACAAGACGGAATGTTCAAAAAACTTTGCAGCGTTCCTTGTAAGTTGAACAATAGTGTCCAAACAACTTGAGGTGGCGTGGGCGTCAGAAACCATATTTCCCCAACAAAAAGGGAATACCAAATAAAGTAGACCCATCACCGCGCCTTGACTGAACTGCATGATAAATACCGACAGAATTGCATTCTTGTGGATCCTGTGGCAACGATGTCCATGCTATGTGTGGAATACCCAATGAAGCAGACGAAGGGTACGGAGGAAATATTACCTGCAGATTATATCACAACAAACAAGACATCATGGAACACAGGTCAGCAGCTCATACTAGCTTGCAAACTCAAGGTGCTAAGATGCTTAAAACATCAAATACAACATTTAAAGATGCTGAAGTGGGTGACAATGTACGCATCCGTATAACAGATGTTGACAGAGGTCGCGCTGATCCCCGAAGCGTGATTGCAGTTGTCATGAGCGTCGAGGGCGGTTTCTACAAATTAGGAACGGAACATGGTGTTCTAAAACAACTGTATGCTAGAAGTGAGTTTTCAATTCTTCACGAAAAACTGCTCTTATAGTCGTCAGTTGGCACTAAGGAAAAATCACTACGAACCATTGCATCTTCACAATCATTGACTGGGGGCCAAGGCTACACTCGCTGCAATTGCACAACCAAGTGCACAACAAATCGCTGCGAGTGTAAAAATAACAAGCTACTATGTAATTCTAAATGCCATAAAAGTTCAACTTGTAACAAATGATAATATTGATTGATTGAGACTATAATACAATAAAAAATTTGAATGTTTCTATCATTTACTTTAATTAATAATCAATAAAAACTTAATTTCATGATCCTTACGGCATAAAAAAGGACAAAATCTGCTCATGATCTTCTAATTCGGACTTTGGCCGGTTGTCCCTAGCCAGATGATCTTCTAATTAAGACTTTGGCCGGTCCACCATGGCCAGTCCGCAGATTGGCCGGCCAAGCCTGAAATCAAGCAACATTGACCGACTTCGGGCTTTGACCGTAACATATATATATATATATATATATATATATATATATATATATATATATATATATATATAAGCCACTACGTAGTGTCTTTTGAATTCCCTCCATTATGTGTCTGTCTTTGTGTTGGTGGAGATTCTATCTAGACAATGTTATCTATTATTTATATACGTATATCCACTTACACATACAATTCAGCCTGGGGTTTGAAATGCATGGAGCTAATTAAGAACTGATTTATTTTTAAAAAAAGATATTCATATCTGGTGTAGCAAAAAATATATTCAATTTATGAACTTTCTTTCGTAGGAAGATTTTTTTTTCAATCTTTGTTTTAGCTAATAAAGGTCAAATTTTCTGTTTCAGTGAGAAAACTGATTGAGAGGATGGGCAAGACTTTATTCTTTCGCTCTGGCCACCAGCCTCTTATTCTTACTGAACAACAACGAGAAGAAAGAAAAAGAGGTTTAACTTATTTTCAATTAGACGTTTAAAAAGTTGGGTTTTTTTACATTTAATAATATCCCATCAAAGTATTTTGTTGTAACTGAAGTAGTTTGCCAACAAAATATTTCTAGAAAAACTAACAAACTCTGATCCATATAGCTCGCCTGGATGAAATCCTCAACACTTCAGGGATAGGAACGTATTTAGATCGCTCTATTCCAACGTTGCATCACGTTGGCAATGAAAGCGTACAGAAAATACAAACTGAAGGTAATGCTTGCAAAAACTACCTACGCCTCCCCAACTATGTAATGACTGAAAAATGTTTCTGAAGAATTTTGGATTTACCTTTGTGCAACCTTCTGCTAAAATTATTTCTTTAGTATGATTTTCATGATTAGCTATTGACTTGATCTTGGCTGGTGTAGGAAACCATTTTTCTCTTTACCTACATAAATAATGTTATTATTTGTTTCCAACTGATGACTTCCCCACCCCCTATTAAAGTATCGACCCATTTCTCCTGTTTCAGCCTCAGCTATCATACCAAGCGACCTAGAAAGAGACTGCGCAATTTGTATGGACAGGTTACGAGACTGCCTGTTGAGTCCCTGCCATCACATGGTCACCTGCCATCAATGTGGCAAGATGCTGCAAGATAGACACGACGCCTGCCCCATTTGTAGGATGGAAATCAAAGAAGTCGTTAGGGTTTATCACACCTGACCCACAGGTGGGCAACACCTGATACAGGTGGGCAACACCTGACCCACAGGTGGGCAACACCTGACCCACAGGTGGGCAACATGTGACCTACAGATAGGCAACACCTGAGCCACAGGTGGGTAACACTTGACCCACAGGTGGGCAACACCTGATACAGGTGGGAATCACCTGATACAGGTGGGAATCACCTGAGGAGAATCAAACCATTTAGTATGTGCAATATTGACTCTATAATTGATACAAGTTTATCTGCGCTAGTTTCATAGACTTCTGTCAAAGTTATCTGTCCTGTAGCCCTATATAAATGATGTGGTACCCCCTCTAACTGAGGTGTTAGCTCTCTTATTAATGTGGTAGCCCATTTTATTTTTTTTTAAATTTTCAAATTTGTTGTGGAAAAAAATTATGCTACCATTTTAGAAAAATGTTTTCTTAAAACCTTTGAAAAATAAAAATCTTGTAAAAGTTTTGTATTTAAAAAAAAAATACATTTGTGTTTCAAACATTTCATGTAATGGCAAATTTTTAAACATGTTTTAAACAGTTATATCTCTAAGTACCCGAGACATAAAGTCTATAAACTGTTTATGTAAACATCTCACTTATAATTAATTATGACTACTTTACATACTCTATGAATGTGAAATAAATTTGTCAGCGTATATTTAATAATGTGGAATAAATTTGTCAGTGTATATTTAAGAATGTGGAGTTAATTTGTCAGCGTATATCTTAAACCATATTTACCAAGAATTTTTTATATTAACTATAATTTTACATAAAAAACACATTAAAAATGTGTTTTTATTAAATGTAATAAATCTTTTGTTGGTATTTTCTATTTAATTCCTGTTATGTAGCTTAGATAGCAACCCTTCTAGGAGAGACAACCCTAACTGCTGCGTGGCTGCTATTGGATGGACATTGGCTGTGGAAGCACACCTGCAAGTAAGTAGGCTTAAGTTGGAGTCAACATCCTATAGCACACAGCATGTTGACAATACTTCATTGTGTTGGAGGAAATCCTCTCCAATATTGCCATTAGGAACAAAGAAGATAGAAAAATATGTTGTATAGAGATGGGTTGGATTATCTGTTCATGTTACTCTCACATCAACTCATGAAACCACAAATTGAATACAGTTTTGGCTGTCTACTGGAGGTGATTATTAAATGTAATTAAAGCAATTATCTGACCTTACAATAAACTTGTGCTGTCTAACCACGTCTGGTGTACATTAGCATAATGATTGCCTTAATCACCGGCTTATGTCAGCATAATGATTGCCATATTCACCGTTTTATGTCAACATATAGATTCACTATGTTTTAAAAAAAGCAAACAAAAATACTTACTTGTATATATTACTTTTATTTGTATAAAAACATGTTATGGTTGTATATATATAGGAATGTATTCATGACATGAGTAGATCTTTTTATTGGTTTATACTCTGGATAAAACATCGCAGTAACATTCTTGTAGTCCATACTAAAAGTATGAATAAAGCATAATCCCATATATATATATATATATATATATATATATATATATATATATATATATATATATATATATATATATATATATATATATATATATACAGACACATACCTACATATATATTAACGGTGACAGGACAAATGATCTCAGACAAAATATCTCAGACAAAATATCTCACGGACAAATGATCTCAGGACAAATGATCTCAGGACAAATGATTTCAAGGACAAATGATCTCACGGACTAAAGATACCAGGACAAAATATATCAGGACAAATGATACCATGGACAATTGATCTCAGACAAAATATCTCACACCTAAATTTTAATAGTGTAGTTGATGATTTTAGCTGATCTGAAATATTTTTTTATTGATTGTCATATGGTTTTGTTTTAATCTTGTTTATATGCCTATCTAATAATTGTAAGAAATGTTTGGCGTATAAATTTGTAATATTGCACTTAACATTTTAAAGTTAGTATTAGTAATATAGTATACGAAGGTTAAAGATTTTTTTCGATAGACAGCTTAGGTGAGCTTGCCAAACATGAGACAATCCAACCATGTCAGGTGGACGAAACTAGATCAAAGGGAATGAAATAACAATAAAGACACACCTTCGTATTAAGGTGGCCGCCTGCTTTGATGGCTGAGACATGCCTAAAGGGAAAAACATCCGCCCTCCATGGACAATACAACTAGCATCAACAGTCAATAGTTATGCGTCGGTCACACCTTAGTGATCAGGTGACAAATGCTTATTTAAACAAACAGCGGACATGTCGAGCAAGAGTTCACACAATACATGATCACATAGTATATGAGAGGTGTGATCATATTAATGTACCTGCCAGCAAAGAAACATAAACCTTATGCTTGTGTTGATGATACAATAAAAACAATAGTTTAACGTAACGAACCTGAAGACACATTCACATGTTTGAAAAATATTTCGCGTGTTTTGAACCTTAATGTTGTACAACAACCATTACTTTATTTGTTTATTATACTTTTCAGGCTAAAGGAGTAAGTTTGTTATAATTTTTACTTTTTCGAATCAAATGCTGCGACAAAGTTTAATAAATCTTTTGATGGCTTGTTAGATTTAACAAATTCATTGTATTCACAGTTATTATGCGTAAAAAAGTAAAAAAAACGATATTAACAGTCAATTTAAAAAAGTTCAAATCAACTAAAATCATCATACATACTATTAAAATTTTGCTGTGAGATATTTTGTCTGAGATATTTTGTCTGAGATCATTTGTCCATGATATCATTTGTCCTAATATATTTTGTCCTGGTATCTTTTGTCCGTGAGATCATTTGTCCTTGAGATCATTTGTCCTGAGATCATTTGTCTTGAGATCATTTGTCCGTGAGATATTTTGTCTGAGATATTTTGTCTGAGATCATTTGTCCTGAGATCATTTGTCATGGAACCATATTAACATATATATGCATATAGGTTGTACATATATTTATATGTTTCCATATGTATATTAATGTACATGTGCCATTGCATAAGCCTGTAAGAAATATAATACATAGCAACTAGTTTAATTTTTGGAACAACGCTGTGTATTACCCTTTAGATACTTAACAAGGTTCACAATAAAAATACAATAGAAAGGTGCTAGATCAAATGAACTGAACAAAACTCACTACAAGACCACGGGCTCACTTTGTTTGACAATTTTTACCCCACCCCCCACCCTCTTCATCATCACAAAAAGTCAGACCCCCTGCCTAAAATGACATCACACTATCTGTACCCTTCTCCCATTTATCACACATCATCACAAAATTAAGAACCCCCTCCCCCCTATAAGTGTAATGTGACTTGTCTGTTGATGTAAGTCCTGAGATGGAAGTAGCAGATCAATTAAAGCTTGTCAGTCATCTGTACTTCACTGACATGGTTATGGTATAGGCCACCCCATAAGATACAATAGACTTAACATCAACATGATATTGAATAGACTTAACATTAACATGATATTGAATAGACTTAACATTAACATGATATTGAATAGACTTAACATTAACATGATATTGAATAGACTTAACATTAACATGATATTGAATAGACTTAACATTAACATGATATTGAATAGACTTAACATTAACAATGATATTGAGGGAGTTAGTTGCTTGTATCAGAAGTTAGTTACTACTAGCTCAATGATTATATAAGGGGAGTTAATGCTTACATGAGGAGTTAGTTGCTACTAGCTAAATGTTTATACGAGGGTAGATACAGTATGTATTTCAATTTTATAACTGGATGTAATAATATTTAGCAATTACCAATTTTTCTTACACAAAGACATCAGTGCATAAATGAATCTTCTAAACAAAGTAATTGACAGTTGTGTTTGTACACAAAGGGCAACTAGCAAGGGAGGCAACAAAGTTTTGTTGACTAGAGAAATCTTCTGTAACAATAGTTGTGAGATCATAGGACCAAGGATGAGACAATTCCTAGAGACTTCTACACACAGATGGCTTCCTAACACCAGATGGATTCAAGTGTGCCTAACATGTTAAAATCATATTAAATTAAGAAATAAATATACATAAATAGTTTGATTTTGTTCAATATAACAATATAAATTGGCCAGGATGATGACTGGCCTTTAAGTAAATTAAATAAATAGATCAGCAGTAGTTACAGCACTGGGTATAGCAGGAGGTGAGAGGTTGTTGTGACCCCCCCCCCCCCGGTACAGTGGAGGTGAGAGGTTGTTGTGACCCTCCCCCCCTACAGTGGAGATGGATACACCTCTGTCCACCATACTGCCTTGTGCCCAGCCTTACAATGGTACCAGTCGGTGCAGAAGATAGACTGCGATAAGTTACAACCATGAGACAAGAATTGGCCTGTGTTCAAATTTACAAAAATAAATATTCTTATATACAATTAGTGGTCCCCTGCAGAAACCTGCACATTAACATTATATGTGAAACTGGTCGACTCTGCTCCACCTGACAACCTACTACCTGAATAGCTGTTAATTCTAGAAAATTTATACATTTTTTACACACGACAGTGGAAATTCAATCATTGACAAAAATATTGCTAAAAGATTCCGAGCGAACAAGTCGTTGACCTGACCAGTCTAATGTATCGTCTTCCTTAAAGCCATCAGTTCCATTTTGCCAGGCTGGGCTGGCCCCAGACACCTGGATTATTCTACCATTGTCAAAACTACTAGAGGTGTGCAATGCTGTCTTCTGGTCGTCAAAGTTCTTGATGCTGTCAGAACTGTGGGTGCGAGACAAGTAGTCACTCAAGTCAGATCTCTGCTTGTGTTTGTTGATCTCTATAGCAAATGGTATCCCTGTGATGAGATCATCTCTGATCTCATACGCCAAGTTGCGGTTCTTTGTTACAGAAGCAGATGGTGCGCTAGACGAGGGGACGTTACTCTCAGATTGTTTGACACCTAATTGTTTATCTAAAACTGGTTTAGGAACTGGCTGAGGAATAAAGCTTGGATTGTCTGGGATAAAATCATCCACAACTCCACCCTGAGACCCCCCTGCCATGACCCCTGCCAAACCCTGGGTCCCAGGAGGGAAAGAATTCATGGCAATGATCCGCTCTAAGATCTGCTCATTTAAAAGTTTTGCTCCCTTCTCTTCAGCCATCTTGTTTGAGTTGGTTTCACCTGCCTCATCATGAGGGGGTGGGGCAGACGAGAGGAGGGAAGGATCAGATTTTAAACCAGGGACAATAATTTCTTCCTCAACAGGGTCTGCCTCAGGTGATGGACTCCGCACATTGTGTATGTAGTCATTGAAGTAATCCCTGAAGCTTGTCTTTGTCAGCACATGCAGAGCATCCTGAATGCTTCTAGCCTGGTCATCTGTCTGGTCCTGCTCACTCAGGTCTCCATCTTCCTCTCTCTCTATCCTATCTGGCACTATCAACTCCTCTTCAATTTCCTGGCTACCCACGCCTTGAGAATGAAGGTATTCTTGCTGAGAACTTGTAAAAACCTCTGCTATTCCAGAGTCTTGCGGAATATAGGAGATGTCACTTTTCCTTCTTTTCCGCTCTGGCTTGTCAGGAACGACTTTTTGATGAGTTAAATTGTTTTCTACAAACTTGGAGATAATGTCAGCTTCTGTGACAGGTGCGTAGTTTTCTTCCGAGCTGTGCGAGTCTGCGATGCTGGAGAGTCTGACGCCAGCACCAGCGCGCCCCACCGGAGCATTGCTCTCTGCGTGAACCACTTCAGCCTGGGTTGTGTCTGCACTGTGGCGGGACACCGGCTCAAGTTTGACCAAACTTTCTTGGCTTTTTCTGGAATTTTTACCTGACCACTTTAAAAACTTGTGCCCAGATTTCAGGTCACTCTGAGTACGTTTTGGATGCGAGGAGCGTGAGGTGGGCTCCCTCTGGGGTGGGGACTTGATGGTGTCCATGGAGCGGCTGCGGTACAGGGGGTGGCTGAGGCGCCTGCTCTCATGCCTCATGTTTTTGCCATCAAACGTCTTTAGGCTGTCGTCTGTGGCTTTTTGTACAAGTATTTTCACAGGATATGGTGAGGCATAACTCAAGATTGTTAGAGCGTCTTCGTAGACGATGTGCTCGTATGACACTGTCACACTCAGGATTCTGTCTCCTATAGAGTAAAGCAGGTCAGTGAATGAGAAGATGGTAACAGAATGGGAAGAAGATGGTAACAGAATGGGAAGATGGTAACTGAATGGGAAGATGGTAAAAGAATGAGAAGATGGTAACAGAATGAGAAGATGAAGATGGTAACATAATGAGAAGATGGTAATAGAATGAGAAGATGGTAACAGAATAAGAAGATGGTAAAAGAATGAGAAGATGGTAACAGAATGGGAAGAAGATGGTAACAGAATGGGAAGATGGTAACTGAATGGGAAGATGGTAAAAGAATGAGAAGATGAAGATGGTAACATAATGAGAAGATGGTAATAGAATGAGAAGATGGTAACAGAATGAGAAGATGGTAACAGAATGAGAAAAAGATGGTAACAGAATTAGAAGATGGTAACAAAATGAGAAGATGGTAACAGAATGAGAAGATGGTAACAGAATGAGAAGATGGTAACAGAATGAGAAGATGAAGATGGTAACAGAATGAGAAGATGGTAACAGAATGAGAAAAAGATGGTAACAGAATAAGAAGATGGTAACAGAATGAGAAGAAGATGGTAACAGAATGAGAAGATGGTAACAGAATGAGAAGATGGTAACAGAATGAGAAGATGGTAACAGAATGAGAAGATGGTAACAGAATGGGAAGAAGATGGTAACAGAATGAGAAGATGGTAACAGAATGAGAAGATGGTAACAAAATGGGAAGATGGTAACAGAATGAGAAGATGGTAACAGAATGAAAAGATGGTAATAGAATGAGAAGATGAAGATGGTAACATAATGAGAAGATGGTAACAGAATGAGAAGATGGTAAAAGAATGAGAAGATGCTAAAAGAATGAGAAGATGCTAAAAGAATGAGAAGATGGTAACAGAATGGGAAGATGGTAACAGAATGAAAAGATGGTAATAGAATGAGAAGATGAAGATGGTAACATAATGAGAAGATGGTAACAGAATGAGAAGATGGTAAAAGAATGAGAAGATGCTAAAAGAATGAAAAGATGGTAACAGAATGAGAAGATGGTAACAGAATGAGAAGAAGAGGGTAACAAAATGAGAATACAATTTTTAAGAGACAAACCAAACGTTTTTATTTTATTCTCTTTTCTTCACGTTTTTTTTTGTTTGTGTTTTACACATAGATGTAAGATAGGGATATTTAATTGAAATATATAGCCAAATTAGTCATAAGTGAGTCAGATTTCCCCAGATAGGGAAAGTTTTTGCCAACTTTAATTAGTCCCAGGTAGGGACATTTCTTACCAACTTTAATTTGTCCCAGATAGGGACATTTCTTACCAACTTTAATTTGTCCCAGATAGGGACATTTCTTACCAACTTTAATTTGTCCCAGATAGGGACATTTCTTACCAACTTTAATTTGTCCCAGATAGGGACATTTCTTACCAACTTTAATTTGTCCCAGATAGGGACATTTCTTACCAACTTTAATTTGTCCCAGATAGGGACATTTCTTACCAACTTTAATTTGTCCCAGATAGGGACATTTCTTACCAACTTTAATTTGTCCCAGATAGGGACATTTCTTACCAACTTTAATTTGTCCCAGATAGGGACATTTCTTACCAACTTTAATTTGTCCCAGATAGGGACATTTCTTACCAACTTTAATTTGTCCCAGGTAGGGACATTTCTTACCAACTTTAATTTGTCCCAGATAGGGACATTTCTTACCAACTTTAATTTGTCCCAGATAGGGACATTTCTTACCAACTTTAATTTGTCCCAGATAGGGACATTTCTTACCAACTTTAATTTGTCCCAGGTAGGGACATTTCTTACCAACTTTAATTTGTCCCAGATAGGGACATTTCTTACCAACTTTAATTTGTCCCAGGTAGGGACATTTCTTACCAACTTTAATTTGTCCCAGGTAGGGACATTTCTTACCAACTTTAATTTGTCCCAGATAGGGACATTTCTTACCAACTTTAATTTGTCCCAGGTAGGGACATTTCTTACCAACTTTAATTTGTCCCAGATAGGGACATTTCTTACCAACTTTAATTTGTCCCAGATAGGGACATTTCTTACCAACTTTAATTTGTCCCAGGTAGGGACATTTCTTACCAACTTTAATTTGTCCCAGATAGGGACATTTCTTACCAACTTTAATTTGTCCCAGATAGGGACATTTCTTACCAACTTTAATTTGTCCCAGATAGGGACATTTCTTACCAACTTTAATTTGTCCCAGATAGGGACATTTCTTACCAACTTTAATTTGTCCCAGATAGGGACATTTCTTACCAACTTTAATTTGTCCCAGATAGGGACATTTCTTACCAACTTTAATTTGTCCCAGATAGGGACATTTCTTACCAACTTTAATTTGTCCTGACTCTTTGGCTGGTCCACGGTTATTGACTTCACTGACTTGGATGCCATCACCATAGTTACCACAAATGTTGAATCCTAGGCCAATAATATCCTGACTCTCAAGGGTCACACTGATGACCTCTGGGTCCTGAATACACAAGTGTTACCAGTTAGATAAAATATGAGCTGGTGGTGTTAGTTGCTATGTTGTGTGGTTTTTGTATTATTTTACATGGCATGCTTTAGTACCTTAGATGTACTAAATAAGTAGTGATACTAGATTAGGCCTAGTTTGTAATCAGTTTCTTCCAAGAATCTCTTTGGGCTCTGCCCCCCCACTCCTCAATGAAATGGAATTTATATAGAAAACATAAACTTTTAACAGTGTCCGCTCCACCCCCCGCCCCCCAGTAGCGTAGCGAGGGGGGGGGGCGGGGGGGACATATGTCCCCGGGCGCCGAGCTTAGGGGGCGCCAAATGGGTTGGAAAAATAAATTGAAAGGTTGAGGGGGGTGCAAATTGAAAGTTTGAGGGGGGGGGGGTGCAAATAAAAATCTCGAGGGGGGTTGCAAATCGAAAGTTTGAGGTGGGGTGCAAATCAAAATATCGAGGGTGGGGGTGCAAATCGAAAGTTTGAGGGAGGGGGTGCAAATCAAAATCTCGAGGGGGGGTGCAAATCGAAAAGTTTGTCCCCGGGCGCCGGGAAGGGTCGCTACGCCTCTGCCCCCCCCCCCCTTAAAAAATGTCTAGAAGAAACACTGTAATATATGCTATGTGATGGGATTAGATAACATACCTAACACTATATAGAATGGAATGATGTAAAGATGATGATTAAATTATATAAATTTATAAAACATGGCTTTCACTTTTCACTATGGTATGATGTAAAAAATGGTGCAGTAATCAATATAAAACCTAGCTTACACTACTAGGTCAGAGTATGTCATGATGTAACAATCTTGATGATGTAAAAGTATAAAAATTAGCTTACACTATATTACTATGTCATAAGGTAACCATCTTGATGAGGTAAAAGTATAAAGCTTTGCTTACACTACTATGTCAAGAGGTAACAATCTTGATGAGGTAAAAGTATAAAACTTTGCTTACACTACTGCTCATGTTCCCATCCAGTGAGCCATAGGAGCTCTCCTTGTAGAGACGACCAAACCTGTCATTTCTCGGTAGAGAGTTCCACGTTTTTTCATTGCTGAAGATCTGGTGACAGAAATTGGGAATGTCAACACAGGTAGTATACACAGGTAGTTAGTCTACACAGGTAGTCTACACAGGTACTCTACACAGGTAGTCTACACAGGTAGTTTACACAGGTAGTTAACACCGGTAGTCTACACAGGTAGTCTACACAGGAAGTTACTAATTAGAGGCTTTTGTGACATCATAATAAAAACTGTTAGTGATCAGTCAAAGACGCCTCATACCGGGTGACACCATCCATCAAATGACACCATCCATCAAATAACACCATCCATCAAATAACACCATCCATCAAATAACACCATCCATCAAATAACACCATCCATCAAATAACATCATCCATCAAATAACATCATCCATCATATGACACCATCCATCAAATAACACCATCCATCAAATAACACCATCCATCAAATAACACCATCCATCAAATAACATCATCCATCATATGACACCATCCATCAAATAACACCATCCATCATATGACACCATCCATCAAATAACATCATCAATCAAATGACACCATCCATCATATGACACCATCCATCAAATAACACCATCCATCATATGACACCATCCATCAAATAACATCATCCATCAAATGACACCATCCATCAAATAACACCATCCATCAAATAACACCATCCATCAAATAACATCATCCATTATATGACACCATCCATCAAATAACACCATCCATCAAATAACATCATCCATCATATGACACCATCCATCAAATAACACCATCCATCATATGATACCATCCATCAAATAACATCATCCATCAAATGACACCATCCATCATATGACACCATCCATCAAATAACACCATCCATCAAATGACACCATCCATCATATGACACCATCCATCAAATGACACCATCCATCATATGACACCATTCATCAAATAACACCATCCATCAAATAACACCATCCATCAAATAACATCATCCATCATATGACACCATTAGTCAGATGACACCATCAGTCAGATGACACCAACCATCAAATCTGCTTTGTCATCTATCAGAACTCGGCTTAGTCCTAGTATCTATCTTCTATATATATATAATTCTCTTCTTGGATACCCTAGAAAACACCAAGCTGTAAGCGCGCCTAGCAGCACCCTCTCTTCCTCTCTAGTCATATCCCTACCACCCCACCCCCACATGGTCTGGTGAACTGTGGTTCACGCTAAATGTTTACAATCGTAGAGCCGGGTCTAGTGACGGCTGTTAGGGGCAGATAATTTAGTTTGAAGCGATTTTAAACTTACGGGAGGTAACTAAGAGGAGGCTGCTTTCACGGGGGGGGGGGGGGGTGCAGGGTAGGGGTTGGGGGAAAGGAGGGGGTAGTATCGTCCTTAACAACCTACTGATAGTGTTTTAAAGCAAATATGTTGAGTGGCAGCAGTGATACTGTCGAATTCACTAATTATGAATTAGGCCTACTGAAAAGTAGAAAATAAAACTAAATAGCGGCATATGATACGCCGCGGGTCGGCTCGTGATTATTATTTTGTCCATTGCCATTCTCTACACTATGCTATTCGTCTGATTGTTCTGTCCTTTATTATGACTGTTGTATGCTAGCACTGTCCTCCAAATTACAAAATGACTAGATCTATAACGCAACACATTTTATTTGTACGAGCCGACCCGCAGCGTATCATACGCCGCTATTTAGTTGTTTTATTTTCTATTTTTCAGTACTTCATAATTTGTGAATTCAACAGTACCAATGCTGCCACTGAAAATATTTGCTTTAAAACACTAGCCCCCCCCCCCTTTCCCCTAACCCCGACCCTACACCCCCCCCCCCCACCCGTGAAAGCAGCCTCCTCTTAGTTATTTCTTAGTTACCTCCTGTAAGTTTAAAATCGAACTAAATTATCTGCCCCTAATAGAAACCCGGCTCTACGGCTCTACGATTTGTAAACATTTAGCTTTGTAAACATTTAGCGTGACCACAGCTCACCAGACAATGTGGGGGGTGGGGTGGGGGTGGTAGTGATAGGGATAGAGAGAAAGAGAGGGGACTGCAAGGAGGCGCTTGCAGCTTGTTTTCTAACGGCTCCCAGAAGAGAATTATATATATAGATAGATATATAGTCTTCCAGCTCGTAATCTATTTTTAAATGTTGCGTACGTTGTCTTTGATTGTATAGATCATTACTAGACCGTCCTGGACATTTCTACATTCTTTAGACCGGAGCGTGAGGTGGTAGCGGCTCAAGTAATGATAGCACAGGTGCGTCATGGGAGGGGGGGGGGGGGGGGTAAGGTGCGGATTGTCAGGCAAGCTCTAGAGAATGGCTGACTACCAACAGTTCGCTGCAGGTGGTGACTACCACCAGGACCATGCAGGTGGTGACTACCACCAGGACCATGCAGGTGGTGACTACCAATAGGAGCATGCAGGTGGTGACTACCACCAGGACCATGCAGGTGGTGACTACCACCAGGACCATGCAGGTGGTGACTACCACCAGGACCATGCAGGTGGTGACTACCACCAGGACCATGCAGGTGGTGACTACCAATAGGACCATGCAGGTGGTGACTACCACCAGGACCATGCAGGTGGTGACTACCACCAGGACCATGCAGGTGGTGACTACCACCAGGACCATGCAGGTGGTGACTACCACCAGGACCATGCAGGTGGTGACTAGAGCACATGTTTCAGACATATTGGTGACTCAATGACGAAGTAACCTGAGCAGGCTGATCGGAATCACAGACTGACCGGAATCACAGACTGACCGGAAATACAAACTGACCGGAAACACAGACTGACCCGATTTTATGAAAATATGAATGCCGCATACAGTTAGCTTACATTGGTGTAGCTTACACCAAAGTTTAACTCCACCTGGTGTAGATTACATCAGTTAGCTTACACTGGGTACCACCAGCCTTAAACCCCGAAAGTTTGACACACCCCACCCAACCACACCACACCACACTCCACCAGACTTGTTGACTTAAGATTACCAAGTCATAAAACGGAGACAAGCTGTTGCCTATCAATAGTTGACCCAATTATTGATTCTGATTTCACCTGATCCACACCAACTTTTGTGTATGCCCTCAACAACTTTATTTAACCAACGGCATGTCTATACATCACGTGCTCGCAACTTTTGCTCATCTTCTAAAGGTGTGGGGTGGGAGTAGGGGGTGGGCGTATCAGTTGATTTATTAGCATAGGAACACTTTAGGCCCTACGTCTTGCTTTTAAAAGATTGGTTTGTTACTTCTTTGAAAGTTTGTCCAAATTGACCTCGATCTCACCCCCCCCCCCCTCAACTTTCGCCAAGGGTAGGCTGGCTGTGTCCAAAAGGCCCGGGAAATTTCAATAGGGGCCCCATACACAAGATTAAAAAATTGTCACTGGGCATTTGTCATTACCATATGTTGTCGACAGCATTATGTTTATTAAACACGAAATGTATGCCTCGTCATACATCTTCATCGCCCCCCCCCCCTCCCATATCGGTGACTTGTCATAGACCATCTCCTTCGGTAAGTGACGTCTTATAACGAGATCTCCTTACAGCAGTTGGATCTCATAGATGACTTTCTTACAAGGTTCAAAGAGTTGAATTTACCACAAGGTTTAGAGAGTTGGCTGGGAGCATTGAATGAGAGTGTTGATATAGTTCAGGGGTCTCATCCGGCCCTTAGAGATTTTTTTGTCCACGGAAAAAAACGTTTGTTGGTGATGGCTGAGGAACTTTGCCCAGAAAAATCAAAGACATGCCTGGAAGAAACTGGCCCCCGAACTGAAATTCGATAGTTAATGCGGCCCTCGGACTGAAAAGTTTGGAGATCCCTGATATAGTTGACTGAGAGAGTTGACTGAGAGAGTTGACTGTACTCACCATCCCTTTCAGCTCTGGGGATCTTTGGGACTTGGGAGGTGACACGCCTGCAGACAAAATAGACACAAGTTACGTCACAAGTTGCGTCATAAGCTACATCACTAAGCTGGGCGGTTTAAATAGAGTGAAAACATAAGGGCGTATGATGTAAACATAAGGGCATATGATGTAAACATAAGGGCATATGATGTAAACATAAGGGCATATGAAGTACAAAGATGGGAGTAGAAGAATATTTGAATGTGAATTTAACAGCACTTGAGGTATGTGTCGTTTGTTGACAGGTATCCGGTAGATGTGGACAGTGTTCCAATGAATTCATTGATCTAATATAAGCCAATGATATAGATGTGGACAGTGTTCCATTGAATTCATTGATCTAATATAAGCCAATGATATTGATGTGGACAGTGTTCCAATGAATTCATTGATCTAATATAAGCCAATGATATAGATGTGGACAGTGTTCCATTGAATTCATTGATCTAATATAAGCCAATGATATTGATGTGGACAGTGTTCCATCGAATTCATTGATCTAATATAAGCCAATGATACTGATGTGGACAGTGTTCCATTGAATTCATTGATCTAATATAAGCCAATGATATTGATGTGGACAGTGTTCCATTGAATTCATTGATCTAATATAAGCCAATGATATAGATGTGGACAGTGTTCCATTGAATTCATTGATCTAATATAAGCCAATGATACTGATGTGGACAGTGTTCCATTGAATTCATTGATCTAATATAAGCCAATGATACTGATGTGGACAGTGTTCCATTGAATTCATTGATCTAATATAAGCCAATGATATAGATGTGGACAGTGTTCCATTGAATTCATTGATCTAATATAAGCCAATGATACTGATGTGGACAGTGTTCCATTGAATTCATTGATCTAATATAAGCCAATGATATAGATGTGGACAGTGTTCCAGTGATCTAACATAAGCCAATTGACATTGATGCTGGGATTTTTTAAAAATACTTGCATAATGACATGTGAAATGACACTGACATGTGAAATGACACTGCCCCCTACCTTCCTCAGCACGCAGCAAGTTGTCCTGTGTGAAGGCGCTGTTGACATATCCCTCGTCTCGTCGATTCTCGCCAAACTCCAACTTTTTGGCTGAAACCAGAGATTTCACCAGTCAACAATACAGACATTACTTCAGATCATTTCTGATCTTTTTAGATCATTTCAGACCACTTCTCACCGTAACACTTTGTTTTGTTTCAATAAAGCGTTTACTTTTACACATTTTTCAACCGTTGAGTGTGCGTGTTGTAAATCTAAAAAAGTTGATCGCATTTAGAATATTATATAATACGAGCTGACCAGCGGCGTATTATACCCCGCTATTTAGCTGTTTTATTTTCTTCTTTTCAGTATTTCATAGTAAGTGAATTCGACACCACCCACCTATCTATCCATCCATCCCCCCCCCCCCCCCCCCGCCACCGAGAAAGCAGCCGTCCGTGACGACAGTTTACGGACGACAGTTTACGGACGACAATGAAAACATTAAGTAGAATTTCTTACCCCCCCCCCCCTTAATTCCAAATCGTTTAAAAGCTAAATTATTTGCCCCTAACAGCCGACCCGGCTCTACGATTGTAAACATTCGGGGTGAACCTTAGCTCACCAGAATGGTGGGGTGGTAGCTATATGTCTATATGCCTAGAGAGCGGGGGAGTAAGGCGTGCGTTTACGTGGTGTATCGCATGGTCCCCATGAAGATAATTCTATATATAGATTAGCCTCTATTTCTGTGGTGCTTGTCAGATAGGATGTTGTTGTCTATTTCTGTGGTACTTGTGAGTGAGGATGTTGTTGTCTATTTCTGTAGTGCTTGTGTTGTCTATTTCTGTAGTGCTTGTGTTGTCTATTTCTGTAGTGCTTGTGAGTTAGGATGTTGTTGTCTATTTCTGTAGTGCTTGTGAGTTAGGATGTTGTTGTCTATTTCTGTGGTGCTTGTGAGTTAGGATGTTGTTGTCTATTTCTGTAGTGCTTGTGAGTTAGGATGTTGTTGTCTATTTCTGTGGTGCTTGTGAGTTAGGATGTTGTTGTCTATTTCTGTAGTGCTTGTTGTTGTCTATGCTCTGATATGGTAGCTTTACACTTTCAATGTTACACATATCAATCGGGCGGTCAATTTGTGGGTTAAAAAATAAGCTATTGCTAATGGTGTTTGTAATATTATTTCTGTACAATGACGTCATTGTGTTTTGTTCCTTACATCTGTCATCTTTCTATTTTGTACACAGTTGTTTTGTTATCATCGTCACATATTTTAAAATAATGTTAAAATTATTAACTCAATGACTAGTATGTGTAGCCTTGATTCAGTTTTATTGACGTCATTTGTAGGGCGATGATTGGTGTAAGTTACTAGAATCTACAACATTGATTATATTTCCCCCATGTTTTTTTAAATGTAATATCGCCGACAGCTGGCAGTAGCATTAAGAAATTTTAACTACATTTCACTTCTGCACAGCGTTTTCATTAAAGTGTTGTTTTGTGACATTTGTTGTGCTTTGTATTGTGTTTTTGTGTTTTGTTTGCTTGAAATTTTTGTTTGGGAGGTGCCATTTTGTTTTGTAGAAGCAACGATAAAACAAAACTGGAACATTTTAATTTTTTGTTGGGGTACCCCTTGTCAACAAATTGAATCTTATTTAAGGCTGATTTTCTGTGCGCAGAATTCTTAATGCGCAGTCTTGGTATTCTAGATATTTGACGCCATGCTTCCAAGCGAGTGACACACCCCACTCCCCCAACCTGCCTCATCACCCAATATTCTTTTCACCAATCTAAATGTAAAAATGAAAGCTGTAACACATTCGTTAACCATTCACACGTATAACATTCACGACATACCTCCCACAAAGAACATTCAGGACACATCTCCCACGTATAACATTCAGGACACACCTCCCCCGTAGAACATTCAGGACACACCTCCCACAAAGAACATTCAGGACACATCTCCCACGTAGAACATTCAGGACACACCTCCCACAAAGAACATTCAGGACACACCTCCCACAAAGAACATTCAGGACACATCTCCCACGTAGAACATTCAGGACACACCTCCCACCTAGAACATTCAGGACACACCTCCCACAAAGAACATTCAGGACACACCTCCCACAAAGAACATTCAGGACACACCTCCCACAAAGAACATTCAGGACACATCTCCCACGTAGAACATTCAGGACACACCTCCCACAAAGAACATTCAGGACACACCTCCCACAAAGAACATTCAGGACACATCTCCCACGTAGAACATTCAGGACACACCTCCCACAAAGAACATTCAGGACACACCTCCCACAAAGAACATTCAGGACACACCTCCCACAAAGAACATTCAGGACACACCTCCCCAATATAACATTCAGAACACACCTCCCAAGTAGAACATTCAGGACACACCTCCCCAATAGATTATTCAAGACACACCTCCCAAGTAGAACACTCAGGACACACCTCCCAAGTAGAACATTCAGGACACACCTCCCAAGTAGAACACTCAGGACACACCTCCCCCGTAGAACATTCAAGACACACCTCCCAAGTAGAACACTCAGGACACACCTCCCAAGTAGAACACTCAGGACACACCTCCCCCGTAGAACATTCAGAACACACCTCCCAAGTAGAACATTCAAGACACACCTCCCAAGTAGAACACTCAGGACACACCTCCCAAGTAGAACACTCAGGACACACCTCCCAAGTAGAACACTCAGGACACACCTCCCAAGTAGAACACTCAGGACACACCTCCCAAGTAGAACACTCAGGACACACCTCCCAAGTAGAACACTCAGGACACACCTCCCAAGTAGAACACTCAGGACACACCTCCCCCGTAGAACATTCAGGACACACCTCCCCAATAGAACATTCAGGACACACCTCCCCAATAGAACATTCAGGACATACCTCCCCCGTAGAACATTCAGGACACACCTCCCAAGTAGAACATTCAGGACACACCTTCCTCGTAGAACATTCAGGACACACATCCCCCGTAGAACATTCAGGACATACCTCCCAAGTAGAACATTCAGGACATACCTCCCAAGTAGAACATTATGTTACATAAGTCAGGACAGACATCCCCTCGTAGAGCATTCAGGACGCAGTAGAACATTGTCACAAATCGTATGTTGACATTTAGGACATAGATATGTTGACATTTAGGACATAGATATGTTGACATTTAGGACATAGATATGTTGACATTTAGGACATAGATAAGTTGACATTTAGGACATAGATATGTTGACATTTAGGACATAGATATGTTGACATTTAGGACATAGATATGTTGACATTTAGGACATAGATATGTTGACATTTAGGACATAGATATGTTGACGGAAATGTTCACGTTGGTGTTGATTACCTCCAGGTCACGTCAGGCAGATGTTTGGTCGTCAAGATTTCTTTTGTTAGCTGGTACACACACTATTCTACACACTACACTGCACACACAATTCACTAAACACAACCCTGCACACACTACATTACACACACACACACACACACTGGCACAAGCATGCTATTTTACATTCTTGCTGTCCAACTTATGCTGGTGAATTAACACAACTAGGCCTACAAACATCAAAACGGTAGGTTTGAAAAAAACAAAATTATTTTTGTCCTGAATAATACCTGCTTTCAACAACATATTTTTCTGACATATAATTAGCCCCAATCAATGAAATACTTGACAAATTTATGGGTTATTGATATGTTGCGAGTATTGTACACATCATCTCGCTCTATGTACACAATACACGGGCTATATAAATGGAGTATTCTGAACACTTCATCACACCCTCCCTATGGTAACCCATCTATCTTGTGTCACACTGTCATTGTCCCTAGTGGTGACCCATCTGTCCTGTATCACCCTCCAACTCTCCCTAGTGGTGACCCATCTGGTGACCCATCTGTTCTGTATCACCCTCCAACTCTCCCCAGAGGTGACCCATCTGTCCTGTATCACCCTCCAACTCTCCCCAGTGGTGACCCATCTGTCCTGTATCACCCTCCAACTCTCCCTAGTGGTGACCCATCTGGTGACCCATCTGTTCTGTATCACCCTCCAACTCTCCCCAGAGGTGACCCATCTGTCCTGTATCACCCTCCAACTCTACCAAGTGGTGACCCATCTGGTGACCCATCTGTTATGTATCACCCTCCAACTATCCCTAGTGGTGACCCATCTGTCCTCTATCACCCTCCAACTCTCCCCAATGGTGACCCATCTGTCCTGTATCACCCTCCAACTCTCCCTAGTGGTGACCCATCTGTTCTGTATCACCCTCCAACTCTACCAAGTGGTGACCCATCTGGTGACCCATCTGTTATGTATCACCCTCCAACTATCCCTAGTGGTGACCCATCTGTCCTGTATCACCCTCCAACTCTCCCCAGTGGTGACCCATCTGCCCTGTATCACCATCCAACTCTCCCCAGTGGTGACCCATCTGTCCTGTATCACCATCCAACTCTCCCCAGTGGTGACCCATCTGTCCTGTATCACCCTCCAACTCTCCCTAGTGGTGACCCATCTGTTCTGTATCACCCTCCAACTCTCCCCAGTGGTGACCCAATTCTCGCCGATACGCTTCAGATATCTAGGCGCCGGTGTATGTAAAGATGGATGTTTTACATATGTAAAGGTGGCTGTTTACGGTTGTGTGTAAGGTGGCTGTTTACAGCTGTAAATGTGCATATTTATAGATGTGATGATGGATGTTTTACATTACATATGTGACGCTGTCTCTTAGATATGTTATGGTGGATGTGACGGTGGATGTTTTACAGATGTTACGGTGGATGTTTTACAAATGTGACGGTGGATGTTTTACAGATGTGACGGTGGATGTTTTACAGATGTGACGGTGGATATTTTACAGATGTGACATAACAATTACTGATAATGAGTTTTATTACATAGTTTACACGTCTTTACGGGGATGGTCAATAGTAAAGTGACAACCCATGTTAACGGGTGTAAATTAGTGATGGATGGGTGGAGGTGTGATTGGATGGGTGTGTGGAGGTGTGATTGGATGGATGTGTGGAGGTGTGATTGGATGGGTGGGTGGATGGATGGGTGGAGGTGTGAGTGGATTGGTGGGTGGATGGATGGGTGGAGGTGTGATTGGATGGATGTGTGGGTGGATGGATTGGTGGAGGTGTGAGTGGATGGGTTGATGGATGGGTGGATGGATGGGTGGAGGTGTGATTGGATGGATGTGTGGAAGTGTGACTGGATGGATGGAGGTGTGATTGTGTGGATAGGTGGAGGTGTGATTGTGTGGATAGGTGGAGGTGTGAGTGTATAGATGGGTGGAGGTGTGATTGTGTTGATGCGTGGAGGTGTGAGTGTATGGATGGTTGGATTGGTGGAGGTGTGAGTGTATGGATGGGTGGATGGGTGGAGGTGTGATTGTGTGGATGGGTGGAGGTGTGAGTGTATGGATGGGTTGTAAGTTGACCTACCAGCCTTCCGTCTCCTGACGAAGCAACAAGCTGCGGCCAGCACGATGAGCACTACGCCCAGTGTGGAGAAGACGCTGGCCACGGCCACCACTGTGTGACTCGGGTCACACTGACCTCGAACTGTGGCCAAGCAACAGGCGAGGGTGGCCAACGTGAGGGCGACGGCTGCGGCCATCTTGCTCCAGCTGATCTTTGTCTTCAACCGCTACAGCTACAGCGGGCCACAGCTACAGCGGGGTACATCCACGGCGGATCACAGCTACAGTCGGCCACAGCTACAGCGGGTCACAGCTACAGCAGGCCACAGCTACAGCAGGGTACAGCTAAAACAGGGTAAATCCACAGCGGGTCACAGCTACAGCGGGTCACAGCTACAGCGAATCACAGCCAAAGCAGGTCACAGCTACAGCTACGAAAGCCAGAGAAAACACAGGTTAATCCAGGCCACTGATCCCTTACGTCCTGCCGCTGATGTAGTTTGTAGATATTCCTCGGCTCGCTGGACGTTTCAATAATCGCCAGAAATATCATCGTATAATCTTATAATTAACACTAAATAACGCTAAATACTTATCACAAAAAACTTTTTATTCTTTTACACAAATTATTAGACATAAATTGTTTCGTTTAATCGGTCTATCGCAAAAACTCGATATTTTTAAACAACCTAAAGAGCAGACGTTTGGTTACTTCTACTGCTAGGAAGTTTCAGGAATGGCCAAACGCAATTTTCTTTCCTTGAATGTGTAGATAGCCTGTCGCACCAGTGTGGCGCTCCACGCTCCACTAAGTATGTAAGGTTCGTCGCGTCGGTCGGATATTGTGGAATGTACACACAGCAAGTCAAACACCTACATGTGTTTGTATGGCCGCGCCGAAACTAGGCCGCGCTTTAAACACCAGTTTGAAATGCAAGAACAGCAGCCCTAAGCGTTGTCCGGTGGGCACTAGACTGTATTCCTCCGGTGCTGCTTAGCTTCAAACAAAAAATAATAAAAACAAAAATACAGAAAATACGAGTCCTTTGGGAGAGTTGTCGCATGCGAATGGCGCTGAAGAATTCACACACATTCCACAGCGGATGATTTGACATCGTCTACTGCAGCTTGCCAATAAGTAGCGGGTAGCTGCGTCACAATTATTGGCCCAACAATCGACCAAGTCGTTGTGTAAGGGCCGCCATTTTTCACGTGGCAAATTAGTTATTTGTTTGAAACTTGTACTGTAGAGCGGCGCGGTACAAACGGGCGAGCCATACAACCAAATCTTCAACGCCGTGTCCCTCCCCTTTCACCTCCGCACAGCTCCGCTTTACAGCTGTTTGAACGGGAGCTGGACAAAACTTGGCTTTCGAACTGTTCCCTTTGTCGTCGGTGGCGTATGTTTGTCCAGCATTGCCTGCTGTTTGTCATCGCATTTTTCTCGGGGATTAATGGACCGGAGGGCTAACGACATCAACGTTAGAGCGTGGCCATTGACACGATTTGTTAGCGAAACAACATCAGAAACATCTTACATCCCCCAACCTGCATCACAAACATCTTACATCCCCCAACCTGTTCAACATCACAAACATCTTACATCCCCAACCTGTCACAACCATCTTACATCCCATAACCTTTACAACATCACAAACATCTTACATCCCCAACCTTTACAACATCACAAACATCTTACATCCCCAACCTACATCACAAACATCATACATCCCACAACCTACATCACAAACATCTTACATCCCCCAACCTACATCACAAACATCTTACATCCCTCAACCTGAACAACATCACAAACATCTTACATCCCCAACCTGAACAACATCACAAACATCTTACATCACCCAACCTACATCAGAAACATCTTACATCCCCAACCTACATCACAAACATCTTACATCCCCCAACCTACATCACAAATATCTTACATCCCCAACCTACATCACAAACATCTTACATCCCATAACCTACATTACAAACATCTTACATCCCCCAAGCTACATCACAAACATCTTACATCCCAAAAATACATCACAAACATCTTACATCCCCAACCTACATCACAAACATCTTTCATTACAAACATCTTACATCCCCCAACCTACATCACAAACATCTTACATCCCATACCTACATCACTAACATCTTACATCCCCAACCTACATCACAAACATCTTTCATTACAAACATCTTACATCCCCCAACCTACATCACAAACATCTTTCATTACAAACATCTTACATCCCAAACCTACATCACTAACATCTTACATCCCCAACCTACATCACAAACATCTTTCATTACAAACATCTTACATCCCCCAACCTACATCACAAACATCTTACATCCCATACCTACATCACAAACATCTTACATCCCAAACCTACATCACTAACATCTTACATCCCCAACCTACATCACAAACATCTTTCATTACAAACATCTTACATCCCAAACCTACATCACAAACATCTTACATCCCCCAACCTGAACAACATCACAAACATCTTACATCCCAAACCTACATCACAAACATCTTACATCCCAAACCTACATCACAAACATCATACATCCCACAACCTACATCACAAACATCTTACATCCCCAACCTACATCACAAACATCTTACATCCCCCAACCTGGACACCACAAACATCTAACATCCCCCAACCTGTACAACATCACAAACATCTTACATCCCCAACCTACATCACAAACATCTTACATCCCCCAACCTGAACAACATCACAAACATCTTACATCCCACAACCTACATAAAAAACAGCTTACATCCCCAACCTACATGACAAACATCTAACATCCCCAACCTGAACAACATCACAAACATCTTACATCCCCAACCTACATCACAAACATCTTACATCCCCCAACGTACATCACAAACATCTTACATCCCATAACCTACATCACAAACATCTTACATCCCCCCAACCTGTACAACATCACAAACATCTTACATCCCATAACCTACATCAGAAACATCTTACATCCCATAACCTACATTACAAATATCTTACATCCCCAACCTGTATCACAAACATCTTACATCCCTTAACCTGAACAACATCACAAACATCTTACATCCCTTAACCTGAACAACATCACAAACATCTTACATCCCTTAACCTGAACAACATCACAAACATCTTACATACCCAACCTGTATCAAAAACATCTTAATCTTACATCGCCCAACCTACATCACAAACATCTTACATCCCCCAACCTACTTCACAAACATCTTACATCACCCAATCTGAACATCACAAACATCTTACATCGCCCAACCTGTACAACAACACAAACATCTTACATCCCCCAACCTACATTACAAACATCTTACATCCCCCCCAACCTGTACAACATCACAAACATCTTACATCCCATAACCTACACCAGAAACATCTTACATCCCATAACCTACATTACAAATATCTTACACCCCCAACCTGTATCACAAACATCTTACATCCCTTAACCTGAACAACATCACAAACATCTTACATACCCAACCTGTATCAAAAACATTGACACGATTTGTTAGCGAAACAACATCAGAAACATCTTACATCCCCCAACCTGCACCACAAACATCTTACATCCCCCAACCTGTTCAACATCACAAACATCTTACATCCCCAACCTGTCACAAACATCTTACATCCCATAACCTTTACAACATCACAAACATCTTACATCCCCAACCTTTACAACATCACAAACATCTTACATCCCCCAACCTACATCACAAACATCTTACATCCCCCAACCTGAACAACATCACAAACATCTTACATCCCCCAACCTACATCACAAACATCTTACATCCCCAACCTACATCACACACATCTTACATCCCCCAACCTGAACAACATCACAAACATCTTACATCCCCAACCTGAACAACATCACAAACATCTTACATCCCCCAACCTACATCACAAACATCTTACATCCCACAACCTACATCACAAACATCTTACATCCCCAACCTACATCACAAACATCTTACATCCCCCAACCTACATCACAAACATCTTACATCCTCCAACCTACATCACAAACATCTTATATCCCCCAACCTACATCACAAACATCTTACATCCCCCAACCTACATCACAAACATCTTACATCACCCAATCTGAACATCACAAACATCTTACATCACCCAATCTGAACATCACAAACATCTTACATCACCCAACCTACATCAGAAACATCTTACATCACCCAATCTGAACATCAGAAACATCTTACATCACCCAATCTGAACATCACAAACATCTTACATCACCCAACCTACATCAGAAACATCTTACATCCCCAACCTACATAACAAACATCTTACATCCCCCAACCTACATCACAAATATCTTACATCCCCAACCTACATCACAAACATCTTACATCCCATAACCTACATTACAAACATCTTACATCCCCCAACCTACATCACAAACATCTTACATCCCAAAAATACATCACAAACATCTTACACCCCCAACCTACATCACAAACATCTTTCATTACAAACATCTTACATCCCATAACCTACATCACAAACATCTTACATCCCCCAACCTACATCACAAACATCTTACATCCCATACCTACATCACTAACATCTTACATCCCCAACCTACATCACAAACATCTTTCATTACAAACATCTTACATCCCCCAACCTACATCACAAACATCTTACATCCCCCCAACCTGGACACCACAAACATCTAACATCCCCCAACCTGAACAACATCACAAACATCTTACATCCCCCAACCTACATCACAAACATCTTACATCCCCCCAACCTGTACAACATCACAAACATCTTACATCCCATAACCTACATCAGAAACATCTTACATCCCATAACCTACATTACAAATATCTTACATCCCCAACCTGTATCACAAACATCTTACATCCCTTAACCTGAACAACATCACAAACATCTTACATCCCATAACCTACATCACAAACATCTTACATACCCAACCTGTATCAAAAACATCTTAATCTTACATCCCCCAACCTACATCACAAACATCTTACATCCCTTAACCTGAACAACATCACAAACATCTTACATACCCAACCTGTATCAAAAACATCTTAATCTTACATCCCCCAACCTACATCACAAACATCTTACATCGCCCAACCTGTACAACAACACAAACATCTTACATTCTGCAACCTGAACCACACACCACAATACACAACCCTGGGCCACACACCACAATACACAACTCACGGCCACACACCAAACGTGAACCAATGCTTGGCACAAAGATGGCTTCACTCATTCACCATCAACACACATACCAGCACATCGAACTCTTTTAAATGGAGTTTGGGAAACCCCGTCTCAGACAACACGAGTGTCGAAATACAATGGAGTACAGACAACTAAATGGGCTTTATTTAACACTGACAAGATTAGCACTGACTGACATCCATTGGTGTGCCACCACCTCCATTCTTCCACTGACTTTCATTCATCTTGGCAAGATGGTATGCAATACATTCTGATGTATAGCAGTTATGATTTACCGTGAAGGCGGGAGCGTGGAATTTACCTCCGTTCGTCGTAATATATTTTTTTTCTTCTCCCCGCATGAAATCGGCCATTCCCGATGAGGTGTTATGACAGGTAGGGTCTACTTAGCGAATACCGTCCCTTGGGCGCATTAGCAGTCCTCAGCACGCCAGAGGGCGCGGCGATGGTGACCTGTTTGCTTTACCGCATCGCACTGCGTCTGCTGGTAATGAGTTTTTTTCCGGGGGAATAGTCGGTAAATAGCAGACACCCAAAAGGACATAGTCTACATTTTGTCTGGGGGAATAGGTTGGTAAATAGCAGACTTTCAAAAGGACATACATTTTGTCTTGGGGAATAGGTCGGTAAAAAGCAGTCTTTTAACCATACATATTTCTGAAGGAATAGGTAGTTCAGATGGGTTTTAAAGTTTATCAATGAGTAACTTGTTAAAATCTGCGTGCAGCATACAAAAAAAATATATATTTTAAAACAAACGTTTATAAAACGCAATTTAGTGTTTTTGTCTTCGTTCTCATACCCTCCCCCACCCCTGACTTTGATTAGTCCACATCAGCTACCTCACTTTGATTAGTCCACACCAACCACCTCACTTTGATTAGTCCACCTCAGTTACCTCACTTTGATTAGTCCACACCAGCAACCTCACTTTGATTAGTCCACCTCAGTTACCTCACTTTGATTAGTCCACACCAGCAACCTCACTTTGATTAGTCCACACCAGCTACCTCACTTTGATTAGTCCACCTCAGTTACCTCACTTTGATTAGTCCACCTCAGTTACCTCACTTTGATTAGTCCACCTCAGTTACCTCACTTTGATTAGTCCACCTCGGTTACCTAACTTTGATTAGTCCACCTCAGTTACCTCACTTTGATTAGTCCACCTCAGTTACCTCACTTTGATTAGTCCACCTCAGTTACCTCACTTTGATTAGTCCACACCAGCTACCTCACTTTGATTAGTCCACACCAACCGCCTCACTTTGATTAGTCCACCTCAGTTACCTCACTTTGATTAGTCCACACCAGCTACCTCACTTTGATTAGTCCACACCAACCGCCTCACTTTGATTAGTCCACCTCAGTTACCTCACTTTGATTAGTCCACCTCAGTTACCTCACTTTGATTAGCCCACACCAGCTACCTCACTTTGATTAGTCCACACCAGCTACCTCACTTTGATTAGCCCACACCAGTTACCTCACTTTGATTAGTCCACCTCAGTTACCTCACTTTGATTAGTCCACCTCAGTTACCTCACTTTGATTAGTCCACCTCAGTTACCTCACTTTGATTAGTCCACCTCAGTTACCTCACTTTGATTAGTCCACCTCAGTTACCTAACTTTGATTAGTCCACACCAACCACCTCACTTTGATTAGTCCACCTCAGTTACCTAACTTTGATTAGTCCACCTCACTTTGATTAGTCCACACCAGCTACCTCACTTTGATTAGTCTACCTCGGTTACCTAACTTTGATTAGTCCACCTCACTTTGATTAGTCCACACTAGCTACCTCACTTTGATTAGTCTACCTCGGTTACCTAACTTTGATTAGTCCACCTCGGTTACCTAACTTTGATTAGTCCACCTCACTTTGATTAGTCCACACTAGCTACCTCACTTTGATTAGTCCACCTCGGTTACCTAACTTTGATTAGTCCATATCAGCTACCTCACTTTGATTAGTCTACCTCACTTTGATTAGCCCACCTCAATTAAATCACTTTGATCTCAAAGGTCATCATGACCTACATCAGGTGCAATATTTTAATTTTCTGTAGTTACCATGCCAGATTGTAAAAAAAAAAAAATCAGCAGCCCTAAATAACATTCATTGCATTATCCTACCCAACTACTGAACTAGTTGGTCCATGTTTAGTGGTAGAGGCACAAGGAAGTTAATTTACACCCTCTATTTTTAGCCATGTTCCTTCACTGCAAATAAGGAAGTCAAATGTGACTAACTGGATTTCCTCCCTTTATAATGCACTTCTATTTTAAGTTTGTGCAGATGTTTACTAGCATTTATTCAGCAGTTCAACAAACAATTCTTATTTTTTCTAACTTATACAACTCTTTACACTACAAACTTTCAGATCAATTGCAACTACCACACAACTCAACCCCTTAGATAACCTACAGGCTACACAGAAGAGTTTGAGAAGAATTTAGAAACTCCACACATGATTTATCACAACCATGTTTATTTTGATATGCAAATTGTACTTTTCAGATAACATTAACATGTAAAAATATGGAATTAATTAACAAACTGAATGAACACTTTCAAGGGTGGTCAAATCTGGATTAGCACCTGCATTATTTGTCATAGGAAGAGAAGACCCAACCTGATCCAAAGCGCAGACACCCATTTCTAACAAGCATGTCTGACCACTCAATGAGAAAGATGAAGGAACACTATTATGTTTGACCAGCTAGCATACATTGTGCAGAGAAAACGAGAAGAAGTCTTGAATACAGTTTAATTTTTTTTATGTAGACAGTTTGATATTTTATGTTTGATATTTTATGTAGAGAGCTTGACATAGAATGGAAACAAAACACCTTTCACAAGAATTACAAAATATCTTTCATTTAAAACTTGTTTTCCTCCTTTCAAAAAGTGCAACTCTAGTACATAATTTAAAAAAAATAGCAACCCCAGTAAATAATTTAAAAAAAGAGCATCTCCAGTAAACAATTACAAAATTGGTGGTATTTTTGCATAGATGGTGTAAAAGTAAAAAGTATCATAATAACTTTATGAGAAGAACATAAAAACAGTAAATATCACATATTTTACTAGGTTGGACAAATTGGAAACAAGATGGAACAAAAATTGTTGCTGAAAGCCTTGTCTTTTCTTCATAACTTTAACACTTTAACAAACTGTAGCTAACACTTAGCATTATCACAACTCTACTTTAACAGTTTTAAGTTGAGCAAACTTTTCAGGGTACTTTTCTAAGAGAGAATCCATATAGCCAACAACAGGGTATTTAGCCAGGTATGTTCCTTCAAATGTTTCATCCAACGACTTCAGATAGCTGTCTGATAAATTGGACTGAAAGAAAATGTTAAAACTTGTTCATATGGCTGTCTGATAAATTGGACTGAAAGAAAATGTTAAAACTTGTTCATATGGCTGTCTGATAAGTTTGAGTGGAAGAAAAAAAAAAGTTTGTAGCTAGCAGCACAGGATATCTGTGCATCTTGAATGCCAGATTAATGTCAGATGTTCAGAAGAAAAACAGAAATCACTGAGCATGATGTCCTACAAGCCATTAAAAGATATATAGACCCATAATTTCAAAATTACTCTGCTAGAATGATATTATATCTTTGAGTACCAAATCAACTAGTGATAGCCCCTAGGTCTTAAACGTTTTAATTTAATTCAAAATCATCTATCAAGATAATTATAAGTTTCTCCTGCTTATAAATACAAGTGTTGACGAATCAACTCAAAAATCAAAACAGAGTAGTCCCAATAACCAGCTTGTACAGTTCCACTTAGACTTTGTCAGTAAATTAAAAGTGCATTATAAAAAACAAAACTGTTACAGGTGAAAGAGTTTACATCATAGACCCACCCTGCAATCCTGTCTGCCATGAGAAAGAGAAACTGACAAGAGGGATAGAAAGGTGGTAATATTAGGGCGTGCATGTAAATGGAGAGAAAGAAGGATGGAAGTTTTACGTCATGCATGAAATAATGTTATTACACTATGCATATTAAAAGAGAATGATGGCTGCGTAAAACTCTGAAATTTAAGTTCTTACAATTTTCAAAGTTGATGAAAACTGACAGCTTCCCCCTTTTCCCTGACTTATTTGGACAGCCACATGAAAATGATCATTTTACTTGGTATGGTAAACAGTCACAACTATTAAACTTAAGGTGTTACAGGAAGTGTGAGATTTTAAGACTTTATTTTCATAACTTTCAGAGAATTTGAGGAGTTTCAGAAGATTTCAACAACATCCTAGAACTTTAAGTAGGTTGGGTGGGAGAGTCCTGCATGCAACTAAACCAACCAAAACAATATAAAATGGTAGCCACGATAGATCTGCTAAAGCAACTTACTACATCACTGGTGAGATCATCTGGTTCAAGGGACATTTTAGCTACAGCTCTGGTGCTATCTATACCAACCAAGACATTGTAAGGTGCGTCTTTTCCATAGAACTCTGTTTGAATAGTAGCAATTAAGAAACATATTAATTAAACCAGTTTTTAATCATAGAAACAAATAAAATAATGTCATAGGTAAAATATTTACAAAGAAAATCTGCAATATAGTCAATATAGAAACTCAGTTTTTGATAAAAGCTAGTCAATAAATAAATTATCTCATCATGTCTCACCATCTAACTGTGGTAAAAGCTGAGGTAACCACTCCTGTGAGCAATAAATATTTGATCTAACTTAACTGAAGATCTTCAGCACTGAAGTATTGAAAAAACTAAATAATAAAGTATCTTGCATTAAATGTATGTTTACAGCAGCATTAACCACCCTAGGGTTAGAGAAACAACTCACTTTTGCCTTGAGTCACATCAAAAACTACACCTTTTATTGCCATATATATTGGCTGTTTGTCATCCTGAAAAAAGACAAGATAGATTATTTTAATAGAAGAGGATGTATACAATAAGAGTAGGTTTAGTATACCATCTCTATAGTTTGCTTGTGATGGATTTTGTATGAAACATCAATAATTGTATACTTTGTAGCATAGTAAATATTGAGAGGGAAGTGACATATATTAAAGTTAGAACTTGGAGATTATGGGGGTATATAAAGACAGGGAAAAGTAAGAAGAGTCAGTCATCCTTTAGCTGTCGATTAGTTTAGTCATAGTTAAAGTCATCATTCAGTTATCATAGTATCCAAGTAGCATATTATTTTATTTTGTCAAGTAATGTTACTCCAAGATCTAGTAGTATTAAGTTTTTAAAGTAGGGCAAAGGTTATAGCTATAGATCTACTTATTCTTGTTTTACCTATCATCTCCCTCTCAGTGGTGTAACTCGGACAGGTATCACCCCCCCCCCCAAAGAAAATTTATATAGACCTAAATAAAATAAAAATGTTATATATATATATATATATATATATATATATATATATATATATATATATATATATACATACACACACACTAGCCATCCTGGTCAGGCCTCTTTGAAAAACCTATCTGTAAAGGACCATGACTTGTGTATTTATTAAGCAGCATATACCAGGCATTGCCCGGGTTTAGGAAATATATTACTTTTTTATTTAACCCTAACCACAACCAACCAAACTATAACACAAAAACATAGGGGACATTAAGGAATGGCTTCTAAACTGATATTGATTAAACATAATAATTAGTAAACAGTACATTCAGTGTATAAAATAAATAAAAGGTAATAGGCCTATTTAAAATACCTCTGTTTTACCTACCACATTGCACTTTATAAGTCTATGCTAATTATACAATTATATTTTGTTTCTAACATCAAAACAAACCAATAAAAAGTGTTTTTTCCCCAATTATTCTAAGGGAAGTAATTTGTAATTTTTTTTGGTGATATATCACGGAAAGTAATTGGTGATAAGAACTAAGGGAAGTAATTTGTACACTTTATTCAAACACAATTCATTTTTTTGTGAAGGGTGATACATTTTCTGCCATCTTTTTATTTTCAGACTTAACTATTTGAGTCATAACTAATTGCTAAATATTAAAATATTATAGCAATAGGTTGAGAAATAAGCATTTTGGTTAGGCCTACTTTCTTTTCATCACCCACCCATGCCCTTGAACAATAATGTAATTTACAACTGTAGGCAATACCCTAGTTTTTTCTTAAAAAACTGTAATTAGATTTATCGTTTCTTGAACTGGTAAAAATCATTTTAATTATTCTCTTGTTAAGTTTGCAATTATTTGCCTTGGTGAAAAGCTCTCCCCCCCCCCCCCCCCATAAATGGTGTCAAGGGGTGCATAATGCACACACCCCCTCCCCCTGTCGACGCCTGTGCGCCCTTTGGTTAGTAGTTAGGTCTACTTACTACCTACTTAGTTTTAATACTTTTTCAATTGACAATTTTAATTCAATAGGCCCAGTAACTTAGCTTAATTGATTGTGAGTGGGATTGTTCTGGTTTTTAGTTTTACCTACCGATCCATCGTAGTTTTTTAATTCAGCATCTGTAAATATTCTAACAGGCTTTCCGTCAGATTTAATCTCTATCTCTTTTAGTACATATTTCGCTCCCGCGGTATCTTCTGCGTACACACTTACGTTAAAAAAATTATAAAATAGAAAGCCTGTAAAAAACTTTAGCAGAATAAAAGCGAAAAGAGAAGACAATTGTGCCATATTGAAACCACCGGCTTTACACGACAAAACCATTACAACGAAACTGCCAGATTGTAATGTTTTAATTTTTTAAAATTACAATTGGACCCACTAGAATCCAAACACACAAAATGCTATTCGACAGATTTGTAAACATTTTTTTCATTATAATTAAATAAATAAAAGTAAAAAAATACTCTGCATTTTAAATTTAATTAAAGACCAAAAAATCTAACCAAAAATAAAATTATTTTTATTACTGTTAGAATCACTTAATTGCTACAGCTTTGAACAATATACAAGCTTGACACTAGCATAAAATAAGGAACTTATTAATTCGTTCATTAGCTTAACATAGATGTGGTAAATAATTAATGTTCTGTGGTACTAAACTTAAACACGCAATTTTATTTAAAATAATATTTTATTTTACACTCATTTTACCGGATGTAGAAGTCTAGTCCTGGCTTATTCCGGTGTCATATTATTGGGCATCGGCTTATTGCACGCCCATAACAGCAACAACACTTTTAATATTTATGTAATAAAGTTAACATTCCTTTATCTAAATTATGGATTCGCAGGGGAGAAAAGTTATTGTTTGTGACAATGGAACTGGGGTATGTATTTTTTTCCCATTCAAAATTACAGTTTCAACACAAATAAACACAGAAAACCCGGAAGTGAAGAAAAACGCAAACAAAAGTCAAAACTAAGCGAAATTGGCTAAAAAGTAAAATTCCAAAATATTAGGCCTGTTGTTATTATTAGGCCGGTAATCTATCGTTTTAGCGTAATCAATTCGGCTGCAGTAGTAATGTGCGGGAGAGGTAACTGATAAATATATTTGTTTAAATAAGTATATTTAGGGAGGCTCACTAACTTAAAAGCGTCCTTGGTTGCTAACCAGAACATGGCGTAAGGATCGGACCATGACTTCCGGCGAGTTTTTCGACTTAGTTCCAGAGACCTTCTTAGAATTACTTTTAAAAATGTTTATCACGAGTAAAATGGCGGGTTTTCACGTTATAAAAACATGCTATAGGTGGCAAGGCTAAATATGCCAGAAAAGCATTTTCAGAAATTGCTTTGGGGAATGTAGGCTAAATTTAAAGTCGGTGTCATTCAAAATAATTTAACTTTTTAAATATAGATCTCCCTCTCACAAAATTGATTTCCAAAGTAAAGCATTATTAGTTTTATCATTCTATGAAAAAATAAATCAAATATCTTCAACACTTTTTTTTATAAGATGTGTCCAAAAAATGACAACCAAATTTTTTTATTTTTTTTGACCACGTGACCGCTATTTGAATGGATACGTTTACCTGGCATGGTTTTTTATTTTGCTCTTTTGTTCAATAAAAAATGTTATAAAATTAAAGAAATAAAAGAATTCAAACATCACTTCTGTCTTGTCTTTTTTAAAATTCTTTTCTGATGACATTCTCTTAAATTTTTTCCCTCTATAAATATATCCCGACGATAGACGGGCCAATTCTACTTTTAGGAACTCTCTTGTAAAAAAAAATTAGATCTATTTCACGGTCAATTAAAAAGTTAAACCCTTCAGCTTTTAAGCAGGTTGTCATGGATGGATCCCTCATACCATAGCTGTGAGTGACCAAAAAATTTAAAATTCAATAATTTAGTCTAAAACTTGCAACAACTCCCAAAATTAGTGCCTAGTGGATAAAGTATGGACGTTTTTTATTTAGTTGTCATGTTTAAGTTGAAAATTGAGTACATTTCAAATTTACTAAGAAAATCTAATATTTAAGTCAAATTTTACAAAATATAACAGATAATTGATTAAAAATAACAATCAGTGACCAAAACAATTAAAAATAACATGAAACTAACTTTAAACTAGGTGTTTGAGATAAATATTAGTAGATAAAAACAGCGGCCATCTTTCCAAATAAAATTTAGAGTAGTTTCCCTTTATATAAATGTCTATTCGTATGTATATTGTGTTGACTTTGTTGTTTAATATACATAGTTGTCTTGTTAATAAAAGTAGGACAGAGGGCCATCTTCTTATCTTTAAGGCTATGTATGTATGTACATCCAAGATATCAAAAACTTTTGGGAGGTCCATCATTTATTAAACCCTTTTGTACGGATGAACTTGTCAATTATTATGTCGTCCATATTCTTCTTAAATGACGTTGGACTCAAAATATGGGACGGGGTAAAATATTTTTTTAAAATTGATGAAGAATATATTCGTTTTCGTTAGAAATTGTGATTATGCGTTCGGGTATAGTAGAACTGCGAAATGATATTAAATCAACATCTTGCTTTTAGTGACGATTGGGGGAAAGGGAATTCATCGGGAAAAGTATGACGTCATTTATGGACAGGACCGGCGCTACCTATAAGGCGAATTAGGCTGTCGCGTAGGGCGCTGTCCGTAGTGGGGGGCGCCAAAATGGGTTGGAGAAACAAATTGAAAGTTTGAGGGGGGAGGGGTGCAAATCGTAAGCTTGTCCCCGGGCGCCGGGAAGGGTCGCTATGCCTCTGATAATACGGGGGCATAAAAAAAGAGGGGGGCGCTTTTATTAAGTTTTGCATAGGGCGCTAAATAACCTGGCGCCGGCACTGTTTATGGGTGATCCATTTAAGCCTAGTTGTTTATTTTGTCTGTAGATATTGGTCTTATGCCTACACTTTTTCTGAATTAAGATTATTGTGTTTATAAAAATAGTTTTAAATTTTAATTAGTTACATCTGAATACCACATGTTTTTTTTCTTTGCCTTCTGCTTTCATCAGTTTTTTATTTGTTCAGTAGTCGATGTTTACCCATCCCCACCATCCATTATTACAAAAACAAAAAACACCCACTATATAGTGGTATCTCCCTCTAGAAAAAAAAAACTAGATCAACCTATAGTTCGTAGGAAAATTAGAATCTATCACTTATTCGTCTGTTAAAAAAAAAAAGAAATACGTCTTTTTTCTCAACCCCGCCGTTTCATCCCCCACTTAGCACAACGTCACCAAGTTCGCGGCGCGCGTGACGTCATTTGTCATTAGGCTAATGTTAAAGAAAGAGATACCGCGTAATTAAAAAAAAGTCAAATCAGGCACTATGGCGTTGAGACTTTAGCGACGTTTAGTCTGACGAATAGATCTAAATGACTTTAGTACGGTAAATTATATTAGTGTTTAATTTATTACACAGTGGTATGCGGTGCTCCCTCTACTCTACAAATTCACGTGCTTTTAATTTCTGCAACCTGCTGCTCTGAGACGCTCGGCTCTAAAATGCCCGTGACACAGCGGCTTCCGGAAATACATTTAGGCTCCCGGTCCCACCTATAAACTTCGTCTGCTCATTAAGCTCCACGCAAAACTTGTGATTGATATGTGGACATAAGCGGCGCTAGTGGTGGTGTCAACAAGGACCCCTCCCCCAGCTCAGCTCTTAAAGATGCTCCGCACTTCATAAAAGACAAACTTGATGTTCAGACATCGTCGGACTCGGGCGTTTAGCCGACTGCCGTATTCCTAATGCACCGTCCACTGCTAACACTATTTCTATATTAAACTCAAGCCTATACTGAGCTCTGGCTTTTTACATTAGTTATGCCCCCATGTCGCGAAACTTGCTGTTTTGTCCAATTTTACCTGCAAGCCAATAATTGTCGGATTCTTGTCGAATATCGTTGCCAGGAGCTAGTTGGTTTGAGCCTTATTGTCAGAAGTTATTTCATTCCGAGTCAATGTAGTGCGGCCTATTTTCGTCGGTAGGCATTTAGTGGCAGGCCCTTTTTGGCGGGGATGGTGTGCTGAGGTTGTTTAACACCGCTTAGGACAACAGGCTTGCAATAGTTATGATCATTCGTTATGAGCAAAGGTATGCATGAAAACGAACACTTTATGTTCCTCATTTTCATTGAGCACAGCTTTATAGGAGTCTTCCATAATTGACGTCACTCACCCCCCCCCCCCCCCCCACCCCGATCACCCTTTCATTATAGGTCATGAATTGCAGTCCTACGTAAATTGACGTCACATTAGAATAGCATATGTGACATCGTTTATGGACAACCCCATATTTCTCATTTTGGGTATTTGGTATCAACATTTTGACAACAAAGGTTGTTCAAAATGTGTATTGGAGGTTATGACTTGACATCTACCATAAATGACATCACGACACACTTAAGGAGTGGAGTAACTGGTTTAGAGACGACGTTTTACGCGGGAAAGGGGAGGGGTGAAACGTTATGTATTTGGCCTAATACAAAAATGCTGAAACAATTCTTTTTCGTTCGAATTATGGCTTGACTTCTTAACATTAATAACAGGCAGGGCAAAAAGGTAATTTTCGACATTACGACTATTTCGTGACGGCGAAAATGGGGGGGGGGAGGTTAAGGTGAAGAGATGTCAAAAAACGTGACGTCGTATATGATTAAATCACTAATTAAAGGGAAAAAGCATGAAAATATGAAATGAAAATAGCAAATAAACAATAACACAAACAATAACAATCAACTCAAACTAATATTTAATTTAAATAAACATTAGATATGTAGTGGTAGCTTTATAAAAATAGGGAGTTTCTTAAAGTATAAAACTTGCATCTCATAATAATAATTCTAGAACTGATGTTTATTTTCATTCAATTAAATTTTTTAAAGGGCAGAATAAAAAAAAACACATGCTTTATATTTAAACACAAGACAATCGTATTTTATAGCAAACATCTATACTTTTCCATACAAATAGAAATTAAAGGGAAATGACTCAAAATAATATTTTTTTAAGATGGCCGCTGTTTTTAATAGCAAATTTAGTATCTGGAACATCGTTGTTAAACCTTAATTTTATGACATTTTTATTGATTTAACCCTTAAATGTGGTTTAATATTCAATTATCTTTAGTATTTTAGTAGAATATGCAAAGATATATTCATATTTAAGCCATATTTATTAGTTACCTTATCCCTACATTACTAGTGACGACCGAATTGATTACGCTAAAACGATAGATTACCATTAGGCCTATTAACAAACACAATATCCGTTATTACTAGTCAATAGTAGGCCTAGATCTAGTAAAATAAATTAATAGGTCCTAGAGCTTAATTTAGACCTATTTTCTTTGTTATTAAAAATATTAGTTTGCATTAGGTAGGCCGTTCGATTCAACACTTCCGGGTTTGTCATTTTCCTGGCATCTCACGGCTCATGCGCTTACTAAAATGGCGACCAGTTTCGCTTTCTCTAAACGGTAGAGGGATAAAACTATTGATTACGATGCCATCGTTAATTTTAGAAAACGGAACTGTCCGTTTCTATTTCAGTCTGTTATTTAAGAATTCCCAGATGTACTTTTGACCTAATTTCTTTGTTTGTCTCGCAAGCGGCGCGTAAGTGAAAATAGCTCTGTTTTCTTGTCTTTTAAATCAAATAACTCTGAAATATCTTTTTCCTTGGAAACCAGCCTATGTTCCTTGGAAACTTTAAACTATTAATTTAACACACATTACAATTAACTGGTAATAATTTCTTGGGTTTATGAGATGTGTTTGTGGGAAAGCGATCACCCCCCAATAATACCATTTTATTATAATCTTGTTTGGTGAAAACGAGGCGCGGGAAAATGTGTGCCGCGCAAGAATCCAATCATTTGGCTAGATTTATGACTGTTTTTTTTATGTCACACCTAAAAATAGAATGTTTACGCTTTCTTCGTTGATGATCGTTTTTATTATTTTTTAAACTGAAAGTATGAATTGCAGATTTTGTAACTTGGTATACTTACCCTTTATCAATTTTAAAAGCATAGCATGCTGATTGTAAACAAATATAGTCATAAAACACAGAAATATAAAGTTCCAATTGCGATGTGACACACCTGGGTCGCACCCCCTCAAGAAAACACGTGTTTATTAAGCTGTTTATCTCACTTTACAACAGTAATTAAAATTAATTTTCAAATTTTTATCACTTATTGGGTAAGATTAAGCACATGTTTACTAAAAATAAAATAAAAAACAAAAGCAAATTCTGTTTTAATGAAGGTCACGGGTCAAGTTTTTTTTCCTTCTGTCAAGTTCAGTGGAGGGTGCCACAGACTGACCTGACTTTGGAATTTTTTTCAGTAATAATGACTTTGCACAGAAAGTTAAAACATGCTAAATTAGCTTAGTTTACTACTAGAGCAAATTACACTGTCCGGACACACACCGCGAAAAAACGCAACTTAAAACTTCCATGCGGTCTCATTCAGTAACCGCTTAACATAGGAAGGAAAAAAAAGTATCATATCTATCCGCAATCATTCTACTTTAATAATGTGTGTGTCATTTTGTATTCATACGCATAGAACTTTAGCTATTCTTGTTATAGTGACTGGGGGGTCTTAACATGTGTTCGGACACATGTAATACAATTTCAAATGTGTTCGGACACCTTTACCCGTCATCGGACAAAGCACTTTTTGTTCATTTAGAATAATTTAAAGTCAATTTAATGAATAAAAACATATATTATATGCATTTATATTGTGTTATTGATTGTTTGTGAGGTAATTTTAATAGTATAAAACCTTTTTCCCACACTCCCAAAGTTCATCCCATTCAGCCATTGCGGCTCGCGCAGTACGCTGCTAAGCCAGCCAGGTCACATGATTCCCCCTCCTCTTTCGCATTCCACTGCATTCTTGACCTTATTTTGACCCTTTCCCTTCAATAACCAGCCCCTTTTATGCTCTAAATTCTTATTTAATAATATTTTTGTGTTGCTGTCCGGTCCCATGTAAGGTCAAAAAAGTTAGCGAACACCCCTTTTTTATTGTTCAAGCACAAAATAACCCATTAACCTTGACATTTACGATGTTCCATACATATATAGAAGCTATTTATAGTGTAACCTTTTAGCTAAGCGTTGATTGGTTCAAGTTTTGCCCCTAAGTCCAACCCTAGGTCACTTCATCCGGCTGGTGTAAAAATAGAAATGTGCGTACCATGCAACGTTAAAAATTTTCTAAAAATAATTCTTGAGAGAGGAAACGGAAGTACTTGACACGGAAGTGTTCATAAATGAACAGTTTACGTGCAGGCGCCGTTGTTTCGCATGAGACATGCTAATTAAAGTTTCTATGAGCCAAAAACCGACGAAGTGTTCGGTCCCATGTAGTGTTCGGACAATGTAATTTGCTCTATTATTGATACATTTTTAATAAAAAAAATCATTCTGTAATTCTCATCAAAAAGCCTACATTAGGACTTAGGTCAATTGGGGTAGGCCGTTCGGTTCACGGCTTCCTGGTTTTTTTGTTTATATTATCTCAAGGCGCAAGCTCTCGAAGTGGTTTACTACGATGGTGGCGCGGTTTTGTTTTTATTAAGGGGTGGGGGTAGAGGGATAAAACCAATGATTTTGAAGCCATCATTAATTTTAGTAATCAGAATTTGAATTAGGCCTACCCGTTTCTAATTAATTAAGTCTGTTTATCAAGAAGAATGTGTACATTAGACCCGATTTCTTTATTTATCTAGCAAGTGGCGCTTTAGTGAAAGTAGCTCTTTTTATTCTTGTGTTAACGTGAACTTAAAATCAAATAACTTCTAAATTAGGCTACATGATGAATATTAACTAGCGCGTGATGAAGAAACGGTTCAGAGTCTTAGCTTTATACAAATTACAACGTTTGGGAATAATTCTTAGGTCCGTACATGTGGTCACTATGCCAGAAATATGACCCCCCCCCCCCCCCCCCCCCTTGTAACACCATTTTATTATAATCTTTTTGCCGAAAACAATGCACGGGAAAATGTGTGCAGCGTCAAAATCCAATCATTTGGCTAGATTTATTAGTTATGTCGCGTCATATGTAAAAATAAAAGGCATTGCGCTTTCTACATTGATGATCGTTTTTATCATTTATTAAGTAAAAATATGAATTATTAATTAAGAATGCAGTTTTTTAACATGGTATACTTACCCGCTGTGAATATAAAAAGCATGGCATGTTAATTATGTAAAAATTTTGTCATAAAACACAAAATTATAAAAGTTCGATTTTTTTTTTTTACTACCACTATCCGCCACACCTAGAGCTAGGCCTATACAATACTAGAATCTGTTATTTTTTTTTTGTTGTTTTTTTTTTTAATGGTTAATTGATTGTGTTAAATTTTAGCTATCTAAATTCATTTCTAAGATATTTTAATGTTTCTATTAAGTTTTATTGAAAAATCTTTTAAAATAATCAAGAAATCCACCCATGAAATCAGGTCACTCACAGGTCTAGTACTAGTAGTTTTTTTCTTCATTAGCTCATAATAGGCTGAACCTGATGTTGGAATTTTTTTCAGTTATAATGACTTTGCACAAAAAGTTAATATGCTAAATTGACTTAGTGTGCTAGCTATTATTGAAATGTATTGATACTTTTTTTCTAAAAATAAAATGTTTGATATTTTCATCAAAATGCCTACATTAGGGCTAGGGCCTAAGTAACTTACTAAGTTAGCCCTGAAGTTAAATTGTTAAACTACAGTTAACTAAGGTAACTGTTAAACTTCTAACCCAATGAGTCTTAACGGAAAAGCATAGATAAGTAATATAATAGGTCTAAGTAAAATATAAAAATAATGATTAAGAAGGCCTTCAACATCAACTGGTTGCTGAACTGGGGCATGACTAGAGTAATTTTTTTTGAGTAAGACTACACTAATTTTTCCCATGTTTTCTTTAACTTGCTTTCTTAACTAACCTATCTAATGTAGGCCTACACTTATTAAATTGCAAAACTGTTACTGCATATGGTAATATTAGTAAAAAATAGCCTTTAACAACTTTTTAGGCGTAGTTTGTTAAGTGTGGTTGATAAACTTTTAAATTTTTTTTCTTATACAGTTTGTTAAGTGTGGATATGCTGGTTCTAACTTCCCTGCTCACATCTTCCCCTCCCTTGTGGGGAGGCCAATCATTAGATCAACCACAAAAGTTGGAAACATAGAAGTTAAGGTTTGGATTCTTTTTCTACTTTTATAAGTCTTTTTATAAAATTTAACAGTTTGCTGTGTTTTGCATTTAGCTTTTTTTTTTTATTTGCAGGATCTTATGATTGGCGAGGAAGCTAGTGAACTTCGCTCAATGCTTGAAGTAAATTATCCAATGGAAAATGGTATAGTCCGTAACTGGGAAGACATGACCCATCTGTATGACCATACTTTTGGTAAAGATAAGATGAATCTTGACACAAGAAACACAAGAATTCTTCTCACAGAACCTCCTATGAATCCAACAAAGAATAGAGAAAATATGATCCAAGTACGCTCAAATGTTTTTATTTGATTGCATTCAAATGAGTTACAGTTATGTGCATAATGTTTTATGTTAGAGCTTCAAAAAAAATAATTTTTAAGTGTTATGTAGACCTTTTAAATGACTATTTGTTTATGTGATTTTTTTTAGTTGATGTTTGAGAAATACCAGTTTCACAGTGTGCATATAGCTATACAAGCTGTGTTGACACTCTATGCTCAAGGTAAAGTTGCAGCATAATTTCTATTGTATTCAGAAATGATTGGCTCACAGACTAATTAGTTTTCTCATACACCATTTGACACATGCATGAGACTGAGATTTGTTTATTTAGGCTTGGTCACTGGAGTGGTTGTTGATTCTGGAGATGGGGTCACTCACTTCTGTCCTGTGTATGATGGGTTTGCACTTCCTCATTTAACCAGGCGATTAGACATTGCTGGCAGAGATATTACCAGATATCTCATCAAGGTTTGTCCCTGTTTAACATGTTTCTTACTATAGTATGATTACATCTGCCAGGCTCATGGGTTGAATTAAACAGCTTTTGGCAGTTCTTGTTGACCTAGATGTCACCCCCAGCTGCCATTAGGACATAGAGTTCAATATTTGCATTGTAAAATTTTGTTGTAACTTCACACCTCCAACTTACCATTTGGACATTCTAAAATTGTCTCTCAAATTTTGTTTTCAGCTCTTGCTGCTTCGAGGCTATGCTTTTAACCATTCAGCAGATTTTGAAACGGTTCGCATGATGAAAGAAAAGTTGTGTTACGTAGCCTATGATATAGATTTAGAACAAAAGCTTGCCAATGATACAACAGTTTTAGTCGAGCCCTACACTGTAAGTTTTTTTTTTAAACTCGTTTAGTATAAATTTATGGCATAGTCTTGCTTCACATTTGCTCATCTAATGAATGTGTAATTTTATGCTTAGCTTCCTGATGGTCGAGTGATTAAAGTTGGAGGGGAAAGATTTGGAGCACCAGAAGCTTTGTTCCAACCTCACCTCATCAATGTTGACAGTCCTGGAGTTGCAGAACTGCTGTTTAATACTATTGGAGCCGCTGATATGGACCTCCGTGCTGACTTCTACAAGCACATTGTTCTGTCTGGAGGCTCTACAATGTATCCTGGATTGCCCAGTCGTCTAGAAAGGGAGATCAAACAATTGTATTTGGAACGTGTGCTTAAAGGGGACACCGCTGCTTTATCTGTAAGTACAGTCTTTATTTACTGTTTTTACAGCTTTGTTTAGATGCCTTTGTACTTGCTTCATGCTGTCTTTTTTTTTCTACTCAGAAATTCAAAATTCGTATTGAAGATCCCCCAAGAAGGAAGCACATGGTTTTCATGGGGGGCTCTGTATTGGCAGACATTATGAAAGACAAAGATGAGTTTTGGCTGCTGCGTTCTGAATATGAAGAAAATGGTTTACGAGTTCTAGACAAGCTGCTCAGGCCTGCAACCAGTTAAAACTTTTCTAAGAATTATAATAGTTGTATATTGTTTCCTTTATGAAAATATTTTTAAATGCCTGTTTTAATAAATGACCATCAATCTATATATATCTTGTGTATAACAAATTCTAGAGTTTTGGCCTTATCGGTACATCCCTGGCTAGTTGGCATTTATTTATGCTAGTGATTGTTGTACTGTGACCAATGATAAAAAAAATTGAGTGAAATGAAGCTGGTGTTGGGGAGTTGAAAAGATGCGCAGTAGTAATTTGCTTTATTTCTCTATGTACTTGAGGCTGTGCGTTGCATGCAAGCTACTGCATCAAATTGGTTTATTTTCTTTGAATGCTGTCTGTCATCTAAGGCCCGTGAGACATTGGAGCAACGCTCATGTTTTGTGTATTATAGTCTTATTTTTCCAATTTAACTTGGATCATAAGACTCATGTTTCCCTTTTTGAAGCCCTGACTCTAAGGGTGACACATCCAACTGTTTGTTGATATCATTGGCTAACTTGGCTTCTTCAGATATTCCATTTCTCTTGTCATGCTATCTGAATGAGCTGTGCATTTGGCTTATTGCAAAATTTTATTTCATTGTATATGTCAGATAACATCTGAACAATCACCAATTTACATTTATTTTTCTGGTCTCTTTGTTACATGGACTGACTTAAGTATCACCTGAGTATAACTGCTTTAATGGGTGGTGCTAGTTAGTCGTTGAATTTGTTTTAATGATTTATTGTCCTGTTTATTCATGAAGAAATTATTTATCTCCCACCTCCAAAGGGCTTTGTGTTTCTCCTTTGTTTTTTTTTAAATAGAAAAATGGATGACTGATTATACTTGCTAACATTTCATACCTTGTTACTAAATGTATTGATAAAGATGGGAGATAATTTTTTAGGTAGTTTTTACTGTTTTAGTATGAGCTCTGAGTAAAAAAAAATGATAATTATATTAGCACTTTATGAGAAATATTGGTGAAAGGCGCTATACAACGTTTTCTGTTGCTTGTGACTAAGTATGTTGTGTGTGTGTGTGTATTACTTTCTTTAAACTTTGTTATCTATTATTTAGACCTATGCATTAAATTATTACTGTATTCAATGCTAAAAATGTTTTTTTCCATTATTATGTAGTAATGATACATTGATAGGTCAGTAAATGGAAGAAATACGTAAGATAGAGCTAGTTTTGTTTAATGAAACAAATTCAAGCATTCATAAACTTACAAGTTGAACAAACTCAAGCATTCAAAAAACATACAACTTCAGCTTAATTTGTCAATTGTGTTGTCATTTGACATGAAAAAAATACAATTTTCGAATTAAAAACATGGAGCCAATACAATGGCCAGTGTTGGTGACAGACCAGAGCTTGTAAGACCAGCTAACGTAGGGGAGATAAACCTGTCATGCAGGTGGATTTTAAAGGTAGTTAATTCTGATCAACTCAAGTTGCTAGGACAATCAGATGTCATTAGTTGTGCTTGGTGTTAGAATGTAGAAGCCAGTCAGTTGTATGGGTATGTTTGTGCTTAGTGTTAGAATGTAGAAGCCAGTCAGTTGTATGGGTATGTTTGGATTTGTTGCTAGGACAATCAGATGTCATTAGTTGTGCTTAGTGTTAGAATGTAGAAGCCAGTCAGTTGTATGGGTATGTTTGTGCTTAGTGTTAGAATGTAGAAGCCAGTCAGTTGTATGGGTATGTTTGGATTTGTTGTGCTTAGTGTTAGAATGTAGAAGCCAGTCAGTTGTATGGGTATGTTTGTGCTTAGTGTTAGAATGTAGAAGCCAGTCAGTTGTATGGGTATGTTTGTGCTTAGTGTTAGAATGTAGAAGCCAGTCACTTGTATGGGTATGTTTGTGCTTAGTGTTAGAATGTAGAAGCCAGTCAGTTGTATGGGTATGTTTGGATTTGTTGTGCTTAGTGTTAGAATGTAGAAGCCAGTGAGTTGTATGGGTATGTTTGTGCTTAGTGTTAGAATGTAGAAGCCAGTCAGTTGTATGGGTATGTTTGTGCTTAGTGTTAGAATGTAGAAGCCAGTCAGTTGTATGGGTATGTTTGGATTTGTTACAATATCTGGCCTTACAAATCTGATGAACAAAGACCTGCACAACTTTTATAATCCAAAGTTCTCATCAGACTACATGTAGGCAACTATCAACCTACAGGTAACATTATCAACCTGCATGTAGGTAATATTCAAATATCAACCTGCAGTGCATGTAGGTAGCATTAAAATATCAACCTGCATTGCATGTAGGTAACATTAAAATATCAACCTACATGTAGGTAACATTAATGTTGTCCATCTTAAAATATTTGTTTATGGAGATATTAACCACTATAAACATTCCATGATATGCAATGGTTTAAAGACATTCATTCCTAAAACAACACATTGATAAAGTTTGTAGACAACTCAACCCTCACAAAGAAAAGAATGTATTAAAGACTTAATGGATTACAATCATCTCAAAAACAGATGTGAAATTACTTGAAAGAATGAAGCACTGTAATAACAATGTCAGACCAAGACATTTGATTGTGATATTGAAACCTTGATTGATCAATGCAATAGATTTATATACAGAACAAACTGAGTGCACTCAGAATTTGATCTAGGTGGGGAAGATTTAATCTTGATTTTCTTATTTTAGGAAATGCAACACACAAAAAATGCTGCCAATAATTTTATGTTTAGACTTGTCTCTTATATTTGTTCAAAAGGTGCTTCTCAAAGTTTGATTTAAGTAGGGCCAAAGATTGCTTCATTCATTATTTACAGTAGCATAAAAAATGGAACCCACATATTACAGATAATAAAATGGTTTTCAGGATAAAATAGCAGCAGTAGACTTAATGGAACAACATACACTGGTCACACAGTTGGAGTCAGAACAGCACTTTAGAAAGTAGCAAACCACTTGAATCAATTAGAAAAAATGTATTACAGGTTCTTCAGCAGGCAACATGTGAACAGCATGTTGCCTGGCATCAACTCAGGCTTGAAGTTTTAGGCTTGCTGCCCTTGTGTTATGCCTGTTGTCAGCTGAGTTTAAATATTTGAGGGAGACTTATTAATAAATGGATCAATTACCACTGACGTGATGCTGAAGATGAAAATTTTATATCTTAAACTTGGCTTAAAAATCACATAAAAATACTTCTAGCTGGAAAAACTTTTTTCAAATTATTTGATTCTGGTAAAACCTTTTCATTAACTTCAAAATTAAACTTTCATTCCATACAATGAAATCAACTATTTACATTTCTCTTTATAAAAAAAGTAAACTTGGTGATTTTACTAACAAGATACATGATCAAGATTTTAAATAGTTTTACATAAAAAAAGCAGTTTCAAAACTTTGCCAAAAAATTGGCTCAATTTCTAAGCCCCATTTACAGACTGACACAAACACAGATCATTGTTGACTGTGGTGATATTAGCTGAAGGACAAGCAGACACTGCATCACATTTCCTAGCTGTGGCAGGAAGAATATTCAACCAGCTCAACACTCAGTGTATCACACTGTAAACCTGCTTGTTTTTATCACAGTATGTATGCTTGGCTCAAATGTTTGTTGGTGACTAATGTTCAGCTTTGGTCTGTTAGAGCATTGACCTAGATATGGTATCTACATGATTTGTTTCAGTTTAACAACCAGAATATTCTTAACTAGGTCTAATAACTGATTGTCTATATCTTAGTAATTTAGTGGAAAACGTTTTTGCTATAGGAAAAACTATTATTCTAAATTAACTAATAAAGGTGTACTGTAATAAATATGTTTAAAAAGAAAAAATACATAATAGGCAAAATTATATTATGCTTTTTGCTTGTAGCTAATAATGAAGTAACCACTGAACAAATGGACAGTGAACAAAAATATATTAGGCTTTAGTACAGTCCAAAGAAATGATGAATGAATATTGAAAGAATGAAATGGACATACGTTGTATGCATTCTGTGATTACAAGGTACAATGTAAATCATCTCACTGAAGTCTATATCACAGCACACCTGCCTGGAGCATGGTTGATGACAGAGGTCCAGTTGATGACCTCAGTAGCTCAAAAAATGGGAGACAAACAGCACATGGTTGATGACAGAGGTCCAGTTGATGACCTCAGTAGCTCAAAAAATGGGAGACAAACAGCACATGGTATACACAGAAGAGCTAAACTAGAAAATACATCAAACTAGTGAAATCCAATGAGTATTTGTAATAATCAAGTTCTTACAAATGGTCAAAAAATTATCTATTCTTAAAAACAGAATAGATGTTTTCCACAATACATATCAAGAAGTGAATTGTTATAAATATTGATGTTAGTTTTCAACTTGTCTACAATACATCTCAAAGGGTGAACTGTTATAAATATTGATGTTAGTTATCTACATAAAAATAATCATCTAACAGAGCACCACTAAATAACAATTGTATCAAAGGTCTGCAACTGTCACAGATTCAATATATGAAACTGTCAAATATTCATTGGATGCAATTGTCAGATTTTGGAAATATTTGCAACTCTCACATATTCATTGGATGCAATTGTCAGATTTTGGAAATATTTGCAACTGTCACATATTAAATATATGCAGCTATCACATATTACCAATATTTGCAATTTACATATTCAGTATATGCAACTGTTACATTTGGGAAATATTTCCAGCCGCCATACATTACCAATATATGGAGCTCATACACTTTTGGAATATTTGCATGTAACAAAGAGTACCTATATCTTCAGCTGTCATATTCCAGTATTTGTAACTGTGTCACATATTGCCCATGTATAAAGCTAGTTGAAAAAAGCACATCAAATTATGTATGTGTAACATTGTAGAAAAGCACATCAAATTATGTATGTGTAACTTTGTAGAAAAGCAAAACTAGAAGAAAAACACATGATTGACATCAAGAGACAAGAAGCTCTCAGCAGATTTACTGGGCCATTCATAGCCTTACTGGGCCATTCATAGTCTTACTGGGCCATTCATAGCCTTACTGGGCCATTCACAGCCTTACTGGGCCATTCACAGCCTTACTGGGCCATTCATAGCCTTACTGGGCCATTCATAGCCTTACTGGGCCATTCACAGCCTTACTGGGCCATTCACAGCCTTTCTGGGCCATTCATAGCCTTACTGGGCTGCTGAGAAAATGTCTGCTTGAGGAACACCATCACAGCAAACAACTTTTGAGACCAACCGTTGAGTGTAATAGTTAAACATTGCTATTTTACAGATAAAATGTATCTGAAAATTTGTTGAGTGTAATAGTTAAACATTGCTATTTTACAGATAAAATGTATTTGAAAATTTGTTGAGTGTAATAGTTAAACATTGGTATTTTACAGATAAAATGAATTTTAAAATTAAAAAAAATAAAATGGCTGAGGCTTAGTTTTCTTTTTTGGAACAATTTTTTTTCTAATGAGAACCAAGATGTACAACCTGTTCAGATTTTGTCCAGTCTTCTATTAGTCACTGACATTTGACAGTATCTGAAATAACTGTAAACAATAGCTCAAAACATAGCTAAACCACTAAAAAGGATGAACATTTAAAAATGTGTCTTCTAATCCTGGCTATTCTCCAGCTGTTGTATAGAAGGTCAGTGAGAGATGTTCCTGGCTTGTTGCAGCTTCTTCCACATCAGATACCCAGATGTCTTCACAGTGGACAAAGGGAGATTTTGGAGAGGAAACGGTTAGTTCACAACTGACCACATTTAATATATTTTTTAAATATATAAATGCGGGCCTCACCAAATTCCTACTAGATTTTTCTAATTTCCAGACGTTTTTTGCTCTGAAATTTTTAGAGAAAAAAAAGAAGCAAAGGTGTACATATGTAAATATCCATAAGAAGGTTTTCACTAGTTTAATTATTTTGTTTGAAATCTTTAAAAGTATTTGTAAAGTCATGCCAGGAAAATACATGACACATGACATTTGCTCCGCCCATGTCATGCCAGGGAAATACATTGAACATGACATTTGCTGTGCCCATGCTTGTCTGATGCATGCCTGCATCCCAGTGCACATATACATGCCCTTGTGTCTTCTTGTGTCTCTTGTTGACAAACAATCATTTGAATAGCACTCAGACCAATCAAGCCATTCATAACAAGTCATTGGAACAGTTCATTCGTGGGTGAGCCAACTTACACAGGTCAGTGACCTGGGCCAGTGAAGGAAAAATGGCTGGGTTTGATTTTTATCTTAATTTTTATCCAAGTCAATCAGGGTTAGTTTTTTGTGCAACAGTTTTTTTTGAAAAATTAAATTTAAAAAATAATGGACTGAAAAAAGCCAGCTGAAAACATGAGGCATGGGAAGAATGATATAAATTGACAACAGCATAGCAGTGTAAACAATGGCGCAGGTTATAGAGTAATAAATGATTCAACTCAACAATTAAACAATGGTAGATATTTTAAATACAGCAATTTGCATTACATTGGTTTGTAATTAAATAGTAGAAATAGGGGAAGATAATGAAAGGCAAAGTGTAAGCAAAAACAAATGAATAAATGAGAGCTAGATAATGGCCAAGACAATGGTACAGTGTGGATGTTACATCAGCTGTTCAAATCTTGTGCAAGAGTTCATTCCCCTACATCTGGTGGCGTGTCAGTAGCCCCACTCTGATTGGGTTAGTAATTGGAGAGCTAACAAAAAATTGTGTTTATCTACTGTGTACTGCACAAGATTTATCTCGTGCTGTGTACTGCACAAGATTTACCTCGTGCTGTGGTGCAGATAGGTGAGTGCATTACAACATCACTGTTGCTGGGGGATATGGAAAAACACAGTGAAAAATTATCTAGCGTCCCCAGGGGACTTACACAGGACAGATGGTTGGAAAAATGGTACAAATATTGATATAGAAATGAAGAACTGGATTGTAAAAATGCTGCATCAGTAAACCACTTAAAGGAAATGTCACAACTTTAAACTCAAAGTATGACAAAAAGTCAAAACTTTCAAAATTTTTATTTCAAACTTCTCAATATTCAACATTATTATAATATGTCAATTATCTATCAATGAGTTATTAGGTACATACACTGAGTTGTTACAAAAATGTGAATTGGCTGAGTTGTTACAAGAAATGTGAATTTTGTTCAAATAAGAGAGAGAACAGCATTTGGAAAATTATTAATTGTTTACAAATACAGGAAAATGTGAAATAAAAAATCACATGGAAAATACAAAATGTGAACCACATATTTAGCTTGAAAATAAGCAGAACAAAAATGGATGCGACCCAAAAGTGAATGTTGGCTGAGAGAGCCATGGTGAGACAGGGGTGGGCTGGGTGAGGTGGAACAGTGGTCTGTGCAATGGGAGGGTTAGTGCAATCATGTTCCTCCAATGTTTAAACTTGGCAGCTTGGAAATTATTGATCTTGTTGGCTGGAGAAAACCAAAAGTTTTACAACTGTCAAAAAACTTATAAATATTGGAGATGAAAAGTTTTAAAAACCGTCAAAAACTCTAGGAAGTTAAGGTCAAAATTTGAGGGGAAAATGAATGAAGTCCAACTGCTATAGCAGCTGTGCCCATTGGCATTTAAAGAGGGCAATAATTCACCCATTGGGTTTAATATCTAAAGGAAATTAAATCTTTAAAATTGAACTTAAGCGCTCTGAAGAAACAGAAATAAACAAAATTAGTTGGTCTAAAATCACAGATTTCTAGCAGCTAACTGACATGCTCAAATTAGGATGGAAAATAAATGAGATTGGTGCTTTAAAAATGTCACCAATTTCTGCAGCGTAATGATGCACTGAACCCAACCATTCGCACACTGAGATATTAAAAAAAGCAGGTTTGTTAGGATAGCAAGTCACTACAAGCAAACATCAACTCATGCGTCAATTCAACGTGAGATACATTATTACACAGAGATGCTCTCATCATTGGCAACTTTCTGTAAACATTGTAGGTAATAAATAATCTTTTTTCTTAAAGCTGAGATCAAAACATATTCACTTTAAACTAAACGTTTTTATCAAACATTTACTTCAAACTAAAAAATAGTGGTATACAAACATGTATGTGCAATGCACACATAATGTACAGTGCACACATAATGTACAGTGCACACATAATGTACAGTGCACACATAATGTACAGTGCACACATAATGTACAGTGCACAGATAATGTACAGTGCACAGATAATGTACAGTGATAGATAATGGTTTACAGAAAGTTTCAAGTGATACAAAGCTGCAACTTAAATCATAGTTTGTAACTTGGCTTGAGGTTTATCAAGGCCATTCTAAGTATAAAAAACAATGTTTTGCTGTATGTGGAGCTGCTATACGCAGCAGTTTGATCAGGGTCAAGTTCTAGCGTTCACCCACGAAGGACGAGTCTAGACAAGCAAACAGCACAATGGTATTCCACTGAACAAGCAGTTTGAGCAACAAAATATCACAGTAAGGAACATCAACTCCATACACCAGCGCACTACCTTTGCTTCTTTTACCCACTTATTTTGAGCCACCATGTTGTGTTATATATCATTTGTTTGACCATACCATCTTGTGTTATTGTTTGTTTTGGCCTAACGTGTTATAATTTATTTAATCATATCATGTTGTGTTATGGTTTGTTTTGACTATACTTTGTTGTGTTATTTGTTTTGACCAACTATGCTGTGTTATCATTTTACGAGGACCCACTATGTTGTGTTATATAGTTAAAGTGTGCATCAATAGAGACTGCTTGAGTTTGAAATAAAATTGAAAGGTCCCCATTCCTTAAATATGGATGAAAGGTAAAATAGTACACTAGGCTGTATTACACAAAGTTTTTATTTATTTACTACCTCTTAGTTTTTTGTTGAAGTGGTATGATTTACCCCAATTTTTTTTTCATGTTTTTAAAGACTGGTGAAGGAAAAATGAAATATTTCATCCCTTCTTGTAATTTGTCTACAGTGGTGGTGTATCTGTGGTGTGTGTTGATTGGTTAGGCAAGTTAAAGCAGAAGAAATCTTGACAGGTGGCTTCAGGAAACTAAGATTTACTTCATTTTGTTTTGAATGTAAGCTTTTGAAAAACGAGTTGCTTCCCCTGAGTGAAAGAATGTCTACTGTACACACTGACCTACAAGCAAATGCAATCTAAGCTACCTGCTGGAAATAAGAAAATGATCAGAGGAATAGAGGTTGCCCGCACCTATAAAACAAAGAAAACAAAACTGATTGATAACAAAGCATACAAATTAAAATAGAGCTAAATCCTATGAAGCACCATGCATGCTACTGGTACCCTTAGTTCTTTGCTTTATCATCACTGACTTCTAGAACAATGCATTTGGCCATTTATTGAGACATTTCTTGCAATGAGCATATATTTGAAAAAAAAATTAAGCTTTACTTTTATCTAATTTGTGATTTATTTTTACCAAAAAATCTTCATATATAATATTATAATTATTTTTCTTTAATGAGCTCTAGAATTATCAACTAGTTTACATGATGTAAATATTGAGCCTTAAAATTGATCTGAAACAATCCAATGATTAATGTATTTAGTTCAGGAAGATAAATAAGTTTGCATTCAATTATCATATTGGAGGTATGTAGAACAGGTTTAATAAGTATGGATTAAAAAGGTGAAAAATGTGCAGTTAAAATAAATCCTTTCAAAGTGCCAACTTATAACATGCTGATACATTTAAATGAAATCACACAAAAACATTTGTAAAATACAAAAAATAGTCCAATGTCATTCAATACATTTTTTTTTCATTTAATATTGAAATTGAAAAATAAAATATAATCACTTAGGTAAATCTTTAAGTATTTATCTTTAAAATAAAAAGTTTGAGATGACATTTGACCACAATAAGCATGAACTCAAAGTGCATACAAAAAAAAAAGTCATGATGCCAGTTTGGCTAACTGAAGCTTTGGAAACTGGCCTTACAACATTAAGATTTGTGCTGACTTGTCAAACTACCCTGGACTGTTATAATAAATAATAAAATATGGAAAAAATAACAGATGGCTTGATTCATTATTCTGTGAACAATATTATAATAATAACATTTAAGGGCAGCTAAATGTATCACAACAAAAAATATGGCCTTTGGTAATGATTGATGATCATGCAGACATTAGACAAAAAATGGATGAAAATGTTACATACTATTAGTGTTCTGTTTTTCTTTTGTTTTTTGAAACATCATTGGAAATAATTTTTATATTTGAGTTAAAATTCTGACATTCCCTTATGTTCATTCTAGGAGTGTTGACAGATGCTGCCTGCTCTACTCACCCATCCCGTACAAGCAGATGGGTAGAAAAATGGCTGAGCAAAGCTAATCACAACCACTGCTATGATTTTTGTTTGAGCTAAATCTTAGTTTATTTCCGCTGAGGACAATCAGTAGCAGTTTTAAAAAATTCTTACCTTATACCAGCAGTCAATAATTTATAAAATAAAAACAACAAAATAAAATGCACTAAAACATATTCAGCAGTAAACCATGAAGTTGAAGTTTCTATGTGAAAGCAATACAATTATTTTTAAATGCTAGCTTATGAAATCATCACAACAAAAAGTTTAAAGCTTTTCTTTTAGTTGGAAAAGTTTAATATAAAGTAAAGAAGGGAGTTGGTGGTAGCCAGCTGATATGTTGTGGTTAGCCCAAATGTTGTCTTGCTTTGTTTGTGGAATGGACTGAAAATGTTTTGTTAGTTGTCAGTTGACTGGTGGTTGGATTGTCAACTATTTCAAACATCAACGACATTTTACAGATCTAAGGTTTCAACATGCTACAAGAAAATATTTACATATATTACATGTACACAAATAGATCTATAAATAAATATAAACAGTATGTATACACATCAACAAATGTAAGCAAGAGATTGTTGTGAAGAAAACATCCATCAACTTTTTTGCTCTGAATTTCTCATTTTAGTAAATTAATGATATGTTTATATGAATCTCATTATTCTCATTTAAATAGAATAAGTAATTTGTAAAAAAAAAATTGTATAATCTACATATTTCTTGTTCTTAAGATATTTTTTGTGTGGATAAATTGTGTTTCTTATCAAAGTCTATAATATCTAAATGTAGAGTTAATTCTGAGACAAATTCATTCAAATGAATTATGCAGATTAATTATGTTAGCAAAATAGATAGAAATAAATAGAAGCAAACATGACTAATGATAATTTAGGATGAGGCACTGTGGGTAAGCGTGACTGAGTTGCATCTGATCCAGGTCTCTGATCTAGCTGCTCAGAAACCTGGTCACTGACTTGCTTCTTGGAGCAATGCTTTACTGCGACTGATGCAAGTTGCAACAATGACCAATGAAAAAACTCTTTTCAAAACAATGAGCAATAAACAACACTTATTGGATGGAAATTGTTTGTTGAGACTAGCCATGTGTGTACAAGTGGCATTCAATGCTAGGTCTAATCTTGACAACTGCAACATAAGTGAAAACAAACAAAGAATGTGAACTCTATGCACATCTAGGACAAAATGGCTAGACTGCCAACATCTGTAATATCAAGTGTATGGGCGCCAACAGAGCACCACATCTAAACATCATGTATCAACTTTTGACACACATGACATGGTCAGCTCAATGGCTGTAGCCTTCTCAAGCAACAGCCATGGTGTGTCCTGTCTCCAGGAACAGCCATGGTGTGTCCTGTCTCCAGGAACAGCCATGGTGTGTCCTGTCTCCAGGAACAGCCATGGTGTGTCCTGATCGCTTCCATACAGCAACCCTGGGACTTGACCAACATTTACACAAAATGGCATCCACTTACAAAGCTATTTACATATTTACATGTCTGGCTAACCCAAAAATTATCACGAAATTGGTTACCCATTACAATACAAGAGAAGCTCTGTCATAATTCAGACAGCTGTATAGTTTTTAGTGGCAGCACTGACAATTGGTATGGAAGCTCTAGTCGCTATACAGACAATTTCCATCCTGACCAATGAGAGGTTAGTGAAGGGGAGCTAACTAGTTATATTACAGGCTATGCAGGACAAGAAGATGAAGTTGATAGAGTAAACACTGAAAATATCAACATGTTGTCAAATAAAACTAGATGAACTAAAGGAAAAACAGAATGATGACACATGGTTAGTGTTTAAAAATGCTAGCTGCCCAGTCAGACTGGATGACCGGCAGGAGCCTCACTTTCTTTCTTGTGCCACAGAGAAATTCTTTGTACTGATCTGATCGCAGGTAGCGAGTGTAGCTGTCGCTCTTCATCAGCTTAAATATATGATCCTGAAATAGGACAAAACATCAGTCAACAGCAGGGAAATGCCTGGAACAAAGCTCATGAATATGTGGAACAATCAAAGTTTTCAACCATGGAACAATCAAAGTTTCCTGTCATGGAACAATCAAAGTTTCCTGTCATGGAACAATCAAAGTTTCCTGTCATGGAACAATCAAAGTTTTCAACCATGTAACAATCAAAGTTTCCTGTCATGGAACATTCAAAGTTTCCAGTCATGTAACAATCAAAATTTCCTGTCATGGAACAATCAAAGTTTCCTTCCAGTCATGGAACAATCAAAGTTTCCATTCATTTATAAAAATGATCATTTATAAAAAATACATTTTTTTTTACAACTTCTGGTTTTTTGATAAATCATTTTTTGTTTGGACAACTGTCCCATAAGAGCAAACTGCGTTTTGGCAAGTGTATTTTGGAAAAATAACCAGCATCCATTCAGATTAAAGCATAGCTTAAAAAGTGATACATGTTTTTCATCAAGTTATTTTGTTTACTTTAATGGAGGCGAGCGAGTTGACAAGAGTCCTTCCATCATGTTGTTGACATAGAATAAAAATATGCTTTTTTTTAGATTTAGACCATAAAAATAATAAAAAAATAATAACTTAGGCCTAAAATTAATTTAGAAATTTTATGTTTTTAGAATAAAAGCTATAAAAGTTGAAAATAATAATACCTTTCTATTTATTTTCATCAAGCCTAAGTTATAACGGATGTTTCACTTTCGTAAGACACATGTTGATTGGCTGTACAGTAACTCAGTGATAACTATTTGTTTACAAAACTTTGCAGAAAAAGTTTTTAAATGAAAATGCTAATTTAAACCCATGACCTAGTTTTCCATTTTTTTCGCTTACAATGTGTACAATAAAATTTATGGCAGCCTATCGAATAGCAGGATGCAATTGTTTATATCGCCAATACACTGGAAAACCAAATTGTTTTTTTTTTTTAATTATATTTAGTTACCGAAAATATTAAAAACATCAAATACATCCAATCTTTAGTAAAGTCCGAAAAAAACCAGACAGACAGGATTTTATAGCCATATTAATTGTAAGTACGTTGTGCATGATTTTTAAATTAATTAATGGGCCTCTCGAATACTTTCTTGCTCACGTCCATTGGGGAATTTTAAAAGTTATACATATTTCATAAGCTACTTAGTTTACTTTAAGGGCATGGGCGGGTGATGAGTACCAACTTCCTTATTTCCGAGTCTAAAGATGTAATACTTGGCTAATAGTTATAACTCAAAGAGTTAAGCATAAAAATATTTTTTAAAATTTTTTAAATCTTCCGTTGCCATGGTGACGGCGGCCATATTGGATTTTATTGACGATTTTTAAATGGAAATAACTCAAAAATGGTTTGTTCAAATTTCATGAAAACTTAATATAGTCTGCAGACACATGTGTTTAAGACTTCTGATAGATTACATTTTCAAAAAAGAAAATAGTTTTCTTTTTACTTTTTTTTTAAAAACATTACTGTAAAAATTTCATTATTTCGTCCAATTTTTTCACTATTTCAACAACAAAATTTTTTTTTTTACAAAAATTCCAAAAGTGTTCTATCAGTTTTCTTTGAACATATATAAAGAGTAACTGGAGCAAATTTAGTTCAGTTCTGATAATTATTAACAAAGTTATTTCAATAATTGTACAAAAAAACATCAAACTGAGAAAAACGCAAAAAACTAACAAAAAGTTGCAAAAAATGAACATTTATCGCTGTATGTCACTAAAATCGACCACATTTATAGCCTGAAGTATGGTGCTGCTGAATATATTCCTTCTGAGCTTGTTCGGCTGTTAGTTTTCTTTTTTTCTGGCGCTGTTTGTTTTACCTAGAATTGTAGTAAAGCTGTTGTCATGGCGTCTTTTTTCGCGTCTTCACTGGGTCCTCGACTATGGTTTCCTTCTTTTGGCAGCAATGCCATAGCATGCCTGGGCCCAAAATTGAATTATGCTATCACAGAAACAGCAGTATATTTTGCATGGTCTCATGTCTAAAGCCAATTATGATAAGACGTCTTTGTTTATTGTGAAAGGCCTTGTTCTGGATTCTTTTGCAGTTGTATACTTACGGTTTACAACATTTTTATTACTGCCACACCATGCTTGAAGCAAACCCATTACACTGTTTTCATCAATAGTAGCCACTACATCACAGTGTGCGAGGAGATGTATTGATAACATCAAGAAGCAAATCACAGTCGACAATAATTCTGCATGGCTGTGGTTTACAATTAGTACTACTAGTACTAGATGTAACAGTGCTTTCTTCTGTCTGTAAAAACTGTGTCTTACATTGCCGCAGTTTCTTAGTAAATGTGCATATTACATCTGCACCAGTGCTTGTCTGAATAGTGCTAGATTTAGTAGAGGTAGCTGCAATCAGTTGCATTCGGACGAGCCCTAGCTTTAGTAAATTAGTTAGATGTGTGTATCTATTTTTAGCGAGTATTTTGTTCTACGCATTATTGAAAGAGAAACAAATTAAATCGTCTCACTGCTTATGATAATTCACACAAACTAATCTAAACTGTTAATAGTATATTTAATTGAAATAATTATATGTTAAAATAATGTAAGTATTTTACAGAAGCTTAGAGAAACAAAACTAGATCAAACTTAGCAACGCGCTGAAACTAAGGGAATGTTTACTCCCGAAGCGAAACGACCAATCGCTAACTAGCTTCCGCCGTCGAATGCCAATGAAAAAATTGAGGTCAAAAATTTGCATACCGGAAAAACCCGACTGAGTAAAATAAACAACTTTATGACGTAGAAAAATAATCACATTAAAATATGTATTTTGATTGGTCATTTAATTTTAGAACAAATAAAGAAAGGAGGTCATGGCCTTTCCATTGATATGAAACACATTAGGTTTCCGCGAAGCCTAATAGTACTTTTCTAGGTCGAAAAATTGCTATTTTTACCAAAAAATTAAACAAAAGACCATGTACCCACTACATTGAACCCGGTTTTTCATAATTAAATACTGTTTTTAGGGTCATAACAATGTCATTTTTAGATTCAACGATGGTTATTCTGTATAGATCAAGTAAAAGTGGGAAATCGATGATTTAGTGGATTTATGACGAAAAGTACACCCGCCCATGCCCTTAAAGAGAAGTTTAAAAAAAAAACCTCCACTAAATTACGTTGTTTACTTTAATGAAAAGTTTTTAAAAAAAAACATACATGAAGTTATTTTGTTTACCTGAGCTTCATCGAAGACAAAGCGAGTTGGATTGTTTTCCATCCTTCTCCTCACCAGCTCCATAATGTGACAGTCAACATTGACAGGGTTATGTGCTCCAGGTGCCAGAAACTCACTGGGCAAAAATGTTGAAAATTAGCAGTAAAAAATTGATTTCACATTTACACACTTAAGTGAATGCTCATGTTGATTTCTTGAAATATAGCTTAAAATTGAACATTACAATATCCCTAATCCAAACAATTACAAATAATTTCCAAAAGTGTACATTCAATAATACCTGACCTAGGCAACCTAAAGACTAAGGTCATGGACAGACATGTAAACAGCAAAGCCAAGGTCAACTACAAACATGGTGATAGTACCTAGCAATACAGTCAAGGACACTATATACAGTGCTAGGTAAAGTTAAAAAGATGCAAACAAAAACATTAAAACATTGTCAAAATCTAAAAGTTTTATAAATCTAATGCACACAAATTCTATTAGTATTAATATAGTTGTGTAAAGAAAATACCTGAAAATTTCATGAACTTTTTTGTTGACTTCTCTCATAGCAAGCCCTTTTAACTCTTGGCAAGCCAGCCAGAACCTGGAGAAGAAAAAGTGAACATGTTCCTCTCTCCAGAGTTAGTCTTGTTTCTCTTATTTTATTCCTTTAATCATTGGTTGAAATATTTGACAGAGATCAGGTATGATTTCACCAAATTCCAAGAAATATCATCTAGTTTAGTCAATGTCATCAACCAAGAAATATCATCTAGTTTAGTCAATGTCATCAACCAAGAAATATCATCTAGTTTAGTCAATGTCATCAACCAAGAAATATCTAGTTTAGTCAATGTCATCAACCAAGAAATATCATCTAGTTTAGTCAATGTCATCAACCAAGAAATATCATCTAGTTTAGTCAATGTCATCAACCAAGAAATATCATCTAGTTTAGTCAATGTCATCAACCAAGAAATATCATCTAGTTTAGTCAATGTCATCAACCAAGAAATATCATCTAGTTTAGTCAATGTCATCAACCAAGAAATATCATCTAGTTTAGTCAATGTCATCAACCAAGAAATATCATCTAGTTTAGTCAATGTCATCAACCAAGAAATATCATCTAGTTTAGTCAATGTCATCAACCAAGAAATATCATCTAGTTTAGTCAATGTCATCAACCAAGAAATATCATCTAGTTTAGTCAATGTCATCAACCAAGAAATATCATCTAGTTTAGTCAATGTCATCAACCAAGAAATATCATCTAGTTTAGTCAATGTCATCAATGTCAATTAATGCCTGACCAACATCATCTAGTTGAACTATTTCCATTGAAAGAGTTTGTCAATGAATTAGAACTTACTTGAGGTTCTCCCCACTAAACTCCTTGTCTAGAAACTTGCTGAACTGTTCTCTACCAGCAGGGTCATACAGAAGTTCCTCTATACTGAAAGCCCATCTTTTCACTCGCCGTTGTGGTATTTCTCTTGGGTTCCTGGTTGAAATTATTGCATTAATTCATGGGCTCACGTTGAGGATTAGACACAACAATTCTACAAGCCATGAGCTGCTTACATAGTTTTTTCTTGTTCCCAGAACTCAGTGCTGTCAGAAACCCAAGGGTTGGAAGTGTCCGGACTTGTTATAAAGGCATCAAATTCTGCATATTGCTGGTAGTAGGCTATGTAACTGGTGGAGAGATAGGAGTGTATTGAGTGGGGGAAGTTAGGTTCTGTGAACATTGAATGTATAGTCTTTGTGGATATTTACAATGTAATTTTATGATTGACAACTCTGAAAGATAGTAAAAGAGAATAAACCCTGGACAAATCTTAAATGATTCAACACAAAAATGAGGCAGATATTTTCTGTGTAATTACAGCTTAAACAGTTTTTTTGTGAAAATCTACTCCACAAAAATATTATAAGGACTTACCATTCTACAACTTTTGTCAGGACTTATCTACAACTTTTGTCAGGACTTACCATTCTACAATTTTTGTCAGGACTTACCATTCTACAACTTTTGTCAGGACTTACCATTCTACAACTTTTGTCAGGACTTACCATTCTACAACTTTTGTCAGAACTTACCATTCTACAACTTTTGTCAGGACTTACCATTCTACAACTTTTGTCAGGACTTACCATTCTACAACTTTTGTCAGAACTTACCATTCTACAACTTTTGTCAGGACTTACCATTCTACAACTTTTGTCAGGACTTACCATTCTACAACTTTTGTCAGGACTTACCATTCTACAACTTTTGAAATTTTTACCCGTCTTTTCTCCAGCTTTCTTCTCAAAACATCAATCTGAAAAATATTTGGATCAGAATAATTGTATCACATAAATCAATATGATTGTATCACATAAATCAATATGATTGTAACATACAGATCAAGATGATTGTATCTTGTTTACTCATGTTTATTAGTCCAAGTATCAAATTTAATCACAACTTGTCAGATCATACTTCAAAAGGTATCAAATTTAATCACAACTTGTCAGATCATACTTCAAAAGGTATCAAATTTAAACACAACTTGTCAGATCATACTTCAAAAGGTATCAAATTTAAACACAACTTGTCAGATCATACTTCAAAAGGTATCAAATTTAAACACAACTTGTCAAATCATACTTCAAAATTTATTGAAAATGTTTTAAGTGTAATATTTGTGTTTAAAATCATTTACAACTTTTTTGTTAAAATTATTGTATGAATTTAAAAGCCAACAGCTTACATAAAACCCAGAACTGAATCCTCAGGTTGTTCCCTAATGGTTACTTGGTGCCTTTCATCTATAGAACTAATGAGCATGCTAATTAATTACCTCATGCCATATGGAGTCTGACAGAACTAATGAGCGTGCTAATTAATTACCTCATGCTGTATGGTGTCTGACAGAACTAATGAGCATGCTAATTAATTACCTCATGCTGTATGGTGTCTGACAGAACTAATGAGCATGCTAATTAATTACCTCATGCTGTATGGTGTCTGACAGAACTAATGAGCATGCTAATTAATTACCTCATGCTGTATGGTGTCTGACAGAACTAATGAGTATGCTAATTAATTACCTCATGCTGTATGGTGTCTGACAGAACTAATGAGCATGCTAATTAATTACCTCATGCTGTATGGTGTCTGACAGAACTAATGAGCATGCTAATTAATTACCTCATGCTGTATGGTGTCTGACAGAACTAATGAGCATGCTAATTAATTACCTCATGCTGTATGGTGTCTGACAGAACTAATGAGCATGCTAATTAATTACCTCATGCCATATGGAGTCTGACAGAACTAATGAGCATGCTAATTAATTACCTCATGCCGTATGGAGTCTGCAGGTGTGTGTAGGTCAGCCTCTGAAACACTGGGACTGATGCGGCCTCCTGGCACTGCATAATTGGGCTAAAACAATTGATCACATTAATTAAACATGTCACATTGTTCTGTCACAGTGAAACTAATATATTTAGATCTATAGCTAATAGAGACTAGTGACTAAAATAGTCACCCTAATATATTAAGTTCTATAGCAAACAGTGACTAAAATAGTCACCCTAATATATTTAGATCTATAGCAAACAGTGACTAATTACTAAAATAGTCACCCTAATATATTTAGACCTATAGCAAAGTTTCTAATAGAAAAGTTAGTGGCCATCTTTAGATTCATTATCCTAGTGACAAGCTAGGGGCCATCTTTAGATTCACTATCCCAGTGACAAGTTAGTGGCCATCTTTAGATTCACCATCCCAGTGACAAGTTAGTGGCCTTCTTTAGATTCACTATCCTAGTAACAAGTTAGTGGCCATCTTTAGATTCACTATCCCAGTAACAAGTTAGTGGCCATCTTTAGATTCACTATCCCAGTAACAAGTTAGTGGCCATCTTTAGATTCACTATCCCAGTAACAAGTTAGTGGCCATCTTTAGATTCACTATCCCAGTAACAAGTTAGTGGCCATCTTTAGATTCACTGTCCCAGTAACAAGTTAGTGGCCATCTTTAGATTCACTATCCCAGTAACAAGCTAGTGGCCATCTTTAGATTCACTATCCCAGTGACAAGTTAGTGGCCATCTTTAGATTCACTGTCCCAGTAACAAGTTAGTGGCCATCTTTAGATTCACTGTCCCAGTAACAAGTTAGTGGCCATCTTTAGATTCACTATCCCAGTGACAAGTTAGTGGCCATCTTTAGATTCACTATCCTAGTAACAAGTTAGTGGCCATCTTTAGATTCACTATCCCAGTAACAAGCTAGTGGCCATCTTTAGATTCACTATCCCAGTGACAAGTTAGTGGCCATCTTTAGATTCACTGTCCCAGTAACAAGTTAGTGGCCATCTTTAGATTCACTGTCCCAGTAACAAGTTAGTGGCCATCTTTAGATTCACTATCCCAGTGACAAGTTAGGGGCTACCTAATCCCAGTGACCAGCTATTGGTCATCTTTAGTTGTTTTTAGGTCAACTATCACATTGAATAGATGGACCACTAGTCACAAACTTAACATTAATCAGTACAACCAAAATTGGTCAACTGCTACATAAAAAGTTGATTATAGCTATACTCCTAAAACAAAGAATGTTAGCTTACAAAGAGCATTGGACTGAAATGTCTATACAAATAGATGTTTATAGGTTTAGATATGGAGCACTGACAGACCAGGAAAAAAGCCAACATGAAAAAGCACACATGAAATTTTGACCACAGAAAAATTTCTCACCTTATATTTTACATAAGGAAAATGCCCACATTAAAAAATTTGACATTAAATAAAATTGTAAGTTTAAGTATTGAAAAACATATTTGTTAATCCCATAAATGTATGGTATGATGAAACAATATGTGACAATACAAACTTTTGTTTATTAGCTGAAAACAATATGTGATAGAACATATTTTTATTTATTAAACTTCAATGTTTTTATACTGAAGGTCTATTGTAAAAATTGATAACCATACCAGTGGCGGATCTAGTATGTTCAGGGGTGCGATATGGTCAGTCTACATAATACTGGTGTATATGGGCGTTATATGGTCAGTATGCATAATACTGGTGTACATGGGTGTTATATGGTAAGTCTACATAATACTGGTGTACATGGGTGTTATATGGTCAATCTACATAATACTGGTGTATATGGGCATTATATGGTCAGTCTACATAATACTGGTGTACATTGGTGTTATATGGTCAATCTACATAATACTGGTGTATATGGGCATTATATGGTCAGTCTACATAATACTGGTATATATGGGCATCATATAGTCAGTCTACATAATACTGGTGTATATTGGCATTATATGGTCAGTCTGCATAATACTGGTATATATGGGCATCATATGGTCAGTCTACATAATACTGGTGTATATTGGCATTATATGGTCAGTCTGCATAATATTGTGTACAGAAGTGTGATATGGTCAGTCTACATAATACTGGTGTATATTGGCATTATATGGTCAGCCTACATAATACTGGTATATATGGGCATCATATGGTCAGTCTACATAATACTGGTGTATATTGGCATTATATGGTCAGTCTGCATAATATTGTGTACAGAAGTGTGATATGGTCAGTCTGCATAATACTTCTTTCTTGTAAGTTTTCTTGTTACTGAACATCTAGAGGTATCCATGCTTCTCCCTGCATTTATCAGACTCTACAAGTTGTGATGCGACTAGACTCTACCATACAAGATGTGATGCGACTAATGTTATTTAGGCTCCCCCACCCACAAATCCGCCACTGTCAGATGAATACAACATAGGCAATAACATACACATTGTATGTTATTTCCAGTTTGGAAAATATCAACAGAGGAAAATGGACACAGGATAAAGCCATTCAACACAACAAAAGTAGGTCAGTGATGACCTCTGACCCGTGGCAGCCAAGAAGTTAAAGTTACTTACCAGAGCACTGATGCTACCAGCCTGCTCAGTAACAGAACACACACACACATACATTAAATTAGCTTTCAACAATCTCATCATTGACAGTATCTCTATCATTTTGATCTATTTATTTTTTTTTTTGTAAAAATCTAAGCCTGAATAAAAAAAAGTATTTCTAGAGTTTCACTTAGTAACACAATTCTCAAATTGATCAGCTGACTGAAGTTCATTCTGACAATGGTAAAATTCCCTATGAGCTGTATTTTTACAATGGTAAAATTTTCTGTGAGCCATATTTTTACATTAGTAAATTTCCAGTGAGCAGTATTTTAACAATGGTAAGATTCCATGTGAGCCAAATTTTCTAGAGGTGCTTCAAATCTCAAGGTGGCCTTTCCTCTGGGCTTACATGAATTTTATCTCTAAGTTTAAGATTTAACTACTAAACCTTATTCTGTTGTAATAACAATTCTGAATTTTTAAATAAATATTTTAAAATGGATTTAGAAGACTTGATTTTTTGTTAATGGAAAAGGTGTATTTTGTAAACTGTTTTTAGATCTAGATCAAGATGCATTTTAAAATTTTTAAACTGATTGGTTACTTTTTAAAGAAAAAGTCTAGAAAGTTTTTTGACTTACCCGACTCATTTTCGAGTGTCTGTTCATTCTGCAGGCCTTTTTGATGTCAACTTCTGTCGTGTTGACACAGCCAGGCTGCAGACGGGAAAATATAGGCAGTAGCCAGCAGTTTGAAATGGATAAAAATATAGGCAGTAGCCAGCAGTTTGAAATGGATAAAAATATAGGCAGTAGCCAGCAGTTTGAAATGGATAAAAATATAGGCAGTAGCCAGCAGTTTGAAATGGATAAAAATATAGGCAGTAGCCAGCAGTTTGAAATGGATAAAAATATAGGCAGTAGCCAGCAGTTTGAAATGGATAAAAATATAGGCAGTAGCCAGCAGTTTGAAATGGATAAAAATATAGGCAGTAGCCAGCAGTTTGAAATGGATAAAAATATAGGCAGTAGCCAGCAGTTTGAAATGGATAAAAATATCAGTCCCACTATTTACATAGAGATATTGACTAGAAAATATAATGAGTGCATTTATCAGAGACATATGTTCCTGACAAAGCATCTTCACTAAAAGTAAGTAAAGTTCCCTTTTTCAAACCTGACGGTCTATAGGGCAAGTGAAGTAGAGTTCACATGTTTTGTGACCTTGGCATATGGAGACATAGTGTGGTCAGCACTATGCCCAGCCGCCTTTACTTTCCCTAATGTGAGTAAGTATCCTTCAGAGGATGGTCTACTGACTTGAACCCGGATTCGAACTCGAGACTTATGGGTTAGCAGTCCTGCTCTCTACCGCTAGACCACTCCATCCCACAAGCATCTTCATTACCATTCTAATTTTCCCAAGTCCAAATAGAAAGACTTTCTATTTACAGACTGTAATTACTTATGAGAATGTAAATGTAATGAATCAATACATACCACAGGCCGATGTACATCCCAGAATGCTCTTTCTTGGCTGTCTAAAACTTTTCTTTCCAATTTATCTCGCTTTTTGTCAACTCTAAAAAAAAAATGTGTCAACTTATGTCGTATGATACATGAAAACATTGATAAGCTAGACAGACTTGCTGAGTACACCATAAAGTGTTGAAACTCTCAACACAATCAACAGCTAGTGTTGAAACTCTCAACATAATCAACAGCTAGTGTTGAAACTCTCAACATAATCAACAGCTAGTGTTGAAACTCTAACACAATCAACAGCTAGTGTTGAAACTCTCAACACAATCAACAGCTAGTGTTGAAACTCTCAACATAATCAACAGCTAGTGTTGAAACTCTAACACAATCAACAGCTAGTGTTGAAACTCTAACACAATCAACAGCTAGTGTTGAAACTCTAACACAATCAACAGCTAGTGTTGAAACTCTAACACAATCAACAGCTAGTGTTGAAACTCTCAACACAATCAACAGCTAGTGTTGAAACTCTAACACAATCAACAGCTAGTGTTGAAACTCTAACACAATCTACAGCTAGTGTTGAAACTCTAACATAATCAACAGCTAGTGTTGAAACTCTAACACAATCAACAGCTAGTGTTGAAACTCTAACACAATCAACAGCTTGTGTTGAACCTCTAACACAATCAACAGCTAGTGTTGAGACTCTAACACAATCAACAGCTAGTGTTGAGACTCTAACACAATCAACAGCTAGTGTTGAAACTCTAACACAATCAACAGCTAGTGTTGAAACTCTAACACAATCAACAGCTAGTGTTGAAACTCTCAACACAATCAACAGCTAGTGTTGAAACTCTAACACAATCAACAGCTAGTGTTGAAACAACTTTCAACACAATCAACAGCTAGTGTTGAAACTCTAACACAATTAACAGCTAGTGTTGAAACTCTAACACAATCAACAGCTAGTGTTGAAACTCTAACACAATCAACAGCTAGTGTTGAAACTCTAACACAATCAACAGCTAGTGTTGAAACTCTAACACAATCAACAGCTAGTGTTGAAACTCTCAACACAATCAACAGCTAGTGTTGAAACTTTAACACAATCAACAGCTAGTGTTGAAACTCTAACACAATCAACAGCTAGTGTTGAAACTCTAACACAATCAACAGCTTGTGTTGAAAAGATAAATAACTAAAGTGTCATCTCACTTGGCCTGAGCTTCAGCTTGCATAAATATAAACTCCCATTTTCTAGAAAACATTTTCTGTAGCCTGGCCAGATTTTCCGCCTCATAGTCAGCCAATTCCAGTCTCTGCTTGTTCTGCATGGTCCTCTTGCATAAATACACAGCTGGCAAGTACAAGCAGTCTATCAGTCAAATCACAACTTTTCAGTCAGATCAGTCAAATCACAACTTTTCAGTCAGATCAAAACTTTTCAGTCAGATCAAAACTTTTCAGTCAGATCAAAACTTTTCAGTCAGATCAAAACTTTTCAGTCAGATCAGTCAGATCAAAACTTTTCAGTCAAATCACAACTTTTCAGTCAGATCAGTAGATCAAAACTTTTCAGTCAGATCAAAACTTTTCAGTCAGATCAAAACTTTTCAGTCAGATCAAAACTTTTCAGTCAGATCAAAACTTTTCAGTCAGATCAGTCAGATCAGAACTTTTCAGTCAGATCAGTCAGATCAAAACTTTTCAGTCAGATCAAAACTTTTCAGTCAGATCAGTCAGATCAGAACTTTTCAGTCAAATCAGAACTTTTCAGTCAGATCAGTCAGATCAAAACTTTTCAGTCAGATCAGTCAGATCAAAACTTTTCAGTCTGATCAGTCAGATCAAAACTTTTCAGTCAGATCAAAACTTTTAAGTCGAATCAGAACTTGACAGTCAGATCAGTCAAATCAGAACTTGACAGTCATAAAAACTTTTCAGTCAGATCAAAACTTTTCAGTCAAATCAAAACTGTTCAGTCTATCAGTGGGTACATTTAGGTCTGAATTCACTAATTATTTGTAGACAATATAAAGTTTGATTCAAATCTCATTAGTACTTAACTTCTTGGTATAGTGTGTAGGCTTATTTGATGTTACATCAAAATCTGATGTGATTACATATAAACATACTCTAATCTGATTACATCAAATGTAACAATCTGATTACATAATAACTTACCCTAATCTGATTACATAAAACTTACCCTAATCTGAATACATCAAACTTACCCTAATCTCATTACATCAAACTTGCCCTAATCTGATTACATCAAACTTACCCTAATCTCATTACATCAAACTTACCATAATCTGATTACATCAAACTTACCCTAATCTCATTACATCAAACTTACCATAATCTGATTACATCAAACTTACCCTAATCTGATTACATCAAACTTACCCTAATCTGATTACATCAAACTTACCCTAATCTGATTACATCTAACTTACCATAATCTGATTACATCAAACTTACCATAATCTAATTACATCTAACTTACCATAATCTGTATTTTCTGGTTCCCCACAACGTGAAGGCCAAAAACAAGGAGTCTGAAAAAAAATTTTTTACTGATTAAAATAAGTTGCAGAAGAAATAAAACATGACTTTGATGGAGAGACCACTCCACAACACCTGACTTTGATGGAGAGACCACTCCACAACACCTGACTTTGATGGAGAGACCACAACACCTGACTTTGATGGAGAGACCACAACACCTGACTTTGATGGAGAGACCACTCCACAACACCTGACTTTGATGGAGAGACCACTCCACAACACCTGACTTTGATGGAGAGACCACTCCACAACACCTGACTTTGATGGAGAGACCACAACACCTGACTTTGATGGAGAGATCACAACACCTGACTTTGATGGAGAGACCACTCCACAACACCTGACTTTGATGGAGAGACCACTCCACAACACCTGACTTTGATGGAGAGACCACTCCACAACACCTGACTTTGATGGAGAGACCACTCCACAACACCTGACTTTAATGGAGAGACCACTCCACAACACCTGACTTTGATGGAGAGACCACTCCACAACACCTGACTTTAATGGAGAGACCACTCCACAACACCTGACTTTGATGGAGAGACCACTCCACAACACCTGACTTTGATGGAGAGACCACTCCACAACACCTGACTTTAATGGAGAGACCACTCCACAACACCTGACTTTGATGGAGAGACCACAACACCTGACTTTGATGGAGAGACCACAACACCTAACTGATGGAGAGACCACAACACCTGACTTTGATGGAGAGACCACTCCACAACACCTGACTTTGATGGAGAGACCACTCCACAACACCTGACTTTGATGGAGAGACCACTCCACAACACCTGACTTTGATGGAGAGACCACAACACCTGACTTTGATGGAGAGACCACAACACCTAACTTTGATGGAGAGACCACTCCACAACACCTGACTTTGATGGAGAGACCACTTCACAACACCTGACTTTGATGGAGAGACCACAACACCTGACTTTGATGGAGAGACCACAACACCTGACTTTGATGGAGAGACCACAACACCTGACTTTGATGGAGAGACCACTTCACAACACCTGACTTTGATGGAGAGACCACTCCACAACACCTGACTTTGATGGAGAGACCACTCCACAACACCTGACTTTGATGGAGAGACCACTCCACAACACCTGACTTTGATGGAGAGACCACAACACCTGACTTTGATGGAGAGACCACTCCACAACACCTGACTTTGATGGAGAGACCACTCCACAACACCTGACTTTGATGGAGAGACCACAACACCTGACTTTGATGGAGAGACCACTTCACAACACCTGACTTTGATGGAGAGACCACTCCACAACACCTGACTTTGATGGAGAGACCACTCCACAACACCTGACTTTGATGGAGAGACCACTTCACAACACCTGACTTTGATGGAGAGACCACTCCACAATACCACCAAAAAAAAAGAGTTCTGGTATACAGAGGTGAGGTCACTAGCCAGATGGTGTCTACACAGACAGAGGATAGAGGGGGGAGGGGGGGGGGGAGAAACGTGGTTGTGGGTGGGAAGTAAGGTAGACAGAGGGACAAGGTAAGGAGGGAGGGGGTGAAGGACGAGATCAAGATAGGGGGAGGCTGGGAGGGGTGTGTAACAATAATTCAATTTTCAGCAACAGGTAAGCTGAGCAATAAAATTAGAACCAGATCTATTTAATTTGATCAGGTGCATCCAGAAGGTACAGCTTAGTTGCCTTAGATGTAGGTTCTGTGTATTTTACTTGTTTGATAGATGTAGGCTTTGTGTATTTTACTTGTTTGTTAGATGTAGGCTTTGTGTATTTTACTTGCTTTACTTTAGATGTAGGCTTTGTGTAATCTATTTGTTAAGTTTTATTTCATTCATTTTATTTTTAATCAGGTTATATGGGACTTTATTGTTAGTTTAATCTGGTTATTTGTGGGACTTAACTAATTAACTAAGAGAATTTGATACTTAACATTTGCATTGCCCATCAGGCGGCTCCTATATCTGTGAAGGGGGCTGGGGTGGACAAGCTAACCTATGCTAATCTATTAGTTGCTACCCTAGCACTAATCATTTCCTTATTAATAGCTGACACGAGTACTTCTACACAAATCTTCAACTTACCTGGAAGCGATAGTACGTGTTGTCATTCTTGACAGTCAGCACGTGGTCATCAATAGGGAAAAAATAGCCATGGGAGGACATCAGGTGGGCTAGGTGGAGAGCTTCAACTGCACAGAAGGACATTTAGAGAAATAGTTCATTTCTATGGATAAACAAGCATATATATATATATATATATATATATATATATATATATATATATATATATATATATTGGCCTAGACATGCTCATGCCCCCACCCCCCATATAGAAGAGACCAGTACGCCTACCTTGGTCTTCCACATCTAAATTACGCATCATCCAGCTGACCAAGTCTTGGCCTAAAACAAGAATCAAAACAATCAATTTATGACAAGGACTTGATGCTACATAATGAACTCTATGTACAAAACTTAGTTAAACCTTGACTTAAATCAACCCCCATGGAAGCAGCCACTAACCTGTGAAGACGCCCATGGAAGCAGCCACTAACCTGTGAAGACGCCCATGGAAGCAGCCACTAACCTGTGAAGACCCCCATGCAGACACTAACCTGTGAAGACCCCCATGGAGGCACTAACCTGTGAAGACCCCCATGGAAGCAGCCACTAACCTGTGAAGACCCCCATGGAAGCAGCCACTAACCTGTGAAGACGCCCATGGAAGCAGCCACTAACCTGTGAAGACCCCCACTGAGCCACTAACCTGTGAAGACCCCCATGATAGCAGCCACTAACCTGTGAAGACCCCCATGATAGCAGCCACTAACCTGTGAAGACCCCCATGGAAGCAGCCACTAACCTGTGAAGACCCCCATGGAAGCAGCCACTAACCTGTGAAGACCCCCATGGAAGCAGCCACTAACCTGTGAAGACCCCCATGGAAGCAGCCACTAACCTGTGAAGACCCCCATGCTAACCTGTGAAGACCCCCATGGAGCCACTAACCTGTGAAGACCCCCATGGAAGCAGCCACTAACCTGTGAAGACCCCCATGCTAACCTGTGAAGACCCCCATGGAGCCACTAACCTGTGAAGACCCCCATGGAAGCAGCCACTAACCTGTGAAGACCCCCATGCAGCCACTAACCTGTGAAGACGCCCATGGTAGCAGCCACTAACCTGTGAAGACCCCCATGGAAGCAGCCACTAACCTGTGAAGACCCCCATGGAAGCAGCCACTAACCTGTGAAGACGCCCATGGAAGCAGCCACTAACCTGTGAAGACGCCCATGGAAGCAGCCACTAACCTGTGAAGACGCCCATGCAGACACTAACCTGTGAAGACCCCCATGGAGGCAGCCACTAACATGTGAAGACCCCCATGGAAGCAGCCACTAACCTGTGAAGACGCCCATGCAGACACTAACCTGTGAAGACGCCCAAGGAAGCAGCCACTAACCTGTGAAGACCCCCATGGAAGCAGCCACTAACCTGTGAAGACGCCCATGCAGACACTAACCTGTGAAGACGCCCATGCAGACACTAACCTGTGAAGACCCCCATGGAAGCAGCCACTAACCTGTGAAGACGCTCGGCACCTTGGACATGAAACTTTTGACAGTTCTAACCGGCACCCCAGTGCTCTCGTCTTGCATCCGGTCTATGATCAGCTCCATCTGGGGTGGGGGGGGGGAGGAGGGAAACAATTACAGTGATATAAATTTACAGTTTGAGAGCCTTTGTGCCAACCCTAAAAAAATCACATTAATATAAGTTTACACATGGCTACATAATTTGAAAGCACTTGTGCCAACCCTTAAAAATCACATTAATATAAGTTTACACATGGCTACACAATTTGAGAGCCCGTGTGCCAACCCTTAAAAACCACATTAATATAAGTTTACACATGGCTACATGATTTGAGAGCCCTTGTGCCAACCCTTAAAAATCACATTAATATAAGTTTACACATGGCTACATGATTTGAGAGCCCTTGTGCCAACCCTTAAAAATCACATTAATATAAGTTTACACATGGCTACATGATTTGAGAGCCCTTGTGCCAACCCTTAAAAATCACATTAATATAAGTTTACACATGGCTACATGATTTGAGAGCCCTTGTGCCGCCGCTGCTCGTATTTATGGTGCATTGTGTTATGGCTGGGTCACGTGGCTTGCTGCCGTAAAGCGGTACAAGGGTGGAATTACCATGCCGCCAGACCCCGCAGTCCGGGTTGGGGGGGGGGGGGGGGCACGCCGTTTAGAGGGCCCACTGCCAACCATAATTTATATTTTTTTTTAATTTAATATTTGTGCATTATAGCCTTTATGTTTGGTTTGTACAAAAAATACTATAGCTGTGGTACTATTATCTAAATATTATATTCAGTATACAACGCTCTTCCGCAACCATTAAAATCTACTGCACAAACTGTAGTGTAAAATATAGGCAAAACTTCAAAGTTTTAGTTGCTTCTGTGACTCGTTGCTCCCTTTTGATAGCCAAATAGGGCGACACGTAACACGTTCACACATTGGAATTATAACTGTTCGACCGGTCCTCCAAAGTGTATTGTGGTGGGATGGGGCAGAGGGTGGGGGCTAAATAGGGGATTCGAAAATTGTCGCCAAATCTATATATATAAAGCAAAGTGGTCAAGTGCCCGATAGGAAGTGTTTCTTCCAGACTTTTTTTCTCCAGGGGGGAAGGGGGGGGGTCAGTTGAAATTTTCATTTCGTTTGGGGGGGGGGGGGGGGGGGGTAGAATTTTTTCGGGGGACTAAGCCCCCCTACCCCCCCCCCCCCCCCCCGAAGAGATGCCTGGAAGAAACTCTGCCGATAGGGGACTTCCCGGCGCCGCAGGCGCTTCAAATTTGGCAGGATCCTGCCTTGGGGCGATAGAGGGCCGGTGCCGGTTGGCCGCGAAGTTCACTAAGAGTGGGTCAAAACTGACCTCGACTGACAGGCGCCTTATATGGGCTATATTACGAAAAAAAAAACTTTTGCCCAACGACCCCCCTTGATATTTTGTCAGGTGGTAGAAGAACGCCTAGGGTGTCAGAAAAAACTCGCCATATCCCGGAAAAATTCTGGAAATGGGTCAAAACTGACCAGTCGTATTTCCCTATATAATCTTTGTATTTTATGGGAAAAACAGGGTACATTCAACACAAATTTTAGGGTACTTAACCTCTGTACATCTGGCTATTTTTTTTCATGCACTTCTATAGATGACTAGGACGTAAGGAAAACTGTTCATCAGACTTAAAGCCCTCGAGGAGGGCCAAAAAGTGACCGCGAGTAAATTTTCTTTCTATGATATATATATATATATATATATATATATATATATATATATATATATATATATATATATATATATATATATATATATATATATATATATATATATATAAATTGACGAACGATCCCCTAATATTTTGTGAAGTCGTAGACCTACCCTAGATAAACAAAAAAAACTTTATTCCCGTCGGAGAAACTCCTCAGGGTCGTTATATAGGTCGAGATGTAGTATTTTCTCATATAAACAATTGTTTGTGTAAAAGTAAACAAAGACTACGTCATTTGGTCTATGTGCAGGGGAGGTAACTTTTTTTAAAAATAGTTTAAAATAATATTTATACTATTTTAATGAAAAAACAAATATCTTAAAGTATAGAATAAGTTTAAATATATATTTCGTTACAAATGTAGTTATCTATTGTATTTAAATACAAAATTTATTTCGAAATGAAATTAAATATATTATTTGATTTATACTATTATATGAAGTTCTAATAAACTCGCGAGTAATAGGTTTGCGAATATACTATGCAGGTTTCCATGACATGAAACTACTCAAACATCATACTTAGGCCTTAAGCATTCCACATAACAGCCAATTAATTAATCATTCAAATTCTTAAACTTTTTTTTTTTGAAAACCTAAGCGAAGCTAGGCAGTATGCCAAGTATATTTATAAATATAATTTTTTTGTTTATAATTGTATTTTTTTTTTACTATTGTCCAGGCCGAGTTCTATTCATCCTCCAATCAAACACACGATGTGGCCGGCAAAATTCTTTTAAAAACAACAACCAAAGTCTATAAGATCGAGCGAGAAGCCGCTAGATATGTAGGGGGGGGGGGGGCTTTCATGATGTATGGTACTTCTTTGTGGCATTGGTTAGGGGCCCGATATCAATTGTACAATTTTCAATGTAAAATATGTGTTTGTGATATTTGTAGAACTTTTATCTCGTAGTACCCTGTATCCTACATATAATTAAAAACAATAAAGTACTAGAAACTTCGGTTTATACACGTTTACTTGTTTTTGCTTTCACAAGAAATGTGATAGTAAACTTGTATACTTTGAATCATTCCCCTTGAATTAGTTTTATAATAGGCGTTAGTTAGGAAAACAAATCCCAAAATTTTAACGATGCTGACGTACGTGGACGCTTTTTTGTCCCTTTCAAGTTTCTTTCAGAGCCGACCCCCACCCCACTCTTCTTTCTTAACCTCGCAAGTATCGACTAGATAAATGTATCGTTTGTTAACTTAGAAAAAAGTTATTCATTAGTAAATGAATTAATTAAAAATTATTTATACTCAATTTTTTTAATAAATGACGTCATTTGGAGGGATTGGAGTGTCTGGCTTTTAGTAAATCATTTAAAAAGCGTGACGTCATTTGTGGACGGCCCCTAAATCAGAAGGTTATCCTACATTTGTGGACGGCCCCTATATCAGAAGGTTATCCTACATTCGTGGACGGCCCCTAAATCAGAAGGTTGTCCGACGCGTGAGCTGGCCACATACAGTTGTACTTGTGAAAAAAATGTTTCTGTCTTTTATGCATTACTACATCATTCATCCGATCGCCATAAAAAGTTGGGAAGCTGTTGAGTACAGCCCCGCAAAGGTTTCTGTCAGAGGCCTAACATATGTTTACATATTGGAGTGGCGGCGCCCCACGGAAATATGTGATTTAGCGCCCCGAGATCCCCAGTGGTTACCTTTGCACCTGGGATCCACTTATTGTGTGTGCTGCACATGTTGGGGGGGGGGGGGGAGTGTAAGTACTTAAATCTATCGGCGGCAGTGTCATCCTGAGCGCATCACATATGAGCGGTTTAGCCCCTACAGTCGTTTAAAAGTGCACACAACACTAGAGATAAGTCTCGCTACTACATTTATTAATATTAATTATAGTAATTAACTACATTGGAGGAATAAATCTAACCAGTGGTTGCACCCATCACCAGTGACCAAATGTAACCGGTGGCTCACCAGAGCCCTGCGACGCCCCTGACACCTAGGCCGTCACCGAGGGGTGATCAGCGTAAACTGAAGCTTACAGCATGCCCTGGGGTGTCTCGTTGTAATGAGGACAAAACCGCACCCCAACAACTAAGACCAAAGAAATGAAGTGCCGACATTGTTCACATTTCATTAAACTTCTGGAAAACAAGGCTCACGGTTAAAAATATACGATTGGTAACGTTTTGATGAATATATATATATATATATATATATATATATATATATATATATATATATATATATATATATATATATATATATGTGTGTGTGTGTGTGTGTGTGTGTGTGTGTGTGTGTGTCCAAAATTGTCTGCGCGGGGGGAGGGGGGTCTAGTTCCGCCAATATTCAAGTGTTCCAAATTCAGTCATCGAGTTGTGAACAACATCAACGGGTTGAACTAAAAGCCGACAACGATACCTGAACTAAGTAAAGGGTCATTTACAAATCAAGTCACGTTTTTTGTCAATGTGTAACCCCACCCCCTTTCCCAATAGTCACACGTTTTAACTTCCCCCCTCCCTACCCACCCACCAGACAAAATGACGTCACACTTCAGCCTAATACCTCAACTATATGTTTCTGTTTTTAAACAACTTCTTTCGAAAATACGTGTATACACTTCACAAGGTCATAATCATGTTTGTTGATCTTTTTTACTTTCTCATATACGAAGTATAGAGAAAGTCTTGTAATCATGCACAAAAAAAAAATTTAAAAAAAAAAAATAAAAAAAAATTCGACGTTTTACACCTCTTTGAGTCGGAAAAACATAGTTTTGCAATTTTGTCCGTATGTCTGTGGGTGTGTATGTGTCTGTAAACACGTACCGTTACAGCTAGTTTGATGAAATTTCATATATAAGTATTATATCGACTGTGTAGCTCTGTATCAACTTTTCAGCGATTTCCAATAACCGGAAGTGGAACTTATTCTACTTTCAATTTTTCAAAAGCCTATAACTTGAGTACTATTTCAGATAGATAAATGAAATTTCACATGTAAGTAAAAGATCTAATTCTCTGCCTTCTGTCAAATTTTGAGTGATTTCCGTTGACCGGAAGTAGTAATTCACGCTATTTCCGATTTCTCAAAAACCGCATGTGAATTTATAAAGTACTAATAATATTCCGCACTATTATACATAACTTGTTTGGCGTTCACTTGGTGCGCGGTTCTTTTTTCTACGAGATTCTATTCTATTTTAAAAAGTTTAAGCAATTAAAATGGATTTAAAATATTGTCTATATCCAGAGTTGCCATCCCCCGTAGTGTTATATAAGAATATACGAGAAAGTTAAAAGGGAGACCAATCCCGGTTTATTTAAAATTGCAATTAACACA